CTCGCCGTCCGGCGCTGCCGCGGTCGGGTCCGACGAGGTTCCCGCCGCGCAAAACTCGACGCTCTTCGTCAAGAACCTGAACTTTGCGACGACGGCGCCCCGCTTCAAAGCGGCTTTCGACCAACTGCCAGGCTTCGCCTTTGCCCGCATCAAGACCAAGCCCGACCCAGCCGCACCTGGCCGGACACTCAGCATGGGCTTCGGATTTGTGGGCTTCCGCACAGTCAAGGAGGCCCAGCAGGCGCTCCAGGCGCGGGGCGAGCACGTCCTTGATGGCCACAAGCTCGCGATCTCGTTTGCGCACCGCGGAGCGGACAAGGCTGGCGCGGCGAGCGAGGGTTCGAAGGCGTCGGCTGTCAAGGGCGTCAAGGACACGACGGCGAAGCTCCTCGTGAAGAACGTTCCGTTTGAGGCGACCCGCAACGACATTCGACAACTCTTCAGGTACGCAAAGTGAGCGTCGACATTCTCGATTCCGTGCTTACCCGACTTGTCCGCGTTTGCAGCGCGTACGGGCAGCTCAAATCGGTCCGACTTCCGCGCAAGATGGACAACAAGACCCGAGGCTTCGCTTTCGTCGAGTTCGCCACTCGTCGAGACGCAGAAGCCGCTTTCGAAGCGCTCGAGCACATCCACCTGCTCGGTCGTCACCTCGTGCTGCAGTGGTCGGGCGGAGAGGATGAGGAGGGAGGACAGGACGAGGCGCACCGCGAGCGGGCGCCCCAGGCGAAGTCGAACAGGATGGGCAAGTCGAAGTTCGAAATGTAGCCAAAGTTATGTCCGGACGGACGCTACAAAATCGTCAATGAGAGAAGGCCATGCCGCTGTTGAGGCGGATGCATCAGTCGAGACCGAACCGAGAGTCCAGGGGTGCATCGCAACTCACCCTCCTCGTCGTAGTTGCCGAAGTCCGGGTCGATGGATCGTGCGAAGTCGAGGAACTGTCGATAGATAGATGAGCGCAGGCTGGAAGGGCTAGACGGAACGGATCCGCACCAGATTCCAGGTATCCTTCGAGACGGCGCGACCACCTTTGAACGCCAGAAAGTCGATCCAGGCGGCGAGATTTACGGACGAAAAGGTAGTTGACGCAGGGTCTAGAGGTACGAGGAGCTTCCACAACTCCTGAGCTATCTCGAAGTCTGCGGTGTCGCCAGAGATTGAGTATCAGCATCGTGCCCATCTGACGATCAGGAAATGCTCTTACGCAGGCTCTTCTGCCCTGGCTCCTTGGCGTAATCGAAAGCGAAGATGTAGATGCGGCGGAAGGCGTCAGGGTTTGACAGCTGCGCGCGCAAGTCTGCAATATGCCGCTTTTGCCGCTCAAGCGTGTCGCAGCTGCAGTTCCGGTCAGCGGCGCGAAGCCCTGAAGGATGAGAGGCGACTCACCCGACACCTTGCCACGCTCGAATCCACGTTTGCTTAGCGAACTTCCCCATTGACGGCGCACCAGTGAATTCCGCAAGAGCGAGAAAGACGACGTCCTCGAGACTGACGCCCAAGTCCTCGCAATACCGCGTGGTCCCATCCATCCCAATCTCTTCAGGTGACGCTGGATCTGCCTCGAAGATTCGGTCAGCCGTCGTTTGCGACAAACCGCGCAAACTACTTACCTCGATACTGCGCCCACAACGCTTCAAGATTCCGCAGGACTGCAGGGTTGGCCGCCGACGCTGCACTAGCCTGGTTGTAGTACGCGTCGATGGCGGCCTCCAAGCGCCATGCTGATGCTTTGAGGAAGCGGTTCGCATCGGCAGAACTGTGCGAGTTCGCGAGGGATCAGTCTCGGACGGAGGCTACCACGAGGTTGTGCCAGCACTTACGATGCTCCAGTGATGCTCGAAAAGTCCCGCACGCGACCCTCCTTGGCTGTCTTGCTGAGCGAACTCTGTCAGAACCGGGGCGATGATCGCGAGCTGGTCAGCGTCAACGGCAGCCGAGCGAACGACGGGGAGGTGCACCATGTGTATCAGTAGACGCAAAAAGCTTCAGCAATGATGCAGGCAGGCAGAGCGCGACGAAGCAGCAGCGTGATGTGTGGGGACGAGGTGAGAGAGGGAGGAGGGAGGAGAGGACACAACTTCGCGCGATTGCGGGCGTGAACAGACAGGCTTGCGCCCTCAGAGTAGTAAGGAATTGCGCGGCGTGAACGACCGCGTCAGGGGTTTCATGGAGCAGCTTCGCCCGACTATGGACTACGGAATCGCTGCTTGTACGCCGCTGGACTCTCGTACGCCCGCGCGCTCTGAACCCACATCCCCTTGCGCTTAGACCTGTGTGCCGCGGCCGTCAACGAAGAGCGGACGCCGTAACCGGGCGAGTGCGCTCACTTGGCATTGGCCTCCAAGGCCCGAAAGCGGTCGAGTTGTCCGGCATGCACTGCGCCAGCCGACTCATACACGGTAGCGACTGTGGGGCGTACTCGCGAAGGTCAGTCACCTAGTCAGCGGATACAGCGGAGAGCGGAATGAAGACGCACAGCCAGCTTCAAGCATCATCGCCGACACATTGCGCCGTCTCAGCCAGGGAAAGACGCGGACGTAGGCCATCCCGACGACCCGTCCATACTGATCTTTCTGGTGGAGCTCGACGAGCAGCCTCTTGCCCAATACTGTCGCCGTCAACCTGCGCGAAGACATCGATAAGACGGCGTATCGTGGCGCGGAATCCTGAGCACTTGCCACTCTAGCGCTTCTTGAGAATACGGCTGTGAAGGTCGCCCAAAGTGAGCGAGCTGTGTGCGCGCGACAGTCAGGGACCTGCTCGCTCAAGGAAGATGAGAACGCCTTGCCTCGGGAGCATCGATGCCGGCGAGGCGGACGTGCAGTGTCTCGCCCTTGAGGTCTGCTTGCGCGTCACGCTAGTTAGCAGGGTGGGGCGGTGAGGCGTCAATTCTCAGCGAACCTGGGCGTTTTGTCGGTGGACGAGACCAGGGTCGGAGAGCAGGGCGATGATAGAGGCGAAAATTGTCTGCGTCGCCGACACTGACGGTCGGTGTATACAAACACGGTCAGCACGAAGCCCTCATGGTACACGAGAACAAGCCGAACCTGGTCACGACACCCCTAAGCCGTCGCGGAGCGAAGTCTGCAGGCGCGAGCTCGTCGACGTTGCGGATGCGGCGGCCGTAGCGATGCCAGAGACGGTTACTGCCGAGCAAGAGCACGGCGGTCGCAGCACCAACCAACAGCGGGTTACTCGGTTCAGGGCGAGCGCAGGCGTCGAGGAGAGTCTGCCACGCCGAGGGTGTCGGCGGATCTGTTGGCTTCCGTCGAGGTGTTGTACCATTCGCGTCGGGGCTGCCGAACATGCTGCAGCGCTTACGCAGCGAGTCAAGCGGATGCGGTCGTGGTTCAACGACGAGGAGGCGAGGAGGGGCAGCTCTCCCTCTGCACGCTCCCACTGCTGTCAGCACACGGTCAGACCGGCTTTCTTTGCTCGCTGAACGACGCCATTACTCTCCTCCGTCGTCAAACATCGCTCGCCGACCTCCCACAGCTTCCGACACGCGAATCCTCTCCCCCTCTTCTCATCAGTCGATCGGAACGTCGGACGACAAAGGCGCGCTCAAGGGGCTGGAGGATGTTGTACAGGGACTTCGACCGGTTCAAGCAGGCGTGCGAGGAGCTGTACGCTCGTAGCGGGCCAAGGGTGAGCCAGTCTTGGTGTCCTCGTTGCCTTACATTCTTCCTCACCTCAAAGCAACAGACACGCACCTGCATTCGATGGCGTGCGGACGTGGGACTACTCGTCATGCGTCTGACTGATGATGTCCAGGTACGCACACCGCCTTCGTCCAGCGTGCTCCGGCTGATTCCGATTCATCTCCTCAACAGACACTCACCTTCAAGACGCGATCCAAGTCTTTCCTCAACCGTTTCGACTCTCTCAACGTCACTCTCTTGCGCAAGTACCACAACCGTGGCCGCCCCCTCGCGCACGCCCAACTCGACGCACCTGGACCATCAGAGCGCACGCTTCTGGATCCTTCCGCCTCCTCGTCGGCCGGTGATGGACCGAAAGGCGAGGTTGATGGGGCGAGCGCACGTACCAAGCGCAAGAAGGGCAAGAAGAAACAGGGAAAGTAGCACAGCGGTCAGACTGCAACGCGAGGCTGCAGCACGGTTGCGTCTCCTCCAGTGGATGTAAGCCGACGGTGCTGCACTGCATCCCATCTCAGCCACTTCGGTCGGAGTAAGGAGCATCTTTTGCGCTGCGAACGAGCACCACAAGGCTGATAGGGTGGACGATGTCGGAGCACTCTATGAGGAACCACGACCGCTCCTCAGAGGGCAAGGAAGGAGTTGTTTTTCCGATCTCTCTGACTGCGAGAGCTCTTGTCAAACGTCTCGAGAGGGTCGAACTCGCGAGGTTGAACCGCGTCCGCAATCCGCAACCCGGCACCGCCTCCCACACCTCTCGCCGACGCTCCTCCCGCCTCCTCGCGTGCTGATGGCGCAAGCACAGGTTCGGACGACGCTCTCGAGCGAGGACAACCCGCGTGGCATCCCCAAAGCTCGCTTCATCGTGCGCCAACTTGCTTCTCCGATCTCATCAGTTTCGCGGTCGAGTGCTCACTCCCGCCCTCTCACGACGGCAGGAGGACGTGGACGCCTTCGTGGCCGAGGCCAGCGGTGATGGGGAGCTCGTGCTCAAGATTCTGCAGGAAACGCTGGCGTGCGTCGGCCGTTCTCTTCCTTCTGCAACCAGCGCTCTCCGACGCACACGGCTGCGCAACAACATGATGCTGAGTCGTCCTCGTATGCAGCAAGTATCGCTTCATGGAGTCATCCTCCGTCCAGCGGCGAGCGGGCCTGGAAGAAAAGGTGCCGGAGCTGGAGCGGACTATCGAGATGGTCGAGCTGCTCATCGCGAAGAAGGTACCTTCTACGCTTCCTCTGAACCGCTCTCGACAAGCACTGATCGGTGACGCACCACTGAGCAGGAGCAGGGCGCAAGCTTCGACACGACTTTCGAGCTTGCCGACACGCTTTACGCCAAGGGACGGGTCGACGAGGTTGACGAAGTCTACATCTGGCTCGGAGTGCGTCTTGCCGTTTGCTCTCAGCAAGCTGTACTGGTATTGACGAGCGTTGCGTCTCTGCTTGTATCCTCGCGTCGCCGGCGCAGGCGTCAACCATGCTTTCTTATCCCCTCGATTCGGCTCACACGCTCCTGCTGGGCAAGCTCGACGCCGCACGCGGTACCCTTGGCACCGTCAAGGACGACCTGCTCTTCCTGAGAGACCAGATCACGGTGACCGAGGTCAATGTTGCGAGGGTCTATAACTGGGACGTCGCTCGACGGCGGCAAGATCGCATGAAGACAGCCGTGTAGTACTCTCAGTGGTGAACAGAGCACATGCATTAGATTGCATAGCTCGGCCGGCGATGATGCGATGACGCCCAGTCTGCCATCTCCACAAGTCGGGCCTGTCCCATGAACTGCTTCTACTACCGGCCAAGAGAGCTAAAACTGTATTTCACGTCTGCGCATCCAGAACCAGTAGTACGCAAACCCCTCTCCAACCTCCTCACACTCAACCGTCCACCCCTCTCTCCTCAACAGCGGTTTCCTGAAATGCGGTTGTCCAAACGTACTGTCCTCCGTCCGGTCAGCATCCTAGCGACTGGGAGAGAGGAAGGAGAGGGACGAACAAGTAGAGGAATGTGCCGGAGGGCTTGAGGACTCGGATCACTTCGTCTATCTCGCCTTTGACGGCTTCGACTGCTTCGGCTGGCGGATTCTGCGGGTGCACATCTCGCTTGATCAGTCAGAGAGAGAGAGAGAGAGAGAGAGAGAGAGATGGAGAGGAGGAAGGCGACGCACCCAGGGATCCTTCTCGCTTGTCAGCATCGCGTCGAGAGTCGCTTTGTCAAAGCAGACGTCGACGGATTGGTCTTCGAATGGCAGTGCTCGGACGTCTCCTACCGTCCCTGCGTTACGTACACCCACCCCTCAGCTCAACCAGAGCAAGCAAGTAGCAGTGAAGAGCTCGCACGCACAAGTCATCCCCTCACACCCCGCATTAACCCTCCTCATCTTCTCAATCACCACACTCGAGTAATCCACATTCGCAATGTTCCTGTACCCATCGTCGTACATGTCGCGCGAGAGCGTCGAGTTACCGCAGCCGAGCATGACTATCCGTGCGTCCTTGTGAGGGATGAAACGGTGGACGAGGTGGCGGATGTCGCGGTAGGATTTGCACCAGTCGAAAGAGGAGTCGTCGGCTTCCCTGTGCGTCGATCGGAAGGATCAGCGAGACGCTGAATGGCGAGGGCAACAGGGAAACGGACCTCGAGTACCGTTCGTCCCTGCACAGACGACGAGAACAGCGTCAGCTCGCCTCTCCTGACTTCAAACGCTCTGTCGAACGCACCAGTACTTCTGTGTGCCATACTCGGCGTTTTTCTGCGGCAGCAGAGCGGACGCGTGAGCCTGTAGATCCTCATCGGCACGAGGAAAAAGAACGAGCGCACCTCGGGCAACAAGTCGGTCATTCCGCCGCGCGACAAGCCAAACCGCTTCCTACCAGTCTAGGGTAGCAGTCTAGCACGTCAGGCGTGCCCCTGAGCGGGTGAGAACCGCTGTGAGCGAAGCGAGGCGCGAAGAGAGATTTCGACGTCGATGAGACAGCGCTCGTCGTCGTCCCGCGCACGCTGTGGGTGCGCTGCTTGACCTGCGACGCTTCACTCGACTCGCACAACATGCTCCTCGAGTGCACCGCTCACCCGATAGAGTTGGCGACGAAGCCTGCGTCATGACCGGCCCCGCTCTTCTCCTCCGGCGACCTCTCTCTGTCCCTCTCACTCTCGCTTTCCCCAGCTCGCTCGCAACGAACGATGTCGACACTCTCAGTCTACAACTACTCGCTCCTCTCCGTCCCCGCAGTCTGGGTCCTCGGCATCTCGACCCACTGGCATGCGATCCTCCTCTCTGCTCGCTCAAAGGAGATCCCCAAGTTCGACAATGTCGCACCGAGGCAGTTTTGTGCCAAGGTTTCGGGGTTGGCGAAGACTTCGAAGGTGCGTTCGGTTCGGATCGACTGTCGGGCGAGGGAGAAGGAAGGAAGGGGAGGAGGAGGGGAAGGCGGGGATGGAGGCGTGCGCGAGGTCGAGGAGCTGCACGGGTGCGGCTGGTTCGGATGGAGGCAGGGGACGTGATGAGGGACGAGCAGCCCGCTTGAACTACCCGGAACCGCCGAACTGACCCTTTGCCCTCCCTCTCTCGGCAGGACGCCCGCGAATTCCTCCGCACCGAAGCCGCCCAGCAAAACATCTTCGAAAACATCGCCCTCTACGCCGCCGCCGTCGTCGTGGGAAACGTCGCACGCTTGCCGGTCAGCTACCTGAACAAGGTTGCGCTTGGCTATCTCGTGTCGAGGTTGGCTTTCGTCGTACGCTGCGACCTTCCTTTGCCCACGCAAGGCGAGGGGGAGGTACTGATGCAGAGAGTGTACGCAGATCTGCTACGTCAAGACTGAGCAGGAGAAGTACACGCCTCTCCGCTCGCTCGCCTACCTCGGCAGTCAGTTTCCCTTCCCTTCCCTTCCCTTCTCTTCCCGCCGTCCGTCCTCCTACCGTTAGCTGACGGTCGTACGTGAGGCAGGCACGATCCTCACTCTCGGAGTGTTCGTCAAGGCCGGCACCAACTTCAACAAGGCGCTTTACTAGATGTCGAGCGGCGCTTTACTGGACGTCGAGCAGCGCTTGAGCCGCACGAGTCGAGCCGCGTAGCTGTACCTGAGAAGAAGCGATTCAGAGCAGTATTTGATCGTATATCCGCAGCGTGGCAATGGAGAACGAGCGAGCCATTCCGAGATCCTTCGAAGAGGCGCGAGTGCAGACTCTCGTCTCCAGCACGCTTGAAGCAGATCTTGTGTTACAACAGCCAACGTCTTCTCCTTTCCTTCTCCACTTCCAACCGAGCCTCAGTCCCTCATGCATGCGAATGCGAGTTGCGAGCGAGGAGCAAAGAGGCTCGACTTTCGACGAGTCGAGGTTTCACCAACTCGCGCGCTCGACACCAGGCAGCTCTCCCCGCTCCGCCGCAAGCTTGAAGCGGTGCTGTGCGCCTCAAGACCCAGTTAGTTCCGCTCTGACGTTACGATCGAGGGAGAGCGAGGGACGCACACGAGCGAGACCAAACTCCTTGCTCGCGATCGCTCCCCGTCCTCGACCCGAGAGGATACACCGGTTCCTAATCTCCGTCGGGCGGGTCTGCGCGACCTTTCGAGGTCAGCGAAGGAGGAGAGAGGGACGAGGAGGAAGGGGACGAACGTAAGCGGGCATCGCAGCCAGCTTGTGCATCGCAGCCACGCGTGTCCGATAGTCGAGCGTCGTGTTCTGTGTGAGGTACTTGAGCGCCTGGCGCAAGGTCTCGTTGGCTGTAGCGATAACGCGATGAAGGTCAGTCGTCGCCAGTCGGGGAGATGAGGAGGAAGCGAGTGGACGCACCTGCGAAAGCCTGGCGCCGCTTGTAGTCCTTCAGCGCGGCCCAGTTCGGCAGTCCCTTTGCGAATCCCATCGTGTGCTCGCGAGTGTCGAGGTGCGAGATGGTCGCGAGGAGGAGAAGGTCCAGCTCGAGGCATACACGCGCTCGTCGCTCTCGCTAGCCTGGCCGTGCTAGGATCCTGGTCCGCTTCTCCTGCTCTCGCTGCCCCGCCCAGTCTTCGCCCCGACCCGCCAGGCTCGCTGCGGCGCCCGCCCGCTCGCTCCCCGTCTCGTCCAGCTCCGTCGCGAGATGGCCAAGGGCGCGCGCCACGAGCTCAGGAGCAAAGGCAAGGGCGTGCAGAAGACCTACGGCAAAGGGCGGGACCGTACGCGCGCCGACAAACCGAAAGTACGCCCGCTTGCTCCCTCTCCCCCCTTCACGAGTCGAGGACTAAGGACTGACGCGAGGAACTCGACTCTCGCTTTCTTGCGCGAACAGTTGATCGAGGACCCGGAGCTGGAGGAACAGGTGCTTAGGAACCAGCTCAGAGAGGCAGGGCTCTACGCGGCGAACGTCTTGGGAGGTGCGTTCGCCGTCACTTCCGAGGCGGTGCTTTGTGTTGACGGACGACAGCCGACACGCTCTCTCCTGCTCGCTTTCGACAGATGGGAACTGTCTCTTTCGGTGAGGAGATGCGCGCCCTCTGCGGCGAGTGTTCCGTCAGCTCACACGACTTGTCAACTTGGTCCCGCAGCGCACTCTCCGACCAACTCTACGGTTCGCCCTCGATGCACCTCGCAATCCGGCAAGAAGTTCGTCTTCTCGCTTTGCTCCTTCTCACGATGAGACTGACGAGCTGCCCGCACAGGTCTGCGACTACCTCTCCTCGCATCCGGACCGCTTCCGCCTCTTTGTCGACGAAGACTCCGTCCCGGGCGGCTTCGACGGCCACGTCCGCTCGATGCGTCAGCCAGGTTCGTCCTGCTTCCCTGCCGTCCTCTTCCTCCAGTCGTAGCTCACGAGAAGCGATGCGCAGGAACCTACGGCACCAACATCGAGCTCTCAGCCTTCGTAGCACGCTACCGCCGGCCCGTCAAGATCTGGCAACCCAACTTGATCTACGTCATGCCCGTCGAGGAAGGCTCAGCCGACTCTGCCGCCTCGGGTAGTGCCGAAGGGTCGGGGAAGGAGAAGGTGTTGAGTCCGAGGGAGAAGAGGGCGATGGCGAGGGCTGAGAGGGAGAAGGAGAAAGAGCGTGAGAAAGGTGCGAAGGGCGCGAAGGGGAAACAACCTGCCAGGGAGGAGAAGGCGGAGGAGGAGGAGCGGGAGAGTGAAGAGGACGTCCCGCTTTGCATCGTGTGAGTATCGGTTCGTACGTCGCTCTCCAGGACGGCTTGCTGACATCTCGTTTCGGGCGCAGCTACCACTCCTGGGAGCACTACTCAAGCTTGCGCAACTTGACCGGACCGCATACTGGGCCGCCTCGCCTGCGAGTGGTGCGTGTCGTGTCCGCCTTCTTACCCGTTCGGACGCGTACTGACCTCGTCCTCGCAGGACCGCGTCGGTTCTGCGCGACCCGAAGACCGACGGACGGCGTCGAAGGAGCCTGATGCTGAGGCGGAAGAAGCGGTCGACGAGGACGAGCCGATGGAGGACGAGTCGCCCTCTCGGCCACCATCTCCGCTTGCAGACGGTCCGCCAAGTCGACTGCGCCTTCCAGACCGACAGTCCGCCTCGTCCGCCCCTCCGATTCTCGACCTACCGCATCCTTCCCGCCTGCCTCCTCTTCCAACCACCTCCCGTCCGCGCAGTCCGCCTCCCGCGATCCCCTCTTCCTCCGGCCTCCTCTCCCCTCCGCATCCATCAGTTCACGAGCGCGCCATCGCCCTGCCTCTCCCGCCTTCCCCTCGGCCCTCATCACCAGCCGACTCCTCCTCCTCCGGCACCTCGACCGGCGTAGCGAGTTCCTCCTTCGGCTCCTCAGCTCCAAGCACAGTCGCCTCCTCCATCCGCGATCGAAGCATGTCCCCTTTCCCTCCCTCTCAGGGCAGCAAGACAGGGTATGCGGTGACGGAGGAGTCGCCTCTGCACGACGAGTTCCACCACGGCGAAGGCGATGAGGAGGAGACAGACTCGTCTGATGCGCATCGGGATAAAGTCCGCTCTCGCTCTTCGACGGGGAAGGAGAAACTTCGGCCGCCTCCGAGGACGCGGAGGGGTCCGAGTGCGAAGGAGAAGAAGGAGCTGGCGCGGCAGAGGCGGATGGAGAGAAGGCGAGCGAAGGGCGTTGGTGCGAGTGGTGGAGTTGCGGACGGGTCGAGCGATAGAGTGCTCAGGAGCGCGGGACCGGCGTCTGATGCCGGACTCGCCAAGGTCAGAGAGCTGTACATCTAGGATTCCCTTCCTTCGTTCCACTTGTCGCTAGAGTTTTCCGTTCGTTCGCTCGCTGTTTTGCATCATTCCCATTCTCTCTTGCATAGTTCCTCATCATCTTGCCACGTTTCCTCGCACGAGCTTACACGCAATCGCATCTACGACGTTCTCCTCCATCTCTGATCGTCCCCGAACGGATTGCTCGACTTGTTGAGACGACTCGACGCCTGCGCCTCGTCGTCCTCCGTCGAATGTCCCGCCCCGTCTCCCTCACTCGAGACAGTCATGTCCGATCCGGTCGAGTACCTCTGCGCCCGTATCCTTGGCACACTACTCGCCCTCTCCTCCCTGTCCTCCTCCTCGCATCGCACGAAGTAAGCGCTCGGGAACGTCCCTCGTTGACCCTTCCACGTCCCTTCAATCACCACCGCTCTCCACCAATCCGCATTGATCTCCTTCTCAACGCGAATGACGTCGCCCTTCTCGAAAGAGACGTCGTGAGAGTCGTCCTCGGATGAGGCGGTCGAGGTTGAGGAGGAGGGAACGTAGGACCATTGCGCACGATAGGTCGAACCGACTTGCCCGCTTCGAGCGGCGGGAGGAGAGGTGGGTCGGCGCCGTGCTGGGAGTGGAGGGGTTGCGCGCTTCGTAGGTGATGAGGCGGACGACGAGCGATCGGGGCGGCCTTGCTCCGAGTCGCCCAGTGAGCCGTACTTGCCGCCTGCGCCGATTGAAAGCTTTTTGAACGAGCCAAGCGACGGCATAGCCGGCATCGAGGGCGCCGCGAATCGCGAGGGAGTCGTCGAACCCGACCGAGCAGGCGAGACAGCCTCCTCCGTCTTCCAAGTCTCCTCTTCCGACTCCCGCTGCGCATCATCCGACTTCTTCCTCCCCTTGTTGCCGAGTGCGAACCGCTCCAGGAAGCTACTGCTCCGACTGCGATTCGCCTCGCTCAGATCTCCGCCAGGACTGAGCTTGTCCTTGTCCTTCTCGCTCGTTTGCGAAGCGACGGTGTTGCTGCGTTGGCGGTTCGGGCCGAGGATGCTGAAGGAGGCGGGCGGAGGGGTGCTTTGGCCACGTCTGACGGAAGAGTCGGAGTATGAGCGGGACATGCGAGTCGGGAGAGGCGGAGCTCGGCGGGACGAGCGAGGCGGACCAGCCGACCTGCGAGTCAGGCGTCAGCGCAATATTTGCGCCGAAGGTAGCGCCGTCCGCACGTAGGAGGGATACTTTGCAACTGCCGCTTGCAGTCGGTAAGAAGCGAAGCGAAGCCATTTGCGAATTCTGCGACGTCGCTTCTTGAGTTTAGGCTGTAAGGAAGTCAAGCGAGAAGAGGCGCACCGAGGTGGACGTCCACAAGGTCGAGCAGCGCCTTCGTATCAGTCTCAGCAGCCGCTTCATACTCGGCAACCTGGCGAGTGAGCCCGCGGCAGGCGGTGTCATAGGCGAATTGGGCGTTGTCGAGCTCGTGCTCGTACTCCGAGGCGTCCTTCTTGCCCTTGTCGATCTGTGCAGCAACGTACATGTCAGCTGCATAAGGCTTAGCGCAGTGAGCGCCGAGCGCACCTTGGTGAGGACACTCTCCAGCGTCTTGCGCTTCTTCTCCGCTTCTTTCACGGCAAGATCGACCGCGCGAAGCTCGTTCGTCCGACTTTCGAGAGTGGCGAGGTATCCAGACGCCAGGTTCTCCTGGTACGCTGTAGCGAGCTTGGCCAAGTCGAGGTGAAGCTGTCCAACTTGCGAGAGGGCGGATCCTGTCGGCACGGGGTCAGCGAGTCCTTCGACTCCCGTGTAACCGAGCGGTCCCTACCGTACGCATCGTCTCCTCCCGGCGCCAAAGTCAGACGGCCTGCCTCACTCCCGCTCAACATCGCCTCGCCAACCCATGTCGCTGGCAGCTCCGTTTGCTTGCCCCTCGAGAGCAGCGCCGCACTTGGATTGGGCTTGGGCTTGGCGATACTACTTTGGAAGAGCTTGAATGCGGCGAGCAGGTTCGAGGCGAGGTCGTAACGCGCTGTGAGGGCCTCAACGCGACCCGGTTCGAGAGGTGGGGGGACGGAGGAGTCGGTGTCGCCTGGGGACGAGCTGGGCAGCGTGGGACGTGGCAGCGACGAGAGAGACTGCTTCAAGCGGTTCATCGCGACAGGCAAGCGAGCGACGAGGCGGAACGGTTGTGAACAAGGGAGAGAGTCGTCCACCGCAAGGCGGGCGAACGAGTCCGCGGCTGGCGGGACGCTTGCGAGGGTCGTATGAGCAGCAAAGGACGTGGGAAAGACTGTTGACTAGCGATCTATTTCTGCGAGACGCCTGTTGAAGCGCCGCGATCTTTTTGGGCGACTCCTCCCTGCCGAACTTCACCCTGCGCACCATTTCCTCCGACCCCCGTCGATTCCACCACTGACTCTTCCATCCGACACTGCTGCGCAATCACCGATTACCCCTCCTTGAGATCCGCCTTCATCCCAGTCCCTCCTTCGCCCGGCTTCATCCCCAAGACCTTTCTCGCCTCCTTGATCCTCGCAGCAAGTTTGCCGATGTTCGCAGCGGCGAGTACCACCTCCTTGTCGAGTTCGACGTCGAAGGCGCACTTGATCGCGTAGGCGATGTGGGACGCTTCATCCGTCGAGTAGAGGACAAAGTCGTCCGGATCCGAGAGGATGACCGAACGCGAGGCGGGCGACTCGGAAGGTGGAACTTCAGTGGCGGGCTGCTTGCCTTTACCCTTGTCGGCAGGCGAAGCGGCCGTCACAGTCGCTTCGAGCGCCGCGGTAGCCTGTCGCGAACGAGCGAGACGAGCCTTCTCGACGAGGTCTTCGGCAGACTGCGGGACCGTCTCCGGGTCGAGCGAGAGAGTCTTGGAGACGACGTGCGTCAGGGCATGGTGGATCTCGAAGGGGTCGTCGGCATCGGTTGGCTTGTCGACGTAGACTTCGAACGGCGACGAGACGGCCATGACGCTGTGCTTGCCGTCGTGGTGGTACCTGTACAGACAACATCGTCAGCGCGCTCGGATGATCAGGGTCCGGGCGTACTCACCGGAACTCGTAGCGGCCGACCCTCCAGGGAAGCTTCTTCCCGCTGAAGACAACGTGACCTTCGCGCTGCTCAGGCTTGAGCTCGCCATGCTCAGGCGGCTCGCCATCTCCAACACCCTTGTACTTGTCGCCCTGCCATTCCTCATCGAAGACACCGAGCCACTTGCCCTGACTGCTGACCTTGGTGATAAGGCGCGACTTGTTGGCGTCGAGACGGTACACGCCGATCCAGTCACGGCGAGAGTGGTTCGCCGGAGCAGTCCACTTGACGCCGATTGGTTCGCCGAGGTGGTAGCGGAGCGAAGGGGCGGACGAGGTTGAGGCGTGAGGGACGAGCGGCGGGAAGGCCGAGGGGTCGAGCGAGAGCGAGTACAGCGAGGCATCGTACGAGTCGAGATCGGTCGCAACGCGCGAGATGACGAAGCGCTCGCTCGATTGCTGGAGCAGGATCTTGGTGTCCTCGACGTAACCCTTGACGGCCGGGGCAGCTGTCCGCAGGTTCCAGTCAGCTCCGCTGCCTGCACGATGCTCTAGTCGCGCACGCACATTTGTTCAGAAACTCCTCGACAGCGTCAGCCGTCTCCTCGAAAACCTTCTCGACCGTACCCTGCACCTCGCGAACATTCTTTTGCAGGCGCTCGATAAAGTCCTTGCCCGTCTTGGCGGCAGTCTCGTGAGTCGAGACACGGCGGATGGCGCTACGAATCGTCTTGGTCACGCCGGCGTCCTTGCGAAGCGTGTTGCCGTACAAGCGGCGCATGTGCGGGCTGTAGAGGCAGATTGATCAGCGACGCTTCTATCGAGGTGACGAGGACGAGAGGCGCACTTCTCGACCTTGCTGAGGAACCACCAGTGCGCGGCGACGGCGATGACCGCTTGAGCGAGGAGGAGCTTCGAGCCGGCGATAAGGCAGAGACCGAAGAAGGCGGCGCCGCCCATCGAGCGTTCTGGATTGTTGAGGAAGCGGAATATGCCGGTGTAGTAGAGTTCATGAGGATACTCGTCAATGAAGAAGTCGCCTGCGCAACGAAAGAGGTCAGTCGGCGGGTCTTCGACAAGCTTGGAGGTTCACGCGCACCGTAGAACCAGCCGAACGGTCCGAGAACCTCGAATGACTCGGTCGCGCACCAGACGTGCAGCGCGATAAGAAGCTGTCGTGGAAGCGGGGTCAGTAACGAGTCGCGCGGTCAGTGAGAGGCAACTGGGCGTACAAGTCCGAATGTGTGCCGAACGACGACAGTCCCAACAGTCCAGTTCTCCGGGATCGTGTAGCAACCCCAGGCGAGAGCGATGTACGAGGCTGCGTGCGAGTATACGTCAGTGAGAGCGGGAGGAAGAGCTTAGAGAGGTCGAGAGCGCACCGTAAGTCATGCAAAGCGAGAGGTTGTAGATCGACTTCCAGTTCGTGAATGTGTCTTGAATGGCCTGCGTGTCGAATCGACTGTCAGACTGGACTCTCGAGATGAGCGGAGCAGGGTAGGACGCACGTCGCCCTCCTTCTCGTAGTGATAGTGCTTGATGAAGTGCCTGACGAGCCACTTCCCCTCGCCCTGCTTCTGCAGCGCGACGCCCAGACCGAAGGAGTGGAAGAGGCGCCAAGCGAGCGCGTGGAAGAAGAGGAGCGTGAGGCGGATCGAGCGAGGAAGTGAGGGGAGAAGGGCTGGAACGAGACCATAGATGAGGACGAGCATCGAGGCGAGGTCGCGGGCGCTGCGGATACGGAGTGTCAGGGGGAGACGAGTGAAGGAGGGAAGTAGGGCGCACCGGAACGGATCCCAGTTCTTGAAGATCATCAAGTCTTGGTGGAAGTATTTGTTGTCGAGATCGTGCCGACTGACCGGCTCCTCCGGCTCTTTGGAGAACGTCGAACCGGGGAACGAAGTGGTCGAAGCCGCGCGCAACCTGCCGTTCATGGTCGGCGGGCTCGCCAGTTCGTCCTTGTCCTCCTCAAAGGGGCTGGTTGCCGTGCCGTCGATCGGGGTGTCGGCACCAGAGACCTGGCCGGACACCATCGGGTGGAGAGGCGTGCGGGCTGCGACAGGGCGACGCTGACCGTACGTGCGAGCGATGTCTGCGAGGAAAACCGTCGGCTTATCGGCTATGCGAATGGTAGCAGGTTCCAACCTACGAGGGTTCTCGAACCAGAGCAGGAAGCCGAATTGGCAGGCGTGCGCGGCGAGTGAGACAAAGAGGACGACAGGGGAGGCGACGATGAGCGACAAGCCGTAGTATCCGGCGTAGCCCACCGAGTACATCGGGTGCGGGGCGAACTCGAAGACGCCGTCGAATACGAGGCTCTCGAGCGAGAGGAAGAAGGCGTCACCCCAGTACCACCTGCGAGTGAGGGTGGGTGAGGAAGAGAACAAGGGGAAGTGAGGAGGTACGCAGGACTCACGCAAAGTCCTTGACAATTCTGTGCGCGTCCGTCTTGACCCACAGGTTGAACAGAAGCAGCGTAATGCCGCCAGTCCAACGGAGGAAGTGGAAGAGGACCGAGTGTCCAGGAGGTCCGGCGAGCGTGAGGTACGAGAGCGAGAAGAGGACATAGGAGAGGAAGTCGTTGAGAAGGATAACGTCGACTGAGTGGCGGAAGAGGATCCAGACCTGCAGGAGGAGAAGAAAGATTAGCAAGTCCTTCAACAGCGAGAAGGGAAAGTCCGGACATTGTACTCGAGAGGAACGGCCTGCAAGCAAAAGATACTGATCAGCACAGCTCTGTCATCTACGGATGAATGCGCGACGCACGTCAAAGTCGTAGTCCTTGCCCATCTTCTTCTTGAGTTCGCTCCGAACCCAACGAGCAATCGCCGGCCTGCGCTTGTCGTCGAACCAGCCATGACGCTGGACCGTCTTGACGATCCAACGAGTCTTGCTTTGCTTGGTGAGAACGTAACCGAGACCGGCGTCGTAGGCGAGACGCCAGAAGGCGAAGTAGAGGCCGAAGAAGATGCGGGACGAGGTGCGCGAGAACCAGGCGAAGAGGACGACTTGCATGCCGAGGAGGAAGAGGGTCAATAGGTCGATGTCCTGCAGGAGCGAAAGCGTAACGAGGTGAGCATGTGTTTCCGCGGTTCGTCTCATTCACGAGGAAGGGCCACGCACCGACTTGGGGAGCCTCGGGTCGAACAAGCCGGACAGAACATTGTGCGTCTGGGGAATCTTAAACACTGCGCGAGCGGCAGAACCCGTCAGACGCCGCGAAGACCATCCGGAAGTTCGTCGAGGCGCGAGCGATGGGAAACGGTGTAGACGCACGCTGGCCGTCTGGCGTCTTGCCGATAGGTCCGTCTGCATCTTTGTCCGCCTTTGACTCATTTTGGCCCGCCTCTGCCGCATCAGGCGTTGCGGACGCGCTGTCGTCGCCGTGCGAGTGCGAGATGGGGCGCCGGCGGAGTGAGGGTTGAATGTCCTGGTCAGCCGCGCCAGCCGTGGCAGCCAGAGCGTCGTCGGGCTCGCTCATCTGCTGTGCGTCTCGCAGACAAGCTCAAGGCGCAGGCGAGCCGTAAGGAAGCGAACGAGGAGAAGTCGCGGCGTTGTTCCTCCGCGAAGGCACCATCCGCGTGTCTCTCGAATTCGTGGTCAAGATGCACGTACAGTGGCTGAGAACAGCGTGTAGGCGAAGGAGAGGGCGCGCAGAACGCCGGCGACGGGCTTGGTACTGAGGAAAAGCGAATTCAGGCGGGCAATCTATCGCTACAAGCGGTGACAGAACGAAAGAGGCGTCCAAGCGGAGAACGAAAGTACGCAAACAAAACCCGACAACAAGCGAGAGAGCGAGGCCCGAGAAGGAGAGGAAGGATGGCGCCGTCTACCAGAAAGCGCCAGCGAAGGACCAGGTGTCGAGGTCCCAGTCGACCAAGTCGTCCGCGGCGAGCAGCGCGCCGGTCGATGGCGAGCGACGCAGGACCTTGCCGGCATGGAGGAAGGCGGTGAGGATGACTTGGAGGTCGACAGCCGAGAGGATGTGCAGGCGGGTCGCGCGGGCGAGAAGAGACGGCTACGGGAGAGCGAGCGGTCAGTTCCCGGTGTCAAAGGAGCTTTGAGGGCCTGTCACGCACATAAGTCTGGTCGGCGAAGCGCCACAGCTCGCCCTTGACCCAAGCGCCCGCACGCTGCCAGAGCTCCTGGTCGACCTCGCCCATCGCATTCGTCCACATCGTCGGCAGGAAGCGCCTCGACGTGTCGATAACGCCGTCATGCAAGACAGGCTGCAAGGTCCATGAGGCGGCGTGGACGTTCGAGACGAGGACGAGAGCCGAGGTGCCGGCGAAGAAGGCGAGAGGTTGCGGACCGGCCGTGAGGTACTTGATAGCAGCCAAAAGCGCCTCGCGGCCGCGGTCCTCGTGTCGTGCCTGTTCCGAGAGGCTGTCAGTCGCAGCCGGAGTAGGAGCAGACGCGAGAACGTACCATCAACGACTTGAATGGCAAGCCAACCTCGCCAGCAGCCTCGATATCGCAGAAGAGCTGAGCTTCGAGGGTGCGACCGATCGCGCTGAGCGTGACTTTGGCGCCTTCGAGACTGTCGGCGTCGTCCGCAGACGTCGAAGGCAAGAAGGACGGTTGCAGGAGGACGGTTTTCCCGCTCAAGCCCGCCGGCTGGCTGATGTTGACCGTGCACTCAATGTCGTCGTCGTCTGGGCAGGCAACATGTCAGCAAGGTTACTGAGCAGTCGTCCTCGGACAAGACTCACTAGCTTGACGCGTGCGGTAGTCGAGGAAGTCGAGCGTCTTCTCCGTCAATTCGCCAAGGTTCACCTCGAGCTCGACTTTGTCGTCCGAGACGAAATCAAACAACGCCATCATCTCGCCTTCAGTCGGCACGAGGGGGAACACGCCGCCTTCGTCGTGCTGGAGATCCTGCTCGAGGTGCGATGCCGTCTGAAGATGCGCCAGGTCGAGGTGGAAGCTGAGACGTTCGAAAAACCTGCGTGACGATCCAAGTCAGCCAGCCTTCCCTCGAGAGTGTAAGCGAGGGCGATGCACCTGTCGTCGAAGGCGAAGTTGCGACCGGGAAGGCGATGCTCCTTGTCCAGCTGTGCGGCGATTGCCTTCGCGCTGAGCTCGTCGAGTGCGGCCTTGGCTTCGGCGGTGCTGAACGGCGAGAGCATGGCTACTCCTTGCGCAGGGACGTAGGAATCCTCCTCCATGGTCATGATCGCCTGCGAGGCGGTTCTGTGTCAGCTTCTTATCGAGCGCTGGGAAGTGCTCGTCACGCACCTTGATGGCGGACATGGCGAGGTTGTGCTTGCAGTCGTGAGCGTCGGCCTTGACCGGCTCGTCCGTCCACCGCTTGGCGTACGCACCCATAACCGCCGCCTCTTCGCGCTCGTTCATCGCGATCTGGTGCTTCGTCCAGACCTTCTCGAATTGACGACCACTGTGGACGGCTTCGAGCGCCGGCTTGACGTGGTAGAAGCGGGAAAAGGCGTCGAGCGAGTCTGGCAAAGGGTCCGCCTTGACGAGGGGAGGAGGAAGCGGTCCCATGAGACGGCTGTGACGAAGTTTCGCGGGTCAGTATGCGCAGCAAGAGACGGGGGTGATGAGCTGCTCACAGTGCGCGCTTGTTGACGTGGGTGCGCATGCACCTGATGAACGAGGCGAGGTCGAAGTCGACGAGGCTGTGAGGGTTCGGGTCCTCGAGCTCGTCCTTGTGCTCCTTGTAGGCGTTGAACCAAGTCGAGACGAGCCGTTCGTGAAAGTCGCGCTCCTGCTGACGCTTGAGGAGCGTCCCCGCACGCTTGGCCAGGGCATCAGCCTTGTTGCCGGAGAAGAAATCGCCCAGCGGGTTGTACGACGGGCGAGGCGCGCGGAGGTGCAGAGCGCGGACTTTGAGGACCGCGACAGCGTCGAGGAGAAGGTCGTCCTGCTCCGGCGTGTAGCGACTGCGCGAGGCGCGCTTGCCGGCCGGAAGGTCGGGTCGCGGACCGAGGGGGTTGGTCAAGAACTCGGTCTGGTCCCCACGACGGAACGGCAGCGGTGTCGTGCGCCCTTCCGCAGGGAGGGGCTCTTGCGCAGGCAACGGCGAACCTGCTGCTTCTTCGTCCTCCTCTTCATCCGCCTCCTCGGCAGGCTCTTTCGCAGGAGTCGCCTGCTTGGCACGAACGCGCTTGACGACCGGTCGGCGACGGATGTTGGGCTGCCGCTTGATGGCGTACGGGTCCTTCGCGAGGCGAGCCTTTTGCTGAAGCGAGGTCGGGACAATCGTGCGCATCGAAGGGTCCGTCGGAGCGTTCTGACCGGCGGGCAAGAGTCGACGGAGTTCAAAGTCGAGCTGCTTGGCGTCCAGCTTGTCGCGGCGGTGCGGGTCCTGGAACGTCTTGTGCAGCCAGTCGACGACGCTCTCGTCCAGATCCGGGTGCCCGTGCTCCTGGCGGAAGCGCTCGACGATGACCTGCCAGTCGCGCTCGCGCTGATCCGCCGCCTCCCTGACCTTGCGCGCGAGGGCGGCAGCGAGGTTCGTCGGGGTCTTCGCCTCGTCCGCTCCCGCCTCATCCTCGTCTCCGGCTCCCCCTCCAGCGCCGTCAGTCTTGCGCTTCTTGCGCTTCGGCCGCACGAGCTCTTCGGCCTCCTGGTCACGGATCTTGACGAGGTAGTCCTTGACGACGTTTGTCGGCGCGAGGAGGCAAGCAGCCCACGCCTCGAGATCGACAGTGCGGTCGGCGTCAGGGTCGGTTAGGCCAGGATCGTGGTGAGCGAGCTTGTTGAGGAAGGTGCGCTGGCTCGGTGCGAGCTCGTAAGAGTCGCGCCACTTGAACGGCCTCAGCAGCTCAGGCTTGCGAAGGTGGCGTGTCGGACACGTCGCGGGGAAGACAGGGTCGTCCAGCGCATGGCCGGCGTCGTCGTAAGATGGGTCCGTCGAGACGGAGTGGAGACGATTCCAGAAGTACAAGACTTCGTCGATGTCCGTGACGGGGCAGACGTCGACGAGCGGGAGGGCAGGGTCGCGCAATGCGTAGATGGGTGCCCGCGCGCGGAAGAGCCAGTGCGTGCAGGCCTTCGGGTTGGTGGGGACCTCGAAGGTCGGGGCCACAGAGCGGGTCGTCGCAAGGGTTCCCATGACGAGAGGCGTGAGAAGCTGGAGGTCGATCAGGATCTGGAGGTCCTTCCAGAGCGACTGCTTGCGCTTGTTCGAGCGAGGCCTGATGATGTCGGCGATCTCCTTGGGCACGTCGCGCATGGGCAACTCGAGTTTGTCCGGCTCGGCGAGGAAGGCGTCCAGCGTCTCGGACTGGACGGGCAAGGGAACGATGCGAAGGAAGACGCCAAGCGGCATCGAGTTGAGGAGCGTCGACTGGGCGATGACGAAGCCGTCCTCGTCGCGCTTGACGACGATGTCCTTCTCGTCGACGTGCGAGAAGACGAGACTTGCGAGCCACTTGTGGAGCTGGCGCGCGCGTGCTACGAGGCCGTGCTTGACGCCGTGAGAGCGACCGAGAAGGGTCTGATGGTGGCGGAAGAAGCTGCGCACCCGGTCCTGGCCGTCGGTCGGTTGCGGGTCCGGAAGGAAGGTGCTCTTGGCGCCTGCGTCGTCCTCCTGCTTCTCCTTGGTCGGCACGTCTTCGTCCGACATCACGACGAGGTCGGGCTGGACTTCGTACCTTGTGAAGCGGTCGTGAGGGTCGCGGTTGGCGATGTCGTCGAGATAGTTCTTCACGATCGCGCTGTCTGAAGCGAGCGAGGTAAGGTAGAAGACGTCGTGTCGTTGCGACTTGCTATCCGTGACGACGGTCTTGCGGAGCTGTCCGCTCGATGTCGCGGCCTCGAGGACCTGCTTGAGGTTGGCGCGGTCGATCACGTAGCCGTGGCGCGGAGGGTTCTGCTTCTGACCCCAAACGTAGAGCGCCTCGTTGAGGCGGTAAGTGTACTCGAGTACGCCGCCTTGGGCCTGGACGTAGTCGACGACCTCCTGCTGTCGAGCGAGCAAGGTGAGGTTGGCGCGAGAGGAGACGGACGGGCGGCCGGTCGCAGGCTTCTTCTTGCTGGCTGGAGTCGGCAGTACGGGAGTCGCGGACGTGGCGTTGCGGCCTATCGAGGCGGGCGTCGCAGCTGGCGTTGCAGGAGGCTCGTGAGCGGGGGCACCGGACGCAGCGGGCTCCGCCGCTGGCTGAGCAGACGCCTCGGCAGGAGCCTCCGCAGGTTGCGCATTCGCCGCCTGCTCAATCCGCTTATCGGACGTGTCGAGAGTTGGCGAAGCGGGACGGTCGCCTCGTGGCGGCGAAGAGCTGTGAATGCCGGCAAGCGCGTCGAGCGCTTTCTTGACAACGCTCTTCTTCTTCTTGGAGACAGAAGATTGTGGGATGTCGATGTAGGGTTCGAGGCGCTGGCGAGTCGTGGGCTTCGTCTTTGGAGCGGTTGGAGCGGCAGGTGTCGCAGGGGCGGATGATTCAGCGGCGACAGCTGTACGAGCACGTTTGCGTGGCTTGGTGGCAGGCGTGACGGGAACTTGAGGTGTCGACGGTTCCGTCGCAGGCTCGTTGCCGTCAGCCGTCTCGGCGGGGGCGTCCTTCTTCTTGGGCGCCCGACCGCGCTTCTTCGCCGGTGTAGGAGTCGCGGCAGGCGGCTCGTCAATCTGTTGTTCAAGAAGAAATCAGAGAACGTTGCTTTGGTAGCGAGTGAGGCGAACGTACCGGCGTGACAGCCTGCGGCGAACCGCTCGCCCCAGCTTCACCGTCGCCTGTCGCAGCATCAACCGCCTGCTCGGCCTCCTTCTTCTTCGGCGGCTTCTTCCTCGCGTTTTTCGCCTTCGGCCTCTCGATCGGCGGCAGGCCCTGCCTCGCCCTCTCCTCGTCCTCCGCCTTTTCCCGCTTCTTGCGCATGTAGTAGGTCTCCTCGCCAGGCTTGAGAGGGTGCTTGCGCGGTCGGCCGATCACAGCCTTCTGCCTCTTCGGCGGGGGCGAGCCGTCCTCCTCCACTTCGTCCGCCGCGCCATCCGCAGGCTGCTCGACACCGTCAGCAGCCTCGATCGCCGCAGCCTTCCGCTTCTTCGCCGGCGCCTTCTTCGGCTTCTTCGAGACGCCCGTGACGCTCTTGGCGGTCGTCGCCCAGAGGTTGAATTTGGCGAGACAGGCGTGTCGTTCCGTGTTCGAGCCGTACTGTCCTTCAGCCGGACCTTCACCTTCCGGCGTGAGCCAGCCTCCAAGCGACGCGGAGTCGGCGATCTCGCGCCACTGCGCCTCCATATCCTCGTCGGGGAAACCGCGGGAGCGACGGAAGGAGAGGTAGCCGACGAGCGAGAACCAGCGCGTCTGCTTGACTCGCCCGATTGTCTCGTGGACCGAGTGGATCGTGTAGTCGGCGGAAGGAGCAGGAGGGCGGTAGCGGCCGAAGCGCTGGAGGAGGACGTCGATGAAGCGGACGGGATAGGCACCGAGTGCAGACGAGATCTCCTGCGAGCGGTCGAGGTCCGTCAGTCGATGAGGCAGGCGAGCTACAGTGAGAGGCGACGCACGAAGTTGGTCAAGCCTCGACTTCCGGCGTCCATGAGCAGGTCGAGGATCTGACGCTCCAGGGAGCGATAAGCGACCGGGCAAGCGTGCTCGTCGTCCTGGGCGTCTTCATCGCTCGCCAACGCCTCGGACCCGTTCGCGCCTTCTTGTGCGTCCTCAGGCTTGAGCAAGCGCAACGCCTGGACGACGCTCGACTGCGTCGCCGACCTCTTCTTCGTGACCGCGATTTTCTCGACAATGCCCTCGTTCGCCATGACCGAGACGATCGAGTTGAGACGGCGGAGCTCGCGAGAGTTGGCGGTGTGGAGACCCTGCGAGGAGCCAGACCGTCAGGTTGCGAAGCTCGACAGCAGGAGGAGGGAAGACGCACAATTGCCGAGTGCAGCTCCCAGTGCGGCATCCACCAGTCCTTGCGGCGCTTGAGGGCCTTGACGACGCGCTTCCGGATGAGCGGCACATTCGTCGTCAGGTAAAGCGTGCTGATCGGCGTCAACTCGGTCCCGTCCCAGCCGCCGCCGAAGCCTGCGTCTGCACCGTCTTCTCCGTCTTCCTCGCCGTCTTCTTCCTCCTTCACATCGGGCTCAGAGGCAATGTGCGCGGCCCAGGCGGCCGAGGTCGAGAGGTAGCGGACGTGGACGACGCGGTTCGTCCGGCAGCCTTCGTCGATGTCGCTGAATTTCTTGCTGTAGGCGGAGACCCAGGAGAGTTAGTACAGGCTCCTCCTCGTACAGTGCGCGAGAGCTACGCACATGATGCCGAGCTGCTGCGGGATCTTGATGTAGTGGAAGACGCTCTTCGGGTCGATGCCCATTTCCTTCGAGATGCGCACGGCTGTCGTGCCCTCGTCCCTGCCGCGCGAGATCATCTGAAGGACGGCGTAGATCGTCGGCGTGAGACTGGTGGGCTGCGGGGAACATAGACAGCGAGTGAGTTAGGGGAAACCACGAATCGTCGACGAGGGCTAGAAAAGACGCACCCTCGCATGGCTGCCAGTAATCGCGACCCACGCCGTCTCCTCGCCTGCAAGGATCCTCAAGCTATCGCCGTACCGCTCCTGCAGAGCGGCGCGGCCCTCCTCGCGCTCGTCGCCCTCGATGATGCGGACCTCGTGCGTCGGTCCTTGCGCCTTGCGCTCGATTTTCTTCTTCTTCCTCTTGTCCTTTGCAGTCTTTGCCTCCTCGGCATCACCGCCGTCTGCAGGAGGAACGCTGTCCTGCTTTCCTTGCTCTTCAACTTTCGGCTCGTTGGCAGCTGGCACGGCGAGCTGCGAGAGGACGCCGACGCGGACGCCTGGCTGTGAGAGGAGGGCTTCCCAGACGAACGATAGGAAGGCGTCGTCAACCCGCTGAGCGCGGGTGCCATCCGAAGTTGAGGGCTGATCGAGGCCAGACGAGGCGCGGTCATAGAACTGCTCGACGAAGCCGCCGAGCGAGGCGACCGACGTTCCTGCGGAGTGGACGAGTACTGTCAGACGAGTTCCGCTTCACTCGTACGAAAATGCCCGCTGTTGTGCCGGAGTCGAACCCTCGACGCCCAAGTCGTCCTGCACCGCTCAATCCTCGGCTTTCCCGCATCCCGTGCTACGACGCATTGCAACGCGCGCAAGTTTCGCGTCGAGGAGCGCCGTCCAAACACTCGTCCTCGTCGAACGCCGCCCGAGAGAAGTGTCCACCCTCATCAGCCTCGAGTCAAGTCCAGCCAAAACAGCGACAAGACTGCCTGGTCGTCCGCGCCCGCGCCTCAACGGTTCATCAAAGCCATGCGCACGCACCTGCGTCCCCGTCCATCGCGACCTCCTCGAGGAGGAACTGCAAGAGCGAGTCGATCATGCTGAGTCGAGCGGCTCAAGCAAAGCTATGCGGGCGGCTGCGACGGCGCTCAGCGGACAGCGTGCCCCGTCTCGAGCTCAGATGGGCCAGCCAGCGGCCTTCGTCGGTTGTTGTGCGAGCGGTGAAGAGGCGAGAGGGACGCGGGGATACAACAGCTGAATACAACTCGGTTTGTATTGAACTGATTACACTTGTCAGTCTCGCTCTCTCTCGCTTCTCCCCGGCTCATGAACAGATTCCGCTCGCTGGATGTGACGCTCGAGACGCTCTCTGCCCAGCTCTACCCGGACGAGCGCATCCTGGCGCATGCTGACGGTGTCGGCCTCTACGACGGGTGCGTCTCGGACCGCTCCACTTCTCACACTCACAGCGAGCTGACTGAGCTGCGCTCTCGCCGTACAGCAAAGACAAATCCCCTCAGCACGACGACGGCCGCGCAGTCCTCTCCTCGCATCGCATCCTCTTCATCTCTTCCTCGCGGCCCCACTCGAACTCGGTTGCACTCGACCTCTCGCTCGTACGGCAGACGGAGTATTGGGCTGGATTCGTCTTCAAGAGCAGTCCGAAGATCACCTTGCTCCTGAGCGATGCGGGTCGAGGGGAGCAGGCGGGATCCGGGTCGAATGGGGAGAACTCAGGTTCAACGGCGCGACCCGGGACAGGAGGGAGCGCTACAGCGACGGGTGCCAAGGAGAACGATCGCTTAGCCCTCATCGCGAGCGCGGGAGACAGGAGCTGGGTGTGTCGAGTCTGCGGGATGCGCAACGTCCCGACCGTCGAGTCGGGTCTCAAGTGCACGCTATGCGGCGTCGCGATGGACCCGCACGCCTCTTCATCTACCCCGGTGACCCGATTAGGAACCCCTCGCAGCGCCTCGCCTAAACGACCTTCAACTGCCGCTGCGACAGCAGCTCCCCCTTCCTTCGATCCAGCCGAAACAGGCTCCCGCATCGCCTGTCCCGTCTGTACCTTCCTCAATCACCACTCCATGGCCACATGCGAGATGTGCGACTCTCCCTTGTTCGGGCCTGCTTCGACGGATCATCCTCCACCTCGACCCGCCTCGTCCGCATCCGATACTGCTCCCTCCACCTCGCCTACACCACCCGTCCCCAGCGCCACCTTCGTCCGGTTGAGCTTCCGAAGAGGCGGGGAGAAGGCGTTTTATGCGGCGTTGAAGACGGCACTTGCTTCGAAGGCTTGGGACCTCAGCTCGTTGGCGGCCCCGTCACGGAAGTCGCTTGATGCGGCGAGAGCTGGCACACCAGGCGGCGTTCAGGTGGGTGAGCAGAATAGCAGCTCGAGCGGGGCGGGTATCGGTGCGTCTCGCTTCTTCCCCTCACTTCTGCCTTCTCCGACCGAACCTCGTCCCCATCCGCAGACGCGATCATGCGAGGAATCGATCTCGACGCACGAGATCGAGAAGACTCCCTTGACGAGGCCCTGCGAGATCTCGACTCGCTGATGGCGCGAGCGAAGAACATGGTGCGTAGCTTCGAGCCCTACGAGACTGACTGCTCACTCTCCTTGCCCGCAGATCGCCCTCGCACAATCCCTAAACGCACAACTAGCCGTCACGAGTGCTACAGACCCCGCCTCCGTTTCAGCAGAAACAGCCGAAGCCGCCTCACTCGCAACCTCTTCTCTCCAGTCGCTCGGCCTCCTCTCGGCGCCCGTCACCGCTCAAGACGTTGCCGACTCGAGCCGATATCATGCTCAACTGGCGCAGGAGCTGGCGACTGTGCTGCAGAAGGGGCAGGTCATGGACAAGCAGGGAGGCGTCATTGGACTGGACGAGGTCTGGTGCCTGTGGAACCGGGCGCGAGGAGTCGGTACGTTCCCGTCGCTTGCTTTGTCCCCTGGGTGTCACTGAACTCCGAGTTACCCCAGCCCTCGTGTCACCCGCCGACTTGCGAGCTGCCGCACGACATCTACCTACCGTCTCCTCCTCTTCTCGAATATCCCTCCGCGTCTTCCCTTCCGGCCTCCACATTCTCCACACCTCCCGCTTCTCCCTCCCCGCCTTCTCCTCCCGCATCCTCGAGCTTCTCGACCTGCGCCAAGCCCTCACCGCTTCTCTCGCAGACGAGCCCTCGACCAGCCTCGACCGCCAAACTCGCGAAGGGATCGGCGTGCTCGAGGTGGCAGATGCGGAGAGACTTAGTGTTGGATTGGCGAAGGAGATGATGGAGTTGCTGGAGATGGGGGAGGCGACTGCGTTAGGTGGGAGAGTTGGCGGAGGAGCGGTTGTCCGGGATGAGCAGGGCGGTGAGGGGACGCGGTGGCAGCGGAACTATATCTCGCATGCGGTATGGGACGGGCAGGTGTTGTAGGCGGGGTGGTAATCGTCCTCAAGCACTGGTACATGTGTGCGATGCGAGGGAGAGACCTTGCCGGCGACCTCCGGGCGGACACAGCGTCTCTTCAGGACAGAGTGGAGCATCGCGAGCATCGTCGCTCGACGTCGGCAGCAAAAGAGGAAGCCCCGTCCTCTTCCTCGCACCAGGCAAGGCTTGGGAGGTGTCGGCGGCAAAACATATGACGTCTGTGAGATTCGAACTCACGCCCGTGAGGACTAGCGGGTTGCTAATAACCTTAAGCTAGCGCCTTAGACCGCTCGGCCAAAACGCCCGTTGTATATTGAGGAGGGAGGGCTGTTGTGCACACACATCCTCAGCGTAACATCTTCCTCTCCTTGTTGCGGTACTCGCTTCCTTGCTCTCCTGCGTCGTCTACTCCGCGTCGCTGCACCCGCCGAAGAAGGTGCTAGCCCAGCAGCTCGACTTGCTACTCCCCCACTTGGACCCGCGATTCTGCGCACGCTCCTCCGCTCGTTGTGGCGCTCAATTGCGTCGAACGGTGGCGTTTCGCTTGCTCTTGGGCATGTTTGAGAGCTGAGAAAGCCTTGCGAAGTCGTACGCAACCTCGCAAGTTGCTTGAGAAGGTCGACCTCCTCCTCCTCACCCTTTCTCCCTCGCTCGCTTGCTTCCGAGAGCGATCCCGCTCTCAAGCTCGGCGAGATGACAAGCGAAGACGATTGCACCTCGATCGGACCCAAAACGAAAGCGATGCGAGTACTCTGTACACAACAAACCAGATCAACGAATCCCAAGCGTTCCTCCTCCTCCCTCGTCAAGCACGCTCAGTCGGCCTCCTCGCCCATCTCGTGGAGCTTCTCGCGAATCGACTCCTTCGTCTCTTCCGAGCGGTCGTCGCGGTGGAGGTTGGCTTTGAGGCCGCCAATGACGCTGCCAGCGGGCGAGAGGGGTGTGTCAGGCCGTGTCGCCCAGTACTGGTCCGCCAGCCGCCTTCGTAGCGTTCCTGAGAGAACCAGCACCGTGGCCGGGAGGCAGACTCACCGATGCCTGTGCACCTCCTCCTCGTGCGCCGCCGACGATCCCGGGCCCGACGAGCCCGTCGCAGCCTTCGCATGCCCGTGCTCGTGCTCGCCGCCCTCGGCGACATGCTTCTCGATGTGCGGGCGACCCTTGTGGCCCTCGCCGTGGTGCTTGGGCGACGTCGAGGCGCCGGCAGAGGCTTCCGGCGCATCGCCGTGAGCCTTCTCGAGGTCGTGGAGGATCTCGGCGGCTTCCTGTGGGGCACAAGCAACGCCATAGTCAGCTCTTGGTCCCACGGGAGCGGAAGCGCGAGCGAGCGGAGCGCGAGGACGCACCTTCTTGTGCTCCGACGAGACGGGCGGGTTGTGCGTCGCAGCCTTGTACCCGCGGATGACGTGAGCGTAGTCCTGTGCCCTCGCATACCCATTAGTCCTCGCAGCGGCCCGTGTATGAGCGAGCGGACGCACCTTCTCGGAGATCACGTTCCCCTGCTCGTCGCGCTCGACAACCTTGTCCCCCTCGACCTGAAGCTCGTGAGTCATCTCGTCTTATTCGGTGTTGTGGGTGCTGAGTGTGTGCGAAGGGTGCGGCGGGAGAGAGTGGCTGTGACGCAGCGATGTGGAGACGGATAGGAGGCGAGGCGAGGAGGGGATGCGGCGAGAGCGGGCGAGTGAGAGCGCGGTCAGCATGCGCTTGCGGGTGGGTGCGAGTGTGCGCTGGCTGTGTCACACCTGGTGCGAGAGCGAGAGAGTGCGCGAGTGGATGGAGGGAGGAAAAGAAACGAACCCGCGTCACGCGAGGAGGACGAGGTCAACAGGAGGTCAACTTGCAGCAACCCATTCAAGCGACACCAGCCGAGCGCGAGTGGGTTTACAAGCACTTAGCAAGCCCAACGAGCCAACAGCCGAGTCCTTAGAGCGAGAAACGAGCGAACGAGAACGACCTTCGCAACCCTCTCCTCGACCCCATTGTCTGCCGCATCAACGCTGTTCGAGGGCGTTGCAAGACCCAAAAGAGAGTGTACGAACGAGTGTGAGGGAGCGAGGGCTACAGAACCTCCGGGTAAGCGAGTGGACTTCGAGGATACAAGCTCGAGGAAGGGGATACATCATGTATGGAGCAGGCTTCGTGTAACGACGGTAAGACTTGAAGGAGTGTACGCGTGACTCGCTCGGCGAACAGAACGGAAAGCGAAAGGGCGCTCAGCGCCGGCATGAAAAGAAACGGTATGTACAGGCGAAAGGTGAAGATTGGTGGACCGTCGCCGTCGAGGTCGCGTGGATCCATCCACCGCCTACGCGACAACACGCACCGCCCCCCTCGCGGCCTTGACGCTCACAGCCGAGGCCGACATCAACGGCCAAAGGTCCGGGTCGTGCGACATGGCGTACATCAAGCCGGGTGTAGGGGGGTTGTACGACTCGAGCGGGGAGATGGAGAGCGATTGGGGCTTGAAGGCAGCGGGCGGAGCGGGAGGGTAGGCGAGTGAGGCGGCTTTGGGCCCCGGTGCGGGTGCGGGCGCGAGGGTGTAGTCGGCGAGTGAGAGGGGGACGGATGGGACGGGCGGGACGGCGTGTGCCGACTGGTCGTTGTAAGGCGTGTAGGGCGTCTGCGGGCCTGACGACGTAGACGAGAGAGTCGACATCGACGAGTTGCTCGACAAGCGCGAAAGGCGACTCCTCGGCGAAGGGTACGCCGATGAAGAGGCGGAGGAAGACGAGGAGTAGTACGACGAGCGGATATCGTCACTGCTGCTCCGGGGCGAAAGCCCGCCGTCGCTCATGTACGACGAGTTCCTGCGTGAAATGGAGCCGCGCGACAGAGCCATCGAGATGTTCGACACCTTGGAGCGGAGAGGCGGGCGCGGGAGTGTCGAGAGGTGCTGAGGCGCGAGAGACCTGCTCATCGAAGTCGAAGGGCCGGGCGACGAAGCCCTCCGCTCTGCGTACTCGGGCGTGATCCGCTTGCCGCCGTGAACGCTCGGGAGCGTCGGCTCGGTCGTCCTGCGACCTTGCGACGCGATGGTGCCCACCGCGCGAACTGGGACCTCGACGCAAGCCTCGGCGTCGACGTCGACGTAGTCGAGCGGCTGGTACGGCCTGCGCGCCTCGGCCACCTCCTGGCGAACCTTCTCCGGGTGAAGTTGGGGAAGAAGCGGCGCAAGTCGCGCGCGCAACTCGTCCTCCGTGAAGCTCAAGTCAAAGTTGAGGATCGTGAGAAGCTGGCGTTCCATGAGGTTGACTTCGGCGGGGGTGAAGTAGGCGGCGTAGCGGACCCAGTGCTTGTTCTGCGGCGACGAATCTGTTCTCACCAGACTCATCAGATCTCGTGCTTCAAGGTGTAGGAAGGGGAGGAGCGCACCATTGAGGTACTTAGCCGCGACAATCAAGACCGCCAAGAACACCCTATGCCTCGTCGTGTGACATCCGCGCGCATGGCTCGGCAGCCGCTCCTTCAGTCGTTCGAGGTAGACGAGCGTGCAGAGCAGAGTCGGGACGTGGCAGCGGGATTTCTTGACGATTGTGGAGATGAAGTGAGTGAGGGAGGGGAGGGCGTCGGAGGGTGACGGTGAGGGAGGAGAGCTGTGAAATGAGAGGCGGGTCAGCTATACTTTCCTCAAAATGCAAGTCGGCGGGCAAGGAGCGAGAAACTCACGAAGAACCGGGCGTAAGAGGAGGAGTCGGAAGTGGCGAAGGCGGAGGACGGCACTGCACCGACTCTACCGTCTTTTGCGCGACGTAGGCTGTCGTCCCGTCATCCCGTTGTCAGTTCTGTCCTCATACAGGCGACGGGGAAAGGAGGACGCACCAACCATCGAGTTGGTTAAGGGCGAACGCATGAGCTTAACGAGCGCCGGGTCGTGCCATTCGGTCGGGACGAGCGAGCCCGAGTGCCTTCGAGAGATTGGAGACGACATGACTGCTCAGCAGCTAGTTTGACGAAGGAAGTGAGGCGCGGAAGATTGGTAAAGAGCGACGGAAGAAGCGAACGTCGAGTTTGGTGGGCAGCACAGCGAGAAGGAGCTGGCTCGCAGCTCTGGCGTGCGCAAGAGGTAGGAAGGTCGCTGGAGCAGCGCACAGCGAGCAAGCGAGCGGCAGAGGGGAGAAAGGCGGGCTGGACAGAAAGCACCGAAGGCTTGCTCATCGCTGGCTGGCCGGGTGGGGATCAAGCTCAGAGCCTTCCGTGCGGAGGCGGGTCCGAGCTAATCTGCATCCCGTACTCCAAGAGTTTGGAGGGATGCCCACCGCAGCGTCGGCAGAGGACGAGAAGGCAGGGAGGGCTGGCGGCTGGATCTGCTTCTGTCGACGGAGGCGGTTTCTTGAGCGCGTGGCTGGAGAGTGCCTGACGCTGCGGTTATGACAGGCCCTTGGATCGCCGAGTCTGGACACGCCTCGTCGTCGAACGTCCTGCGGCAGAACAAGTCGCTCGAGAGCGGTCTTCGCCCCAGTAGGCGTGCCATCCGTCTACCTGCAGGCTAGTACAGTCTGTACAACCCTCTGCAACCGTCGCAATGTCGCGACGAAGCGCTCTGTCGAGCAGAATGGCGAGGACGTCGTCGCCGAAGACGGAAGGCGGAGCGGAGGAGGCTGGCCTCGAAGTGAAGAGGCGGGACCGCTCCACCTGGCGCGGCAGACACGCAGCAGGCAAGCAGGCAAGCAGAGCGCTCTGCTACTGTAGTCGTGCACTCCGATCCTCGCACATGCGCTTCAGATCCTCAGGCGAGCGCCATCCGGAATGCTGGATCATCGCCAGCAGCCGTATCGCGCGCGCAACTCGGCGCCGTCTGTGGAGCCCGGTGTCGCTCGCTGTATGCGCCGTGTCGTCAGGAGACGGCAGTGCGGCGTTGGCGGTGCCGGGCGAGGGCTGTTCGTCATATGCGAGGACTGTCGATGAGGAGGAGGAGTTGGTCGTCGCTCGTCGCTCGACTTGCTGGTCGCTGGACTGGCTCAGCGTAGTCAAGCTGACTGGCAGGCAGCGCTCTACTGCTTGTCGTCGCCGCCGCCGTCTCGTCGATGAAGGCGTGCACCGCCTCACTCCGCCAAGGTCGCTCGTTCGTCCCGCTCTCTTCCACTCCTCTCGCTGTCCTTCCACTGCTAGACTCAAACAGTCACGCTCGTTGGCCTCACTGCTATCCGCTGAACACCGCTACACTTGCTCAGCTTGTCCCCGTCTCCTCGCTTGCTCCCGTTCCCCTCCAATCCTCGTGACTGTCCCGCACGCTATGGTACGCCCCCGTTCATCTCGTTGAAGCCCATGCATTGCTCACAAAGACTCGTACACCCGCAGGGTCTCGCCGCGAAACTCGCTGCCGCCAACGCAGGAGCCTCGCCGTGCCCGGCTCCGTCGTTCGGCCAGGCTGCTCCCCCTGCTGCTGCTCCGCAGCCCGCATTTGACCCGACCAAGGACGTAAACGCTGTTCTGCGCGTGCTGGAGGATGGCGTCAAGGACCAGGTGGGCAAGACCGTTCGCAAAGCGCGATGGAAGGCTTCACACGCTCATCTGCTTCGTCCCGCAGAACATCTCGCACTTCTACCCTCCCGGCTCGCTCAAGCCCATTGCCGAACGCATCGTCCGCACCGGCGCGCTGACCCAGATCGCGCAGTCCTGGCACCTCCCGTACGAACTCGCGATGGACCTCGCCCGCCTCGCTCTCTTCGACGTTGCACTCCTCCTGGACGACTCGGCATCGATGCAGTTCTTCGAAAACGGCGTCAGGATCGACGAGTTGAGGATGATGGTCGGGAACATCGCAACTGCTGCCGGGTTGTTCGACTCGGACGGGATCGAAGTCCGCTGGTTGAACAGCAAGAAGGAGGGAAACGGGTTCACGACTGAAGCGCAGGTGGTCGAGTTGATTGGACGTGTCAAGTGGGATCGCGCGACACCACTTGGAACGGCGATGAAGCACAAGATCCTTGAGCCGCTCGTCTACAAGAAGATCAAGAAGAACGCGCTCAAGAAGCCTCTTCTCATTATTTCGGTCACCGACGGGGCGCCTACTGCTGAACCGAGGGACGAGATCGTCAAGGTGCATTCACTCCTCTTCTCCCGCGAGGAATCCTCCTTGACCGCTCGCTCACGCGCAGGTCATCATCGAAGCGCGCGACAAGCTCTCCAAGACGCCCTACACGCCCGACGCCGTATCGTTCCAGTTTGCACAGGTCGGGAACGACCTCGAAGCGCGCCAGTTCCTCGAAGAGATCGACTCGCACCCGAAGATTGGGTCGCTGGTTGACGTGCGTTTCCTACTTCCTCCTTTTTATCGGTGAGCGCGAGCTGATGGTGAGACTGGGCAGACTTGCTCCAATTTCGAGAACGAGAGCGACGATATGGCCAAGGCCAATCCGCCGGTCCACCTCACTCGCGAGCTGTGGTTGACCAAGCTTGTACGTTCTCCCTCCTACTCCTTTTGCTCTGCCGCTTCACGAATGCTGATACATTCCTGCAAACTGTGCTTCGCTCGCTCATACAGCTCGTACGTGCCGCCACTTTTCTCGTCGTTCTCCTTCGCTTCCTCGACTTACTCTTCCTCCTTCGTTTGCAGCTCGGCCCGATCCACTCCGGCTGGGACAGCTCGGACGAGAAGTAAGGCTTGCCATCGGGCAATTGCAGGCTTGCAAGGGGTTGTACCGTCTCTACGCAGTGCCATGTATCACTCGCTTGTCCTCTCTTCTCTCCCCGTTTCCGCATCGGTGCGAGAGGACGTGGAGCGAATGAATGAATGGCAAGTCAACAGATAGATACTGAGGATAAAGAGACAGCGCGCCCGGAACGAAAGGCGTGAACAACGAAACGGAACTCAATCCTCCCAGACCTCCTTCCTCCTCGGCTGCTCGAGCTTCTCCCCCTCTCGCGCCGCCCGCCTCGCTTCCGAGTACAACAGCTCGTCCACAGCCTCCTCCTCGTCCTCTACCTCGACGTCCACCTCCTCCTTCTGCATCACCTCAATCGCAACCTCGATAGCCCCGTCGAACCCTCCCCCTCCGACCTGGGACGTCCGTCCCCCTCCCACGCCTCTCGCGCTCCTCGTCGAATCAGTCGTCGTCGACCTCCCAAAAGGCGGCCTGATCCCGAACGACCTGATCGAGAACCTCCTCGACCCGCCACCGGTGGCGCTCGCCGGCTTTGCAGCCAGATCCGACTCCCTCCGCTCTTTTGACTGCGCGTATTGCTCGATTCGCCACCACCGGCCGACGACGTACTTCCACTCGACCCACGCATGCGCACCCTCTCCCACGACCAGCCCAATTCCCAGCACCCAAATCGGCAGCGTCAAGACGGCCTCCTGCTTCGCCCAACTCATGTTTTCCCAATCCCTGAAGACCGTCACCGACCAAGCGCACGTCACAGCCAATGCCAAAGCGCCCACGATGACCGACACCCCAATCACCAGCAACTCGATCTCGGCCTTCATGAGCGCCGAGATGCGGTCGGCGTAGAGGTGGGAGCTTGAGCCTGCGACGGCTAATTCGGGGTCGTCGGCTATGGCGCGGACGTGCGAGCGGGTCGGGAGCGGGCGGGTTGTGCGGAGGGAGGTGTTGGTCTGTGGGTCGATGGAGATGGAGAGGACCATGCGAGGCGAGGAGGGAGATAGGATGGGCGTCGGAGGCGAGAAAGGGACGGATGAGGGAGGAAGGGTGGGGGAGGAGCGTGGGAGAAGGAAAGTCGGTGAAGTTGGCGAGGGAAGCGGGTCGCGTTGGTTAGGCTTCTCGCCGTCTGCGGGCGGAGACACCGCTACATTTGTAGGAACGGCATCGCTGGCCGTAAGGGTCGGGAAGTGAACGAGTTGAAGCCGGATGTTCTGGCGAATCGTGAGGACGAACGAAGCGAGTACGAGATTGACGAGGACGAGGAAGAGCGGGAGAACAGCGGCTCCGATGCACATATTTGCCGAGGTATAGTAGAAGTGGTCGGCGGCCTTCTCCATTTCGCTGAATCCCTTGAGGATCTGCGAACCGGCCGTGGCGGAGAGGGTTGAGCCGTCCCAGCTCGAGGCTTGTGAGGCAAGGTAGCCGTCGAACACGTCGAACGTGTGCCACAAGTCGTTAGACGCTTCCGAAGCGATGCCAGCGAGTGTCTGCGCCAGCGAGAACGTCAGCGGCAGTCTCGCGGCGAGCGTCCGAGCGAGAAACGTACCGAATGAGTCGCGACCGCTCCGATGCCTCCACCGACGAAGAGCAAGTTCTCGAGCCACGCTGGCATGCCCGCTCGCCAGCCTCTGCCTTTCGCGTCGACGCCTGCGGGGTGGAGAGAAGCCGATGCGGAGGCGACTTGGCCGTACGCTTGGAAGGTAGCCCAGCTACAGGGCATGGCGTCAGCGAGTCTCTCGACAAGAGGATGGAATCGAGCGCGCACCTTAGCGTCCACCCGACTGCATAGGCGGGCGGCCAGACCGCAAAGCCCCAGATCGCGACGTGCCGAATTCCGTCGCCATTACCAGGTGAGACGTACGTCCTCCACAGCGCAAGACAGTCGCCGAAGAGGATGGCGAACATGACTGCTCCGCCAATCCCGCAGAGCGCGAAGTGGTTGCTTAGGATCCGTCTGTACGGAGGAGAGGTCAGTGTCGTTCAGAGAGAGTGCTTGTACAATGCGACTCACTTGCTCCCATCCCGCTCTACCAGCCTGAACAACCATATCGACCGCCCCTTGATGCGGTACGAGAGGATGTGCAGGGCAAAGTTGAGCAAGCTGGTGAGGAAGAGGCAGGCGACGACGATGAAGAGGACGATGAGGCGCGCGCGGAAACCGGCAGGGTCGTCGGGGAGGTGTATGCTGTGGGCACGGAGGACGGAGCGGTAGAAGGCGAAGGGGTTGTCGCCGGTCGAGGGGAACGGGAAGGAGGACATGGCGAGCGGTCGAAGGCGGCGATAGAAGCGAGTGGAGAAGTCTAGCGAGGAGGTCACGTATGTACCGTCAATCTGGTCCTGTTGCTCGTCGCCTCTGCCCCCATGTGCCGTCACGAACGATCCTGATCACGTCTCGTCCGGCTGGAAGGGAGGTCGCAAGCTGCGCTGGGTCGGTGGCAGCCAGTACGGGGCGCAAGGGAGCCGACAAGAGGAAGGGGCCTGTATTCTGTCGACGAGACGCGCCCAGGGCGAGCGTTGCACGACGCAGAGACCTGCAGGACAGCTAGGCGAAGGAGGGACAGCTTGGAAATACAAGCGGGGGAGAATCCGATTGCTCTCCCATATTCCGAGCCGTGCATCTCGCCCGTCTGCTTGTCACGCTCCGAAAGCCAGGCGAGGAAGGCGAGAGCAGGGCGATCAGAGGGATGTCGCGGGAGCGCACTCGCACACGTTGCCGGCACAGGCCGTGCGTGGGCGGTACCGCGGCTCCTACGCGCTGCTCTACCACTTCAGCAAGCAGGTCCCAGCAGCAAGAAGCTGAGCGAGTGGGGAGGAGGAAAAGGAGGGAGGCGGCGACTTCATCGGTTCCAACTCACTCTTTCGCTGGGTAGACAGGGGGATTAGCCGATCGCGAGTGATGCGCGTTTTGATCTGGATCCGAAGAAGCCTGCAGCTGCGCGATGCAGAGGAGGCAAGAGACGACGTTCCGATCCTCTTCCTCTCCTCGAACGACAGCATTCGCTCGCTCGAGTACTGGACCCAGCTCAGCCAGGCAGACTCGCTTGCGTGTCCGGGGTCCCTTCCTAGCCGACCCGCTTCTCCAACCCCCGTCACTCGAAACGAACGCGAGGGCTTGCCCGGATCGGCTTTGCTCCTCCTCCTCCCTCGTCTACCCCGTCCTGGTCCTCCAGAGCCCACGCACGCTCGCATCGATACACACGATGGCTACCCTCGCACCCCCCGGCGCTGACAAGTCGCACCCGAGCGCCGCCGCACCGAAGAAGACGTCCCTCGCCCTCGGCAACCTCCCGCCGAAGCAGCAGGGCTTTGGCACGCAGCAGGCGAGTCGCAGTGACTATCGTGCGCGTTTACTGGTGCGAGCGAGGCGAAACGGGGACAGTCTCGAGGACTCGCTCGTCGGGGGCGGACATGCGATCGAGTTCCGAAGGAACGGGGTTAGGACGCGTTCTCCTCGATGCGAGGGATGCAGAAGGGCGTAGGCTTGGAAGAGGTGGAGAAGGCGAAGGCGTACGAATCATCTAGCGTGAAAGAATCCGCACGTTCACCTGCTGACGCTCAACTTTTCTCCTTTTCCAGTACCCCAGGACTCCCTCGAGGGTCGACCCGAACAACCCTCCATGGCCTGCATACCGTGGCTATCACACATTTTCGTTCGCTCACGTAAGTCGCGAGAAAATGGCGTCTTTAGCGTCCACGCCGCTTCCTCGCTGCCTTATCCTGCTTTCCTGTGGCCTGAATGCCTCTCCGCCTCTTCAGGGGGTGTACGAGGCTTCGTTTTATGCTCCTGTGCTAACGAGACTCGCGGAAACAGGCTACTATGGGCGTCCGCCTCCCCACCATGTCAGTCCACCTCCTCGCTTGCTGCACGGTTTCCTCGCTTTCCGCCTCTTCCATGCTGACGTCCCTCGCTTTCGCAGTCTCGGCAAGGCTATTGACGACGTTGTTAAGACCCTGAACGACGAGGTGAGTGATGGGCATCCTAGCGCGGGCGACTTCGCTCGCGACTCCATTTCAAGCTTTGTTGCTGACTCCTTCTGCGCTTCGCAGTACGACGAGGAGCGTATTATCGACCTCACGGAGTGCATCTCGCGCATGGAAGACCTCATGGACGACCTGCAGAACAACGCCCAGCTCCGCCCCATCATCGACGACGGAGAAGGCGACATCCCCCTCTGGAACCGCATGCTCGCCAAGTACTTCCGCGGCAAGGACTTCATGAACGCGCCGTGGCTCTTTGCTGAGGCGTACAAGTACCGGAGGTGCGTTCGGCTCGCGGAGAGCCCAAGGGGCTGAGCTGACTCGGTCTCTCGCGCAGGCTCCACGAGTGCTTCTCGCTCTCCAAGTACTGGAAGACCTACGACGTCTTCTTCCGTCAGAGTGCGTCCAGCGTTCAGCGTCTCGCCTCACTAGCGTCTAGACCTTCTCAACATCGCTGACCCCGTACCCCAACTCCCTGCGCCTCGACCCCGCACCCACCGCCTCTATCAACAGAGTGCGAGACGTTCTCCCGCTCGGGCGATGCCGTCTTCGAGCTCTCGCTTCGCTTTGCGGAGCCGTGGAAGCAGGCGGAGGGGTTGTCACAGGAGAAGCAGCTCGAGGCGAAGAGGCTCATGTTCCACGAGCTGACCCAGTGCGTACACTCGTTGCTTGCTCGCGGAGATGTTGCTGATTGCTCGGGTTGCGCAGGATCTGCTTGTGGGGCAACTCGACCGACTTGTCGCTCCTCATCAACGTGCGTATTGGTTCCTCTGCCCATTCACGTCGTCCTACTGACGCGCTTCGTTGCGCAGATGACGGAGGAAGACATCAAGAAGCTCCAGTCGACGGGTGGAGACCACCTCGCAGCGACGGAGCAGAACATCCTCGGCAACGACCTCGGCCGCGTCTGGGAGTACATATCGTCGTCGCGCTTCGGTTCGGCAGGAAAGGGCGGAAGGCTCGACTTTGTCCTCGACAACGCCGGGTTCGAGTTGTACTGCGACTTGGTCTATGCCGACTGGCTCCTCCAGAGCGGGTTGTGCAGCAAGATCGTCTTCCACGGCAAGGTGCGTTTCCGCTTCCGAAGTTTTAGCGACTGAAGGACGTGTGCTGACCCATCGGAATGTCGCGCAGCGCTTCGCTTGGTTCGTCTCGGACGTCACGCGCCAGGACTTCGAGTGGCTCCCGAACAGCATGGTCTACGGCCACCGTACGTCTCGCCTTCCTCTTCTCAGCACTATAAGATACTGATGCAGCTCATTCAGTCTTCCCCAACGCCTCGGACGAGGAGCTTGCGTCGCTCAAGCAGATGGGCCTCAGGTGGAAGCAGTACGTCAAGGAGGGCAAGTTGTCGTACCAGCAGCACGCTTTCTGGATCTCTGGCTTCACGTTCTGGTCGCTCAAGGACGAGGGTGAGTTGCGCCGCGCTTCGTAGACGTCGCGGGGTCGTGCTGACCTTCGACCTCCTCCAGCGCCCGATCTCTTCCTCGAGCTGTCTAACTCGGACCTGGTCATCTTCAAGGGCGACGTGAGTGATTGTTCCTGCGCTGCGCGTGAGCTGGAAGCGCCTGGATCGCTGACCACCTCCTCCCCCCACTTCGGCTCGACCTTCCTGACCTCTCTCGCCTCCCCTACGCGTCTGGCTGCCTTGTACATCAGCTTAACCACCGTAAACTTTCGTATGACTGCGCTGCTCCGAGCTCAACACCCTTCGACGTCGCGATAGGGCCTTTGGCCACCGAGTCGGGAGCTCCCCCCGTACTCTCCTTGCGCACCGTCAAGTCAGACGTCGTTGTGGGCGTTCCGCAAGACGTGGCAGACCGTTTGGACAAGGAGGAGCCTGGCTGGCGCATCTCGGGTGCGTACCGCGACGTTGGTGGCGTGCGAGACGGCGACGGTCCAGGAGAGATTTGACGGCTGACCTCCTTTACCCGCTCTTCCGCTTCTCACAGGCAAGTACGCCGTCGTGCTCTTCTCGGAGGGTCACAAGGGCGAGCCCATCTCGTTCGCCTAGAGTTCCCAGCATGCGTACAGACTTCCCTGTCCCTCGAAAGGCCTTCATTCCTCGATCACCCTACCCTCGCCTCGTTTCACCCTCGTCTGTGCATTGTGGCATTGAAATCGTGCAAATACGGTTGTTTTCACTCTCCGGCGGTGAAGTCGGGTTTGGATGAGCGGTCTCCTGGCGACGAGGAGGATGAGGGTGACGGTGGGCCCTCCTCGAGCGCTTCGCAGGGCTCGCTGGCGATCGCTCGGCGTCCAGAAATGTGTGTGTGGCTCTATCGACTACACCAGGACGTCAAGGCGAACAACCACTCTCATCTTCGCAAGGTCAGTCTCGGCGACAACCTTTCTTCCCTCACTTCCTCGCTGTCCCTGGCCTTCGCCTATGGTACCAACAGACAGTGGACGTCTCACAGCACTGAGCATCTCGGACACGCGTTGCTGAATGGGCGGTTGTCGCTTGCCCGTGCTCCTGCTCGCTCCTCCTCACCATTCCTCCCGCTCACTCCCTCTTCCGCAGCAAGCGCACTCGTCAAGCTTGATTCACCGTCTCGGAACGATTCAGCCCTCTTCTCGCTCAGTTCCTTCCTCTTCGCCGACCTCATCCACGCTCAGTCCGCTCACCTCCTGTTCCTCGCTTCGCCGTCTCATCCCTTCACACGGCGACTCATCCAGCTGTCCTCCTAGAACGATGAGCTGGCCTTGCTTCTCTTTCCCTACTCTTCCACCCAAAGAACCTTGCCGAGCTTGATGATGGCTTCCTCCTGCGCATCCTCCAGCTCTTCCGGCTCTTCTCCCTCCGCCTCCTTCTTCTCACGCTCCTCTCGCTCGACCGTGCCGTCTGAAGCGCAGTCAGGCATTGGGCGTCTGCCGCAACAAGCGACACTTCCTGCCCTCGATGCCGAGCAGAAGCGTTCGACTATCCGCCTTCCTCTCCAGCTTCCTTCTCCGCCGGCCCCTTTCCCTGAAGTGGACCTTCACTCGCTCATTGTCGACAAGGAGCTCGAGGATGCCCCGCTCGGTCTCGCAATCGGCAAGATGCGTGAACTTGGTGAGCTTCGCGGACAAGCCTTCGCGCTCGAACGACGCCGCTAACATCGACGTCCTCCAGGTCCTTCCCTCCTCGTTTCGACGACGTCGACTTGCCTGCACATCCCGCCTGGACCGGAGATCCCGCCCTACCTCCTCGCCACCCTCCCCTCTTCACCCGCACCCGCCCCTTCGGTCTTCCTCCCCTCTCACGTCCTCGCGATTCGCTCCAACGATTCCCCACGCACGCTCCTCCTTCCCGTCCACGGCCTTCTTTGGGCCGCTATGTCGCCGCCCCTCTCCATCCTCAGTTCGAAGCCGGACAAGCAGCCCTCGCACCCAAGTCTCCCTCACGTCCCGCCTCCCGCCGCTTTCACCGATTCCGCTCGCTCGTACCTCCCCGTCGTCCAAGTCAGCCTTCCGTCATCGGCAGCTTTCCCGCTCCTTCAAGCCTACGCCTACCTCCGTTCCCCAGCTCTCCTCCTTTCCTCGCTCCTCCCTCAGCCTCCGGCGTCTCCAGCTAAGCCCGCGCCTCCTCCCTCGCTCTCGCACCTCCTCAACCCGTCGACGTCCGCAACACCCTCTCCGTCTGCCCACCAGCAGACACCGCAAGACCTCATCCGCTCGCTCTCCTCTCTCCCGGTCACCACCCTCCTTCGCCACATCCACCTGGTCCACGGGCTCTGGCAAGACGTCGTTGCGCTCCAGATCGGCGACGCTGAATTGTGGAGGGCGATGGCGCTCGCCTGGAAGCTGCTCGTTACTGCGCTCGGAGGTCGCGGCAGGAGCGCGAGCAGGGCGGAGTCACCGGCAGGCGAGGTGACGGCCTGAGCGGCAGTCGGTCTCGCTGGTCGAGGTGAAAGAGCGAAGAAGCGTGAGGCTGGAGAATAGACAGTCGTCTCTTTGTTGTTGTCTACATTCTGTTCGCGCACATGCCAATGTAGCCACTCTGCCGTTTCCTCTCCCTCATGACCTGAAGTGTCAGCAGCGAAAGACGAGTAGACGAGAGCAAGGCAGCGAGTTGCGAAGGTCGCATCATCCCCCTACTTCGCGCTCAAAAGCGACCACACTCCGCTCGCCCTTTCCCGCAAGTCGCGCCCATACACGAGCTTCACCAGCCCATCTACGAACGTCCATGCGCCGCGCCCGCTCGTGATCGGGTAGGCGAGAAGCGGCGGGATTGTCGTCTGGATCCAGCCGTGCCAACGGTCTTCCGTCACGACTTTGATGTTGCAGAGACTGCGCAGACCTTCCGCTCCTGCGAAGCGGCCGCCGTTGCCGGACGCTTTTGCGCCGCCGAATGGGAGGGCTTGGTTCAGGTAGAAGACGCCGAAGTCTGCGGAAGGAGAAGTCAGCAGTCGAGCAGGCTCGCCGCTTCTCGGCAACCACACGGATGGACAAGACTGTAGAGCAAGAGGCGACAACGGGGTGGAGGAAGGGAACAGTAGGAAGACGCACCGTTTGAGCAAACCATCCCGCATTCGAGCCGCTTCATCACGTACCGGCACTCTCCCTGATCCCGTCCGAACACCGACGCGCCGAGTCCGTAGCGCGTCCCGTTCGCGAGCTCGATCGCCTCTTCGAGCGTCTCGTACCGCATGACCGTCATGACTGGCGCGAAGATCTCATGCTGGGCGACAGCCATCAGGGGCGTGCTGCAGGGCAAGAGAGGGTCAGTCAAGATCAAAGAGCTATCAAGGAAAGAGGAGGCTGGGAACGCACACGTCAACAAGAAGCGTAGGCTGGAAGAAGTGTCCTGGCCCAACGCCGCTCGCTCTCTTCCCGCCCACCAGGCACCTCGCGCCGGCCTTCACTGCATCCGCAATGAGCCCTTCGAGCCGGTCAAACAGTCTGCCGGAGACCATCGCACCGACGTCGATCCGCTTTGCAGCGGTGTCGGACGCCAGGACGTCGCCTAGCTTGAGGTCGGAAACGCGGCGGGTCATCGTGTCGACGAACTCGTCGTATATTGAGGAATGGACGATGAAGCGCTCGGTACCGATGCAGTTCTGACCGCCAGACTGCAGAAAGTCCGAGTCAGCTTCCCAAAGTCAGGGAAGATGGAGGAGACAAACCTGGAAGACCGCCCGCATCCAGGTATTGGCAAAGGTTCTGATGTCTGCTGACGGGCAGAGCACGGCAGGGTCCTTCCCGCCCAGCTCAAGCAAGACAGGTGTCCCGACTTCTGCTCCTTTGAGCGCGACCTTCTTGCCCACTTCCTCCGAGCCGATCTGTGAGAGCGAGTCAGCTTCCAAGCTTCAACAAGCGGAGGAAAAAAACTCGTCGACGCACGAAGGTGATGTGCTCAATGCGAGGATCGCCTGTCAACGCTTCGACCGTCTCGGGTAGCGTGACGACGATTTGTACCAGCTCAGGGTCCTCGCCGCAAGCCTCAAGACAGTCCCGCACCGCCTGTGCGAAGACGAGGGAGGACCAGGCCACAAGTTCAGATGGCTTGAGGACTATGGCGTTGCCAGTCGCGAGCGAGGCAATCATCGGGCCCAGTGCGTTGTGCAGAGGGTAGTTCCACGAGACGCAGGCTGCGACCACGCCGAGCGGCTCGTACACGACTTTCGAGACCTTGTGCGCGAGGATGAGGTTCGTCGGGCGATAGTCGGGTCGAAGCGAATCTTCGGCGTTTGCGATGAGCCAGCGGAGTTTCTCGCACGTCGTGAGGATCTCGCCAAACGCCGCGTCGACGACTGCAGGGAGCAAGTATTAGTACTAGACTCTGTGGAAGGGGAGTAAGCGAAACGCACTCGTCTTTCCCGAATCTCTCGACGCAATCTTCGCCAAATCCTCCGCCTCCCTGACCGTCCATTCGAGCAAGCTTCTCAGTACCCGTCGCCGCCGAGCCCAAGAGCTATTCCGCCAGGACTTCTGCGCCTCGGCAGCCTTCGAGATTCGTTCGCTGATTTCGGTAGAGGAGAGGGAGGGGATCGTGGCGAGGTGCTGGGCGGATGCGGGGGCGTAGCAGGTGATGTAGGCGTGTGTGTCGTTTGCCTGAGGTGGCAGGAGGGAAGGATCGTCGAGATGGGCGTGTATGGAGGGATGCTCGAGGCTTCGGGAGGAGAAGTCGGGCCTGTAGGAGCTCGCCTGTCAGCGTTGGACGAGGACTGACAATGCTGAGACGCACTTGATCTCTGTTGGAGACGTCCAGCGGAAGCAAACAGCGCGCTCAGCTGCCGGTACGTGAAAGAACCGCAGGTAAAGCCAGAGGAGGAGGAGGGGAGCAGCGCCGAGCACGACGGTCCGCAGAGTAGCGAGATCCAAGTGGGCGAGTAGCAAGTCGAGCTGCTGGCCTAGCGCCATCCTCGGCGGGTGCAGCGGTGCGGTGTAGACGACGAAGGAGAGCGAGAAGGCGAGTGCAAGGAGAGGAAGATGTTGCGTTGAGGATGTGGGTGCGCAGCATCCCCTCTTCCTCAACACACAAACGGGCGTTTTGGCCGAGCGGTCTAAGGCGCTAGCTTAAGGTTAACAGTAACCCGCTAGTCCTCACGGGCGTGAGTTCGAATCTCACAGACGTCAATATCTTTTACCGCCAACACCTCCTGGTCTTACCAGACGGGGCTCTCTTTATGCTGCCGACGTCGAGGGGCGGCGTCTCGCTTGCTTCCGCTCGCCTACACGAGGCTCAGCTGCATGTAGGTACCGTCAAGCGCTTGCCCAGCGACGTTGTGTACGCCGTCAACGCTCGAGAAGTCCTGAGGAATCGTCGCACGCTTCCCCTCCGCCATACAAAGCCCTTGCAGCACGGCATTGTGTTCTCTCCAGTCTGAACGAACAACTGGGACGAGGAAGATGGATTGCAAGGCTCATAGAAGTGTTGGAAGGCCGTTGAAGCGGGGTGGGAGTTGAATACGGCGAAGACTGACAGTCTAGTGAGGCGTGGCGTTCATTGCCTCAAAGTTCAAGTCTGTAGGAAGCAGCGTCAGTACCGGACACATCCGTATGACAAGGGAGGCGCTTGACCCGGTCGAGGAGGTTCAAGTCGCCCCTAGCTTCCGTGGCCGCTGCACCGTCTGGCACTGCAATACCGATCAGACAAGGAGAGGCGCCGGAGAAGGCAGGATAAGTCGAGTGCGAATCAAGAAGGAGATCCCTGCCGAAGTTCGGGAAGACAGGTGGATTCGGCGGGAAAGGAGCGCGTGAATCGACGACAATGTCGGGGATGACGGGGACTGAGCCGGTCTGGGAGATGGTGCCGGACAGGGAATTGCTAGGCAGAGGAGGATGACCCGGGGCAGGACGCTGCGAAAAATCGAGGAGGGCCGCCAGATCCGCCGTTGACGGGCTACGCGGGTCGTCCGCCCACTGAGCATCACTCTGCGGAAGCATTGATACGTCTCGGGCGTCGCAGGAGAAGACTGCAGAAGCGGACTCGAACGAACGGATCGGCGGCAGCCGAGCGGCGGGAGCTCGCATGACGGGCGTTGGTACTTTCTGCGCGCAAGTTGGACATAGTCGGACGAAGATGGCCACAAGTTCTGCATAGAGTGGGTCAGGCTGAGGACGAGTTACTGCGGGAGCGAGGTTCAGCGCACCTTTGGGGATCCATGACCAGCGATCCTTGACGTGGTTGAACGTCTTGTCGCGTCCTCCGTGACTTGTCACGACGTGCGAGTCGACTATAATATCATAGATCATGCCGCGAGACGCGCAAGGTGTGTTGTTCCGCGACTTGCGCAGCGGTACGGGTTCGCCGTTGAGGCTGCCGAGCTTGAAATTCTCCCGAACCCAGTGTCGTTCGATGGCTGTCCCGTTCGAGGTGTCGGAAGGATTGCTGAGCGCTCGCAGAATGAAGTCGTACATGTCTTGCTGGACTTTTGGCGAGTGGAAGGTCAGCGGGAGCGGCGGTGCTGGACCGGGGCGACTCACGAACTGTCTTGGTCTGCTTCGTAGCGTGCAAGCCAGCGATATAGTTGTCAGTCGCGGCTTCGAACGCTGCTCGCGTCGGTACGCCTAAGTCAGGCAGGCGGAGCGAGGGAGTGTACGAAGCAAGCGAAGGATCGAGATTGCCGTCCAGGTCAGCTGATGAGCCCGTCGCGAGTGTGTCAGCCATCACGCGGTGTGTAGCTTAGTGGATGAAGGCGAACGAAGGTGGAGACTGAGGGCGAAGGCGGGCAAGACTGCGACGCAAACTTGCACGCAGATCTCGGGAGAGGGAGAGTTGGAATTCGGCGAGAGTCGCGAAGGCGCAGTAGAAACGAACGGGGTCTAAGAGGACCTAGCAGGCGAGAGGTGAAACGGTGAAGCGAAAGGGAGATGAAGAGGTGGTGGAGCCGGAGCCGAGAGATGAAAGTCGCGATTAAACGGTGCGAGGCTTTCTTGCAATGTGATACAAAGCGTAGCGCACCGCTGCGAGCGAAGAGACGATCAGCGAGCGTCGAGGAAGGAGGCAAGCAGCAGCTGGCGCGCAAGAAGAGAGGAAGCGGGACATACCTTGCTCGGCGATACCTTCAACCCACAACCGTCGGATGTCCCGCACGTCCTCCGCCTCGCCTCAGCCAGGCGATCTCGCGGTCTGACGGCACCTGTTCCTCGCCGAGCCAGTCGACGAGCCACCTTCTCCAATCTGCCACCTTGCTGGGCGCAATCGACGCGTCCCCATCAACGTGAGCCATGGCGAGGCCGAGCGTGAGGCGAGACGGTACGACGCCGAGGTGTCGCATCCAGGCGACAATAGTCGGGATGTCCGAGATGTGAGCGTGCGCGCCGACGAGCTGGATGAGGGCGCGGAAGACGATGTCGTTCGGGTAGAGGTACGGGTACTGCGGTGGTGTCGGCGAGAGCGTGACGGCGAAAGGACGCCAATCCCGAGGCGGAGCATTGGGCTTGTCGGACGGGACAGCTCCTTCATCCTGCGACGGACGCAGCGTCTTCTCGAGCCACTGTAGGACGCCGCGCTCCTTCTCGAGGGGCGAGCGAATCTTTGCATCCTGCCAGTTGGCCTCGATGACGTCCTCGAAGACCAGCTTCTCGAAGCGTCGCCAGGCAACGACACCGCCCCACTTGTCGTCGATGTCCCCCGTCTTGCTGCCACGCTGCCAACCCCCTGGACCGCCGTGTAGAGGGCTCTGCCCTACGTCGGCGCCGTAGACAGCGTCCAAGGGCGAACGCCAGCCCCCGCCGGCGTGCGCACTGGCCAAACGGGCGGCGTCGAGCATGATGCTGAGGGTTGCCACGTCGCGCCTCACGCCGTACTTCGAGTCGTACTGGGTGTAGAAGGCGTAGGCTCTGGCGAAGCGACCTTGACGGCTGAGGGAGTAGAGAACGGCGTTGAGCGTGGCAGTCCGCAATCTGCCATCGTCGCTCTTGGCCTTCAGGACTTCGTCTTTGCGCGGGGCGCGTCGACGAGGCTGTGGCTCATTCTCGAGGGTGTACCGGTCGAGCAGTCGCAGCGCGAGATCGTCCCGTCGAAAGGCGCAGTAGGCTCGGACGAGTGCATCGAGAAGAGCCGGATTGCTGCGCCAATTACTGTCCTTCAAGACGCCTTTCTCCAGCAACGCAAAGACCTGCACAGCGTCCTGCGGCCGACCGTGACGTCTGTACGCCTGCAAGATGATCGCGTACATGCCGGGCGTCGGTCGAGGCGGTTTGTAGACGCCCTTCCGGGACGGACCAGCCGAGTCGAGGTGCATGCGCTCAAGGATGGCGACGAGTAGATCCGGGTTGACGTCGGGTCGTTCCGCGACGGTCGAGAAGAACACGAGCCACGACACGCGGTCGAAGAAGGGAAGAGGCGGGCGCGGGAAGGTGCCGTCGCCGTTGGCGATATAGTCGCGCAGAACGCGCAGATACTGGAAGGTGAGAGGGGATTGTCGCAAGAAGCTTGTCGCTGCCTCGTCTCGCTCGTCGCGAGGGATCGCCACGCCTGACCTTGGCTGAGAAGGCGCCGATGTCGAGGCCGCTGGCTCAGCGACACGAGGCGGGGACGGAGAAGGGGAGTCGGCTGGGTTCGAGGCGTCGAAAGGTCGGTCTTTCGATTGTCGAACGTCCTCCGCCGGACTAGGGGCAGCCGGCAAGTCTTCGCCATCCTCGCCACGTACTGCGCTCGCCCGACTGGCGACTCCATCCCTCCGATCACTCGCCTTCTGACCCCCTTCGTCTGCCTTGTCGTCTTCTGCGGCTTCGCCCTCCTCGCGCAGCAACACCTCGAGCGCGCCCTTGATCTCGGCGAAGTCCTTGACATGTTCGCTCGCCGCGGCCGACTTCAGCGACGCGTCGTCGTCGAGCAGAGTACGCTTGAAAGACGGGCGGCCGAGGAGTTGCCTCAGCTTCTTCCCCGAGAGCTTCTTCTGGCTCACCAGCTCGAGCATAACCGTCTCTGCCATCTCGCCCTCGCCGACTTGGATGCACGTCTGCATGACGCGGTGCAGGATGGCTTGTGAGGGAGCGATACCGGCGTCGGTCATCTCGCTCAGCAGGCCGATGATGTCGTCCGGGTTCGACGGGGCGAGACGGGCGCTCCAGAGACTGTTGTAGATCTGGCGAGTCGACTGAATGCCGCGTGCGAGCATGGTCGAACGAAGGAGGGCGACGAGCGGCCGGAGGACGAGGGAGAGGTCTCCCTCCGCGACGTGGTAGGGCCCGTGACCTGTCGCGAGGGCGTCGAAGATCTGCTCGAAGGAGTCGGTATGACGAATCGTCGACGGACTGTCCGCAGGCGTATAGGCGATCCACTCGACGGTCTCGCGAAGCGCAACGAAATGCTTGAGTTCGAGGCACACCTGGATGCAGCGAGAGAGGAAAAGGCTCCGATTCTGCTCGTCCATGGCGTTGAAGCGACGCGAGCCGATCTGTGCGACGAGGTAGGGTACGTGCGAGAGGTCGGTGACGAAGCTGGGGATGGTAAGGTAGAGCCAGTTGGGGCATTCGATGGGTCCTTCCGTCGTGTCCGAGCCGATAAGCGTGTCCGGCTTCGCACTCGGCAAGAGATCAAGTTTCGTAAGGGCGAAGACGGGGTCGCATCGGCTGACGATTTCAAGCCAGGCGGCAAAGGTCGACGAGGGAATCTTGCGTTTGCGGAGGATGACGAGCAGGCGATCTCGCTCAACTTCCAAGCCGTTGACGATGGCGTTGACGAGCCATCGTGTCCGCGTCCGGTACAGCGTCTTCTGGCCCTGGACGTCGCCGGCGTGACCGAACTTGACGAGGGCCCCTCGTCGCTTGTGAGGATGAGGAGGACGACGCGGAACACCTGCGGAGGCGGAGGGTCAGACAGGATCCGATATCAGCTCGTGAGTAATGACGCACCTCTATCGCTCTTTCCAGCTCCCTGCACACCGCTGCCCGCCTTGCCCGCCGTCGTCGAAGTCGAGAAGAGAGAGACGGGTGGAGCACATCGTGCGAGCGGTTGGGCGATTCGGGCGATGGTCGAAAAGGTTGACAGCATCGATCAAGCATCATTCAGCTTCTGAAAAGCGTCTAGCAAGCCATGAAGCGGTGAGGTCGAGCGAGAGAGGATCCGCTCGCAAAGGTTGGCCTCCTCGCTCACCTCGACTCGCTCAGAAGGTTGCAGGAAGACCCGAGCGGTGCCCCAAAGGTACGTTACATCCTAGCGTAAGCGCTATAGCGAGCGCCTGACCGTTGTTCCGCAGCTTTGCCCTCCTCGAATCCTCATCAGCTTGACCTGCTCACACCGCTCACACGAGACCATGCCCGCCCTGCAAGTCTCGTACACCATCGCCAAGCCTGCCTCGTCCCCGAACGCTCCTCCAGCGACCGCAACGTTCGAACACCCGGTCGACTCGTCTACTCCTCTCTCGCACCTCCAGTCTCTCGAGAATGCGCTCGGGGAGGCGCGCAAACAGATGAACGAGCGGTTGACAGAGTGGAAGGAGCAGTTGAAGGATGTGGAAAAGCCTGCGAAGAAGGGGAAGAAGAAGGACGCCGAGGAGGACGAGGACGAGCAGGAGGAGGAGGACGAGGCATGAAGGTGAGGCTGGCGGTTGTGCTAGATGCGAGGGATGACGACGCGAATGGCGAGAACGTGCGTTTCCAGGCTTGATGCAGCCTGAAGTGCCGACTTACGTCCCTTCTGATCCAGTGGACAAGGCCCCCTCAAGCTCAACCGCGTCGAACGGCAAGGCTAGCTTCGCGATGAGCGAGGATTCAGTACCCTCTTGCAATCGCACGAGGGATGGTTAGGACGTTCGTCGTTGCAGCGGCTCTCGCCAGATCACGGCGTCCTTGCACTCGCGACGATTCTGAACGGCAATGCTGCGTTTTGCAAAACGGCTGTAGATGCGACAGGACAGAGCGCAGAATGGTGCTAGCAAATCATGCAAACGGAGGACAATAACATGATACGACACACAGCGAGAGTCTCAAGCGATAAAAGCGGAACCAAGCGATCCTCCTCTTTCTCTATCTCGAGCGCGTCTCCGCCCTTACGACCTCGTCACGCCGACGAGGTTCTCCTTGTCCGTGAGCGGCACACGAGAAGCGTCCGCTGCCGACTTCGCGTCTCTGTCGGAGCGCCTCAGTCCGCGCACGACTTCCCTTTCCTTAAGCTGCTCTTCCTCATCCGCGAGCTTCTCGTCTTCGTAGATCTCCCACGTCCCCTCTGCCCCTACCGCGACCCTAGCCTTCGCCTTCGAAGCCGGCGACCCGGGCCTAACCGTCCTCTTCAGCCCTTCGCCGTCCCTCGCAGCAGGCGGCGTAGCGAATACCATTGCGGCGGTCTTCTTGAGCAGTGCGGCGCTGAGCGTCGAGGAAGGTGAGAGGGTGAGAGCGGTGGGACTGTTCGGGGGAGCTGGGGTGGGCGAGGAGTAGGTGCGGATGGTAGGGGAGGAAGAAGGCTGGTCGAAGGACTGGTCGACGGAGGCGCTCGACGAGGACGACGTGAAAGAGGCATGGACGGGAGGAGAGCGAGGAGACCACCCTCCTGGAACGTTGCTAAGGCGGACCTTCTCCTCATGGACGCTGATCAACTCGCCAACCTTCTTGAACGGCGAGCCAAACTTGAACGGCGAGATGGGCTGAATCGGCGAGATCTGAAACTTCGACTCGGTTGGCGACGAAAGCGAGTTGCGCGGGAAGACGACGTCGCTCGTGGGCGAGGGCGACAGTCGCGTATTGGTGAGATCCGCCAGCGAACCCTTGCGAACGACTTCCTTCGACGAGCGCCGTGCAGGGACGACAAGCGCGGAAGCGACATCCGACTCGCTTTCACTGTCGGGGTCGGGAAAGTCGAGCGCGGTAGGCGAGGTGAAGAGGATCGAGTCGTCCTCCGGTGCGTCCTTGTAAGGCGATCCAACCTCGGACTCGGTAGTCGAGTACGCGTCGCCATGGTGTGAGACGATCGGCGTGGCGAAGTCGCGGTACTTGACGAACGTTGACCTCTCGCCTCGACCAAACTCGTCAGCCTCGTCCGCGCTCGTCCAGTCTTCCTCCTCCTGCTCGGATCCGTCGCGCCAGCTCGCGCGTTCGATCTCGCCGTCGACCACCTGCGTGAGCTCCTGGATCGTATTCGTGCTCGAACCCAAGTCGACGGACGGAACGTCGAGGATGCCGGCGGAACGCGACCGACGGTGCTTGCGCTCCATTGAGGAGGACTTTGAGAGCTCCGAAGCGTCGATGGGCGAGAAGGGCGTCAAGGCGTCGTTCCTCCTCGACCTCCTCGTCGCCTTCGTACGCTCGAGCCTGGTCTGCCACAGTTCCGAGGCGGTCCCGTTAGGCTCGTCGATGACGACCCCAGCCGGCATAGAGGCAAAGCGACGAGCAGTGCGAATGGAAGCGGGGGAAGGAGCGGCGGAGCGGACGAAGCGAGAAGGCTCGAGATGCGGAGCGAGGGAGACGTGCTCGTCAGCTGAAGGGACGGGGAAGATCTGCGCATTCCCTCCGACCTAACAGTCAGTAGTTCCGTTCTCCACAGGAACGAAAGAGGGAGTGCGCGCACCTCGTCGTCGCTGCTGCCGAAAAGATCCTTGAGCGGATCCTCCTCGTCCACCTCCCTCGTCGGCTCCTCAATCCTCGCGCTCGCGCTCTCATAGACGGTACTGACAATCCTCGACCTCCTTGCCCCCTCTCCTGCCACTCCAACCGAGGACCTCAAACTGTTCAGACTCATCCTCATCCTCAACGCCTCGCTCCTCTCGACCGGCCTCGGGCGATCCAAGACACTCCCTTCCCTCTTCGGGATCTCGACGAAGCGCGAATAGGAGGTCGTCGAGGTAGAGAGCGAGGGACGCTTGAGGCGTTGGCGTTTGCGGGCGGAGGTGGCGATGAAGCGGAAGGAGTGGGTTGAGGGACTTGAGGAGGGGAGGGGGTCGCGGCGGATCGTCGAGCGGCGGGAGAGGGAGGCCGAGAGGTTGGCTGTCAAGGAAAAGTCGACGTGTCAGCCGTTGCGACGAGCGAGAGGCGCGCGGGAGCGGAGAACGCACCGGGATAGCCTTTGCGATTCCTCATTGACGGCGAGAAAGGCGAAGAGACGTTCCCACCTGCGAACACTTCGCTCTGCCTGATGGTCGACGCCCCGCTCACCCTCGGACGCTTCTTCGATTTGGCCGTGACGGTCGCGCACTCGCCCTCGATGTCTGTCTCGTCCTCGTTCTCCCATCCCTCCTCGGACTGGCCTGCTCCTCCCTTAGTCGCGCTCACAGGTTCGCCGGACGTCAGCTCCTCCCCTCCAGCGCGCCTGATCCTGCCAAACCCTTTCTTCGCCTTGACGACCTTCTCCTTAACCCACCTCCTCACCATCCCCTTCCCCTTCGCCTTCTCCTTCTCCTTGCCCGTAGCGCGCTTATGAGGCGTGCTACGAATCTTGTGGGGCGTACCAACCGTCGTAGGAAGGGGCTTGCGAAGCGAGGAGGACGACAAGGGATGGAAGAGTGTCGAAGCGCGGCGGAGGAGGTCGATTGAGTGCGTGTTTTTAACCTTGCGCGGCTGAGGAGCGGTTGAAGCGGGGATGGGCGCTTCGATGGGAGGAACGGACGAGGTAGGGAGGGAGGAAAGACCAGTTGAATCCACAAGTTCGTCCGTCAAGTCTCCCGCTCGAGTCCAGACGAACGCAGCCGAAAGCGCCTCGGAGAAACTCCTCCTATGCGCGAGGGGCCCTCCCACACCACGCGGGACAGGACGCAGAGTCGATCCACTCCCGCTCGACGACGAGGTCCGAGCGAGGGCGTCGGGAGCGGAGAGGGTCGTCGAGCGGCGGCGGTTGGGCAGCGCGGGGCGGGAGGCCAGGTGCGTGGAAGGGCTTGGGGAGGCGGGAGGGCTAGAAGAGGTCGTGATGAGGCGGATTGAGGGACGCGAGTCGGGAGATGAGTTGGGTGAGGGAGATGTGAGCTGGTCCTCGGCGGAGAAAGGCTCGGGGTGCGCGTGTGAGGCTGTAGTCAGTGTGCGCGGCACAGAGCGTGCCATGCGAGGCAGTCCGAGCCCGTCTGAGCGGAGTGAGCAGGGAGCGAGTGACGAGGGAGCGTGAAAGAGAGACCGGGACGGGACCAAGCGACACCAGGGGCGTACTTGCGCAGCGTTGCAGCGAGTGTGGGACCTACTTAATCTACTGCAGTGACCGTCGCGCGGTTTGTCCGGTCCCCCGGGGCGTGCTGGACGACTGGAGGCGTGAAACGATTGCGGCCGTCTCCTGGCCCGCACACTCACTTGAGGCGGTTGTCGCCGCGCCTGGCAGCCAGTCACATCGTCTCCTGCGCTTCAGCCAGTCGCTGTACCCGCCAGTGCAGCCCTTGCGGCGTAAAGGCGGCGTCGAGGTCGCGGAGGTGAGGGAGGGCAGCGCGAGCTACAGGTCGCAGGGACGGGCGAGTGCGGTACCGTTGGAAAGCTGCGGGTGTGCTGAGAACGGTGAACTTGTCAGCGAGTCCACCAGTCGGGTGTGTCGCGAGGAATGAGCGGTTCAAGTGCGAGCGTGGCTGACTTGTCCCTCGCTCGCTCGCCCTCGCCTGGCTCGCTCCTCGCCTTTCGTCTGTGCCATACAAACAGAGGCAAGCGCGCGCTCTGGCCATCTCGAGACTGCTCCAGCTGACTCGCTCGTGCCCGCAAACCCATCCACCGACCCCGCCCTCGCCCGCGTCGCCCACCACGGCCTCGAAAACCTCGCACCCTCGCACCCTCGCTCGCTCTCGCCAACGCGCGCGGTTCTGCTACGGTTGACTGCGGTGGAATAAACAGGACACGATGCAGATCTTCGTCAAGAGTGCGTCCGCCCTTCCCGAGGCTTGGTGGTGGCGGGCCGTCGTCCCGTTGAGCTGACCCGTGCTCCTCCCCGTTTCTCCCGCTCGCAGCCCTCACGGGCAAGACCGTACGCTCGCTTTCTACGCGGCAGGAATGGTGGAATCGCTGGGTGGAATTGGGCGCACGCAGGGAGAGGGAGGGCTAACCTCGTTCGCATGTCGTCGACAGATCACCCTCGAGGTCGAGTCGTCGGACACGATCGACAACGTCAAGGCCAAGATCCAGGACAAGGAGGGCATCCCCCCTGACCAGCAGCGCCTCATCTTTGCCGGCAAGCAGCTCGAGGACGGCCGCACTCTTTCTGACTACAACATTCAGAAGGAGTCGACCCTTCACCTCGTCCTCCGGTCAGTCGAGCTTCGCCGGCGGTCTAGAGTCGTAGAGAGTGGGATGGTGGATGCACTGGCAGCGAGCGCGAGGGCGGAAGTGGCGGCGTCGGGATTCGCGAGGGGGACGTGGGTCGGGAGTCGGTGCAAGGGTTGGCGGTGTCGCACGGTCGGGCGGCGGTCGCGGTCGATTCGGAGCAGTTCTGGGACAGGCATGAGGTCAGTGAGCTGACCATCAGGCCCGGGAAACAGTCTCCGCGGTGGAATCATCGAGCCGTCGCTCCGCATCCTCGCGTCGTCGTTCAACTGCGACAAAATGATCTGCCGTAAGTGCTACGCGCGCCTCCCGCCGCGTGCCACTAACTGCCGCAAGAGGTCGTGCGGGTACGTTTTTTGAGCCTTTCTGCGACTTGGAGGGCGTCCGGCAGGTCGTCAACTTTCTTTCGCTGACTCCCTTCGCTATACTCCTCCGGGATCGCAGACACTCGTCCCAGCTCCGTCCTAAGAAGAAGCTCAGTGAGGAGAAACGAAGATCCTAGCCGAAGCCGGACGGAGACTGACCTTGCTCGTCGTCGACAGAGTAAACGACTCGCTCCCGGCGAATCGCCCGCTTGTGCAACTTCGGTTCTTCTGCCCCGCGCTACACGTCTACGAGAGGGGCTGTGTCGACTGTGGGGACCGGCGTGCGCGCTTGGGCGAGGGAGGGAGTCGCTAACGCTGCCGGGACTCGGATGGCACCCTCGGACTTGACGAGTCTTGGCGAATTCGCGCGGCTTTCGGCGACGCAGACGGTATTACTGACACCTTACAGGTTTGTGCAACGCGCCAACGCGACCCGGAACCATCGCTTCGTCGTCGCGCCCGCCACCCCCTCTCCCGCCCCTTATCCTCCCCCCTTCTCCACCTCCGCACTCTGCGACCTTCTCCTCGCCTCTGCTCGCCTTAACCCCCCTCGACAAACGCCTACCAACCCTTTTTCGCCAGCCAGGCGGGCGATGTCGGAGGAATCGGCGCGGTCGAAGTGTGCAAGGACGGTACTTCGGGTGCTCCGAGAGTGGGCGTAGCGGGCCTCGCGGCAAACGGCAGGATTGGGTGGCTTGTTATGTGGAGGTAGGACACCCGGCGAAACGCTGTGTGGTTTCGGACGACTTGCGACTTGCGACGGTAGAGGCGGAGGACTTGGTCAACAACGCTCGAGAGCGGCTGCCGCTCGTCCCGCTTCGCTTTCCTTGATCGTACACGCGCTGATAGAGGCTACTGCACTCGCATCAGTCGCCGCTCTTGACCGCTCCTCCTGACGACTTCGCCAACTCCACCTCCCTCGCTCCTTCTCCTCCATCACTTTTCCCCAACTCGCTTGTTCCCATCGCTCGTTCGGCTCGTACGCTACGTCTCTGCACGCTCTTTTCGGCCTGCGCTTTCCCACCGCCTGGCTTCCCCTCGTCTAGCCTTCGCACTCGCTCATCTCCCCTCTCCCTCCGCCGGTCACTCTCGCCTTTCTCTCGCCCTGCACCGTCGCCGGACTCGCACGCACGTCTTCTCCAAGCTTAATTGACCGACAGGGCGCCCCAACCGGTGAGCGCAGGTGCGTCCAGCGCGCTTGGAAGGCGAATTCGGTTCAGCTGCGCACTCGAGGCGAGGGTGTTGTGCTGACGCTCAGGATGGGTGTAGGACAGCTCGACCGCGTCCACGGGCGCTCAGAAGGCTTGCGGAGGCTGTCACGGAGCAATAGGGTGCGTGGGGTTTGTCAAGACCTCCCGGAGTCGATTTCGAGGACTTGAACAACTGACCTTGCTTTCGTTATGCAGTGCCGCGCCTCTTCCGCTCTTTGAGCAGCGTCGTCGACTCGCACGCCATGCCAGCGACGAGGCGCAAGCCAGCCAGTCGTCGCCAACAACCGACCCGAGCGAGGTCTGACACTCCCGCTCCTTCGCCCGCAAGTCCACCGCCAACCGACGACGGCTTGCCCGACCGCGACGCTTTCGAAGCGAGTGTCGACGAGTACCTCGCGAGCCTGCACTGGACGAAACAGAGGAAAGCTTTGCGTGCGTTCGCCTTCTCACCTTCTCACCACCGCTCGCTGACGCAACGTCGAACGTCCCGCAGTCGACCGCGAGCTCTACGACCTGACACTCCACGTTCTCCAAAACCCCTTCGACACCTCTCACGGCTCAGACTGGGATCGACACTGGATCCGCACGGCCTTTGAGCTTGGCGAGAAAGACGGCGTTCCTGTCCCGCTTCGCAAGTCGCGTGGCAGCACGCCTTGTGCGTCGAGGGAGGAGATCTACGATGCGTTGACGCTCGCGCACATCGAGACGGGGCATGGAGGGAGGGACAAGACGTTCAGGAGGGTCAAGGAGACTTGGTCGTATATCCCGAAGGGTGAGCTTACGATGCACGCTCTCCGGCGATCTCGTCTGACTGCTCGAGGTTTTGCAGAAATGGCGACTCGCTTCGTCAGGCTTTGCCCGACTTGCGCGTCTGAGGGTCCGAAGCTTCCTCGACTTCCCGTTCCGCCGGTCGAAGTGCCTCAGTCTCCGCCTCCAGCCTCAACCTCGACTTCGGATGAGCCCTATCGCCCGCGCTTCTTCCCAGTCCCTCCTTTCGCCTCTGTCCACCGCGCCCAGCCCGTCCCCTCGTTCTTGGAGACCGTCCTCGCCTTTCCGACTTTTCCTTCCTCTCTCCCTCAGCCCGCATCGGAGCAGTCGCTCTCGTGCTCTCCCGTCTACCCAAGGATATCCGCATCCGCCGGCATCGGGAACAACGCTCCGCAGCAGACGCACCCGTCTTCCCTCCTCCATTCTTCCGCCGCCTCGCCTTCGTTCATCGACCCTGCCGCGCCTCTCCACCTCACAGCCAAAGCGCAGCCTCACGAGCCTTTCGGTTCTACCGCCCCTTCCCGCTGCTTTGGCCGAGAGATCCAGCCTGCAGCAACCTCGTCCAGCAGTTCCGTCGGCTACAACAACCTATACGACTTCGACTCACACGGCGAGAGCGTCCTTCACTACTACACACGATCGCCGCCGCACTGGTCAAGCCAGCTGGACGAGTCGCAGGCTGCCTGGACGCTCGCTGGACTCGCGGCTTTCGGCGACGGTTCGCACGACTGGACCGCTCGCCTCTGAGGCGCGACGAATCTCTCTCGCTTCTACGTTCTCTTCCATCTTGTACCTTCTCGGCGTGCGTATGCCGCCGGTTTCAACCGCTGTTGCGCCGGACGGAGGAAAGCTGACGGTTCCTCTGTTCCTCACAGCTCTTTCACCAGCTTTTGCACCTCGTTATGCTCTCTTGGTCGCTCTCACATTCCCATTCCCTTCCTATCGCCAAAGTCGAGCCGTCGCTCCGCATCCTCGCGTCGTCGTTCAACTGCGAGAAAATGATCTGCCGTAAGTGCTACGTGCGCCTCCCGCCGCACGCCACCAACTGCCGCAAGAGGTCGTGCGGGTACGTTTTTTCGAGCCCTTCTGCGACTTGGAGGACGTCCGGCGGGTGGTCGACTTTCGTTCGCTGATCCCCTTCGCTACGCTCCTTCGGGATCGCAGACACTCGTCCCTCGTTCTCCGCCCTTTCTCCACCTTCCACATCTCCGCGTCCATCTGATCATCCCCGATTCGTCTTCTACGCCATATTCGCCTTCCACGCCGATTTACCGTGTTGTCGTCTCGCCTCTCTCGCAATATCGCTTCCGACCCGCCTTTGCACGCCCTCTTACTTCTTGTCCTGGCTTTGCAGCGATGCAAGGAGATGTTTGTATCAACCGGGCAACCCGTTCGAGCGAGATTGGCGACGCTTGTTGACGGAAAAGGTTGGCTAGGAAGGTCGCTGCAGCCAAGTCATCGCAAGCTCGCTCGTTTTCTGCCGCTCATCCGCTGAGCAGTGCTACGAATGCACCTTGATGGCCCATAATGGCGAAACTCGCTCGAGCGTGCTTCGCAGATCCGATTGCTCCCGCTCTTTCGCTTCGCAATCCGCGCTCGCCTCGAGCTATCGTGGCGTTGCTGGTGGCTCTCAACGTCCTGCTAATTCACACGCCAAACTGTACGAGAGAACGCACGCGAGTTGCACAAATGAGAACGCCGAGGTCTACCTGACTTGCTCCTCCGGGATCGTTGTAGCCGTCCTAGACAGGCGCGAATTGATCCAATACCTGCGATACCTCTTGTGATCCCACAACAGGTACTGCATCGCTTTCCAGCGCGCCAGGTGGCGGGCAGGCTTGTCGTGGGTGTCGAGGTAGGCACCCTTCTCGGCCGGCTGCTCATGCGAGACTTGTCAGGTCCCGCCAAACGGTCGGAGGAAGGTTGAGCTCAAAACGTACGCAGTACGCAAACTCGGGGAACCTCTTCTCGAGGATGCTGAGACTGAGGTCCACGAGTGCCTTGTCCTGGTTCTTCCACGTCTTACGGAAGTCGAGGATGTCCAGCGTAAGGTGTCGACGGCACTGGCGCGCCTCTTTGATGCGCTCGTCGCTCATCGGCTGGCCGTCTAGGTCGACGAGCGAGTGGCGAAGCGCGACAGGGCTGTACGCGTCTGCAGGTGAGGCCACCATGCAGAAGTATTTTGCGCCCAACGCCTTGATCTGCTCGTTCGTCAAGACGGGACGCTCCCACCCTTCGAGCTCGGCGCGCAGGTCGGCTTCGCGGTACGAGGGCGTTTCGAGGTAGAAGAGCGGTTCCTCCTCGCTGTCGGGTTCCTCGGACGCCTCGTCCCGCGCATCCTCCTCGTCCTCGACGAGCTCTTGGCTGCTCTTGCCTGCGATGCAAACCTGAAGTCAGGGTCTGTCCCCGTCGTCTAGTTGTCAGCACGCACCGCTGGTGTTGAGAGGCTCGTAAAGGTCGTCATGCTCCGTCTCGAGGGCGCGCCTGCTTGCAACTTCAATCGACCGCTGTTGCTGATTCGCGCGAAGGCGCTCGGCGAGCTCGTCGGCATCCCTTTTCGCAAGTTCCAAGCGGGCAGCGATGCGCTGGAGGAGCAGGCTGTCCGAGAAGAAAGACGAAGGGCGAGCCTGGAGGAGTCGAGGGACGTGACGAGGTGAGCGCGCAGCAGCGCGCGCGACCCAGAGCATGGTCGGCGCAAGTGATGAGAAGCAAGGAAAGCGCCAAAGCGAATGCGCAGGCCTCTTGTCTGGAGAGCTGAGCGTCGCGAGGAGGCCCTTGTCCGGACGCACACGCTTGTCCAAGGTCCGCCGCCAATATCCAGCGCCGTTTCACAGCTTAGCCGCTCTACCGATCCCACTCGTTCGGGCCCTGCAGCTGTGCCCACCGAGATTGTGCCCTAGGCTGATGAAAAGGGAGAGGTCGACGAGAGCGGCAATGGGAGGTGCGGCGGGAACGCTGAGCGAGCTGGAACAGTGCAGTGAGCAGCTTGGAAGCAGTCCTCGTCCCACAGACTGAAGCGGAGCGCATGGCGAGCGGGCAAGCCTGGAGACCACTCCTCTCTCCTCGACACTCCGCTCGTCAGCCTCGCTGCGACTCTAGAGCTTCGTGGAGAGGCTCAGATTGAGCTTCTAGCCGCTCGTAGGCCATGCTCGATACCCGAGGCTTGCCCGCTTGTCTCTAGGCGACCATTCTCTCCTCGTCGCATCCTGACCACCCTCGACGCCCCGCTAGACCTGCTATCGCTATCTGCGTTCGTTGTGCGACTTCTGACCCGCTTTCGACTGGCTTTTGGACCACGCTCGGAACGCTCGCCCCTCCTCTGTCCGCGGCGCTCCAAGGGAGCCTCCTCTCGAAGCATTCCCCTCTCCTCCCTCCGTCGCAGACTCCTTCGCCCAACACATCGCACCTGCACGAGCTCATGACGTCCTCAGCGACCGGCGAACCCACCGGCTACCCACCCACGCAGGCGCCCTACGAGTCGCGGACAGTCGGCGCCACCTCCCCAAAGACGGGTCGCGGTTCGAGCGCCGTACCAGCACCCGCCTCGCTCGAGTTGACGAAGGAGGACAAGCAAGAAGGTTACGACATCTCGCTCCTGAACTTGCCGGAGCGCAACACCGCCGCCGCACCTCCCGCCGACCGAAACTCCTCCTCTGCGCTCGCGGCCGACCTACCCTATGCTTCGAGACAGCGCGACTCCTCCTTCGACCGTTCAGACGGGGCTCGCGAGTCGTTCGGATCGGGCAAGGAAGGATTGACGGGCGGGACGACGAAGAAGACGGTTCGGCATCACTCCTCGTCGAAGGACCACCATCGCTCGGCGCCAAAGCGAGGTGGTTCGCGCAGTAGGAGGAAGGGGAAGAAGCTCAAGTGGTGGCAGAAACCGATCACGCTGGTCGCGATCCTCTTGCTCGTCATTGTCGTTGGCGTTGCAGTTGGACTAGGCGTCGGCTTGGGTGTCAAGAAGAAAGGCGGATCGAGCAGCTCGACTACAGCCTCGCCAGCAGGTCCGACTATCGAGCCAAGTACGTCGGGCGCAGGTCGCACCGTGCAGGTCTCCGCCTCGGCAGCACCTTCGCCGTCAGTTCGCCCAGCAGGATCAGGACCGACAGAGACCGTCGCGCCAGGCAGGCTAGCGAGGAGGACGAGGGCGAGGGATTGACAGAGAGCGTTTATACGGGCTTCGTTGCGTGTCTGTAGTTCTTATCTATGCACAGAGTCTCATCTCATCCTCAGCTGCGTTTCTGAGGAGTCAGCCGGGCCGAAGGGAGAAGAAAGAGAACGCAACGCACCAGACTGCATGCGTCTTGCCGTACTTTCCGCCAAGCGAGTGCTTCTCATGCAAGTGAACCGCATGACGGTTGCGGTGGGCGACAGCGTGATGTTCCGAGGTCGTCTCGCCCGCCGCCTGGGACTTGTTCGAGAGGTGCTTCTGCACCTCAGCCGGCGCCTTCTCGAGGTAGTCGATGGCGGCTTTGAGGTCGCGGATGAGCGTGTCGCAGCGAGAGCGGGAAAGGTCTTCGCGGACGACGACGCGAAGGACCTTGATTTTCTGCAGGCGAGGCGAGGATGTGAGCGTCAAGGTACACTTGCGAGGGTTGAGAGATGGAGAGAGGGCGGGAACGAAAGCAAGGAGGAGACGGAGGAGGAGGCGGAGAGACGGGGAGTGCTTACCTCGGTGTGCGGAGCGAGCGTGTAGGCGGGAATGATCCATCCGCGCTGCCGCATGTGGCTCGCGATCGCGAACTCTGCGGACGGGAACGTCAGCGAGCATCTGGCAAGCTGGACGAGACGCACGCACCGTCATACGGCTTCTCCTCCTGCAGCTTGAACGCGACGAGCGGCAAGCTCTGCCCGTGACCCTCGGAAATGATCTCAAAGAGCTTGCCGTCCTCCATGTTTGCGACGGCGTCGGACAGGTGGTCTGCAATTTGCACGAGGTTCTGCATGATCGCGCGGTATCCCGCCTTTCCGAGGCGTAGGAGCTGGTAGTACTGTCCGACGACCTGGATAGCCGATTTGGAGAAGTTGAGAGTGAATGACACTTGCGGCGAGCCGAGGTCTTGCGGGAAGCGAAGAGACGTGAGTGGTACGGAGGACTAAGAGGAGTAGCGACCGCGGACGCACAGTTGACCGTGAAGAGAATCTCCTCAGGCAGGTACTCCTTGGATCGCCAGAAAGCCCAGCCAACACCAGCGTAGACCAATCCGTATTTGTGTCCCGACGTCTGGCAACGCGCACGGTCTTCAGCTCTGCTCTGCTCTTCCAACGCTAGTAGAGAGTGCTCACGTTGATGGACGAGACGAGCGGAACGCGGAAATCCCATTTGAGAGACGGGTTGACGAACGGGACGACGAAGCCGCCCGATGCCGCGTCGCTGGATGTCGCGAAGAGTCAGCGCTCGATCGAGGCGTGCAGAAAGACCGGTAACCGCACACGTGGATCGTGCAGTTCAAGCCCTTCTCCTTGTTCTTCTTGTCGAGAAGCTCGTTGAGCGTCTCGATGTCCTCGTACTGCCCAGTGTACGTCGTGCCTATGCGCGAATGTGAGCGGACCGAAGGCGACGTCAAGCGAGAGGAAGCAAGCGCCGACGCACCCAGGATACCGACGACCAGAACGGTGTTCTCGTCGACCAAGTCAACGACTTCCTGCGGGTCGATGATGTACTTGCCCGGCCTGCAGTACCAGTACTTCTCCTCGACCTCGAGGTATCGCGCCGCCTTCTCCCAGCAGACCTGGACGGCGGACGACATGACAATGTTGGGCTTGTCAACGGACTTGCCCTCGGCGAGACGCTTGTTCTTCCAGCGACGCTTGGCGGCGAGGACGGCGAGGATGATGGCTTCGGAGGAGCCGATCGTGGAGACGCCGACCGCCTCGGCCGCCTCGTCGTGGAGGGGGGCGTTGAACAGACGGGCGATCATGTTGACGCAGCGCGACTCGATCTCGCCCATCGCTGGGTACTCCTCGACGTCAATGAAGTTGATCGAGAGGTTCTCCTTCATGAGCTCCTCCGCCTCCGCCTCTTGGAAAGTCGTCACGAAACTGGCCAAATTCATGGCGGGATTGCCGTTCATCAAAAGCTCGTCTTTGACGAATCGCTGGGCGAGACGAGGGTCCATCTCGTCTTCGGCCATCTCGAAGCGCGGAATGCCCTGTGCGGCCTGGCGGGAGCCGTAGATGGTCGACGAGACATGGTGGTCCTCGGTTGGCTGAGTCGTAGGTCGAAGGAAGGACGTAGGGAGGGAAGGAGGGATGGAGAGATGAGGAGGAGAAGGTGGAAAGAGACCGGCAAGTCAGCGCTCGCTGCGCCTCGAGGCAGGCGCTCAGGATGCCTCTGGATTGTTCAAACCTCTGCCGCCCGTCCACATCCTTCACGACGGCTCACCTTGTCGTGAACGCGAGAATCGGCGGGCACAGTTTGGAGACCGGACCTGCGGGTGCGCAAAGCGTCAGACGACCTTCCGGGTAGTTCAGCAGGATAGCGGACATTGTTGTAGCGTGCGTGCGAGCTTGAGCAGCAATGAAGAGCGTGAGGAGGAAGAGAGAGAGAGGTCGTAACCTCGTCACCTCCTCCTGGCAGGACTGCGCATTAAGTGGGGAAGGTCCCCCTGTGAGCTATTCTCATCAGCCTCGCAGAGAAGGTATTGAACGACGATGCCAATGCAGGAAGAAGGGCGACAAGGCGATGCGAAAGGGGAGGGATCAGTCAGAGTGTCTGTGAGCTGGCGAGAATGCGACAGAGGGTTAGAAGTAGGGACAACATGGAAGGACGAGTCTAAGCGAGAACGGCGGCGGCGGAAGCGAGAAGGACGGCGGCCAGAGAAGCGACGGCGCCGGTCGCAGCGGCCGAGTTCTGCTTCGATGGGGCCGTCGCCTCTGCGCCAGCCGGTGCAGTCGACGATCCGCCGCTCGAGGTGCCGCCCAGGTTCGTCGAGTAGTTCCCTGCAAGCGCGACGCGTCAGCGCAAGGGAAGTAGTGAATCAAGCACAAGAAAAATTCACCGATGGGCTTTGTCTGGTCGGTGAACTTGCAGCTGTCGCTCGAGCAAGTGCAGACGTTCTTGATTGGGTCAAAGAACGCGGTCGAGCAGTTCGACGGGACCGTGTGGCGCTTGTCGCCCTTGTTCGGCGACGGGACGGGGTTGTCCGGCGTCGGCTCGACCGAGGGGCAGTAGTAGCAGGTCTGCCAGGGGAAGTCGGCGAAGTTGCAGCGGTTCAACAGGCCGGCCTGCGTGGCAGGAGAGCGTCAGTTCAGGACAAGAAGCGCGGACGAGAGAGCGAGACGAACCTCGTTGGCGGGTATCCCGTTGCAGATTTTGGTGCTGGCGGGAATGGCGGGCGATTGGCACTTGAAAGCGTCGACGTTGGCAATCTGCGAGTTCGGGACGGGGTTCTGAAGCCACGCAAGCATCTGCAAACGTTGGGAGGAGGTGGTCAGTTCGAAGCGAGCTCGTTGAACAGGAAGCGCGCGTACCTGCTGGTTCGAGACGATCCAGACGTTCTCGTGCGTCTGAACCCAGTCAAGGAAGGTTTGCAGCATCTGGCGGGTCGCGATAGGATCCGCTACACCTGGATAGCCGACTGCGAGGTGAATCGGGTGGGAGTAGAGACCGAAAGGCTGGCGGTTGCCCTCGTCTGCGCGGGCGAAGAACGTCAGCCGTCGTCCAAAGGTGAATAAAGGGAATCGCAGACGCACAGTGCGTCGTGAAGGACCACTTGAGCCAGTCGAGCACCTCGTCTGGGTTCCCGTCGAGCCACGGGTCCATCAAATGAAGCCCGCTCGTCGAGTTCGGCTGGAAGATCGAGTACATCGGCACCTCCCACAGCCCGGGAAGCTTGAGGCGGCCTTGGCAGATATCGGACTGCTCGAGGCAGTTGTTCGCGACGCCGTAGTCGAGCGTGTAGGGCCAGAAGGCGTCTGTTCTGGACGCGTTGGCGGGGGTCGCGGAGGTCATCGACGAGTCGTACTGCAGCCCTTCATCCGTCAGCACAAAACGAATCGGACTTGGGGAAGGGAAGCGCACCTTGAACGAGGCATTGTAAAGATGCGTGAGTGTCTCGCCGTTCCAGCTGAGCATCGGTGCGCGGAAGCCTGTCAAGTCGGACATGGGAACTGCGAACGAGATGTCAATCGAGCACGTCTGGAAGGCGGATCAGACACAACGCACTGCCGGCAAACGCGTTTAGGGCTCGCAAGTTGCCGTAGATCTCGGACGTGTTGGGCTTGCCGGCGTGCGTCATGGTGTGGTCTGCAATCTCGTTACCCGCGACGTACCTAGGCAGAACAACGAGTCAGTCTCGAGCGTCTCGGCGAGAAGGAGAAGCGCACCAGTCCGTCACCATCGAATAGTTGGTGTAGCTCAAGCTGGTGAAGTAGGTCATCTTCGGCGAACAGCCGTTCGGGTTTGACCGGTTCGCGAGGAAGTAGTCCATCACTTCGAGCGTGTAGGACTGGATGGCGTCGTCGGCGGTGAAAGCTGTCGAGCGAGCGGTCAGCTCGCCTTCCCTAGAGGGTAATGGTAAGCCCGCGACTTACTGACGAACTGGGGAACGTCCTTCGGGCTCAAACCGCCGGGGGGAGACGTCGAAGCGCACTGCACGGAGCAGTCAGTTTCGTGAAAGAGGAGGAGGCGAGAGAACGGTCAACTCACCTGACAAGCAGGCAGCTTGCACTTTGTCGCATCGCACGAGTACCCGGCAGTCTCTGTGAGCGCTCGTAGCGTCAGTCCCGCGTAGAGGCGAACTGAACGAGCGGGTCTGGGCGCGAAGGGGTGAACGCACCTGGACTCGAAACGGGACCTGATGGTGCGCCGCCGTCTTGCGCCAGGACCACCTGTGCGAGTACGATTGCGAGAGCGGCTGCTGCGAGCCTTGGGCGGGCGGTGAGGCGAGGCATTGAGACGGGTTGAGCGAAGGGAGCGGGTGGGGGAGACGAGAGAGAGGGAGCGAAGGGGCTGGCGTTCGAGGGATTCGCAAGCAGCACTAGCACGTCTCGCGGCCCAGCAGCCCGGAAGAAGCGAGAGACGGAAGCGGATGAGATGGACGAGGTCAAAGGGCGAGGAGCGAGGAGGAGAGGGAAGTGAATGGCTTCAGACAGTCTGTCTTTCAAGAACGTCGTTGTGGCGATGGACACATCCAGCAATGACGAGACCGAGGACCGAGATCCACACGCGGGAAGGAAGAGGAGACACATCACTTCTTGTTCTTCATTTCACGAATCTTGGGACACAGACGCCGTACGGACTGCGAGCCCGTGGCGACGACGACGACAAGCACGACCAAAGCTTGACGAGCCTACTCGCTCTCGCTGTAGACGGGACGAGCGGCACGAACGCGCTGCGGCTTGCGGTTCGTGTTCTGCGAGGCTGAGATGGCGTCGATGCGGGCGAGAGCCGTCTGCGAGCAAATTAAACAGTCAGTTGGCGACAGGAGAAAGAGTCAAGTCGTCCAGTGAGCGCGAGGTGAGCTGAGGAACGCACCTGGTACAGCTCAGGACGGCCAATCGAGTCGAGCAGCTTGACGACCTCCTTCTTGGCCTCCTTCTTGCCGCCCTTGAGATCCTTGGTCTCGATGCCGCTCTTGACAGCGTACGGCGAGGTCTTGGGCTCGCGGTAGGCGATGGTGAAGCCGCGGCCGGACGGGTGAGAGGAGATGTCGAGCGTGGCCCGGTTGGCGAGGCCTGAGTACTTGGGGGACTGCAAGGATAACTGAGTGAGTGGTGAATGGTCGAAGGAGGAGATGCGAACGCACGCTGATGCCCTGCGAAAAGACAAGCGAGGTGAAGGCTGTCAGGTCAGCAATCCGGCCAGCTCGATGACTTCGTCCAGCCCTTCCACCGTGATTCCGGCCCCTCCTCTCCTCGACAACCTATGCAGTCCATGAACCCATGACCAGCGGCACACACCATCATATTTCCCCTCTCGACAGAGAACACCCTCCCCGCCCCACGCCTCTTGTGGATGTAAGCGTTCTGCTTCCTCGTGAGGAGCCAGATGAGGTCGTCCGAGACGGGATTGGCGTGCGACATGCTTCTGCGAGATGGGCGGGAGTCAGTGAGAGGTTTTCCCCACATCTCGGGGGAGGTTGAGAGGATGAAGGTGGCTGTTCGTGCGCTTGAGTGTTTTGTCGAGGAGCGGGACAGTCCGAGAGCATCCGTCTCAGCGTCCTCCAGCAGCCGCAGCGCCCTCCACGAGCTGAGGAGTGAGCTGGCGTGCGGGAAAGCGAGCCGAGCGGGGAAGGGAGGGTGAGGGCGACGGAGGCGCTGGAGGGACGCGAGACTGGCTTAAGAGGAATGAGCAGACCTAGACAGACCTGTTGAATCGAGCGGAAAGGCGAAAATGGGTTGTTGACGGAGGAGGAGGAGGGCAAGGAGGACGAGGAGGAGAAGGCGCACGTCGAAAAGCCTCGATCGTGTGTGAGACGGTCAGGAAAACGCCTAGCGCAGTAAGATGTCAGTGTCAGGATCAGCGCATGTTCAGGCGAGGGAAGAAGACGAAGGGCGCACCTTGAGGACTGCACGAATCAGTTTATCGCTTGTAAACGCCTGTACTCGTTGAAAAGGGCGTGCTGGCGGGATTGAGAGGATGCCTGCCACGCCTCGAAGCAAAGGCAGCAAGCGCGCCGCGCAAAGACCCAGCAGAGGCAGGGAAACCTGTTTGGTGAGGTGAAGTTCCGGACGCGCGAGAGCAGAAGACAGCGCAGGACTGGTCGCGATCACTCGTATGGAGACTCGAGACTCCGGAATGCCCCGTTAAACAGATCCGAGGCTCCGTCCCGCGTGTGAGCAGGCTGTAGTTGGTCGAAGGTTGTCCTTGGAGGAGGGTCGCTGCAGTGCGGGACCTCTCGTGGGTCATCTCGAGGTAAGACCAGCCTCGTCGAGCTCTGATCAGTGCGTCAAGAGATACGCAGCGCCTTCAGATGCCGTTGCAGCCGCAAGCTGGTTCTTGTCGAGCGGAGGAGGAGCGAGACGGCCGCTCCACGCCGCAGGGAGCGCCAGTTGGCCTGGGAGCGTGTCAGTGCCAGCAATGTCGTTATCGGGCCCTGTCCAGCGTGTCGGCAGCGCGCACGAGCGTGTCTGGTGCGGTCGCAACCCTCGTCCTCGCCGTCGAGCACAGGTTGTCCTCCCTCCAAACACTCGCTCGCCTCGAACTGGCTCGCGAGGCTACGAAACTGGTCTGCTTAGTAGCTAGACCGCTCTACACTGCTCCCGCACTCGTCGCGACCGCTCCACGCCCGTCTCGCCCTCCTCGACACCCGAAGCTTTTCTCGCCAGCACGCCGACAACTCAGGGTTTTTGAGCGAGGCAGGCGTGGCATGGAGGCAGCAAGACGAGCTGAGCAGTCTGTGAGTCCCGGACCGAGCCTGCGTTCCTCGACTCCCGCCAGCACGCTCGCCTATCCCCTACGATGACACAACTATTCACACTGCTCGACTAGAGGACCGGGAGGTTACAGCCCCGGCCTCGACTCAACCATGGGAATACTCTACAACGGTAGCTGAGGTGGATCCGGCGAGCGTGCACGAGCGGTGGAAGACAGCGAAGGTCGCTGCGCGGGACGGGGCGAGCTGACCCTCTCGTTTCTCGTTCAGTGTGCAGATAGTCTCGCATGTTCGGCTACAGTGACTTGCTGCGACCGGTACGTTTGCTTTCCCTCACGTCGAGACCAGGCGCGCAGAGACGACACCATCACACCAATTGTCTTCTTTCTCCAGCGTATCTTCCACCGCATTCGCGCGAGGGAATGCCGATAAATCAAGTTTGGATTGACTGAGCTGCGAATATGGGTTCGCTTGAGGGGATTGAGCAGCTTGAGCGAGGATGGATTACGGTTGAGCTGACCCGCTCTGCTTCTTCTTCGCAGCCAGCGGCTAGAAGCGCTTCGCTGCACTTACTGCACCGCTGCGCTAACAGGTTGCGCTCATCCTACTGGGCGAGGCGCGACTCGTCTCCATCGGCGTTGCTTCCGCCCTTCTTCCCCTCGCCTCCAACCGAACTTGCTTCGCTTACTGCGGCCAGACCACGCCAGTTCCTCTCGCTCACCGTGAGTCTCCCCTCCCCCACCTCCCTTCTCCAGGCTCGCGCGCAAACCACCCGCCCCGTTCCTTCATCCCCAACGATGACACAACTATTCACACTGCTCGACAAGAGGACCGGGAGGTTACAGCCCCGGCCTCGATTCAATCATGGGAATACTCTACAACGGTAGCTGAGGTGGATTAGAAGGCGGGATGAGGGTGTTTGCGCGCGCGAGGAGAACAGGAGATGGAGTGATCAGAAGACGGTGCTGACTCTCGTCCTCGCACGCACTGCAGGTTCGCTCAAAGCTTCATTGCGTCGCAACGGTGCTCGGAACCGCTGTGCGAGCTTTTCCGCCGCTGCTCGACATGCGATGCTGCTTCCCCTCCGCTCCACCTGCTCTCCCTCCGTCTCTTCCGCGCTCGTACTCTCGGCGTCTCGACTGACGACGGTACCGCAGACGCATGCGACATGAGCGCTTCGAGAGTGGCTACGTAGACATGCGAGACGGGGATGACGATTGCAATCCACTTCTCCGTTCATGCACACTCGCCCGAGTCTGCCTGTATCTCCCGCGGCCTCGAGAGTATCCTGCAAGGCGCCTGAACGGTTGTTGCAGGCCTCCGCAGCGCCAGAAAGCCTGTCCTTGCCCATCTCCGCTCCGCCAACATTTCGATGCCGCCCAGCGAAAGCAGCTTGGACAAGCCCAACTCGCTCAACTTGCTCTCCACGCGCTTGAGGCAGCCCGACAAGCTTCAGAGCTGATCAAGCACGCACTACGAGCGAGCCATGGCCTCCGCACCGCTTACCGAGCTCCTGCTCTCATCCACCACCTCCTCATCGCCTCTCCCGACCGTCTCGCTCCACAACCCTCTCACAGGCGCACTCGTGCACTCTTTCCGCTCGCCAGTAGCTTCCACTTCGACCGCTCCTGCGCGCGCGGGGAAGGAGGACAAGGATGCGCAGAGCTTGGAGAATCGCAGGACGTTCGCGGCTGTTGAAGGCAAGGATGGGTGCGGTGGATTCTTGATGGGTCTTGGAGGGAAGGAAGGGAGATCGGGACTGAACGTGTGGAGTTTCACGAGGGTGCGCTCGCTTCCCAAAGCCCTGTAGAGTCCCCAACTCACGCAGGTTCCGTCCGTTCGAATGCAGGAAACGACGCAGCATCGTCTGATTCCGCCTGTTCGGTTGTCGACGATTGCGCTGAGTCGGGACGGAGTGTACATGGCGGGCGGCACGCCTGACGGGCGGATATTGCTGTGGGAGGTGCGTCCGAAGGAATCGCTCGCCTCAGTCGAAGAGAAGCTGACACCTCGTCCTCAGGTCTCGAGCGGCACGTTGCTCGTAACTGTCGACGCACACTACCGCTCCATCAGCGCTCTCGCTTTCTCGGATGACGGAGCGGCGCTTGTCAGCGGAAGTGAGGACGCGGGAGTGAGCGTCTGGTCTGTCGGACGGTGCGTGCCGCTCTAGCTGACGTCAGCGTCCCAGGGCTGACGAACAGAGTATGCAGACTCCTGAACGCCTCGCCGATGGACCCGCCGACACCCTACGCGACGCTGTCCGACCACACTCTTCCCGTTACGGACGTTTGCGTTGGCCTTGGCTCTTTTCCCCGCTGCCGAGTGATGTCTGCTTCGCTCGACTCGACGGTAAAGGTGCGTGCCGCTTACTAATAGGCTTGCACAACTCGCGAGCTCACCCAGTCCTCCTCCGCAGATCTGGGACATCTCCACCTCTCCGGCCTCACTCCTCTCGACCTTCTCCTTCCCTCATTCCATCACCCACATCGCCTTCGACGCCCTCGAGCGCTACTTCTTCGCCGCCGGTCCCGCTTCACCCTCCACTTCCTCCGCCGCGACTCCCTCCACCGCCGAAGCACCTGCAGCGAGCAGCCGAGTTGTGCGAGTCAACTTGTATCGTAAGAGGAAGGACGAGTTCGGGATTGAGGTTGCTGAGCCGGTTGGAGGTGGCGGTAGGGGAGAAGTCGAGCGGGTTGGAGAAGGAGCGGGCAAGGAGGGTGAGGTGTATGAGGTTGCGTGAGTACCGACTCCCTCTCGAGTTTAAGTGTTGAGCGCTGACAGATTCCTTCAACAGCGACACCATCACCTCGCTACACCTCTCCCCTCACTCGCCCTCACTCTTCGTCGGCCTCGCCTCCTCCGCAATCCACGTCCTCTCTCTCCCCTCCCTCCTCCCCTCCCGCATCCTCGCCCCTCCACCGTCCTCTACCTCCCCCGGCGCTATCACCTTCCTCCAAACCCTGATCCGACCTCCCGAACTCGGTGCCTCGTCCTCTTCTTCCGGCACTGGGATCGGAGGCGAGGTCCCGCTGAGACCGGTCATGCCGCAGGGAATGGGTCGTACGGTGGTCGTACCCGAAGAGAGGGAACGAGGAGGTCCGAAAGGCAGGGTTGTCGAGATGCGCATTGGAGCGGCGGGGTCGGGCCTGCGTTTGGACGAGTTGATCTGCCCGGCGAGGGGTCTGACACCGCTTTCGCTTGCAACTGCGGGTACCGGAAGCAGCGTGGTGGCGGGAGGAGCAGCAGGCGCGCTGGAGAAGGAACGGAATAGGGCGAACGACTTGGAGAGGGAGGTGGAGGTGTTGAAGCGTGAGTTGGGCAGGGCGGTTAGCGTCAACGAGGGGATGTGGAAGAAGGTTGTCGAGGGCGCGCTGGACAGGCGGTAGCTGTTGAACGGGAGGAGGAATGAGAAGGAACGAGACCTAGAGTTGCGCACTTCTCGAGGTCCGTCTCGCGGCCGTCCAGACGCCAGCTTCGTCGGTCGGCACAGCCAGCGAGCATGTGTAGAAGCAGCAGAGTGCGCGTACAGCATCACTCGTGCCGCCTATCTGTTAAAACTCAATGGATACAATGCAAAGTCGGCTCGCGCCCTCTTCTCCCGTTCCCCCGTACCTAGACATGCGTCGTGAGTGCTTCCCTCCGTCATGCAACCGTCGCAAGCTCCTCGCTCCGTCGTCGCTGCTGAAGCTGCTCCTGCGCAATCCGCTGCGCGGCGGGTACCTCGCCTCGCTCCCTTTCCGCCGCCCGAATCGCCTGTGTGAGCCTGTTCCTCCGAGACACGACCATCGTCTTGGGATTGGCTTGTGGTACGGGCAGAGGGCTGGTCTCTGCAATTGAGCAAGCGAGCCGAGGCAGCGATGGTCAGTTCCGGTCGCAGACCGAGGCTCCAGGGAAGGGACGGCGGGACGCACTGATGACGCCGGCCTGAATGAGCAGCTTCTCAAAGCGCTTTGTCGGCAGCGCACCCTGGCTGAGCCAGTACCGGACCCGCTCCAGGTTCCACTCGACCTTCTTCTGCCCGACCTTGGCGACGCCCGTGTTGGGCGTGTGCTGCCGTGGTCCCCACTCCTTCGGGTCCCTGACCTGACCGTTTGGCGAGACCGACGGCGCTGGCACGACGACCGGTCGCGGGTTGTACGAACCGAGGAGCTCGAGGGGTTTGGCGGTCTGGCGCTGCGGCGCGCGGATGGCGACGAGCGAGTAGACGGGGTTGTTGCGCGTGCAGTGGTGGCGCGCGAGGCGCAATCGGACCGACATCTCGTGCGCTGGCGGAGAGCGAGTGTGCGAGGACGAGGAAAAGGAGCGGGAGGAGGAGGGTTGGGAGCGAACCACCTCGTGCAGCTGGACTGGACGCGCTAGACGACTGCCAGACTCGCTATACTGCTCTTTACATCCGCTAGAATCCTGCACCCGCTCGAACCAGCTCCTCCCACCGTCAGTTCGCCTCCCCCTCTCATCCTCATCTCTCAAAGGACTTCCTCGCTCGCAACTCGCTGGAGGGAGCTGCAAGACTGACACGAGGTCGAAAACACCGTCAGATGAGCGCCACGTCCTACGCCGCCTCGATCATCGAGACCGCTCTCGCGAGCGAGCAGCCCATCCTCCGCTTCGGCACCTTCACCCTCAAGTCTGGCCGCTCCTCGCCCTACTTCTTCAACTTTGGCCTCTTCAACACCGGCTCTCTCCTCCTCGCTCTCGCCTCGGCCTTCGCAGACGCCATCCTCGACGCCTACCCCGAGATTGGCTCCTCCTCCGCCGGTCCCGACACGCCCAAAGTCCTCTTCGGACCCGCCTACAAGGGCATCCCCCTCGTCGCTGCTATCGCATCCGAACTCGCACGACGAGGACGTGATATCGGCTACAGCTACAACCGCAAGGAGAAGAAGGACCACGGCGAGGGCGGGTCGATTGTCGGTGCGCCGCTCAAGGGACAGAAGGTCCTCATCGTCGACGACGTGATCACGGCCGGTACTGCGATTCGCGAGGCGCACAAGATCGTCGAGTCGGAGGGCGGTCAGACGGCGGGTATTGTCGAGGCCCTCGACCGGGAGGAGCGCGGACAGGGCGAGCTCAGTACGGTCCAGGAAGTCGAGAAGGAGCTCGGCGTCAAGGTCACGAGCGTCGTCAAGATGCGCGACATCGTTGCGTGGCTCAAAGAGAAGGGCAAGCTCGACGAGATGAAGGCCATGGAGGAGTACCGCGCAAAGTGGGGCGTTAACTAGATACAAGTGCGTCTGGGCAGTTCCCCTCTTTTGCGTAGCGTACCCGCACGATTTACTGACGCAACTCGGGCGCTACAGTCCTGTCAATCTATCGCGATCTTCGCAGCGACACTCGCCGCTTCCGATTCCCGACTTTGCGTCCATCTCGCTCGCTTCGATAAGCTTCTTTGGCTGCTACAGACGGCTCTCAACTCTGCTGGAAGATGCAGCATCAGCACTCACGGGCTCCGCAACAGCTGCTGTCACGCCTCGAGTTCAGTCGGGCAGCTCTCGCCATCTCGCAACCCGTTATGGCGATGGTCGACCCGTCTCGCGGCTTTCCCAGCGCTGCGTTTCCGCTTCAGCTGTCGCGGTACAAACTTCATCGCCCCGTAGCGAGCCGTCTCTCGCGCAACGAGGCAATCTCGCGCTTCTCTCCCTAACGCTTTCTATCGGTCCCGGCCTCTCTCCCGCGGACTCTAAGAGACGTCGACGCAGTTTCGATATCGTCAACAGCGAGCGCAGACGAGCACTGCCCGAGCAGTGAACGACGACGAGCTCTGTACGAAGCGATCGGATCCGCCGCCTTCGCTCGCGACATGCTCGAGCTTTCCTGATCACCTTGTCTGAGTTGCTCAGGCTCTGCTAAGTCAGTCGTGCGCATCGGAGTTTGCTGAGGCGCGAGAAGGATATTACAGCTCGTACGAAGGACGGCGACTCTGGCTCGCTGTCCGTCACACGAGACAGAGGCCAGCCTCGACCTCGTCAGCGAGTCGGTCTGTCCATGACGGCTAACTAATGAGGGTGGCTGAACAGATTGAATGGCGTCTCGGGATCCGGCGAGCTGCCTGCTGGAAGGGCTTCGTCCGAGCGTTGCAATGTCCGAGGATGTGACGGAGCGGAGAAAGAAGGCCTTTGTCCTGCCGCTCTCTGCTGTCTAGCAATGTTGGATCCGCTTGCTCGGTCGGATGTCAATGAGAGGAGACGGCCCCGTCGCCGCCTCGGAATGAGCAGTATCGTCGCGGAGCGAGGAAAAAGCTCGAGCGGAGAAGGATGCCCATTCTTCCTCGTCGCCGTCTCCGGCTAATAAAAAGTGGGTCGATGGGAGGACAGGCGAACGACAGTCATGATCCGGCGAGGCGGCTGGATATCGGAAGCCTCGCAGCATGCGGTTTGCGCAGGGGAAAAAGAATCGTTGATCCCTTCTCGACGACCGCGGTTCGCGGCCGAGTCCTGTATTCGCAGCCTCGCAGCAAGCTTGCGCTTGTCAAGCGCTGTCTGAGCAGCATTGCATCGGCGCCAGTGAAGCAACTCAGAGACGAGAGGCCTCGGGCGGATGAGCGACGCCAAGCGAGAGACGTCGTCCTCACCGCCGGGCGTCTTGCGAGAGCGGGCTCGCAAGGGTCGTGGCGACGTCTGGCGAACTGGTCGCCGTGCCGCGTGCAAAGCATGTCGAGCGACCCCAGGAAGTCGCAGAGGTTGCAGAACGAACGGAGCAAGGCGTGCCTCCGTCTCCCACGAGCAGGACGAGCTCAACTGCTGGCGCACGGCAGCCTCGTCGGCGAAGAAGGCCGTCCGTCCGCCAGCGTCCAGTGCTGCGACGCACGCGAAGCGGAGCCCTTCTGCTCGAAATGGCCGGACAGCGCTAACGAAGCGTCGTGCCTCGACCCCGCTGATGAAAAGAGCATGCGGGTTGCGCACAATTGCATGCATTGCGTGCACACGACGCCGGCTGACCTCGCCAGAGTGTGAGCGGCACCAGGACGAGACGCGACAGCGTGCAGAGGGCAACGCCGAGGCTGGATGGGTCCGGTGCGGGTCGCAGCTGCCAGGACGTCGCGCAGGATGCTGGCCAGGGACGTCCACGAGCCATGCAGATCTCCGCCGTCGTCGAGCGCGAGGACGCCGGAGGTGGAAAGTCTTGCTGGCGACCGGGTCTCCCTTGGTGCTCGTCGCTCGCCGTCGTTGTCCTCAGTCCAGTGCGACTTTTCTCGGCTCTCGAGACCTCGGACAGTCAGGCAACGAGGCACACGCTGGCTGGCAGTCGCCCGCGTCGCTGTCGTCCCGTCGCCGTCTCCTCTCGCTCCACCTGCGCCTCCTCTCCTCTTCACCGACGCTCCCTCGACCACAAAGTGCTTCCTTTCTCGCCTAGGCTGGCCCACCGAGATCACCGACCTTCATTACACCTGCGGATCACCTCCGTCAGCCCCGCCCGGCATCGAACAGCGAGTGCGCCGTCGGCATCTCGACACGACCTCGCCCTTCTTGCCTTACGTCGATCCACCTCGGCTCTCCCAGCGCTTGTCGCACCGTCAAAGGGTCGCTGGACTCTGTAGCACGAGGGAGTCGACGCCACGGAACGGGGATCTTGCGGCGTCTCCTTGCCAACCCCCTTCTCTCCTCGCGCGACTCTTAGGCGGAACGGCGCTTCCTCGCAGGTGAGCTTTCTCTATCTAGTCCGGCATAGCTTTCCAGGCATCGAGCTGATCGCTACATCGACAGGACGGTCCGGTCCGCTTCTCCATCGCCCGCAACGCAGCTTCTCCGACGACCCTTTGGTCGTCCCGACTTGCGACATGTCCGCATCCTGCGCCTTTTCCGATCCCGAACCGTTGCGCATGAAGCATTCGAGCTACGCCTACCCGGAGGATACCTACGTCTACGAGGGCGGCGCCGCGTACGAGCTGCCAGTTGAAGGTGACTTGCCCGTCTGTCGCTCTGCTCTGACAACGCGTCGCTGACCTATCTCGCTTGGCAGACTACGTCTACGACAGCTACATGGAGCCGAGCACGTTGTCGTACGCGCACGACAGCATCGCGTCCACCTCGACAGCGTCTTTGCGCACTCCGCCTCCAGCGACGTACAGGCCGAACTACGCGACTCCGGCTTGGAGTGCGTCACCGCCATCTGCACAATATCCTAGCCGCCATGTAGGACTGCAGGCGCCAGAGCCGCAATACGCGACGTACACCTGCCGATCTCCGCTCCTCGACGCCGACGTCGACTTTGACCAGTACTCTCGCTCGCACGGGTCCGCCTACGCCTCGCTCTCCTCAAGCACGTCGTCGGCGTACCCTTCTCAGTCTTCCTCTAGCCGTCGGTCGCACGGCGGAACCACCTATGCGACCTACACGATTCCCGCTCCTCCTCCTCGGGGGATCAGGGCGTCAACCTTCACCTGTACGATGTGCGGCTGGACCGCAGCGACACGCGAGCAGTACGACTTGCACCTCAAGGCGCACGACGGCGACTGTCTCTTCCAGTGCTTCATTGGCGGGTGCGAGGCGGCGTACGGGACCGCGCAGGAGTTGCACCAGCATTCGCGCTGGCACGAGCAGCGCGCGCTCGGATCGAAGAGGTCTTGGTATAGCGAGGCGGATGCCGGAGGGTACGAGGATGCGGTCATGATCGATGGGCAGACGTACCTGTCGACGCCTCAGCGGAGCAAGAGGATGTGCGTCGAGCCTATCACGCCCGTGACGCCCTCGCTCGGCTTTGCGAACGGCCAGCGGCAACAACGACCGGTGACGGCCTCGGCAATGCCGTACCAGTCCTCAGGCATGAACGACTCGCCCATGTTCACCTTCCAGCCTGAACAGCCGCCCTTCAATCGCGCCGTCTCGTACGACTGCGGTCCGCGCAAGAAGGCGTCGCAGTCGTCGTTGTCAGGTCGCGCCACGTACGAAGTCGTCCACCCGCTGCCGAAGCAGACGCCGACTTCCTCCTCCTCCCGCGTCCTGCCCACCTTCACGCTTCCCGCTTCGCCCGCAACGTCGCACACCTCGAGCTATGCGACGTACCCCCCTTCACTGGACTCGACCTACTCGACGCCTCGCACGCGCGCGACGTACTTCCCCCGCCAGCAACGCCTCGCCTCGCCTCTCCAGATCCCTTCTAGCGCTCCCGTCGACCAAGGTCGCTTCCAGCCCTACCCGGACGTCGAGTCGTCGTCGATGGAAGTCTCGTACTCGCTGCCGCATCCTCCCACTCAGCGACGGACGATCCACTCGCGCAGGCGGGAGAAGCCGATGTCTACGTTCGCTCAGGAGCAGGTCGTCGATTCAGGCTACGCCCCGAGCCGAGTCCCGCAGGTTCTTCAGTCGCCTGTCTCGCCCGCCGTTCCTTCTTACGGCAACGGTCCCGCTCTCGTCCCCATCCCCGGCACGCCAACTTCGACAGGCCAGGCCCACAGCGCCCATTCGTCTCGTGCGCCATCGCCGGCTGCTTCTCGTCGTTCCTCTGGCGCTTCCAGCGGCTACACTTCGGCGCACGCGGCGCTCGTCTCGGCTGCCTCGATGAACCGCCTCCTCTCCCGCATGACTGCTCCGCCTTCGACTCCTCCTCCGCCGCCTCAACAAGCGTCTGCCGGCTCAAGCTACGAGTCCTCGTCTGTCTCAAAGACTGTGCAGCCTTCCCGCCCTACAACGCCCGACGCTTCTACCTCAACCGCGGCGGACAAGCCAAAGGAGCCGAAGCACCTCGTGTCGGCCATCCACCCTCGCTACCGCCAAACCAGTCCGCCGACGCCATCCGACTCGCCCGACAAACCGCGCAGACTGCACAAGTGCGAATTCGAGGGGTGCGGGAAGGAGTTCAAGCGTCTCGAGCATGTCAAGCGTCACGAGCGGACGCACACGCTCGAGAAGCCGTTCATGTGCGACTTTCCCGGGTGCTCCAGGTTCTTCTCGTGCGTTTTTCGTCATCTCCGCGACAGGGAGAGACGATGCTGACGATCGACTTGCTTGTCTTCCGCAGCCGCAACGACAACCTCGCGCAGCACCGCAAGACGCACGCCAAGAACGGAAAGACGACGCGGCTGCTCCACGCTCGCATCGCCGCCGAGGAGCTCAAGCGGTCGCTGCCTGTCCCGCTCCAGTCTGTGCCCGCCGCGGTACACACCCTCCCCTCTTCACCCTGAGGAACTCGCTCTCCTCACCTTCGATTCTGTATCCCGTCGTCTTTCGACACTCTCGTCAGCAACACAGCATGAGTCTATCACAGCCACGAAAAGGCGCTCGTATTCAGTTATCCTCAACCCATCGCATTAGTCCCTCTGTATCCCTCCTCGCCTACACACTCTGTAGCTTCGGTACGACGCTCTGCCTGGTGCAAAGAAGCGTCTAAGTCGTCTCCGCAAAGGCCACACAGCGTGAGTTGCGTGAGAAAAGAGCACCCGGTCGCCGTGGCTCGCGGCCAAAGTCGGATCGCAAGCCGGCGCTCGCTCCCAGTTTGGCCGCGCACCACGGCATTCACTCGTCTCCCTGCTGCGATCCACCCCGTTAGGACTCTCAGACTGCTGCTCACTGCCATCAGACCGTCTCTATCGCCCTCCACGCCCGCTCGCACCCCGTCGCTTGTCCTCCTCGTCCGCACTCGCAACCTCACCTCGGACCCGCCTGCCACCCGTTCGACGCCTCCTGGTGATCCAGCAGTTCTCGCGAGTCTAGTCTAGGGAGGCTGGAGACTCACGTGCGTCCTGCTCCTATCCCGCTGGCGTTCTCAGCGGTGAAGGAGGAGGTCAACACATCGCTGACACTTGGCCTGAACTTGCGCGCAGTCTATGTGAGCATGTGTGGGCACTGACGAGGAGGCAGAGGTGGATTTCGGCGGGTCAGGAGTCACGGCGCTCCCAACTGCAGCAGCTCCTCCGCTTTGCGAGCAAGGCACCTCCACGACCCTTCCTGCTCCGACGAGCGTGCTACGGTGAAGCGCATCGCCAGACGACACCTCAGAAGTCGCGCGAACGAGCTAACAATCAAGACCCAACGCTTCGACTGATATCTCCTCCTGGACCCGCAACTTGCTCTTCTCCCTTCTTCCGATCCATCTCTTCGACTTGTCCTGCGCAGTGAGCGCTTGCGCACTTGTCAATCCTCTAACGACATGCTACAAACGTGCACGAGCCACCTGGGCTTGTCGAACTTCAGCCTGCGTGACTTTTCCGACCATACGAGTGTCAAGGTACTCGAGCTCGTCGCGTCTCCTGCGGCTCTTTCCCTTGACTCGCTTCGCTTGTGCTTGGCAAAGCTGTAACACTCTCTCCGCAATCAGTCTCGGGTGCGCACAATGTCGTTGCTCTCCTCGCTTGTCCCCCCGTCCTACGCCCCTCTCTAGTGAAAGCGTTGTACTGATCCGTTTTCCTCCTCTTTGCGACGCGCTAGAGCCATTCGCCTAACAAACCCGAGCCACGTACGCCTCGGCACCCTCGTCGCCGACCCTCACCTGCCTCTCGTCTTTCTCAACCACCGCTCCCTCCGAAAAACGTCCTCAAACTGCCCAAGTCATGCCGCTACGGACACGAGCTCACCGCCGGAGCGCATTAAAGCGAGGGCGTCGGCTTTCGCACGACTCCTCGCCTCTACAACTTCGACAGTCGCTCGCGCGGAGTTCAAGGTGGACGAGTTCGTCGAGAGGGCCGCGACGTAGCGCCTCCGCTCAAACGCAATGGAGCTTGTCACCGCCTCTCCTACCAGTACAGCCCGCGAAAAGACCAGCTCGCTCATTCGATGACCGGCGATTCAGTCGAGCGGATCGAGGAGGAGGTGCGAGGAAAAGTGGCTCGTTCCGGCCCAAACGCAGCTGCCTCTGGTACTTACGACCCTTGCAAGTACGACGAGCTGCAAGGGAGCTCTCCCCGACCCCTCGTTCACCCGCAACTCGACCCGCCCTTCGACGCTGACCTTCGCAGCGCTCGTGCCCTCTTGCCTCCTTTCTCCGTTGGTATCGAGAGCAACAGGAACGCGACGAACGCGTCGTCTCTACGCACTCGTCGAAAGGAGGTCGCGCCACGTCACCCTCGAGGCGAGTGACCTCGCGCGCCTCCCGCTCTCCCTCTCTCTCTCTCCTTCTTCTCACTCCGACTCCTCACTTCTCCCCTTTCCGCCCTCCCTCGAGTCGGAGGTGAGTCTCCCGCACCCTCTGACCACCGCTACACGCGCGCTGACCCACGCCGGACCGCTCCCTCCCCCGTACCACCCACCCTCCCCTCCTCACCCTCGACGCCACCCAGTCACTCCCTCCCTCCTCTACCTCGCCTCGACCCTCGACGCCACCAGCACCCCCTCCTCGACGCCGCAAGTGAGTCCGCGCGCCTCCCGAGCCAGTAGCTGCAGCTCTAGCTGACCCTTCCCTCGCCTTCTCCGCTCGCAGCTCAACTGTCGTCAAGGACTTGGTGGACGACGCGCTGGTCCGCTTCAGGTCAAGGTTGACGCGTGAGTCCGCGGCTCGAACTCTCCCTTGACAGTGAGAGGACGGTACGAGGGCGACTCTGGGCGACTGCTGATCTTCCTCGCACTCTCGCTCGCAGGCTCGTCGTCTTCCAGTGGCAGCTCCTGCAGCGCGTCTACCGGTGCGCTCTCGCTCTCGCCCATGCGCCCTCTCCCATCGCCGCTGACCCCTCCGCTCCTCCGCTCGCAGGCGTCGAGGGTCGAGCGGTTTCAACACCCGCTTGGTCTGTCGAGCGTCGTTCAACCGCGCCGAACCGTTCTGCTTGTCTCCGCTTTTCTAAAACCGAGGCAGTGAGTCGTCCTGTCCCGTCGCCGTCGACGACGAGAGGCTGACCTTCCCTCGTCCTCGTCGGTCATCAGCTCGCCTCACCCAAGCCGCAGGACCCAAGTTCGGGGTCGTCACCGCCCTGCCCTCGAGGCTTGCGCGCCGGCGGCGTTCGAGCTCCTGCGAAGGTCTTTCCACCTCTCCGGTGCGTAGAGGGTGCCCTCCTCCTCCTCCTTCGCCGCGCTCACTCGTTCTGATCTCGTGCCCAGGTCGTTGCGTCTCGCAGCGACAACCTCGGGGCCCGGGCGAGACCGGGAGAGAGGGGAGCGGGTGCCGAGACGATATTGTGCAGCACGGGAATTCTCCGATAGTCTTCCCTTTGTAGCTGAAGCAATTCAGACTTGGCCGATTTCCATTTCATCGCTCGCTCGCTCGTTGTACAGGAGGCCGTGGGCTGGGCCAGGACAGCCTCGTATACCCCGACAGAGCACTCCCGCCATGCTCCTCCCCTCGCTCACCGCCCTCGCAGCCGGCGCCGCCTTGTTCTCGCGCCCCGCCCTCGCCTCGTCCGCTTCCTCGACCCGATCTGTCCCTCAGAAGGCGCCCGGACACAAGCTTGCAGCTGCAAACAACCCGGATGATCCTACAGGTGCGTCTCGGACCGCTACGATGCCGTGTGTCGCCAGCACGCGCCTTCATCACCTTTACTCGCTCGATCCTCCTCTCGCGCGGGCTGACCTCTCTTTCGTGTGTTCGCGGAACAGGCAAGACCCTTTAGTGAGTGCTGTTGGCTCGTCGCGCTGCTATAGGCTCGTACTAGGCGAGAAGGACATTTTGCGAAAGGTGGTCGCGGGGAGGAGGATAGCGCGTCGTTATGGCATTCGCTCGCGGAAAGGGAGGCTCGGGAGGCAGACGGTGCGGAGGAGGGCTGTCGGAGGCTGCCAGGGGACGCGCAAGCGTTAGCAGGGCGGAGGCCGGCGCGCTACGCAGGAGAACGGGGAAGGAAGAGAGAGCGGTGGGCTGGATCGCTCGTATGGTGCTTGTCGCGCTAGCGTACCCGCTCAGACTCATCCACATGTGCACAGACGGGCGAGAACGAGTGCGCTGACCCTCCTGCCTCTTTGCGAAACAGCATCACTGAGCCGGCTTGCGGATTCTACCGGGTACGCCGTTCACCTCTCGCTTTATTGAGTCCTGCTGACCTTTGCACGCTCAACAGTGTACTGTGACCTGGCCGATCGGCTCAAAAGTCGACGTCAACTGGCTCGGCCCTCCGCCAGGCAACGTCTCCGTCTCGCTCGCCAGCAATATCGGCGGTCCGACCTATGTCATCGCGCCGAACGTTCCCGCGACTTCGCAAGAAGGATACTGCGATGCGGGCTACGGTCTTGGTGTCGTTGCGCCTGGACACGAGTGCGGCAGGGTCGAATTTGTCGTGCCGGACGGCTGGAAGCAGATGACAAACTGTGCGCGCGCTGTGTCCCTTCGCAAGTCTCGCCGCGTGACTCACAGGGACGTTTCGCAGACACCATCGTCGTCCAGTCGCTCTCGGACTCGTCCCTCGCCGGATACACCGACATGATCAACATCACCGCGCCCAACGCCTCTTCCCCTTCCGCCGTTCCTGCCGCTCAGATCCCCTCCGGCACCGTCGCGTCGCTCGTTACCATCCCCGCCCCGACTTCGACCAACGTCGGCGCGAGCGTCGCCTACACCGGCAAGACCCCTGCTCCGACCGCGGTCACGGACGCTCCCTCATCATCCGCCTCGTCGGGCGCCTCGACCTCCGGCCGCCCCTCGGCTTCGGCGTCAGGATCCAGCTTGCGAGTCATGTCGCTCTCGTCCGCTGGCTCGTCAGGCGGCGGCAGCGGGTCAACGGGTGCGGCTGCACAAAGTGCCAGCGTATCCGGCTCGCGTACGTCTGCGGCTAGCTCGCCTAGCCAGACAGGTGGTGCAGCGGGACCGCTCGTCAAGAAGACGGGAGCGGCACTCGCCCTCGTCGCCTGCACCGTCGCCTACTTCTTCTGATCCGACGGCGCTTCTCTCTCGTTCCCGGCGCAACTCGACCCGCCTTGTACTGTCTATCGATACTGCAACCTACTCCGACCTCGACGACCCGCATCCCTAACCTATCCTCGCCTGGCGCACCCTCTATTCCGGCAATCGCTCTCGAAGGTTACCCTTATCCTCCCTCTTCGCCTCTCCACCCATAGCCACTCGCTATTCCCCCATCACCTAATGCCGCGATACCTCCTTCACCTTTCGCCCGCCGATTCTCCTACACTCTCGCACTCCCTATCTATTGTCGTCGCCCTATCTTCCGAACCGCTGGTCGTGCTCTCCTCATTCCCCTGAACTTGGTTTTGTCCGCGCAATCGTATGTATGCATCTGCAACAACGGACGCTCAGTCGCACGTAGCGTGTATGCTTTGGACGAGCGGAAGCAGAATTCGTCCGCCAGTGCCTTCCTTCGCAAGCTCGAGGTCCTCCTCTCCCATCTCTTCCTTTCACGCTGGCCGGCCTCGCTGTTCTCAAGCCGGCATGGCGTCTCACTGCTACTCGGAGTCGATAGCGCACTGCGTGGGTTGGGAAGGCGAAGCAATTCTGTACATTGTGACAATCCAAGGGATGGCAAACTACGATGTTCTGGAGGGGCCGAGACTCGATGAATAGCACTATATGACCATGAACGAACGAGAGGCGAGGGCGGACAGTCGAGGGAAAGGCGAGGCAGTCTAGAAACGAGGGTCGTGGATGTGCTTGTACGAGACAGCGCCGTCTTGCTGCTCGCGCAGGCCGAGCTCGATCATCTGGATCTGGAGGGCGAGGTGCTTGCTGTAGATGGCCGGAGCAGGGCGGAAGATGGCGGAGACGGGCGAAGGAGACGAGGGAAGTCAGCGCGATGACGGGTAACGAGAAGGTCGGGAGAGCCTGTAGAAGGACTTACGAGAAGATACGGGCTTGTGCCAAGTTACCGCTCTGCTTGTCGAGATGGTCAGTGCTGGCTCGCAGGGAAGGAGAGGAGAGTCGAGCGCACCTGCAACCAGAAGCGCTGGACGCCCGAGTACCGCCACACTCCGGGGATCTCTCCCTGCGCATCTTGGCCCCAGAGACCGCCTAACCTGTCCGCAACGTCGTCACCGACGATCCGCCTGACCGTGTCGCGCTGCGAAGCTGCGGAGCGGGAGAGAGTCGGGCGAGTCAGTGGACATCGCCTCAGGAACGGCCTGCCCGCCTGTGAGGCGGTTCTACGCGGCACAAATACTTACTGTAACCTAGCGCAAGCACGACAATGTCTGCCTTAAGCTCAACGCCGTCCTTGAAGAGAACGCCATCCTTGGTGAGCCTTTCGACCTCCACACCCTGCTTGACCTTGATTTTGCCGTCCGCAATCAACCGGGAGCATCCGACATCGATGTAGTAGCCGCCTGTGTGTCGTGGAGAGCGAAGGGGGACGAAGGGAAGACCAAAAACGAGGGGGAACTTTGTCAGCCGAGTTCCGACCCGATTTCTGCGCCAATTCGACTGAACTCACCGCCGTCACGGTAATATTTACAGAACAACCCTGCAGGATAATGATTGAGCTTAAAGCCGGCCTTCTCGAGGCCGTCGAGGAGGGGTTTGTCCTTGATCGCGATCTGTTTCGTCGCCTCGGTGTGGAATTCGGCCAGCAAATCGATAGGGAGGGACGCTAGCATCATGTCTGCGTCGTCGAGAGGCGGGCCGTTCTCCTCATAGACGCCGTTGAGCAAGCCGGGGATCCCGTGTCTGCGGAAAACGTTGTCAGCCACTTAGACCGATGAAACAGCCATTCCGGCAGCGGCAGCGCGAGTAGGAGAGCATCTGAGGATTGTGTGACGCCTGTGGAGACGCCGTGGACGCTGCTGAGGAGGAGAGACTGGAGGATGAAGGGGTGGTACGACGTCCGAGGAGAAGGCTCGAGGATCTCCACTTACTCCGAGGACATGACGTATGTTGAGCTGCGTTGCACGATAGTGGTGTCCAAGCCGTGCTCGTAGGCGTCGGCGGCGATCTGCGAGACGCGAGTCAGTGAAGGAAGTGAGACGGTGTTTGCGAAGGTCGAAGCGTACGTCGTGTCTGCGCAAAGACATCATCAGCTGCCGTAGAGTAGCACGAGATAGAAGTGCATCGAACGCACCCACTGTTGCAGCAGCCGATAACTGAGGAGGAGCGGAGAGACGGTCAGCCGAAGTTCGGCAGGCGAGGCGGAAGGGCACGAACGCACCAACAGCCTTCTTGCCCTCCCAGCCCTGCCCGTGCGCACCAGGGTGAACCGCCGAATGGTGCACGATACCCTTGAACTCGTCAATCGGGAAAGTCGGCTTGCGAGGTTCGCCGGAGAAGCCAGTCGCGAGGACGATGTGCGAGACATTCAGGACGCGGTCGTCTTGGCCTTCGCGGTGGACGCGGACGGTCCACTTCTTGGTTTGCGGGTCGAAGACCGGGTTGCGCTCGATGGTCGACTGGAGCCAGACGTTTAGCTGCATGATGTCGGCATCTGCAAGATCAAACCGCTCGTCAGCTCCGGTGCTGCAGGAGACAGAGGAGCGGAACGCACAGTGCTCGAAGAAGTTGGCGATCATGTCCTTGGGGATGTAGACGGGGTAGGTCTCGGGGAAGCGCATGTAGGCGAGGTGGTCGGCAAAGATGGGGTCGTCTGCGGCCCAAGTGTCCGTTAGCGACGAAGAAGCGAGCTGAGTGAAGATTGGACGCACGGAGGCAGAGTGTGTGGTAGCGACGACGCCACGAGTCTCCGACACGAGCGTTCTTTTCGACGACCAGTGTTTTGATGCCCAAAGCTCCAAGGCGCGCAGCGATGTTCAAGCCGTTCTGCCCGGCGCCGAGGACGAGGACAGTCGGGTCTTCGTCCTCAAACTTCTGCTGCTTGATGCGCTTGTCGAGCCAATTCTCCGACGACGAGTGCTCGCCGTGTTCCGCGCCGAGCGGACGACGAGCGCCAGCGAACTCCTCGTGGCCCTTGACCTCCCAGAGCGTGGTGAAGAACGTGAAGGCCTTCCAGTCGCCTGCGCCAGGTGACGACTCCTTGAGACGCAAAAAACCCTTGCCGCGCGCCTCGGGCGTCTGGTAAGTTGTAAACGCCTCAAGCCAACCAGCTCCATCGTTGATGCGGGCGTCGTGAGGCTTGACGACCCTGAGGCTCGAGATCTCGGGGATGCCGTACTTGCTGAGGTGGCCCTTGATCTCGTCCTTGCGGATAGAGTTGAAGTCGAAGTCGACGGTCTGCGGGGATGAGAGGGAGCGTGTTGGGCCAGCGGGAGAAGTGGGCCAGAGGGGGGATGAGAGGGAGCGTGTTGGGCCAGAGGGAGAAGTGAGGGACGGCAAGGGGTCAGTGAATGTTGAAAGGCGAAAATGCCCGCGAACGAGAGCAGAGTACGAGTTGAGGAGGAGGAGAGAGACGAACCAGGATGTCCCTCCACCATCCGTCGTTGGTAAAGTGGCGGATGATGCCGTCTGCATCGCGAGCAGTGCAAGCAGCCTGTATCGAGTCGCAGAAGGCCTGCGCAATTTCGGCGGGAGTCGACGAGGGATGCTGGACGGGCATGAGCGAAGTGGGGAGTACGTTCTCGACGTGCGAGACGGTCTGCTTGAGCGTGTCGATGACACTCGTCGGTGGGTGTACGTCTGCAGAGGGAGCCATGGTCTGTGTAGCGGTAGCGAGAGGAAGCTGAGGAGGAGAAGGGAGCGTCCCCAGGTCAACGCCTCTATCGCGTCGGGTCCCCACAGCTGGAAACGACCTCGGCTGGCTCCGGCGAGCGTTCTAGACGAGCGTACGTGTCCAGCGTGGAGGGCGCCAGGGCGGATCAGCTGTTGGGTGGGGACAGACGGAGCAAGTTGTCCGTTGAGAGCCTTGGCGAGCGAGCGCGGCGGCGGGCTAACGGGCAGCACGCTCGTTCTCCGCAAATGATACGACTGCTTCTCCAGCTCGATAGCCCACGCAAGGAGGCAGCCAGGGCGAGATGAGGGTGCAGTCCAAGAGGGACACCGAGAGCGAAAGTGCTTCCTCTCTTCGACCCACACACTGCAAGCCAGCGCGTCGAATGCCTGTACTGCTTGAGTGCACCCTGCTGCATCGCCTCACGCTGTCCAGGCTGCGCGACTCATCCCGACTCATCCGACGCTCGACCTCATCAGTTATCGGCCAGCGAGGGAACTTCCGCCGTGCAAGGCGCTTGCGACTCCGTTCTACGCCGTCGAGGCGTTCGTGTACTCTCCAGTAGGACGCTACGGCAGCCGTACGAGGCCCGGCGGGGACAGGGAAGGGCTGGCGGGATCACGGGACGGAGGAAGTAGCCCGTCGCCGAGCGTGAGAGCCTCGCTTGGGCTGCTTCTGGGCCTCGAGGGGACTCTGTTCGGGACAAGTGTACGCTGCGAAGGAGGCTGGCTCGGCAGCGACGACGGGCGGACAATTGAGCGCCCTCTCGACAATCCCCACATCCTCAGCTTCCGACAACTCCCATCCAGCACAGATCCGCGCAGGCTGGCGCGATTCCACGCATGGGGCGGCGATGAGCGAACACGGAACGAGCTCTCCGCACTGAGCGAGACGATCTCGAGGCGAAGGGGAATGTCGGGCGGACATGACCTTTGCGAAGTGCCGCTGCTGCCGCGCTTCGCAAGGACTCTTCCGGCTCCGATCGCTCCCTGTGCCGCCGCACTGAGGGTCACGGGAGCTGGCTGGCAATGGGCTCTGTACTCAGTCTGTGGGGCTGAGCGAGGGGCAGACTTCCCCGCCCGCTCGTCGCTCCTGCTAGCGCTGGTCCTGCTGTCCGCTGCTTCCGTTCATTCCTGCGACTTTCGACGCACCGCAACGATAAAGACATGGCTACGCACGAGATGCCTCTATCCGAGAAGACCATCTCCGCCCACGACGCGCCCGACCTCGAGTCGGGCCACGGCTTGAACCTTCTCGACTCCGAAGGCGGCGCCTCTCTCCGTCGTCAGATCTCGGTCCAGCTCACAGCGGAACAGTTCGAGCGTCTCTATCTCCAGCCAGGAGGACAGAAGGCGAAGGGCGACCTTGCGAAACGCTTTGGCAATCCGACTCCACTTGGACTCGCCAGCTTCCTCCTCTGCCTGACGCCGTTCAGCTGCTACCTCATGGGATGGATCGGAACGACGACGGCAGCCGCGCCGACTCTCGTGTGCGTCCAAGTCTCTCCCCTCGTCGAACGTCGATCTGACGGACTTCGCACGCAGCGGCGCCATGTACTTCATGGGCGGCCTCGGTCTCACCGTTGCAGGCATCCTCGAATGGGTCTTGGGAAACAGTATGTCAAGCGCTGATTGCCCTGCAACGCTTGTCCTGACTCTTACGTCTCCCGCAGCCTTCTCCTCGGTCGTCTTCTTCACCTTCGGCTCGTTCTGGCTCTCGTTCGGCTTCCTCCTCCAGCCAATGCAGGGCGTTGCGACAGACCTCGGAGCGTACGTTCCTCGTCAGCGGAAATGCTGCGGGCTTGCTTGACGCTCCCCCCTCAATAGCACTTCGGTCGAATACAACGGCGGCATCGCGCTCTACCTCATCTGTACGTTCATTCGTCGTTCTTTGATCCTGCACTGCTCCTCGTTTTCGAGCCTGCCTTGTTGACGCTGCTGCCGAACAGGGTGGGCCTGCCTCAACGGCATCTACCTCATCGCCTCGCTCCGAACGAACGTCGTCTTCGTCGCACTCTTCGCCTTCCTCGAAGTGGATTTTTGGCTTCTCGCTACCGTGTACATCAAGCTGGCGAAGGCGAGCGCGAACCACCTGCCCGGTCTCCTCAAGGCTGCCGGCGCTTTTGGCTTTCTCACGACCGTTTGCGGCGAGTAGCTCGCTCCTCCTTCTCTTCCGCCTCTTTTCCTACATCCTACGCGCTGCAGACTGACGTTGATTGCCCGGAACAGGCTGGTATCTGCTCGTCGTCCTCATCCTCGACTCAACTGGCTGGCCCATCAAGCTTCCCGTTGGCGACCTCTCCGGCTTCCTCGTCCGCAAGCGACGCATGGAGTAGACCACACCTACGTTCTTCCTTCTCACCACCCGGCTCGCTCGCACCAGGACTCTCGCTCGAGGGCAATCCACCCAAATCGTCCATCCAGACTTTGTACCAGGTTTGACTCGTCATCTACGTCACGCAATACAGTAGTACCATCCATCGCTTCACGTCCCTCACTTGCCCGCCCCAAAAAACCCAGGCAACATCTTCCCCAGGGCTGAGCTGACCGCTTCGCTTACTTGCTCGACTGCTGCTGCGCCTGCTGAGGCTGCTGCGTCGAGGAGATCGCTTGCTGTTGCGGCTTGTGTCGTGTAAGGAGGAGAATTGTCGGGGCTTGGGCCTCGTGAAGGACGAGGGCGTCTGCGGGAGGAGCGAGAGCGGCGGGACGAGCGGGGTTCGGCGTCGCTCACCGCAGCGCTCATTGAGGGCGTCGGAACGGAAGCGGGAGGAGGAGAAGGAGTGAGGCCGGTTGGACGAGGTCGACTGCGAGACGAGCGGGTGCGCGGGCGGCTTGCGACGTCTCGCTGGGAGCGGGAGGCGCGCGAAGTGTCGGATGGAGGAGACGGCGAAGCGGCGCGCTGTGTCGGCGGAAAGGGCGCGGGGGTGAAGAGGCCGGGGAGGGGAACAGAGGTAGCTCGCTGTGGTCGCCTTTGCTGGCGAGAAGAGCGAGAGCGAGCTTTCGGCGGAGGCGACTCGTCGGGCGCTGAGCGACGCAAATACAAGATGAGAATGCAAGCGCATGGAAGAAGCGAAACGACGTACGTGGGCGTTCTCTTCGGGTCCTTCTTGACCGCCTCTCGTCCTTCGTCTCCTGCCGCGACTGCTGCTTCCCGTCCGGGTCCTGGGCTTCCTTCCAGCTTGACACTGGCGACCCTCGCGACGCTGTCAAGCTGAGAGCGGAAAGGCGACCTCGTCGTCGGCTTGCAACATCGTCTTGCTCCTCCTCGCTCGAGATTGCGGTCCCCAGGACAGCCGGGGTCGCCTTCCTTTGCCGCACCTTGCTCCTCGCCGACCTCGACCGACTCGCGACTGACTCTGAGCGCTCGTCATGCCGAACAAGCTGCGCTTCCAGCTTCTCCTCGTCCAACCGTCGCTCCATCTCGACCTGCGCAAGGCGGATCCGTTCCCGCTCTGGCTTCCACCGCTCGTACTCCTCGACACGACTGATTCTCCTTCTTCGCTCGTGCTCGAACGGCGGAAGCGAGCTTGACCGGCCCTTCGGCTGGCGAGAACGTGCGGAAGACGATCGAGACGAAGAGCGACTCGCTCTGCGCTCAGCCAGGTCGTCCATCAGGTCCCACTTCTCCAGCATGAGTCGGGTTGCTGCTTCGGCTGAGAGTGGCGCACGGACATCGAGACGAGGCGGGTCGAACAAGGGTGATGAGCGAGGTCGAGGGAGAGGAGGAGAGCGAGCAGAGTCTGGTCGGCGGGAGAAGCGGCGGTCGTCGTCGTCGTCGTCGTCACGCAGATAGCGACGCCGCCCCATGGCAAGCGGAACTGCGGGAGGGACAGAGGCAGACGAACGATGCCTGCAGGAGCGACTCCGGAGTGTCCGCGGACCGCCTTGCCTCGTCGAGCTTGGTCCGCTGTGCCGCGCACTCTTTGAACTCTGCGCCATGCCGTCAAGTCGTCATTCAAGCACGCGAGACGATAGCAGTGCAGTCGAGAGGTTGTCGAGGGGAGAGGTTTGAGGTCGCATTCTGAGCCAGTCCTCAATCGTTCAGCCCTCGGTGCACAACATGTATCCAGCACTCGCCAGTGGTGTTCTCGACGCCATCGACAGTGCCGCATGGCGAATGAAGCGAAGGTGCGCATTCCAGCATGTCCTCGTAGGCCCACCGCCCAAGCTCTGTCCTCCAACACCATACAGCCCAATCCGAACCGGATGCGATGGCCTGTCATACCGCGAACGACTTGTCAGTGCCTGTACCGTCCCGAAGAGGCGCCGGAGTGAGGCGAGACGATGGGCGAGGATGGGGGCGAGAGATCAGAGAGAAGGATGTCTTCAAGAGCGCCGCTCCGGCCAGACCCGGCAAGGCGGCCTTGCAACTGAATGCAGGAGCGGTGCGTCCGTCGCAAATTATCCAAAAGTGTTGTTTTGCTCGTCATGTCGAGGGGGGTCGAGGGAAGTTCGAGAATGGAGGCGGAGGACGGACGTACAGGCTGTGGCGCGGCGTAGACCGGTCTAAGAGGCAGTCTAGCAGTGCGCGTGGTCCATAGCAAGCGGTCTCGAGCGGTCGCAGCGGGTGCGAGTGAACGGGCGGAGTCGAGAGAGGAAGTCGAGCACGGTTGGCAGGGATGTTACCCTCGATGGCGTTCTTCCGGGCTGAAAGAGCCGGAGGGACATTCGAGCAGCTTTATCCTTCACTGCGTGGGCGAACCAGGAACCCCGCGAGGCGAGAGCGGGCGCCGTCCCCTTCCTCCTCCTCGACTCCTCCGCTCGAAGTTCGTGATGGACATGCTCGGGGTACAATTGCAACAGGCGTCGTGTCGTCCCATTGAAGGCAATCTAGGCGCAAGGAGGGAACGGCGGAAGGGGTATCGAACGAGGAGATGCGAATGCGAGGGGAAGCGAAGTTGGGTGGATCTAGACGGCATCCTCGAGCTTGAGGCGCGGCGCGATACCCATGGCGATCATTTCTTGAAACAGGAGCTAGAATGACACGCAAACGAGGTCAGCGTCGGAACTCGAGGAGAGAGGAAAGTGAGCTCACCTTGCAGGCGTAGGGGATCATGAGCTTGACAACGGCCTTGCTCGTCTTGCAGCCTGCGAGGAAGCGACTCAATGTCAGTGCTGGAGGTCAGCGAGAGGAAGTGGAGCGGAACGCACGCTTGCACCAGCCGTTGTAGCCCATGAAGCCGCACTGGCCGCAGACGTCGACCTTGAAGGCGTCGGACGAGACCATCAGGCGCTCGAGGAGGAGCTGCGACGCGCCGTGGGCGATCAGGCAGTCGCGCTCCATCTCGCCGAGACGGAGACCGCCGTCGCGCGATCGTCCTTCGGTCGGCTGGCGGGTGAGGACGGCGCGAGGACCGCTGTGAGACGGACGAAGCGTGTCAGTGGCCGAAGATACTGGCTAAATAGGATGGCAGGCGAACGCACCGAGCACGGGCGTGCATCTTGTCCAGAACCTGCGACGGAGGCAAAGGTTAGCAGTGCTCGAGGGGAACCGAGGGGAAGGCGCCACGCACCATGTGCTTGAGCTTCTGGTAGTAGATCGGGCCCATGTAGACGTAGCACTCAAGGGGCTGGCCCGTGATGCCGCTTGTGAGGTAGTCCTTGCCGGCGTACGAGTATCCATGCTCGATCAAGACGCGGCTCATGTCCTCCGCCTTGGATCCGCCGAACGCCGTTCCGTACTCGAACTTGCCCTTGAGGACACCGGCCTTGCCCGAAAGAAGCTCGAGCATCTTGCCGACCGTCATGCGCGAGGGGAAACCGTGCGGGTTCATGATCACGTCGGGGCAGATGCCCTGGTCGTTGAACGGCATGTCCTCCTGCGGGACGATGAGACCGCAGACACCCTTCTGACCGTGGCGAGACGAGAACTTGTCTCCGAGCTCAGGTCGGCGGGTCTGGCGGATGAGCACCTTGACGAGTGTCGAGTCCGAGTCGGTGTCGGTGAGGAGGACCTTGTCGATGTAGCCGGGAATCGGAGCACGGTAGCTCATGCCGGTGTTCTTCCAGGTAGAGGCGGGAGCGTCGGCGCCGCCAGGACCATCGATGCCGGGCAGCTGGTTGTCGTGTGCGTTCGAAGGCGTCTGCTTATTGACGTAGACCTGGCCCGGGTTGACCTGCTCGCCGACGTGCGCAAGACCGTCGAGGTCGAGGATGCCGTACTTGCCGAGCACCTCCCCGTTCTCGCCCTTCGGAGGGTCAGCGAGGCGGTCGTACCTGGCGAGAGGCGGGTGTCAGCGAATGGGTAAGACTAGCAAGGCGAGACCATGAGAACGCACATTCCGTTCGGGTAGCGCTTGAGGAGCGTCGTGTACTTGCGGAAGACCTGGCAGCGCCCGAAGCCGCGGTCGACCGAGGCGCGGTTGAGGATGAGGGCGTCCTCGATGTCGTAGCCTGAATACGACATGACGGCGACCATGGCGTTCTGTCCGGCGGGAAGCTGGTCGTAGCCGATGAGCTCGATTGTCCGCGTTCGGCACATGGGCGTCTGCGGGTAGACCATGAGGTAGAGGAGAGTGTCGATGCGGTTGAGCTGGTTGTGCGCGATGGCGCCGATGGCTTGCTTGCCCATGGCGCACTGGTAGGTGTTGCGAGGCGACTGATTGTGGTGAGGGTAGGGAATGAGGCCGGCGACGGCGCCAAGGAGTGTGAACGGCTCGATCTCGAGGTGGGTCGTCTCGGGTTTGAGCTCGTTTTCGTACAACGCGATGTAGGCATCGTTCTCCTCGTTGACGTCGAGGTACTCGATCAAGCCCTTGCGCAGGAAGTCGTCGAAGGTCATGACCTTCTCGCGGAGCATCTGCATGGGTGCGGGTCAGCTAAGGAGACCGAGGCAAACCGCAGAGACAGGACGCACCTTCATGTGCAACTCCTTGACCTTGCTCTGGCCGTTCTCGACGATGATCAGCGGGCGACAGATGCGTCCTCCGTCGCTGGCGATGTGGATCGCCTGCTGCTGGAGGTTGACGTAGATGCTGACGAACTCGTTGATACGGCCGGCGCGTCGAAGGTGGCGGAAGGTGCGGATGAAGCGAGGACCGCAGCGGGTCAGACCGAGGACGTTACCGTTCAGGTACACGACGAGGTGACCTTCGGCGTAGATCTCGGTGCCGTCGAGAAGGTTGATGTCTGCGCGCAGAGGGGTGTGCAGTTAGCTCACGTCAGACTTCGCATGACGAGTCGAACGAGCGGCCCGGTGCGCACCTTCGACGCCGATGAGGAAGCAGATGTTCCAGATCGGTTCCTCCTCGACGTCCGTCGTGATGTGCGTCATCAGCGCCAAGTTCTTGACCAGCCCGCACGCCTCTCCTTCGGGCGTATCACTCGGGCAGAGCATTCCCCACTGACTCGGCTGGAGCGCACGAGGACCGGACACCTTCCTCGTCTTCTCGAACTGGGACGAGATGCGGGTCATCATGCCGAGCGCTGAGATGAACGATAGTCGCGAGAGGACGTGGGTGATGCCGGCGCGCTCCATCTTGAAACGCTTGAGCGACCAGTTGCCGGTCGAGATGGCGCGGACGAAGCCCTGCGTGATGCCGTCGCCGTGAAGCTGGAACTGCTTGATCGCGTCGAACTCGGTCGCTCGGTTCGATTTCTTGAGGATCTTGTCGATGTTCATCTTGAGATCATGGTTGAACTTCTTGAAGAGGTCTTCGAAGAGGAGCGAGAGAAGCTGGCCGGCGCTGTTTTCGCCGCGCAAACCCAAAGTCAATACGCTCGCCTCGAGACGATGCTAACAAGCGAGCGCGACACGCACAGTTCGAGACGCTTGTTACCGACATAATCCCGGTCATCGACGTTCTTCGGGTCGAGCATCGCCATCAACACCCTGCGCGCCATGTTGGCAATGTAGATCGCCTTCGGTCGCAGGTTGAGGTCCTCGACGGGAACGTGCGCGAGGACGACCGTCGCCAGCACCTCGAGCGCCTCCTCCGACGCAGGCCGCCGGGGCGCCCAGCTCTTCTCCGCGCCTCCCGACCCAGGCGTCCCAGCCGGTTTCCGAATGATCTTGACGCGGTGTCCGATGTAGTCGAGCGCCTGCTGCTGCGTCTGGACCGGGATGGGCTGCCCAGACTTGGTCTTCAGGTCGTCCATCTCCTCGATGTTGATGCCGAACGCGGCGCGGTAGTCGTCGTCGTTGCCGCAGACGAGCTGGACAATCTCGCGTGCCGAGACGATGCCGAGGGCGCGAAGGACCACGCCGATGGGGATGTCTTCGTGGATCGAGTTGTGCTTGAGGTAGATCTTGCCGTGCTTGGTCAGAACGTAGGTCTTGGACTTGCGCTCGTGGGTCGAGCTGTCGAACGAGTCTGTCAGCGATGCGACGCCGCATGGGAAGCGAGCAACTCACGAGGTGACGGAAGCCTGCACGAGACCCTTCTTCGGCTCAGTCTCGACGATGATTCGGTTCTTCGACAGCTGCTCCTGAACGAGGATGACCTTCTCCGTACCCTTGACGATGAAGTAGCCGCCCGGGTCGAGCGGGCACTCGTTCATCTGGGCGAGCTGCGCCTTGTTCTTGCCCATCAAGACGCACTTGTTGCTCCGCAGCATGATCGGTAGCCGCCCGATCCTGATACCCTTTGAGACGACCTCCTGCTTCCCACGCGTGTACTTGATGTTGACATAGACGGGGGCCGAGTAACTCAAGTCGCGCAGGCGGCACTCGTGAGGCGTGATCGACGGGTTGATGGCATTCTCGTCGGGTCGTTCGGGCGAACCGACGCGGATGTCGGTGTACTCGAGGTAGAAGTTCGGGTCGACGTCCGAGGTGATGCGGGCGTTGGCGCGGAGGATGGCTTGCAGGTCGACGTCGACAAAGTAGTTGAACGAGTCGATGTGCTGCTTGACCAGACCCTTGACGGCGAGGAAGGCGGGCAGCAGCTCCCACTTGTCCTGTGAGCGATGGCGCAGGAACGAAAGCGTCAGCCTCTTGCAGACCGCCCAAACGGATAAACCGAACGCACCGTCACGCTCTTGATCGGGTCACTCAAGCTCTTCCCCTTGTACATGTCCTGTCCGAGCGCTTCCAGCCCATCCGCAAGATGTCTTGCGTCCCTGCCGACGTCCTGCATGCTCGCCATCTCTCCTCGCTCCTGCACCTTCGCCTTGCCCTTCCCTTTCGCAGCTCGACTCGCAGTCTCCGCCTCAACCCGCGCTGACACCTTGACGCCATCGTCCTCTCCAACGAGTGGCCCCGCAGGCGCGTAGTCGACCATCTCGGTGTCGCCCTCGCCCGTTTCCTGCGTCTCGTCGAGGTCCATCGGTTCGGAGGGAAGCGCCTTGGCGGGCGGGAGTCCCGTCTCGGCCGAAGAGTCATCAGAATGGTGGTGTGCGGACGAGGTGGAAGGGACTGGGCCGGCAGGAGTGGCAGTTGCTGTAGACGAGGATGTTGCGGATGCTTGGGAGGAGGAAGCCGAGGCGGCGGAGGCCGCGTTTGCGGCGCGCAGCCGTGCGACCTTTGAGTTTCCCTTGGGCGGCATCCTGCTTCACTCGCCACGCGCCTGCTGTCCTGTGAGAGGCGCGAGGTCCGCTGAGAGATGAGCGGGCGGTGGAGGCGACCACTGAGGGCGGGACTTGTGCTGGCGCGAGAGCGGGCGTGCGCGAGTCAGTCCAGCCGTGTAGCAACCTGTCCCACGCAGCAGAACGAGCGCCAGTCCCAGCGAGCGAGTGTGGCCGCGACCAAGTGAGCGCGGACTTTGGCTTTCGTCTCTCGGACACCCACGACGAACGAGCTGGACTCGTTCTCCCGCTTGCTGGGACTGTGACTGCCACGAGACTGCTAGGCTTCTCTTGACGACCATCCCAGTTCAATCCGCTCGCCAGGAGACGCCGCCGTCGACGCGCTCACCTCCCCACTCCTCCTGCTCTCCGAACAGCTCGCGATGAAGACAGTCGCACTCCTTTCGGGCGGCAAGGACAGCGTGTACAACCTCTTGCACTGCGTAGCGAACGGACACGAGCCAGTCGCAGTCGCTTCGCTGGGTCCGCCAGCTGGGAAAGGTGCGTTTCGCTTCTTCACTCGCTTGCTGAGGCCGCATAAGCTGATCCTGAGCGTCTTTCTCGCCAGATGAACTCGACTCGTTCATGTACCAGACCGTCGGGCACTCTGGCCTCGCGACTCTCGCTCAGGCTCTTGACCTACCCTTCTTCAGCCGAGCAATCAAGGGGACTGCGGTCAACGTCGGCGGAGAATATGGCACACGCGAGGGCAAGGACAAGGGAAAGCAGAAGGAGAACGATGGAGACGAGACGGAGGACTTGTACGAGCTGTTGAAGGAGGTCAAGGTGTGCAGCCGTTCTCAGGGCGATGCGAAAGTCAGTCTCCGGCTGACGTATTCTCGCTGCGCCATCTGTGCAGGAAGCGATGCCGTCAGTACAAGGCGTATCAGTCGGAGCAATCCTCTCGAACTACCAACGAGTACGAGTCGAGCATGTGTGCGTCTCAGCCTTTGCCTCCTTCCTCGCCTTCACCGCTGATTTCGCTCTACTATTACGCCAGCTGCGCTCGTCTCGGTCTTACGCCCCTCGCCTACCTTTGGGAAAGAAGTCAGCCAGAGCTTTTGCGGGAGATGGTCGAGGCGGGGATGGAGAGCGTGCTGGTCAAGGTTGCGGGAGCTGGGTGCGTTGAGAGCTTTGCGCCTGCTGAGACGAATGAGCTTGATGGGACAATCGCTGATGGCTGTGGACACCGACGGGGCACAGGTTGCAGGTCGAGCATCTCGGCAAGTCGCTCAAGGAGATGGAACCGACTCTACATCGTCTGGTCCGTCGCGTCTCTACCAAGCGATTTGTTCCGAATGCTGACTCTTCCGTGTCGCAGAACAAGCGCTACGAGCTACATGTCTGCGGAGAAGGAGGCGAATACGAGACTTTTACGCTCGACTGCCCGCTCTTCAAGCGTCGCGTCAACCTGTAAGCCGTCCGACTTCCCTGTTCTCTTCCTACGCGCAGGACTGATCTCCTGCGCATACTCACAGCGACAAGTACACCCTCCACGTCTCTGACCCCTCTCCCTTCTCCACCGTCGCCCATCTCCACCTCGACTCCCTCTCTCTCGGTCCGCCGAAACCCGATGTGCCCGCGCAGGAGACCTTTGAAGAGCTGCGCGAACGGGTGAAGAGGGAGGTGAAGCTTGGGGTACCGGGTATCTGGGAGGAGGCGAGTTTCAGGTGGAAGGCGGAGGGGAGGAAGGCGTATGAGGCGGTCAAAGCCCAGGAGGAGGCGAGCGACGAGGCTGCAGCGGACGGCGGTGTGAGAGATGAAGAGGGAGGGCAGGGTGTACCGTCGTCGAACTTGACGGAGGACGGGTGGCTTTATTTCGGCGAAGTACTCGCGGCGCAGGATAAGCGAGGCGAGGAAATCTCCATCGAGGAGGAGGTGCGAAGTTGTTTCGCGGCGTTGCAAGGTGCCTGTGAATCTGTTCGAACCGCTCCCGGACCAGGCTGACATTCCTGCCTCGACAGCGCTCCTCAACTCGCACAACACGTCCCTCCTGTCGCTCGCCCACCTTACCGTCCTACTCTCCCCGTCCGCCGATACTATGGCGCTCTTCCCACGCATCAACGCCGTCTACTCTACCTACTTCGGCTCGTCTCCTCCGACTCGCGCTTGCGTTGCCGTTCCTGGACGAGGAAACTGGAGGGTCAAGCTGGAAGGCGTCGCGAAGGTTGCGCAGAGTAATGTGAGGGAAGAGAGGAAGGCGTTGCATGTGCAGAGCTTGAGTTACTGGGCGCCGGCGAATATCGGGCCGTACAGCCAGAGTGTCAAGGTGCGCCCTTTTCTCCTCGCTCTCCTTCTCCGTCTTTTCGGGCGTACAGGCGCTGACGGCTGCCAGAACAGACGGGAGGCCGACTCTTCGTTGCAGGGCAGATCCCGCTCATCCCGGCGTCGCTCACGCTTCCTCCCTCCCCCTCCTCCTCAAGCTCCTCGACCGCCGACGCCTCCGACATCTCCTCCCACCTCTCCCTCTCACTCCAACACCTCCACCGCATCATCCGCTCCTCCGCGCCTCCCTCTCCCCAAACACACTTCACCTCGTCAAGCATTCAAGCGCGCGCCTCACACGGCGTATGCTGGTTCGCCCCGACTTCTTCCTCCGAGATTGAGTGGCGGCGGCGGGTTGCTGCAGCTCGTGCGGTATGGGAAGCGAGCGAGAAGACGTATCTATTGGTGGAAGACGCGGAGTACGATGGAGAGGATGAGGAGAGGGTGCGGACGGCGCCGTTCTTGGCCGTTGAGGCGGCTGCGCTACCGAGGAATGCGGAGGTCGAGTGGGTTGCGGAGTGGGACGTGCCAGAGATGCTGCAGGACGACGAGGATGACGAGGAGGATGAACGTAGCGGGTTTGGCGAGGACGAGACCTGGGTGCGGTCGACTACAGGTGCGCTAAATCATCCTTTCTTCCACCTATTGCGGCGTCTCGGGCAAGCCTGACTCTCTCCTGCGCGAACAGTGTCGAACCAAAGCGGTCGCTTCGTCTCGTACCAATGCTCGCAGGCTCCGCCGCGCTCAAAACTCGTTACCTTCGTCCTCGCCGCGCACAAAGGTTCGTCCCTGTTCTCGCTAATGACAAGAAGCGTTCTGACTGCTGTTCGACGTGCAGGAGAATCAGATACACACCCGCTCCCTTCCGTCGACTCCTCCGCCATCCACTCGCTCAAGGTCTTCTACCAGTCTTCGCGACTGAGCCAATCCGAGGGTGCGCCCACGTCCTCTTCCTGTTCACAGTGCGCCACTAACCAGTCGCCTGCTACAGCCGAACGACTAGCCTCCTCCCTCTGCGGCCTCAACTCGTCAAGTTCGCAGAGACCAGCGCTCTCATTCGTCCCGGTCGGAAGGATCGCGACTGGCGGTGCGGTAGAGGAGCAGTGGGATGTTGGGATTGTAGGTGTCGCGGCGAGAGTGCGTGCGTAGACTGCAACTCGCAGAGAGTTCAAAACGACTGCATCTCCTTGTAATGCCGCTCTCACTCGAGTGACAGTCGCGATGTGCGTGAGAATGCAGGGTGCGTAACAGTACAACGACAACTGCTCCGCTTCTATCGACGCCGACCAATGATCTAAGCTGCGAGAGCGTCTGAACCTCACTACACTCGCAACCCATCAACACCCGTCTGCAAGCCCGCCACCCCACTCCCACCTCCAAGCTCGACCATCTGTGCCTCCTCCAACCAATCCATAACCCCCGCATAACTCGTCAACCCATTGAACCCAATCCCGTCCTTCTTGTTCGCAAAGCGGGACTCGAGCATGTACGCGACGTGGCGGTGGAAGAGCGGGAAGATTAGGCCGGTGGAGATGGAGAGGTCGAGGAATTCCTGCGCGACAGAGGGGGTGAGCGAGAAAACAGGGGAAGAAGGAGAGAGGACGCACCTGGACGGCCTGGAGCGGGGTCTTCGAGTAACCCGCAAAGAGCGCCTGAGAGACGAGACCGTCAGCGCGCAGACACCCGTACGTGACTTGTCGATACGCACCGGGTTCGCCAGCAACCCCCGCGCACTCATAACCCCCTGCACTCCCGTCTTCCTCCTCAACTCCTCCCCATCCTCCTTCGTGAACACGTCTCCGTTCGCAACGACCGGCACGGCGCCCTTCGCACACGACGCAGCGAAAGCGATTGCGTCGGGATTGACGGGGAAGGATTCGGAGGATTGGTGGCGCGTTCGACCGTGTACGGTGATGAAGTCGGCTCCGCCGGCTATGGCGTTTGAGACGAGCTCGTTCGTTCGGCTGCACGTCGACGTCAGCGAGCGCATGAGCAGTAGAGAATCGGGACGCACGTCGGGTCATCGTCCACTCGGATCTTGACGCTGACGGGAAAGTCCCAGCCTATCCGCTGCTTCGTCGTGCGCACGAGGTCCCGCACCAAGTCCGGCTTGCGCAGCAACGCACAGCCAATCCCTTCCTGGAAGGCCCACTTCTGCGGACAGCCTGTCAAGCCGAGCGTGTGAGGAGGAGGACAAGGAGGAGGAGAACGAAAGCGTACGCACCGCAGTTCAGGTCGATCCCGTCTACCCAAGGTTTCGCCAGCTCCGACGCATCTGCCAGCTGCACCGGATCGTTCGCCGCGAACTGTATGATCAACCGACCCTTGACTTTCCGCCGCCTCTTCCCTCCTCCTGCTCCTCCGCCATTCGAAAGCGAGTGCAACCCGCGCCGCGGTTCAGGCGAGGGATCCCATTCGGCGACGGGTGATCCGGCGTGAGTCTCGGGGAGGTAGAACGAGCCTCGCTCAGTCGACGAGGTGGTGAAGTCGCTATCTCGAGCGAGTGCGGATCGACTGAACTCGGCGGCGCTGCATGCCATGTCGCTCGTCAGTGGTGGAGCTTGTAGGTACTGAGCAGAGCACGCACAGCATCATGGGCGTCCACACGAGGTGCGTCTCGTACTGCGAGACGAGCGCTCGGAACGGCAGCTGGTAGGTGGGAGGGAGATGTCAGCTTGGGACGAGTGACAAACCAAAGGTCGCAGCGGTAGCTCACTTTGCCGTAGCGAACCATCGGAGCTGTTCAGCAGAGCATCCCCTCCCGTCAGCCTGCTCCGCGGCCTCATCAGCATCCAGCGAAACGCACCACAAGCGTTGACCCCGTCGAACTCGCGCAGGATGTCCTGCGGCAGCAACTCCTCGGCAGCAGCAGCATGCACCTCGTCCACGTTGACCGAGTGCGGCATCTCGCGACTCAACGGGCGAGAAGGCGTGAAGGATGAAGCAAGCAAGGACGAGCTCGGCTCCAAACAGCAGCACGGGCGCGCTGCTTGGCGGATCTTCGCTCGGCTTTGCGCACCGCGCTGCTGGGCGGATCTTCGCTCGGCTTTGCTTGCGCTAGAAATACGAAGCTTGTCTAGCGCAACGCAGCGAAGCAGCGGACTTTGGCGAGCCAGCGTGGGGGCGAGGAGCGTTCGTCGCTCGCACGGCGAGGACGACTGGACGAGTGCAGTCCGGCCGACAGGTTATGTAAGCGAGTTGTTCAACAGCGAATCAGCCGACGCAGGGCGGCAAAGTGTCGGTCCGCCCTCGTCGAGCACGACCCTCCCCTCCGCACGCAAACTCTCGTGAAGAATCGGCTCGAACGCGAACGGCTTCGTGTTGCGTCATAGCCAAGCCGGGAAAATGAACTCTGCACTCACACGAGCGGGACGCCCCGGAGTCGGCGAGCAGTCAACGTCATGTTGCTGGCCGAACGAAGGATTCACGACGCGCTAAGTCTGATCGGTGAGCTCGAGCAGCGGGGTGCGAAACGGTGGCGCATCAACAGCAACAGCCACTCGAGACGCCCAGCAGCAGCGACAGCGACGACGGCGAGCGAGAGAGAGGGTCTTAGCAGGGAGAGTGGGCGCCTGCTCCATCTCTCCGCGTTTGTCGGTGGTCGCGGGGGCAAGCGCGGAGGGAGGGGTGCTTGTCGAGTGGAGTTTCGACCAGAAAAGAAACTAGCGCGGAGGGGGGGACCCCGGTCGTGCCTTCTGCTTTGCCGTCTCTCGTCCGGCGTCTTTCTCTCGCTCCTCTCCCTCTTCCTCCTTCGTTCTCCTTCGAGCTTACACGACGTCGACATGAGCGTCGCCGACCAACATCTCCACCTCAAAGAGAAGGGCGAGAAGCGCGAGTTCGCGCACAACTCGCCCGCTCCTTCGCGCGAAGGCTCCACCAAGCCCGGATGGAACGGCGTCGCCTCCCTTCCTGAAGGTACACCGTGCGTCGACGTTTGCCACGCTGGTTATCGTCGTTGCGACACTCGGAACTACCTGTATTGACGTTGTTGTCGCCCGAACAGTGTCAACGCGGATGGCGTCCCTACCTACATGGGCACAAGCGGCAACAAGCTTGGCGCACTCGTTACTCTTGCAGCGAGCATGGGTTTCTGCCTATTCGGGGGCGTCCTCATTCATCTATCTGGCATCGTTGGCAGCCTCCGCAACGTTCTCGCCGCTTCCCGCTTCGCCACGGCTAACCTCCCATCTTTCCTCGTGCAGGTATGACCAGGGTGTAATGTCCGGTCTCATTTCCGCACCTCAATTCATCTCGGTCTTCCCTGCTTGCGACGCCGCCGTTCAAGGCGCCTACAAAGGTCCGTTCTCCTCCTGGCCGACCCTTGCGGCGAGTCATTCCTCCCGAAGTTCCGGCTGACTTTCTCCCGTTCCTTACACAGCTTCTGTCCTTCAAGCGTTCTATGTCGCCATTTACGAAGTCGGCTGCCTAGGCGGCGCCATCTTCGCCCTCATGTTTGGAGACCGTCTTGGTCGTCGTCGGTTCGTCTGCCCTCTTTGCGCCTGTTCGAGCTTCAGACTGACAATATCGCATTCACAGCATGATGTATATCGGTGCATTCGTCCTCTTGCTCGGCGTCTTGATCCAAGTCACCGCTTTCCGCGGACACTGGGCCGGCGGACAGTTCGTCATCGGCCGTATCGTCACCGGACTCGGTACCGGCTTCGAAACCTCGACCATCCCCACCTGGCATGCTGAGTGCGCCAAAGCCCACTCCCGTGGCTTTGCCGTCTTTATCGAGGCCGCCATGATCTCGACCGGGACGATGATTGCCTACGTTCGTCCTTTCGCGCGTCCTTCCCCGCCTCTCTTCCGTGCTCACACTTTCGCTCTACGCAGTGGATTGACTTCGGCTTCTCCTACCTGCCGGACTCGACGTCGTGGCGTGTTCCCATCGCGCTCCAGGCCATCTTCGCCGTCGCCCTCGTCGCCCTCATCGCGTTCCTCCCCGAGTCGCCCCGTTGGCTCGTGTCAAAGGGACACTACGTCGAGGCGCAGCGCGTTATCGCCGCTCTCGAGCCCGCCCACTTCACCGACGAGACCGTCCTCCTCCAGCTCAAGATCATTGGCGACTCGCTCGAGGGCCAGACGCGCCAGCGCAAGCGCGACCTTATCACCAACGGCCCGACGCAGCACTTCCGCCGCGCCCTCCTCGGTTCCTCGTCGCAGTTCTTCCAGCAGGTCGGTGGCTGCAACGCCGTCATCTGTGCGTCCGGGTTCCTCCGATCTACGCCCTTCGTTCCTCCTTACTGACGCTACTTGCGTGCACTCGCAGACTTCTCGACCCCCATCTTCGAGGAGTACCTCGGACTCGGCCGCAAGCTCTCCCTCATCCTCGGCTCGGTTCTCGCGACCGTCTACGCCCTTTCGGCGTGCATCTCGTTCCCGCTCGTCGACAAGGCCGGTCGTCGCAAGCTCTACTTCATCGGAACCTGGGGACAGGCATTGTCGATGTTCCTCATGTGAGTTTGCTTCCGGACCTTCTCCTCCTCCTTCCCGACGTTTCCCCGGGTGTTCCGCCCGCTCTCACCGGTTCACAAGCACTCTGAAGAGACGTCGGACATTAACTTTCGCGCCTCCGTGCAGCATGGCGTGCCTCATCCCCGACAAGAGCACCGGCGCCTCGAAGGGAGCTGTCGTCGGCATCTTCCTTTACCTGACCTTCTTCGGCTTCACTTGGCTTGAGCTCCCCTGGTTGTACCCAGCGGAAATCAACCCGTTGAAGACCCGCACCGTCGCCAACGCCGTTTCGACCATCAACAACTGGCTCTGGAACGTGAGCCCTCTTTCTCTCCCTCCTGCATCGAAGAGACGCTGATCTGCTCCCGATACAGTTTACCGTCGTCATGTTCACGCCTCCCTTCCTCGCCTCCACCGCCGTCGGCACTTTCGGTTCGTTTGCTCTCCTCTTCTCACTCAAGCGCTCCCGACTCACTCGTCTTTGTTTCTACAGCCTTCTTCGGCGCAATCAACCTCTGCTTCTTGCCTATCATCTGGTACTTCTACCCGGAGACCGCCGGTCGCAGTCTCGAGGAGATTGACGTGAGTTCTCCCGCCTCTTCCTCTCTTCATCTCCTCGTTCCTCTCACTGACGCTCACAATCGCTTCTACAGCTCGTCTTCGCCAAGGGCTACGTCGAGGGTGTCTCCTACGTCAAGATGGCGAACGACATGCCCAAGATGGGTCCCAAAGAGGTTCAAGCCGAGTGGGCTCGTCTCGGCCTCGACCCGGAGGACGAGTTGCCTACCCGTCCGTCGGACGCCGAGCGTGCCATCGGCGGCGAGTCCATCGGCGGTACGACAGCTGCCAACGCGCAGGTCTAAGACCACCTCGCTCTCCTCCCGAGCCTATTTATCGCGCTCGCCGACGCCCCAAACAACCGCGTGTATATGTTCCTTTACTCCCGCGTCAATGTCTATAGCATCCTTCTCTCGATACACTTGATAGATACCCGACTCTGGATATACGTTTCCTCGTCCTCGAGAAGTAGAGGAATTGGATCTCTGGATTGACATCTCGTCCCTGCCTATCCTTCGCCTGTTGCGACCTTGCGGGTGGCTTGTGCCTGCGAGCGAGCGGACTCGTCCAGCTTGCCTCCAGCGACCAGGTTGAGAGTCTTGCGCAAATATCGCAGTCGATGAGGAGGAAGGACGGACGGCGAGTCTTGCAGCTCCGTGCGACGCCTCCTCGGGCGGACCGTAGTTTCTGACACATGCAGACATACTGCGCCCGCTTCACAACTCACTGGAAGGCGTGGAGAGGCAGTCGAGGTCACCTTGCGATGTCAATTCCGCGAGTTGACTTCTGCCTGTTCACTCGCTCGCTCAAACACCGCCTGCTGCTCTCTGACAGACCTGTCCAGCTTCCTAGCTACTCCTGCCTGGTCGTACACTCGCGCGCCACGCCCGACGGCGCTGTCTCGAGGCGGACGAGTCGGTGATGGCGTTCGGAAGTCGCGTCGTCAGCAAGGCCAGGACGACCACGCGGACGGGCGCGGCCAGCTCAAATAGGGCCAGCACATCCTCTCGATCCACCCCACGCTCGTCGCCCAGCCCGCCGCGCAGGAGGAAGAAGCGTTCGCCGCCTTCATCAGAGTCGGAGGCAGGAGGCGGTGTGGGGAGGCGTTTGCGGGCCGGCGGGAGCGCTGGGACAAGCTCGTCGGCTGAATCAGATTTCGAGAAGGAGGCGAGGAGCGAGGCTAAGGCTGAAGCGGCGGCGATCCAGCTGAAGGAGGAGAAGGCGAGGAGGAGGGAACTTAAGAAGGACTACAGGAAGCGCGGCGAAGAGCTTCCAGACGCGCTGAAGAAGCCTATCAAGGGCGAGGAGAAGGCGAAGGGCGCTCCTAAACTGAAGCCGGACGCGGCTGCCGTCTACCAGCTCGCCAAGTCCAAGGCGGCTCTCGCCTCGAAGGGCAAAGGTCGGGCTGTTGTGCAGAGCAGCGACAGCGACGACGAAGGATCGAAGATGACGAAGCCGACGCTCAGGAAGGGTGCCAAGATGAAGGAGATCACAGCCAACATCGGCATCAAAGTCTCGGAGACAGGCAGCGACAGCGAAGGCGCGAACGATGGTTCGCCGTCTCGCTCTTTCTCCTACCTAGTCACTCAGCTGACTCACACAATGCAGTCATGAGTATGATGCGCGAGACGGGCGACCTTGCCGACGACGAGGACGAGGTTCGACGGCATCTCGCGCGCCGCTGGGTCGACACGAAGCACCCGCACCGCATGTCCGCCCGCCGCAAGCGACTCGAGATGAAGTACAATCCGCTCATTCGTCTTCTCGGTGCGTCCGGGTTTCTCTCTTAGCGTGATACGCGTGCTGACGGACTGAGCGAACAGACATCAAGATCACGGTCGTCGAGAGTGGCAAGCATTCCGACTCGAACGACGAGCGACGGCAGAACAAGTTCGGCGCTGCGCTCAATGCGACCGATTCGGACGAGCCGAGCGACGCCAGCATCGACACGGACTGGAACTCGAGCGGGATGGGCGAGTTCAACGGCAGGATTGCGCCAGCTCGCCCGTTGACCGTCAAAGCAGAACCACCCTCTTCTTCGCCGCCCCCGTACCTCAAGGTTGCGCACAGCGACGAAGATGTCAAGCCTGTCATCCCGCGACAGCAGGCCGTCCGAGGCGCGATTGAGGACAAGAAGCCCGTCATCGAGGTGCGCCCGATCTCTCGCCTTTTGTCGACGTGTACTAACGTTCGTGCGTGCAGCTAAGCGACGACGAGGAGCCGTCCACGCAGGAGGAGGACGCCGACGCCGACATGGGCGAGGCTAAGCCGGTCATTCGCGCTCCTCTGTCCGTCCCGTCCGCGTACAACAAGTCGCTGTCTGCGCCTCGACCCAAGATTGAGGAGATAGTCGTCGACGAGGATTTCGACAGCGGTGCTGAACCCGACACGGAGGGATCCGACGTCGAGTTTGTCGCGCCGAAGGCTTCGCTCGCGCCTCACTTTCCGGCACACGTCCATCCAGGATCGCAGTCGTCCGGTCCTTCGCCACTGTTGACGTCTGTCAAGGCCGAGTCGCAGGATCGCCGACAGTCCTTCGGCTCCTCGCAGTCGCAAGGTGCTGCTGCTCGCAGCGTGAACGTCAAGACGGAGGCCAAGGTCGAAGAAGCGGACGAGACGGACGAGGATGTCGACAACTTTACTCGTGGCTTGCTGGCTGCCCAGGCGAAGCGTCGTGAGGAGGAGGACCTGAAGCGCAAGGAGGAGAGGCGCAGGGAGACGCAGGCGAAGATTGCGGATGAGCGGAAGAAGAAGATGGCGAGGGAGCTCGAGGCGCAGAATTTGTGGCGCGAGGAGGAGGTCGATGACGAGGAAGAGGATGTCGAGGAGGACGAGCTGCCGATTTGGGAGAAGAGCGCTCGAGAGAAGGAGCAGGTGCGTTGACCTTGCGCAGCTCTCCTCCCGTTCCACAGCTGACCCGTCCTCGTCGCCCAGTCTTGCATGGCGTGGCCGCAACCGGTCCGCAAGGGTCGCCCGAAGTTCCTTCTCACAAGCGCCGCCCAAGCCAACACGGGTCCACACAAGCTGTCCAACGTTCCGGGCGACACCGCTCAGGTCCCGGCCCCAATCAACAAGTTCCTTCGTCCGTATCAGCGCGAAGGCGCCGAATTCCTGTACGGGCAGTTCAAGAAGGGCATTGGTGGCATCCTCGGCGACGACATGGTGCGTCCGTTCGGCACTCTCTTCGTGGTCTCACACGCTGACGCTCCATCGCTTGGCAGGGCCTCGGCAAGACGATCCAGGTTATTGCCTTCCTCTCCGCCATCATGAGTGCGTGCAGTCGCCGCTGCTTCGACGCTTTGGCCTGACTCACTCGTCTTCCTGCAGACAAGACCGGCTTCAAGAAGGCCGACGCAGGAAAGCGCAAGGACGCGATCAACGACCTCGCCGCTGACGAGCCGTTCAAGCCTACCGACCTCGGCCTGACTTGCCTCATCGCCTGTCCCGCTTCGGTCGTCGGCAACTGGCAGCGCGAGTTCCGCACGGTGAGCACGTCACTCCTAACTAGCTGCAAAGTTTCGCTGACACGCGCTCATCAGTGGGGCTATTTCGACGTCGGGATCTACGGAGGGACCGCCAGCGACAAGAAGGCCGTCCTCAACAGGTTCGACCGCGGCTATCTCGATGTCGTCATCGCCAGCATCGAGGGCGTCAGGAACAACATCGACGACTTTGCCGCACGAGACTTCTCCATCGTCATCGTCGACGAAGCTCATCGCGTGAAGAACCCCAAGTCCAACACGACGATCGCGTTGCACCGCTTTCCGACGCCTTTCCGCTACGGCCTTACCGGCACGGCCATTCAGAACAGGCTTGACGAGTTCTGGTGCATCTTGAACTGGGCGGTCCCAGGACGAGTTGGCACTCACTCGCAGTGGTGTGTCTGGAGTTCTTGGTTCTTGGGTTACGCTGACTCGGCCCTCTCGCAGGAACCAGCTCGTCTCGCGTCCGATCAAGTATGCCCAGCAGGCTACCGCAACGGACGACGAGATCGCTGTCGGCCGCTCGCGTGCAGTCGCTCTCGCTGGCAGGCTTTTGCCGCACTTTTGGCTGCGCAGGTGCGTCTCGATTGCGCACGAGCTCGGGACGAGCGGTTGACCCCCTGGTCCCGCAGGACGAAGGAAAGCGTCAAGATCCAGCTTCCGAAGAAGACCGACAACATTGTCTTGTGCCCGCTCACGGCGCTCCAGAAGGACGTCTACAAGAACCTCCTCAGGCTTGAGCAGGTCAAGATTATCCTGACGGCCGACGAGCCCTGCCCGTGCGGAAGCCGTGACGAGAAGAACGAGCCGTACAAGCGCGGGTCCTGCTGCGACCAAAAGTGGACGAAGGTGCGTCCTCTGCGGAGGCTAGGCTGAAGAAGCGTCGAGCTGACGTACGGACGTGCGCAGCTCATCTTCAAGTACATCACGCTCTTCGCCAAGGTCAGCAACCATCTCGGACTGATCTACCCAGGTTCGTGCGTCTCTCGGGCGGTCGCCGGCCGAACTGATCAACTCATACCGCACAGACAAGGAGGATAAGACGACGAACCCGACGAAATACGAGCAGGATCTCGAGTGGGCTCGCGCCGCCTTCCCCGACGACTTCGAGAAGCGTACGCCCGGCCCGATGGCCTTCCTCGACCCGAACCTGTGCGGCAAGTGGACGGTGCGTCGCAATCCCGCGCAAATCGAAGAAGCACCAGTTAAGCCTTGTTCTCGCAGATCCTTTGCCAGCTGCTCGAGATCTGGCACAGCCAAGGCGACAAGGTCCTCATCTTCACGATGTCGCTCAAGATCATCGACTTGCTCGAGAATCTGATGCAGCACACGCGCTACGAGTACATCGTTCTCGACGGGAGCACGCCGCAAGAAGACCGTGCGTGCCAACCTACGCTAGCCGCTCCGCCTGCCCAACTCACTTCGCCCGTTCGCAGGCATGCCGCTCGTCGACGAGTTCAACGACCCTCATTCCGAGAAGTTCTGCTTCCTGATTTCGACGCGTGCCGGCGGCGTCGGGCTAAACTTGACGGCGGCGAATCGCGTTCGTCCAGCTCAACTCGCCCACGTGTCAAAGCTGACATTCCTTCTCTCGCAGGTCGTCATCTTCGACCCGAACTGGAACCCTGCGCACGACCTGCAGGCCATGGATCGAGCGTACCGGTTCGGCCAGACGCGCGAGGTCAACGTCTACCGCCTTATCGGCGCGGGCACGTACGTTCCGCCGTGCATTCTCCCGTCCATCCCTCGTACTGATCTCTGTGCGCCCACAGCCTTGAGGAGCTCATCTACAACCGCCAGCAGTACAAGCGCAGCATCGCAAACACGAGTTGTTCGTCCACCTCGCTTCTCCAAGCGAAGACTTGTGTGCTTACTTCGCCTCCCCGCAGACGATGCAAGCGCCGAGCGTCGTCTCTTCACCGGCGTCGAAGGCGAGGGCAAGAAGCAAGCCGGCGAGCTGTGGGGCGTCAAGAACATCTTCAAGTTCAACGAGAACATGTCGCTCACCGAGATGTCGATCCGACGCGCCGACCTCACCGAGCTCGAGTACGCCCTCCGCAACACGAACCTGTTCGACGCCGACGACGCCAAAGCTGCCAAAGTCGAAGAGCCGGATCCGGACGAGGTTGTCGCCGAGATTACGGGCTACAGCGCGAAGGCTGAGCCGACGAACAGTGCGTTTCGCGGGCGATATCAGGACGAGCACACCTGACCTCTTTCTGCTTTTCTCGCAGCGATGACACCGGAAGAAGCCGCTCGTCACAAGCTGCTCCTCGAGGAGCAGGCCAAGATCGCCAACATCCTCGGCGGCGCTTTCAAGGTTCAGAGCGACGCGACGCTTGGCGGTTCCGCCATCGAGACGCTGCGCGGCCGACACGTTCTCCAAACGCAAGGTCAGGCGAAGGCAGCCGCCTCGCAGCCAGCCAGTCGCGCTTCCTCCGCTGCGCCCGCAGCATCCGCCAAGATGCAGACGAAGGGGAAGAAGCGGCCTTCGTCCGCCATTGTGGACGACGACGACGACTCGGGATGGGACCCGCTCGCTCGCGGTAGGAAGAAGGCTGCGCCGGGACCATCGCCGTCCAAGAAGGTCAAGAAGGAAGCGGCGAGCCTCTTCAGCGACTTTGACCTGCCGCCGGACGTCGGAATCGGCGAAGTGCTCGAGGCTGGTGGGTACAGAGGGTCGGCCGGTGCGCAGAAGCTCATGAGCGAGCTGAACGCGATGAGCGGCATTGCGAAGAGGGCGAAGTTGGAGAGTGTGGTGCGCGCTTGGAGGGTGAAGAAGGAGAAGTGATCCGTTCTGTAGCCTACCCGATTTGCTTGTGTTGTTGCCGCTCTTTTGCTCTCTCTTGCAACTTCTCCGCCGCATTTACCGATCACGCTGGGGCGAACGTCTTACAACAACAACATGTGAGAGCTCGATACCTACGCAGCCGATGCTCGTGCCACCCTCTTCGCCTTCGCTGCCTCCATCGCTTCGAGTGCCTTCGCCGCCCGCCACTCACATCCGTCCTCGAACTCGCAGAAGCTGCGCGTGGGGTGTCAGTGACCGTGCAGGCAAAGTGAAAGCGAAATGAACGCACCGACACCGGTTGACCTCTGTCACCCGCACTCCAATCGGCTCGCGCTCGCCCTTCCAGTACGCCGTGATGCTTGCGAGCCAGGCTGAGAGCTCGTCCGCATCGACCTTGATCTTCTCGACGCCGATGAGACCTGGATCTGCTGCGGTCTGAGAGCGCGACGCGAGCGAAGCTGTCGTGGACGAGACCGCAGCGGGAGTCGCCGTCGGTCGGTCGTCTAGAATCGGTCCCGGTCGCTGCACTTCCCCGGACGGAGTCGCGGAGGTTCCAGCAGCCGCAGAGCGGTCGCGCAGGTTATAGCGAGATGACCGGGTCGAGGCTGCTGCAGGGGCTACATCCGCGTCGTCCCGCCCTTGCGAGTTGAGGGGGAGAGCGAAAGGACCGGGACTGGGAGGTGCAGACGACGACGGGTCGTCGGTGAGAGACGGAGGAAGGTGGTCGACAGGTAGCGGAAGGGAAGGGTTGGCGAGGAAGGGCTGCTGAGAGTCCTCGAGCTGCGAATCCTCCATCGGCAGCTCCTGCGCCGACATGCTTATTCCGCCTCGAAGCTCGACATCGATCTCGTCGTTTGACAAGATGTCGAGGATGCTCGTGTATCCTCCGCTCGACGACTCGCTCGGCTGGCTGTCGACAGAGTCGGCAAGGCTCGCAGCGATGGCTTGCTGCAGGTCTGCATCCTCGTTCGCCGGCAACGCTGCTTGTGTCGGTGCTGGTGCCGGCGGTGGCGCACTGTGACGCACGGGCGACGAGCTCCCACGCATGCGGTAGACGACCTCGACCTCGTCCTCCAAGACACGCTGCCGACCGCCTCTCACCATGTCGGCGTACTTCGAGAGCACACCGACGAAATCTCCTAGTGTCTCGGCTTCGCCAAGCGACTCTTCAAGGCTGGATCCCTCGATGACAGGCGCGATCGAGTCGAGGAAGCCGTTCGAAAGGGGGGTAGTCGGGTCAAGCGAGAGGTCGGCGTAGAGGCGAGTCCAGGAGAAGGCGGGCTCGGCGACCTGTTTCGCTGCAGGAGCGGTCTCAGGTTGGAGAAGGGAGGACAGAAGGCGGTGGTAGAGGCCGAGCTGGAGGCGGGTGCTGCGAGTCTCGGTCGGCGGCGGGATGGAGCGCTTGTAGCTGCGCAACGACGAAGAGTCAGCAATCACAGTGAGGGTCGACACGAGTCTGCAACCCACCGAGTCTTGGTATCGCTCAGGACGAATCCCCATCGAGGCTGCGGTTCGACCGGAGTCGTCTGCTCCGTCTCCGACTCCTCGAGAGACGAGTCCTGCGTCAAGTCGAGCACTCCGCCTCGCTTTGCTGGGGATGGACTCGGCGAGAAGAACGACGTGAGCTTCTGTTGCTCGTCCTTCTTTGTCGGAGTCGCGGGCGTATCTTTGCCCTTCTTGCCCTTCTTCGGCGTCCGTCTAGGCTTCGCCTTCAAGTCGTCGGACGTCTGAACCGGCGTCGGGGGAAGCGGCGATAGTTCGCGACGCTCGACCTCGTCGATAACGCCGAAGACGAGAAAGTCATTGACCCATCCGACGACGGGGAGCTCCCTCTGCGACAAGTGGATCAATACTGGAAAGTCAAGCGGTGAATGAGACGCTGACGCACCACGCGACCTGTCGTCAGAAGCGCCTCGAGACCGACGACCGTATTCAGGATCCGAAGCGCCCACCACTCCTCCTTGCCCGTGACGTCGACCTGAACCTCCTGCACGTCGCCCATCACCTGCTTCTCGATCTTCTTGTGCACGTTTCGGCCCTTGATGAGCACATTCTCGCGCTTGACGGTGCGGTGCTTGTCGACGGCGATTTCGGCGCCGGAAGCGGTCGTGATGGTCGCAGGTCGCTCAGACGGCGGCAGGTACGGCTTCGATGCAAGGCGATAGCTGTGTTGGACCTGTCGGCGAGCAAGTCAGCCTGGGAAACTGCGAGCCAGCGTGATTGTCCTCCCCACCTCGCACCAGGATGGACCCGAGAGGTCGCTGACGGAGAGAGCGCCCCAGTTGCGATGCCGTCGGAATTGCTCCCTACAGTAGAGCAACGAGTCAGTCTACGCGTACCAAGGGCGCGTTTGACGAGGTGGACGCACCACAGACTCCTCGGAGTGTCCTGCATCAAGGTGTCGCCGTCAGTGAGAGCCCGGGCGAGGTCGACAGCGTCTGAGTGCGCGGCAGAATCACTTTGTCGGACTTCTCGTCCTCCTCCTCCATCCTCCATCTCCACCTCGACCCGCCGTAGAGCGGTTTGCCTCGTCCTGCTGCCTCGATCGCCATCGCCACCGTCCTGCTCGAGCACGAGAAGCTGCGCCTCGAGAGCATCGTCGTAGTCGAGCTCGGGTCCGAAGTCAGAGTCTGTAGCGGAGCCAGGCATCGGCGCGCTCGAAGCATGTCGCGGACGAAGGTCAACAGGGAAAAGCCAACCATCGACGGGGTTGACATCCGGAAAATTACCGACAAGCGACGAGTCCAGGTTGTACACTCCTACAGAGTAATCACACTGTCTCTCGATAACCCGAAGAAGATCGGAAGACGGGAGGAGACAAGGGGACCTCCTCGACTTCAAAGGTCATATGCCTAACCCGCGTCAGGCTTGCATCTCATCCCCACGTCTCCTCTACTAACCTGCCCTCACGCTCCATCCGATCCCAGTACCGCTCCGCCTCCTGCGCGTCCGCCATGCCGCCCTCGCGCTGGAAGACACCCAGCATCGCCTTCTTGACCGCCTTGGGCATATTCGTTGACGAGCTGTGCAAGCGAGGCAATGTCAGTGGCCATCGATGGAGCGAGAGGACGGAGCGACGCACCCGCAAACGTAGAAATAGCCGCCTCGGTTCAGGTAGTCCCAGATCTGCGCGCCGTATTCCGGTATCCGGTCTTGCACATAGACCTTGTCCTCCTGCAAGCGAAAGCCTTTTCAGTGATGCATCTTGCAGCTGGAGAAGGAAGAGAGTACGCACCTGGTCCCGACTCGGCGCAACAGACAAAGTCAAGTCTCCCTTCTCCTCCAGCGCGTCCCAGTACGCCTTGAAGTAGAAGTCTTTGCTGACGGACCGGCAGCCAAAGAAGAGGAGGTTCTCTGCATTTTGCCAGATTCCGGTCAGCTTTCAGGGAGAGGAAGAGAGGCGAGCAGACGCACCTTTCGCTCCGCATCGAATGCGCTCCTCCATCAACGCTCGGAACGGTGCCACGCCCGTACCAGGTCCGACCATAATGAGCGGAGGGTCGCCTGGTGGTAACCGTAGCAGGCCAGACTTGTCGAAGCGGACGGGAACGCGAGAACCTGTAGGCGGACGGCGGTGAGCAACCGACGGCGCGGGATTTAGGCGATCGGAAGCGCACCAGGAGAGAGCGAGGCGAGCCATGATGTTGTAAGACCCTTGCGGGGGACTGAGAGGATCGTCTTGTACTTGACGATCGCGACGAGAAGGTCAACCTTGCCTTGGTGAGACTGCAGCGAGGGGATTCGTCAGCATCGTCGGCGCATGACGTTGACGAGGTACGCACAGCCGGTGAGGAGGATATGGAGAAGCCGCGAGGTCGTATAAGCGGCAGAAGGTCGAAGATGTACTCGGGCGGGATGTTGGCGGAGCGGAACTCGTACAGGACCTCGTTGATCGTTCGTCTAGGTCGAAGCGTGTAGTCTATCAGGTCGTCCTGCTCGGGCGAGGTTCAGCATGCGCGAATGGGTGAAGGAAAGACTCGCACGCACCTGTCCAGCAGGCGAACAGAACTCGCGCAGCTTCTCCTGCATGTCGCCCTCGGAGAAGTAGGCCAGCCACTCGAAGAAGGATAGTCGGGGTACGGACGCGATGTCGAGCTCGTTGGTCAGGAGATATCGGATAGTCGTGCGGAAGGGGGTCGGGAGATGAGGGGGAAGAGGTTGATCTGCCGGCAAGAGCATCAGTCCCGTTTCCAGCATGTGCGGGGGAGCAACACACCTGAGCTTGTCGGCGATATCAGGAACGGCTCGTCGGCGATCTCGGTCCATCGAGTCGAGGCCAGGAAGCGGTCGACGTCCTCCTTCGAGTTCTGCGGGCGGATCTCCAGCACGTCGCCTGCAGCATACCTATACATCTAGGCGTTAGCCGTGTCTAGTCGATAAGTAAGCGAGGGTACATACAGGCGCGTCCGCTCCGAATCCTGCACGCCTTCCAGCTCAAGCTCAACCTCTCGCACATCCTGATACCAATCCTCCGCCGTCACCCGCTCATTCCTGACAAGCTTGGCCCAAGAAGCGTCCTCGGTCCAGAGAAGCGGCGCTTGCTCGGTGTGCCCGTTGGCGGCCGAGGTAGACCCTACCTTCTCGAGCCGGATCCGTGGAGGAGGAACGGTGTCGAGGGCATGGGAGGTGAAGCCGGCTTCAGGCGGGAATAGAGGATCAATTGACGCCATGAGTTGGTCGAGCCAGCCGGGGAACGTCGACTCGACGCTGTCAAAGCGGAGCGGGTCAGCGAGAATCGCGAGAATGGAAGCAACGGGGCTCACCCCCATTCGTTCTGGTCGTCGCCTTCGCCTCGCTCGACGACAGCATGCGCGCCCAACGAGTCTAGCCGCCGCGACAGCTTCTTCCCGACCCAGTTGTACTTTCCGTAGCTCGAATCGCCGAGTCCAAAGACGGCGTATCTGCGTTTCCAAGCGAGTCAGTCAGGTCCAGCTCGGCCTCTGGCATTCCATACGCTCAAAACGCACCTCAAGTCCTCGAGGAAGTCTGGTGGAAGACCAGGATGAAGCAAGGCTGTCCACAACGGCACGAATTGAGGCGGAGTGTGGCCGTTGCCGGTTGTCGGGAGGACGAAGACGATCAGGCCGTGTTCGAGCAGTTCCGCCTGAGTGACTCGTGCTTCTTGATCAGCTCGAACGTCCGAAGACTGTAAAGGAAGCGCAGCTGGCGCACCTGATTGAACTCAGTAACACTCTTGACTGTAACCGCCCAGCCCTCCCGCCTCGCTCTTCGCCCGATCCGCTCGGCCACATCGACGGCCGTTCCCGTCACCGACGCATGAAGCACGAGAAAGGTACGGCTGTCGAGCGGGAGGGGCGAGTTGGGTGCTGTTCCGTTGCCGAGGGAGGTGGAGCTCATTCGAAGGTCAAGGGCGGAGGGAGCGTCGCAGGCGGTCGCCAGGGGTTTGTGGGAAACGCTCGTGCGGCTCTAGCACCGTCAGCGTCGTTGAGAGCCGGAGCGAGGAGGTGGTCGAAGGTTGACAATTCGCCGCTTCTCTTCGTCAAGAACCGTTCACATCGCTCGCTCGCCAGGCTGTCTGCTGGTGTCGTAGCGGATCCGCAAGTTGCGCTCATGCGCTTCCGATCGTGCTCACGGCACCGGACGACCACCTCTCTCGACCCGAACTTCCATCACCGCTCGTTCCTCACCCGACCCAGACGCCTCTGGCAGCCATTGTAGGACGCCCTACAGCTTCGTATGCCTGTAGACACTTCCGATCCAGCAGCACACGCGCCGCAGATTGGTTGCAGAGTCCACCTTCTCCTCGACTCGTCGTGATTGCCGCTGGTTCTCTAGCTTGCTTAAGCCAGGCAGTCCGTACGCGCGAAGCGTACGAGGGGAATGGCTACAGCATGCAATGCAAGTTTTGCGAGAGGGGAAACATTACGCGTGAGAGGGAGCGTAAGAGTGTCTGTGTAAGGGAGGCCGTCGTCCGGTCAACAGAGAGGCATATTGCGAGGGTGTCGCGAGAGGGTTAAGTGTCCATGAGAGAGAGCGCCTAGCGCCTTCGCTGCGGAAGGTACTCCGTCGACTCCGATCCGTCAGGGTTCAGCGGGGCATATCTCGGCGCGCCGCCGCTGCCAAAGTCGGCGTACGCCGCCGCACCGTATGCCGCTGGAGCAGCGCTCACGCCCTGCGCCAGCCGCTCCTGCGGTCCGCCAGCACCGCCGTACGGTCCCGACATCCGACGAGGGTCGCCGCGAGGAGCAGCGCCGCCGTAGGCAAAGTCGATAGACTGCTGGGACCTTGCCGCGGTGTGCTGCGGCTGCCACTGACCAGCGTAGCTGTCCACCGAAGCGGACCTGGCGCCGGGACCGCGAGCCATGCCGACGGGAGGTGGCGGGCCCTGGCGGCCGTACTGCGCGAGGTCGAGCGGGTGCGCCTGCTGCATACCCGGCTCGTAGGCGCCAGCACCCGAGAGGCTCGAGAAGGACGTCTGGCTGGCGTTCGTGCGGTGGCCGACGGGAGGACCGCCGATGCGAGGCGAGCCAGACATGCCGCGAGCGTGGTGAGGCAAAGAACGATCCGGTGAGGAGTACGAAGGCGGGTACTGGTAGGGCTGCGCGTGCTGGATGAGGTTGTCGGTCGAGGCGTTGGGCGTAGTGCGGCCGTCCATGCCGAAGAAGGATCCGGGCGTCTGGTCGTCGTACGTCGGCATCCGCTGCAGCTCGGCGGGCAGCTCCTCGGGCGTGCCAGGGTTGAACGGCGTGCCGGAGCGGCTCATGGCGGCGCCGTGCTTGAGGTACTCAGCGTGACGCCCAGCAAAGTAGTCGTCGACGTCGGTCCCTGCGACACTCGGCGCGCCCGGACGGTGCGCGCGGTTGTTGAACGCCGTCGAGATGGTCATCTCGTCCTCCTCACGCTCCCTGAGGTATGCCGCTCGGTCAACCGTAAGGTCGTGCGCCTCCATCATCGCGAAGGTAAGGCCACCCGCCACGTTCTGCTCGACCGTCTTGCCGCCGACCTTGGTCTCACCCTGCTCGATACGGCCGTTGTAGATCGTCGGCAGGAGATGCTGGACGTTCTTGTGGAGCATGGGCGTCCAGAGCGGTTCAGAGAGGGCGTCGTGGCCGAAGCGCTTCTCGAGGCGATTCTTGCGGGCGTCGGCGCGGTGCATGTGAACCTCGGCCATCTCGACCTCGCCAGGGATGTACCAGCGGAAGCGGTCGATGAACTTGCGGTCGAGGATGATCTTGAAGATGAGGACGCAGACGGCTGGAGGGGCGCTGTGGGTGAGGAGCGGTTAGCGGGATGCTTCGTGATAAGGGGTGCGGTATTGACGCACAGCGCGATGGCGTAGAACCAGTTGGTCTGCAAGCCGATTGAGACGGCCATGAAGATGTGCATGAGGATCTGCGGAGAAGCCCCAGGTCAGCCGCGAAAACTCGAAACGGACCCTAGCGACGCACCAACGCGGTCAAGACGCGGTTGACGACGACGTTCCACAGCCTGCCGCCCGTTTCCGTCCTCGGCACCGAGACGTAAAGATTCTGGTACTTGTAGACATAGTAGCTGACCGCAAAGACGCCCGCGCCGAAGAGACCGACGAGCGGCGCGATCGGCGCATACACCATGGCGACGGCGACGACGAGGAGGTGGTTCGAATAGTAGACGGGGAAGTCGAAGTAGGGCGGCTTGGTTGCCTCGCGGATCTCGCGGGGCGTGCGGCCGAACATGCGCGTTTTGAACCAGACGACGAGGAGGGAGATGATCTGGGCGAGGTCGAAGCATGCAGAGGCGCCGCGAAGGGGGAAGACGGTCAACCAATCTGCGCAAGGAGGACACTGTCAGCAGGCGTGAAGTGGATGCGAGGGGAGCCAAGACGGACAAGTCGACTGGATCATGTACGTGTTCTGCAGCTTGTCCGGCACGGTCTGAAGGTAGTCCCAGATCTTGCTAGCCGAGGCGTGTCCTTGAATCTGGATGACGATTTGCGAGACTGCGGGAAGCGGGAGGGTGAGTACGAGGTGGCGACTGAGGGGACCGCGCAGACGCACCAACTTGTACGATGACTCCGAGAAGCGAGAAGATGATGAATTGCGTGATGAAGAGGAAGGCCGAGTACCGGGCTGTGACAATGCGGTCTGACTGAGAGTGGGTCGTCGCGCCTTGCAACGAGGCGATCCACCTGTTCGTGGAGGGCGTCAGCAGGGTACTTTGCGAGTGAAAGAGCACTGAACACACCGAATGATCATCGGGAGAATCATCTGCAGCAGGAAAGTGAGAATGGGCGGGACGATACCGACAAACGCGGAGAAAAGATAAGGATAGTCGGAGACCCAGGTGTTGATGAACCCAACGTAGGCGGAGAGCGCGGCCAAGTTGGCGAGGAGGGCGACGGCGACGAGCGGGATCGTGTAGAAGCCGCAGAGGAGGACGAGGAGGATGCCGCCGAAGAACTTGTTCTTTGTGCGCGCAGCGTCAGTCATCTGCAAGTTGTCCCAGATCAAGTCCTTCGGCCTGTAGACGCAAAGTCATCAGCTTCGTGGACGCGATGCACAAGGATGAGCGGGCGAACGCACTGAGGAGCGAGGTCGAAGTGTGCGCCGTGACGACGCTTGCCGCGAAGCGTCTTGGCGACGATGTGGGCGTACGGGACCGACTCAAACGAAGCGAAACCGTAGTTCTCGGCCTTACGCTCGTGGATTTGGGCGCGCGCGACCTGGTGAAGGAGAAACGCGATTTAGCAACGGCAAAGTCTGCAGAACCGGCGCGGCAAACTCGCATCGATGCGCTGCTCAAGACGCTTGATCTTCTCGGTAAGGTAGTCGACTGCGGAGCGAGGCAAATCAGCGCCAAGCTACGAAGGTGAGACGGGAGGCATGGTCTCAACGCACTCGCATCAACCTTCTGCCCGCCCAAGCCCATGTGTCCGCCGATGCGCTTGACCGGACGCTGCGTAGGCAACCGATCCGGGTTCTTGAAGTAGGTCGTCAAGACATGCTCGAGCTCCTCGACCGCCTCATTGTGCTTCTTGATGAGCGCCGGCAGGGCACCGAAGCGCCGGCCAATGTGGACGGCGCTGGTCGGGTAGGGGATGTTGAGCGAGGCGAGGAGGCCGGCGAGACCGGCGTCGGTCTGGAACTTCTTGTTGACTTGCGTGATCTGCGGGCGAGGGAGGTGAGCACCTATTCCTCGCAGAGATGACTGCGCACTCACCATAAGCGAGCGAGCGTAGAGCATGTCCTGATAGGCGGGTGAGCGAAACCACTGCCATCGAAGCCGGACGATCGCCTGCGGTGCAGGAAGTCGGCCGACAGGCCCCAAAAAGAGCAGAGACTAGGCGACGCACATCATAGTTCGTCCAGATGAAGAAGAAGGCCATGAAGGTCAAGACGTAAGTGGCGACGACGTGCGCCCTGCGGAATGCTCGAGTTAGCGAAGCAAACAGTGGCAAAGCGGATCCGTACGCACCAAAGCCAGTTGCCCTTGACCTTGCTCATCGTCAGGATAAGTAGGTAGTTGCGGTTGTCCTCCTTGACGTATCGGAGGTTGTAGACAACGTTGATCGGGATGAGAACGGCGCAAGTCAAGGCGGCGATGCAGATGAACACTGCGCGGCGTCGAGTGAGTTAGCGGAGCGAGACGGAGCGTGCGAGCAGATTGCGAAACTCACTGTTGCGGCACATGCGCAGGAACCGCAAGTAGGCGACCGAGTCCAGTCCCATCAGGGCCATCATCTCCTGCTCCTTGAGCGTCAGGACCGGCCTGACCCAATCAAAGATGCCCTTCCCGATCTTCGGCGGCCGCTTATCGTCGGCGGCATACTTGAGCTTCGGCTGGTAGACGACCGAGTTGTTGGGTCGGAGGACAGAGAAGCCGATGATGGCTGCGAGACCGACGCCAACCATCAAGGCCAACTGGATCCCGACAGCCGGTCCACCGATACGGGTCAGGCGCGACTCGTACGCATCGAAGATGGCGTTGGTCGCTTCCTGCGCGTCGCTCATCTTGGCGGGATGAAGGAGGGCGAGGGAAGTTCGCGAGCGGTAAGGTGTGTCGCAGCGCGGAGAGCAGGTCGTGAGGGTCTACGTGAGCGAGGAAAGTCTATGTGTCGATGAGTCTGCGGGCGTACGGGACGAGGAAAAGGTCAGCTCATGCGGTTCGTTGCGGAACAAGGGTTCAAGGTGATTGAAGCGAGATCCGTTCAGGCGATAGCGATTTTGCGCCGTTCCAGTGCCCGGGTCGTCCTGTGCAAGCTCTCGACTGCGCGCCTGCACCCCCTGGGAGCTGCATCGCCCGCAACACGCCTCGAACTCGAACGAACCCTCTCCTGTTCATACGCAGTCGAACATGACGTACCGGGTCCCCAACGAGTTATTGCTCCCCAGCAACTGGCGTCAATGAACTCCTTGTGCGTGCTGAGAGGCTGATGGACCGGCAGAGAGGGTTGCTGGGCGGTGAGAGCGGTCGCGAGATGGGAATGTGAGAACAAGGGGATCCGGCCTTGGCGTGTCGCTGAGCCTGTCTGCGGGCGTGAGCGCGTGTCAGGTAGGCTCTTGGCGGTTACGCGCTGCTCTGTACGCTCGCACTCACCCTGTAACGCTGGCTGAGCGAGTCGAAGTCGAGCGAGCGGACGATTAGGGGACGGGAGCGAACGACTGGCTCGCTGTGAGCTGTTCGAGCGGGCTGGGAGTAGTGTGTGCGGGATGGCGTGTACTGTAGCAGTGCCTATGCGGCAGAACTGAAGCGTGAAGAGAGTGAGCTCGTGTTGCGAGCAGACGACCAACGAACGAAACAGGGGCGCTGCGGAATTGCCGCTGCGTTGCGAGAGAAGGAAAATTGTTCCCATTCCCTCTGTACAGTCTATGCGCACTCCGTCTACAGACCCTTGCCATGCATGACTCGCCCGCCGACGACCGTCGTCCGCACCACCGTCTCGCGCAACTTGTGCTCCCTCGTCCGCCTCTCGTCCACCGTCTCGCCTTCCCGCTCCGTACCCAGCTCGAGGGGGTCGCCCTTGACGATGACAAAGTCGGCGTGGTACGACGGTCGGAGCATGCCCTGGTTCGACATCGAGAAAGACGAGTAGGCCGCAGAAGTCGTGAACCCGCGAAGCGCTTCGAGGATCGTGAGCCGCTCCTGAGGGTACCATCCGTCGGGACCGTGGGGCGAGTCTCCGTTCGGCCACTTGCGGGTGATGGCGGAGTAGATGCCGTGGAACGGGTTGACGAGCTCGACGGGGAAGTCGGAACCGAGTGCGAAGGGAGCTCCGGTGCTGCGGGGGTGGTACGAGTCAAGTCAGCTCCACTGCATCAGCTCAATGCAGGCCAACATGGTGAAGCGATGACACGCACTTGAGCAGCGAGCGCCACGCGTACGCGCCCTTGATCCGCTCGGAACCGATGCGTTGCTCGGCGTAGCCCATGTCGCTCGTCGCTATCAAGTCGCAGACGGTCAGCAAGGCGTAGAGGAAGCTGATGGTCGGCTGACGCACCATGAGTCGGCTGGAACGACGCAACGATCCCAAGACGACCTATCCGCTCGATGTCTCCCGGCGTCTGCATTGCACATCAAACCTTTTAGCGTCCCCCACGCCAACAATGTGAACGAGAGAATGCCAGAGCGAAGCCTGCACGCACCATAATCTGCGCATGCTCGACCCTCCACCTCACCCTCTCCTGCGTCTTCCTAACCTCCGCATCGTCCGTCCCGTCCCGTCCCTCCTCCAACGTCAAGTTCCGCAAGAGCGACTCGTAGATGTCGAGGACGACGGTGTTGGCTCGGTCGCCGATGCCGTGCGACGCGAGCTGGAAGCCTTTCGAGACCCACTGCGAGGCGACAGGAGAGGTTAGACGGCAAGGTGAGGTGGATGGGAGTGAGCGGGCGCACTTTTCCCATCAGCTCGCGCAGCTCTGGCTCCTCGGTAATCAGGAAGCCCTTTTTGTCCGGGGCATCTGGGACAGGAGCAAGGTCAGAACTGCTTACGAGCCGTACAAGACGTTCAAGGACGCACCGCTGTAGGGCTCGTGCATCGCAGCGCCCCATGACCCGAGCGCTCCGTCTGTGAAGATCTTGGCCGCGCTGTATCAAGCTTCAGTCAGCCCTACCTCGCACGCATCAGTCTCGAGACCGTCGCATACCGGACTGTCAACCGTTCTCCATCGTACCTCTCCACGCCCTCCTCGTTGCCACACCAGCTATTAGTCGGCACACACCCAACCATCCCGTAAATCCTGACAGGCAACTTGCCCTCCTTGTCGAGGTCGCGGAGGAAGCGGACGTCGGCGGGCGCGAGGGCGGCGTCGTGGACTCCTGTGAGGCCATGGGCGAGCATTGAACGAGAGGTCGAGAGGAGGAAGCGCAGGCGGGAGGAGGAGGTCCAGGGTGGGATGACGGCGTCTGCGAGTGCGACGAAGAAGCGGGTTCAACGAAGGCACTGCGAGGATGGCAGGAGGCTGACGTACTGATGTAGTCCATGGCGTTGTCGAGGAAGACACCAGTAGGTTTGCCCGTTGCCGGGTCGCGCACGATCTGTCCGCCTGGAACGACTGCTGGCAGATCAGGCGGAAGCAAGGCGAGGACGGCGGGCGAGACCCAGAGGGCGTGGACGTCGACTGGTGAGGTTTATATCAGTGGACAGTCGAGGGTCAGAGCGTAATGGAGGGACGCACTCCGCTTTAGGTAGATTGGTCGACCTGCGAGTCGAGGGTCCCGCTCGAGGTCGGCCTGTACATGCCAGCGTCAGGATCCCAGCCCGCGCATGAGAATGACTCGCACTGACAGCGGTCGGGAAGTCTCCGCCAGTCTCCTTGAACTTGGTCTGATCCCATCCCAGGCCCATCACGAACTTTGTCCGGTCCTTCGCGAGTTCCGGGTCGGCAGAGACGAAGGCGGCGATGCGATCGACGACCTCTGCAGTGAAAAAGGGTCAACACTGGAACAGGTCGAGGTAAAGAGAGGTCTTGGAACGTACCAGCAACGGATGTCGCGCCGACGAGGTCGACAGAATTGGCTGCTTCTCCTTGCTGGAGGACGTGGGCGTGAGCGTCAATGCTGTAGCGTAATCGTCAGCGTCGTCTCAGGTATCTAGAAAGTCAGACGCACAGTCCCGGCAGCACCGTCTCGTCCTTTCCCAGCCAGAAGATGCGCACTCCGCGTCCAGTCGTCTCCAAGTCTCCCCATTCCTCCCTGATTTCCCCCCTCGTCCCTGTCGCAACAATCTTTCCCTCATCGACTACAATACACTCGACTCTTAGCGACCGGCCCCCCTCACTCTCGTCCATCGTAACGATTTGAGCCTTTTTCGAGCTAGAGGGCGAGCAAACTGCATAGCGGAACGGCGGCTGCTTGAGTGTCGTTACGCCCGCGTTGCGGATGGAGACGAGGTACCATCCGAGCAGGAGAGGCGCGGCGAAGAGGAGGATGCGGAGTCGTGAGGAGGAGGAGGTGGGGGTAGTTCGTCGTGAGGAGGGTATCGGCTGGGCTGTGGGCGTCTGTACCGGGTCTCCCACGCTCTTGCGGTGCCTCAGAGACATGACAAGCCCAAATTGAAGCGAGCTGTAATGGGCTGAGTTAGGCGGAGGAGGAGAAGGTGGTCCTTGGCGTCCACCACGACGTCGTCCAGCTCTCCTCCACCTCCTCCTCGCCAACTCCAACATGCGAGGCCAGCCGACACCCCTCCTCCATATCTTGGTCGTCCGGAAGTGCGGAGAGCATGGTACCGCAACTCAGACGGGCGGGCCCGCGTCCCGTTTGGCTTGTTCTCCCTCGCTCCCTGCGACACCCTCACTTCCTCCGTCGCAGCCTTTTACCGCTCGCCGCGCTCTTGTCCCTCAAGTCGAACGCTCCTCGAACTCTTGTGGGCGCTTCTCGTGCGGAGATAGGCTGTCCTGCAGTCACCGAGCAGACCAACCGCCCTAGACGCGGGTTTGCATCCCGTTTGGCTTGTTCTCCCTCACGACCTTCGACACCCTCACTTCCTCCGTCGCAGCCTTTTACCGCTCGCCGGGCTCATGCTCCTCAAGTCGAACGCTACTCGGACTGTTATGGGCGCTTCTTGTACAGAGATAGGCTGTCCTGCCATCGCTGAGCAGACCAACCGCCCTCGTCCTCTCTTCTTGCTCTCCCGCTCTTCCGCAACACGCGCGAATCCGTCCACATTCTCGCTCGCTACGACCGTCCAATTTCCTCATCTTTCGCGCCCACGCTCAGCTAGCGCATCTTCGGTTCGGCATCGCGCTCTTCTCCCCTGCGCACGCATCGTCGCTCCCGCCGTCCATCTTCCATCGACGACGTCCCGGAATTGGGCTAGACCAAGTGCGCGGCAACTGCCTCAAACCTCTATGATACACCCTGCGCCGGCCGAGCGCCGTCATTTCGCGGCACTCGAACAGCCATTCTCCCCCTCCTCGTCCTTGACCATTCCCCACCCTTCTCTCTCCTCTCTCGCTGCGGGCTCTTCCCCGACTCATTTGCGCACCTCGGTAGTGCAACAACGAGCTACAGGGAACGACGAAGAGATGGAAAGAGGGAGGAGAGACAAGTTCTGGTCCCCCTCCTGCGCAGGCAGGACGGAGTGATCTACCCGACGCTCGATCATGGATCAGCTGTCCGGCTTTGGCTGGGCTAGACTGAGACGGCTTGCCTCGATGTAGCAGTGAAGGAAGAGGCGCTCGCTGGACGAAAAAGAGGCTCACAAGGCCTTTCCTGAGAATGAGACGGGATCCGTAAAGCGAGAGGCGCGTCTCTCTCGCCGAGTAGCGACGCAGCGCAGCGCTTTAGCGAAAAAGAGCAGCGCAAGGTGATCGTCCCGATGTAGTGATCCGAGGAAGCGAGCGAGGGGGAGGTCAGCTGCTCTCCTCCCTCCCCTTCCGGCGTTGGCGCTTTAGTAGGGCAGCGATGCGAGCGACCGATTTGCGCTTCCCAGGCCAGTGTCGCGGGAGAAGGTACTGTAGGGGGATTTGTGGCTTGTGAGCGAAGGAGGGACGGAGGGAGGTTCTGCACATTGACATCCGCCAGCCTGCTTGTCGCTGCACGAGAGAAGCTCGTCGTACAATCGACCCTGCGCACGCAGCGACTCCGGATCCAAGGACGCACGAGTCTCCGCAGCGAACCGACGAAGCGTGCGTCGCGAGCGAGGAGAGCCAGCGTCTTGGTCCTCCGGGCGGAGAGGAGAGAGCGGGGGATAAGCCATCCCTCGCATTTCGCATCTCGCGCGAAAGCCCCCAGCATTGAGTACCGAGCGAGCGAGCGGCAGCGGGATCAGAGGCCTCAATCGCCAGAGCCACACGGCGACGGGTCTTCAATTCCCTTGGTTCGCTTTTGTTCATCCGGGAACGATCGCTCGCGGCCCACATATCATACTATACAGCTTCCTTCGTCGCTTCCCGTCCGTCCTTTGCTTGTCGTTGGTGGCCTTTGTCTTCCGCCTCGCGCATGAGAGGGGATGTGATACCAACCTCCTCCCAACGGACCGCCTCACAAGAGCGAGAGAGAGAGCAGATCCCATCGCAGCGCAGAGCAGACCGAACCCATACGAGCGTCGGCGAGCAGCGAGCATCGTCTTCGAAGAGATTTTGGCGGCCGGAGGGCGGAGGGAAGGAAGGTGATGAGACTGAGCGCGTCGCGACGTGTGCTTCGACCGAGACGAGAGTGGAGGAGCGAGGAGCATTCTTTGGGTGGTCAGCGGCTTTGGGAGGGGTGCGAGCGAGGATGCATCGAGGCGAGCGATGGCGAAGTCGAGGAGGGAGCGGCGCGAGGAGGAAGGGCGAGTTGGGAAGGTCCTCCTCCGCAGCAGGTCGCCCTCCTCATCGCCTGTCAAGCATCGCTCAGCACCGTCCAACACCGTCCAGCGCCCTCAATCAAACGGCGCAAACCAAACTCATTCGGCCCGCTCGAGCGCCGCGCGCCCTCAATGAGAGCATCAGCTCAACGCTCCCGCTCTCGTGCCGGTCCTTTGTCCCTTCCCTTTCCTCCAGCGCTGTGAGCGTAGATCCCGTTGCGCATTGAGGTTGTAGTCAAGCAACAAGGTCCATGATGGAGCGAGGGAGCGGAAGGAATGGGAGTGCTGGAAAGCCGAGGGACAAGCGAGGTTGAGCGGATGTCCAGCGTTCAAGCGGTGCCAAGCCCCTTGCTCGCTCATGGACGAACGAAGAGCAGCGCAGAGCAGAGCAGCACAGCAAAGAAGGGAGGACGGAGAGGGAGGGAGGACTTGCCCTTTCCGGCTTCTTCCGCCCTCCTCCTCCTCCTGCTCGTCCTCGCTCGGAGCGATTGAAGAGTAAGCGACGAAGCGTACAAGACTGGATGAGCGAGGATCTACCCGGTGCGAGATGAAGCAGGAGCATCCGACCTTGAAAGCGAACGAAGAGGCGTGGGAAAAATGACAAAGTTCGAGTCTGGATCCTCCCAATCAATCCTCCTCCGTCCAGCGAGCGCAGCGCAGCGTACCCCCCGCACCGTTGGAACGCTTGTAGTGTAGGAAGCGAAGGCGGGTGCAAGCAAGCAAGCAAGCCATCTGCCTCGAGATGAGGCGTAATGAAGCGTATATAACTGGGCCTTGAGTCCGGAAGCGCAGGAGCGGGTAGGAGTGCGGGAGCGGGAGCGGAGAGGAGAGGAGAGGCGATCAGGGCTGCTGTTGCTGCGCTGCGAGCGGGAGTCGTTGGAGAATGAGGATGTCGAGGAGGAGGAGATGGCGGGTCAACTCGCCCGTCGCCCGTTGCCCGTTGCTCCGCCATCTCGCTCGGAGCGAGAGTCTAGCCAGCTGACGAGTGCAGAGTTGTGCGAGTCGTGCAAGGTGTCCTGATTGGGAGAAGAAGGCGGCCTCGAGGAGCACTTCAGTTGGTCTCGTCGCAGCAGAGGCGGGCGTGGAGCAGTGTAAGTTGAAGCTGTGTTGTCTAGCAAGTGAAGCGCTGTACTGCTATGCGAGGTGAGAGCAGAGGGAGACGAGTGTGCACCCGTTGCGAGGTCGAGTGCGACGAGGAGGAGGAGAGAGGCCTGCCTCTGCGTGCGAAAGTGGCGCTCGAGATTCGCGCGGGTACCTTCTGTTTGCGGGCAGAGAGATCGAGGGGCGGCGTGCCTGAATGTGCCTGAGCGAGGGGAGTGGCTCGCTCGCGCTCTCTTGCCTCGCCCCCTTCGCAACCCGCTCGCCTCGAAACGCTCTCGCTCTCTCGTCGACACGCTTGCTGGACTGCCTCGACTGTGTGCTCATCGTCTCTGTACACCCAACTTACCCCCACCCCAGTCCACCTCGCACACGGAACCGTCCACTCGACCCTCGACTCGGCTTCATCCATCGCACCCGATCCACCCACACCACCACACCACCAGCACAGTCACAGTCGCAGGCTCGACAACACTGTTCACTCCCTTGTAACCGAACTCAGCCCACCGCCCAGCCACTCCCAGCCCAGTGACCCTGACCTCACCCGCTCACCCTCGCAACGGTCGCACTCGCAATCCCCCTTCCGTCGAGCGAATGTCCTTCTTCGACTTTGTGTCGCCCTTAACGATGCACCACTTGACCACCGCATCATCGAGCTCGGCGTCGACGTCGACCAGCAGCGCATCCACAGCCAGCTCGCCCTCGACCTCGTCCCAGTCGAGCTACACCTCGACCGAGTCGCACCTGCAGCCGCCCTTCTCTTCTGCCCCCGTCGACTCGCCCACCACGTCCGCCTTCTTCGACTCGCGCTCGCCGTCTCCACCACCGACGTTCGAGTCGTTCGCTGCCCCTCCTCCTCCTGCCGCCGCACATGCACGCCCTCCAGCCCCAATCTCGCCTCCTCCTCCAACCTCGTTCGCCCAGGCTCAAGCAGCCATGGCAGCGAACAACTCGACGCACTCTCAGAACCTGATCGGCCACGTCCTCGACAACTCGTCTCCCGACCGAGTCTCGCACCTCGAGTTTGTCTCGATCCTCGGATTGGGCGCGTACGGTGTCGTCTACCTCGCGCGCGACATTGCTGCTCAGCCTACACCCTACCCTACCTCCCGCGCGCACCCGCAGCTAGGCAACTTGCCGCTGTACGCTGTCAAGTGCCTGAACAAGGTCGGGTTGGACGAGCGCCAGCTCTCGTTCCAGCGGAGAGAGATCGGGTTGCATTCCGTCGCGGCGAAACACCCCAACGTCGTCACGATGCACAACGTCATCATCGAGGAGACGTGCATCTATGTCGTCCTCCAGTTCTGCGAGGACGGAGACTTGTTCGGCATGATTACGGAGCGACAGCGGTACCTCGGCGACGACGACCTCATTCGCAAGGTCTTCCTCCAGATCGTCGACGCAGTCGAGTTCTGCCACTCGGCAGGCATCTACCACCGAGACCTCAAGCCGGAGAACATCCTCTGCCTCGAGGATGGCCGACGAGTCGTCCTCGCCGACTTTGGACTCGCGACCCACGAGCGAACGAGCGGTGACTTTGGCTGCGGCAGTACCTTTTACATGTCGCCCGGTGCGTCCGCCTCTCTCTCGCCCTCGCTCGTACCGCTCGCTGACCCTCGCCCGCCCGCCCGCAGAATGCCAAGGCGGTCTCTTCCAGCGCCTCGCGTCCTACTCGACCGCGCACAACGACATCTGGTCGCTCGGCGTGATCCTCGTCAACCTAACCTGCGGCCGAAACCCCTGGAAACAAGCCTGTCCGTCCGACGAGACGTTCTGCGCTTACCTCGGCAACCCCGATTTCCTGCGCTCCATCTTGCCCATCTCGGAACACACGAATCGGATCCTCAAGCGCATCTTTGCTCTCAACCCGCAGGCGCGCATCTCGTTGGCGGAATTGAGGAGGGAGATTTCGAGTGTCAAGACGTTCACGATGAGCGATGACGAGTTGAGGAACGCGACGAGGGCGACGAAGGAGGCTGCGAGGGCGTTTGCGCAGAGTGGCAAGGCCGCGAGGGAGAATCACCAGCCGGTCGAGCAGGTCGTCGTTCCTCCGCCCCAGGCCCAGTCGCAGCTGCAGTACGACGAGGAGGAGGTGGAGGATGTGATGTACGAGGACGAGTTTGAGGACGCGATGCAGTTTGAGGAGGAGCAGGTTGCGGTCGATGTGCGCGAGCAGCAACAGCGGACGCCCTGGACCAAGGGTGAGTTCGCGCCTGTCTCCTCTTTGCGATACTTGGCTAACGTATTGCCCGCGCACAGCCTTCGTCCCGTCGTCTCCTACGACGCCGACCCAGCCTCACCGCCGCACGCCTCTCACGCCTCCCGCAACGCCCCGCCGCTCCGCCCGCGAAGCCCCAACCCCGATCGTCCCCCCTCCTCCTCCTCCCGTCTCCTCCCGCCGCAAACGCCCCGAAGCGCCGTCCACGCCCCCTCCCCAGTCGCGCGCGTCGTTCGAGTCGAACCCGGACTGGATCCGCGACGGCGACGAGTTGTTCCAGACGCCTCCTTCGCCTGTCACGTCTACCCAGCGCCGGCGCTCGCCTCGCTCTGCGGCGCGCCAACTGCCCAACTCGCGCCGGAGAAAGACCTCGGTCGACTCGTCCTCCTCGTCGTCGGGCAACTCGTCTCTCCCTGCGACGCCGACTGGTCCTTCCTACCCCCCGCACGTCACGAATCAGTACGGTCTCTCGCCGAACAACAAGGTTCGGATCGCCGGATCTGCGGACGCCGCCGCTGGTCCAGTCATGGCCAACTGCGACTCGACCTCTTCGACGCTCTCGGCTGCTACGAAGGCGGCGTACACGGCCTACTACCCGATCTGGAGCGACGACTGGGCCGACGCGTGTCGCAACCAGCAGGCGAGTTACCGCGTCGAACTCCCGCCGCCGGTCGTGCTCCCAGCCGACATGGACGACCACGACGAGGCGACGCAGGGACCGTACCAGTTCCCGACACCCCCGACGACGGGGGGGTACTACACCCGCATCGACCCCGACGAACATATGGTTCACTGAACGCAGAGAGGAAACGCTGGGCGTTTTCTCGACCCTTTTCTCGCGACTCGTATCTATCGCCCTCTCGTATCCTTATTCCGGACCGCCCTTATATCCAGCCTTAATTTCTCGCCTCGCCTTTCTTGCGCTCGATCTCTCATATCCACCAGCACACTGTATCGACCACCTCCAACATATACCTCGCCCTCGCCTTCGCATCCCATGTCGCCTGTACTCCTAGGCCTCGCCCTCTCGCCGCATTGCCGTCCTCGTCCGTCTCTTGTCGTCGCATCACCCCACACAACCAACCATGTTGCCACATTCTCTCTCTATAGACCTCTCGAGTCGTGCGTATCTATCGAATGGAAATCCATAACCTGTCGTCTCCCGGCAACTCGGTTCGAGCTGCGAGTCTCTTCGCCTCCTTGCCTCAGTCGCTTGGGCTTGCTCTTGCTTTTCTCACTTGGCGTCGCGGACCTCCGGCTGCGGGCGACTCCTCGCTCACACGACCGCTCCTCTTCCGTAGATTGCCTCGAATGCAAGGTAATCGACGACCCAGCGTTCCGTATCAGCAGACTCGAGCCGTTTGCGAGTGGGGAACGAGAACGGAACCGCTCTCTCCCGCTCTTCGCTCGCTCACGAGGACGAGACGGAGTGCGCTCTCGAGACAAGCGTTTCTTCAATCCGATCACGCCTCGCTGTTCAGATTCCGCTGCTCTGAGAAGCAAAGTGATCGTCTTTCGTCGCCTCGAAGAACTGCCCAGGACCGGGAAAGGCGAGTCGTGCGACCCGCGTTCCCGAGTCCCCGCTCTCCTGCATTCTGCGAGGCGAGTCCGTTGCGAGCCCGCTCTCGAACGAACGAGTGCAAGGGAAAGCAGGAACGGCGCGGAAAGCGCCGCGAGGCGATTGCAGCTTGGTTTGCGGCGAGAGGAGGATGCGGAACAGCAGGCGACGAGTAGGAGATCCTCCTCATTCCGTTGAGTGGGGGGCTAGCTAGTCTACTAGGCGAACGACAGGATGGAACAGTGCAGAGTGCGAATTGAGAGGGTATCAAAGGCGATGCGAGGGTGGGCCGGCGGAGAAATACATGCGGAGAGAGGGAGACAGACCGGACGTCTAGTTGAAGAAATAAGGCGAGTCGCGGACGCGCTCGAGGTCAAAGTCGCCCTTGCCAGGCGGGTACGGCAGGACGTCGCGGAGGTAGACGATCTTCGAGTCGACGGAGGCGGCGAAGAGCTTGCCGATGGCCATGTCCGGGGACGCCCGGCTGTCCACAACGTCTGCGTCGGCAGCGCCCTCGCCAGACTCGTCGGCCACCTTCTTCGTCGCCTTCTTAGGCTTGGCACGCTCGACCTTGGGCTGGTTGAAGAGCGTGAGCTCGTCGACGCCGTCCTCCTGCTCGAGCTCCTCGAGCAGCTTCGAGGCAGCCTGCGAATCGACCTGCTTGGGCGGTGCCTCGGCCTCCTCGATGGCCTCGGCAGCGGTAGCGGCGCGAAGACCAGGCGGGATCTTGGAGACGGGGACAACGTGGCCGGCGTAGCGGTGGATGAACTGGAGGAAGAGGCTGGTGAGCGGGAGCGCACAAGCCAGACCGCTCAAGCTGCACTCACCTCGTCGCGCAGCCGTCCGAGAATGTCCTGCGAGTGAAGGTCGATGAAGGTGTCGCGGAGGATAGTGGACATCTCGTCGACGTCGCAGGCATGCGTCCAGTACGAGTCGTGAACGGAGGCGAACGCGATCTTGCCCTGCAGTACAGGAAGCGTCAGGATGCTTTCATCGCAGAAAGCGAGCATCGAACGCACCTTGCAAGCGAGCGCCGTCATCATCATGTGGGTGGCGTCAAGCGAATGGATGAAGTTGGGCGGGAAGGCCGTCGCCTGCGCACGCGGGTCGACCTCGGCGGGGATGGACGGGTCCCAGATGTGCACAGTCTGGAGGGCGGTCTGGACCTGCTTCTTCTTGGGCCGACGGTAAGGCTGGCAGACGGGAAGACCGAGCGGAGTCGTCCAGACGACACTCGTCATCTGCTCCTTCGGGATACGACTGAGCGCGAGCGCCTTCTTGGTCTTGTTCTTCCCCGGCTTCTCCTGCTGAAGGGCGGCTTCGATACGCTGAGGCGGGATCGACTTGGCGATGAGGCGGGCACAACGGTTGAGCCAGGTCTGAATGGCGGCGGCGCCCTTGAACAAGTCGCCGATCGAGTCGAGGACGAGGCGGCCGAGATAGATGGAGCACCTGTAGAGCCGCTCGGGAGGCACGTCGCCGCGGTCCTTGAGCTGGCGCTCGATCTGGTTCTTCGCGCCGATGAAGGTGACGCCATAGACAGTCGTCATGACCTGCGAGCGACAGTACGTCAGTGTCGAGTGTCAGGGAGAGACGCGAGGCGCAACGCACAGTCTGCTTGACAACCTTGCGGGTGATCTTGCCGTCGAGCAGCTTGGCCTCCTCGATGCCGGCCTCCATGTCACGCGTGATAATCTCCTGGACCATCTGGGCGACTCCCGAGTAGACGTCGGCAGGGCGGTCACCGATGTCGAGGTTGACTTGCCGAGCACCGTTGATGTCGCCACCGAGGGCGGCGTAGTGCTGCAAGCCGTTGCAGGTGCCGTCCTGGTGGACGGGCAGGCCGCACTCGTACTTCGTCGGGTCCTCGGAGCGGAGCGCGTTCGTGACCTCGATGCAGGTCGCCAGGCACTGCCAAGGGTCGTCGGCCTTGGTCCACCACTTCCGTCCCTCGAGAGGGTTGTCGGCCGAGTCGAAGACGTCCTCGAGGTGCTCCATCGTGAAGGCCTCGCGCTCGTCGAAGCTGGCCTTGTCGAAACCCATCAAGTTCGAGACGTGAATCTTGAGCCAACGGAGACCGCGCTCGCCGAGCGGCTTGCTCTCGGCGAAGAGAAGCAAGCCTCGCGACATGTCGTCGCCGATGTGCGAAAGGTTGGGAGGGATGGGGTAGGCGCGACCGCGGAAGTCGAGGTTGTGCGGGAAGTAGAAGGTCTCGCCGAGGAAGGCGCGGGCGATCTCGAGCTTGTAGTTGAGGTCGCATCGCATGGAGTGCGCCGCACGCTTCTGCTGCATGAGTTCCCTGACGCGACGGCGGTAGTTGTCGCGGGCGCGAGGGTCGCTCATGACGCCCTTCGGGATCTCGAGCGTGGGGATCTCGAGCTTTTGGGCGGCGGCGGGAATGTCGGCGAAGGCGTCGCCCGAGTTCCACACCTTCACGACGATGTCGAAGACCTTGCGGTTGATCTTCCAGGGAACGGCGCCGAGCGTGTCGAGACCGCTGAAGATGATGTCGAGGGTGTGATTGTCCGACGCCTGCTGGAGGTACTGCACCTGCTCCTCGGACTCCTTCGTGCGCATCATGGGCGTCTGGTGGATGAGGTAGGCGCCGCTGTTCCACGTAAGCCAGGGCTTGGGCTTGACGAGCATCGGGAGGAAGCGGGGGTGAAGGGTGATGTCGAGCGGGTCCTTGTCGAGGCGCTCGCTGACGGCCGGGTTGAGCTTGATGATGCCGAGCTTGGTGCCGCGCATGTACTGGTACGCGTGCGAAAAAGCCGGCTGCTTCTCCGTGACCTGCTCGCCCGTCTTGGGGTGCTTGATCGTCCGCTCAACCTCGGCGATCTCCATCAATGCCGAGACGAGGACGCTGCCGACACGAGCGCGGATGGTCTGCGTCCAATTCGGGTGCCACGTCGAGTCGCCGTCCTCCTCGCGCTTGGCGAGCTCGCGTCGCCAGAGGATCCCAAGCGACTCGGTCTGCCTGCGAGGCGTGACGGTACCGTCTGGGTTGACAGTGCCGCGCGACTCGATCTTTGCGAGCTCCTCCTGGAGCTTCTTGGTGGACAGCGAGCCACGGAGTGACTCGGCGTGGTGCTCGTTCTCGACAGCCCGTCCGACGTTGAGGACGACGCGGGTCGTCTTCATGCCGTCCGCCGCAAAGTTGCCGCTGCCGCACATGCGCATGACCTCGACGATCGTAATGAGAGCGAGCTTGTCGATCGGGAGGAGGTGGAGGAACGGCTCAAGTTCCTGGTCGCGGAAGCCCGAGTCGATGTCCTTGCGCTTGCCGGCAGCGATATCCTCGAGCGTCTTGACGAGCTTCTTGTGCCAGTCGAACATGATCTGCTGAATCCAGTTCGACTGAAGGCTGCCCTCGTCCTTGCCGATCTGGGCGAGCTGTTCGCGCGAGTGGATGTAGAGCTGGCGTGCCGCGTCGTACGACGACTCCTCGAGCAGTCGTTGGCGAGTCGAGAGAGGGAGACCGTCGCGACCGGTGTTGACAGCCAAGCCGCGGAGGTTGTGCTTGAGCATGCCGAGGGACACATTCTCTCCCTTGTCCTGCGGGCGTCGAGCAAGGTCAGTTGCGGGTTCAAACGGATACGAGGAGGATGCTAACGTACGCCCTGGACCGGCGTAACCTCGGCAACGTTCTCCTTCTCGGCAGGGACCTCTGCATCGCGGCCCTCCTCGAACCGCTTGACCTCGGCAGCAGAGTGCGCGACGAGGTCCTTGAACCTGCTCCACCCTGCTCGTCCCTCGCCCGTCTCGACAAGCGCATTCAGCGCGGCTGATCGCGAGACGCTGCCGAAGTAGATCGGCGCATCGAGCGCAAAGATGGGGTCGCGGAGAACCTCGTCGAGTTCGACGCCGGCTTGGGGCATGAGGGGAAGGATGGCGGTGATAGGTCGGAGGATGCGCTCGGGGTCGGATTCGGGAGAGGGATTGTAGAAGGCCGGACCGAGAGCGGTGAAACCCTTGAGCATCGTCGCCATGACCGTCGCGTCGACTGCGCCCGAGACTCCGTGCTTCCGCTGAGTAATCGGGTCGACGACGTTCCACTGCGGCTCGAAGAGGTGGTCGAAGTAGGTCCAGGTCCGGTGGACAGCGTCCTTTGCCTCCGCCGGCGTAACGCCAGGCTGCATCGCCCTACCGAGGTACGCCTTGATGAAGTCGGCGTGAATCTTCGGCGTCAAGACGTTCGACAGCTGTCCCGCCTCGCCCGCTCGTTTCCACGCCACGACAATCCGCTTTGCGATTTCCTCCGCCCGCTTCAGGTTGCCCGTCGACAAGCAGACGCCCAAGATGGCGAGTTGCTCCTGCGCTGCTGGTGCGTGATGTGCGAGAGTCACGCCTGGTTCGACAGCGACTCCGTACCGGGTGTCTCGTCGAGTTGCTGTTGGCTCGACGTCGACGGGAAGAGGGGGCGGCATAGGCGGGAGAGTCGGGAGCGAGTAGAGTTGTGGTCGGCCGCCGTCGTAGACGTATTCGGCTGGCGGAGGAGGGCGGACGGCGGTGGCGGCATGGCGGGACGAGATGCGAGTGAGTGAGGGAGTGAGGGGAAGACGGCAGGTCGCCGACGAGAGGCGAAGCTGTGTCCGCAGCATGGCGAGTCGGGAGTTGTAAATAACTACTGTCGGAAGCTGCAAACGATCGTCAGCCCGTCTGTCACTAGACGCAACGAGGGTGATTGTTCGGGAAGAGGAGAGGCGGTCCAGCGGGTGGCGCACAATCTCCTGGACGTTCGCACCTGCCCAGAAAGTCCTCGCAGACAATATCGAACCCTGCTGCGACCTTGCCGTCCCCACCGCTGCGCCGCGAGCGCCATCCCAAGGCTCGTGCCGACTTGCGACGAGATGCCGAACGCTCGCAACTGCGCTCGACTGGCCCAACGACTGCTCGAGACGGTGCTCACCTTGACCCTAGAAGCCCTGATAGTTCGAATACTCCTCCACGAAGCGCGAGGAGCCAGGTTGTCCGATCGAAGTGGCGGTTCTCGCGATGGAAGCCGACTGAGCGGGCAACAGTCGCTCGTTCGCGGCGGCGATGGTCGAGTCGGTCGTACAGCTGAGCAAACAAGCTACCCGAGCTAGAAGTGGCGCTCTGGATGAGCGAAGGTGAGCGGCGAGTGCGAGCGTCAAGTCCCAGCTCATCCAGAGCAGACGAGGGTGCCGCTCTCGCCGTCAACAGCTTCCTTTGCTGAGCAGGCAAGCTTGTGCAGTAGCTGACTACATCACAGACCAGTCTGGCTGCCCAGGCGATTTCCTGCGATGTCGCGCGGCGGACGACCTCGCGCCGACCGCGCTCTCTCTCCTTCTTCTTCTTCAATCCTTCCAAAGTCAAAAGTGCGCGCCGTTCTCGTCTCGAGCGGGTCGCTGAGCATCGTGCTGACCTTGTCTCGCGCACTCGCAGCTTTGTATGATGAAGCCCCTGCGGAACGGACGATTCCCTCGCCCTCGACGCCTCGCTCGCTGTCGGACCGCCTGCTCTCGGGTGGTGCTGGGCCACGGCGGGCGACGGACCGGGGGCGTGGATGCGTTAAGGCGCTCGCCGCAACCCATAACCTTGTTTACACCAAACGAGCGTCGGGCATGCCTGAACCTTTCAAGTTTCAAGGCGGCGGAAGGATTTCTCTCGGGCTCTTTCGGGCGTGTGTGGTCGTGTAGCTGGGCGAGAATGTATTTCGTGTACAAGCTGATCCCGTTCGAGTCGTCCCGCGAGCAGGAGAGACCCGGCTTGCTCGTCGACGACCTCCCGCTCCTCTTCCTTCTCCCACAACCCCTCGCTCGCTTCAGGTGCCTCCCTGCAAGCTCGCGCTTGGTCTCTCTTGGCTAGGCGCAGCTGTCGAGACTACAGCAGACCAGAACGGACGGTGTATTCGCGAGCGTAGATTTCACTCCTCCCTGCAACTCGCTCCTCGCACGACTCTGCACGGCTTGCGGCGCTGTGAGTAGATGTCGAGTTGTAAGCGGTCAGATCGAGTAGCCCTTAGCCAGCCCATCTACCGCACAGCGAGCCTGTCGCCGCCAAGCGATCTTCCTCGTCTTCACTCGCCCTCTTCTGCCGCTGTACATCGCCTCGGCCGCTCAGAATTGACTTGCTGTCACGCGAGGAGACTGCTTGACGTCCAGTTGACCAGCATGATGACCGTCCCCAGCCGTGCGCCCTCGCGCCCATCGACCTCTCGCCTCGAACGCTCGACCCTCTCTGCGACGACCTCGCACTCGACGAAGCGCGGCACAGACGTCGACTTGCTCGCTGACAGGAGCCACGGACGCCTCCTGACAGACCCGATCAGCCGATGACGGGCGCGCCTTGACCTCCTCTTCCTCCCCACCTCCTCGTGCGAGCCCGTTTGACACCGCTTCGCCGCTGGACTGCGCTCGTACGGCTCACAAGTATTCGCTCGGGTTTGCTTGGGTGTTGCTCGCACAGTCTCGACGCATTCCGACGCTCCTCTCCCGCTTATTGCGCCCTCTCTCGCTCGCACCTCCTCTCGCGTCGGTCAACTCGTCTGTCCCTCGGCTCTCTCGCATCTTGCCCGCTCGCAGGACGATGGCCGCTGCACAGGACCGGTCAAAGGAGGGACAGCCCGGAGAGCGGTTCGACAAGATCAGCTATGCCGACTTGAGCGACGAGGGGTGCGTCCTTCGTCATCCTCCTGCCTTGCAAAAGGTGCTGACCGATCCCATGCCGCAGAGAGTGGAAGAGGCTGGGCAAGGGTTCGTTCGGGAGTGTGTACAAGGGCGAGTATCTGGGCATTGAGGTGCGTTCGTTCCTCGAGACCCTCCTGTGGCTCGGTGAAGCCGCCTGACACAGTCTTCGCTGCGCAGGTCGCCATCAAGGAGGTCTTGCCGAGTACTGATTACGACGTGGAGAAGTACCTGGCGAGGGAGATCAGCCGTGCGTCTTCCGCTCCTCCACCACCGCGCGCGGCTGACCAAGCCTCTTTCATTCCGCAGTGATGCAGCAAGCGCGCCACCCCAACGTCGTCCAGTACCTCGGACTCTGCCTCGCACCTCCTGCCGACTCGAGCTCCTCGCCTCGCCCCCGAATCCTCATCATTTCCGAGTTCCTCCCCCGCGGCAACCTCCGCCAATTCATCCTCGACCGCTCACTCCCCTTCCCCTGGCGTCTCCGCGTCTCCTTCGCGATAGACATCGCCCGAGCGATCGCCTACTTGCATGCTCGGAACGCCATGCACCGGGACTTGAAAGGCGAGAATCTGCTGGTGACGAGTAACGAGCGGCTCAAGATTTGTGATTTTGGACTGGCGAGGGTCGCGCCGAGCGGTGGAGCGGAGAATGAGGAGTGGAAGAGGATGACGCTCTGCGGGACGGACGGTTGTGCGTTGACGACGACGCTTTTCTCCGAGATATGCCAACGCTCACTGACCAGATCCGTCGATAGACATGTCTCCCGAGATCCTGCTCGGCCAGCCCTTCGACCTCCGCACCGACATCTTCTCCCTCGGCGTCCTCTTCGTCGAAATCGCCTCGCGCCAACTCGCCTCGCAGCACCAGTTCGTCCGCCAACTTCCCGACTACGGCATCTCTGCTGAAGAAGTCTGGTCGTCCGTCTCGCCCAATGCGCCAACCTCGTTCGTCGAGCTCGCGCTCGAGTGCTGCTCGACTGAGCCGAACAAGCGGCCGGATGCGAAGGCGATTCTGCGACGACTGCGCGATGTTGAGCAGGAAGTTGCGCAGCTCGAAGCGCAGGGACTTGGTGGTGCGGACGCTCACTCGCGAGGCGGGTTGGGCTCGATGGCAGCTAACGTCGGGAGCGTCTCCTTCGCCGGGACGACGAAGCGAGGGTCCATCAAGCACGCCAACGGACTCGGTCAAGGCTCGACTCGCCCTTCCGCTCCTCGCCTTCCCAGCTTCGAAGGGCAGATCAACCTCCGACTTGGCAGCTCGTTCGTCTCTTCCGCCTCCGACCTTCCCGACCTCCCTTCGTCTTATGGGCCGGATCAGACCGCCCTTCTCCACGGTCACGCTCGCGCGCCCTCGTCAGCAGGCCAGACGGACGACGAAGACGACGACGAGGCGTTGCTCGCCATCGCAGATGCCGACGTCCCGATCGACTCGCTCGACATGCGTCCCGACTCGGCTTACTTTGCCAACCTGCGAGCTGCGGAGACTGTCGACGACTCGAACGACTACTCGACGAGCGTCGTCAAGCCGAGTAGCAGGATCGTCGCGAGTCGGATTGGTGTTGCTGGCGGTCCGTACGGGCGACTTGGCAGCTCGAGCGGCAGTACCCTCCTCCTTGTCTCCGACGAACACGAGCGAGGTGGGAGTCTTCCAAGTCTGCCGCCGAGCTGGATCGCGGCGTCGGAAAAGTCGTCTGCTCCGCTCGAAGGAGGCGAGGACGAAGGCACGCCCACAGTCATCGCGCCGACTCGTCCGCGCTCGAAGGATGCGCTCGACGATCCTGCATCGTTCTTGACGGCGCGGACGTCGACATTGTCGGTCGCTGAAGCCGTTGTCGGTGGAACAGCTGGAGAGGCAGACGACGAGGCGCGCGACGTCTTTTACTCGACGTTCCAGCACATGCCGGCGCCTGCAGCGGACCCAGATGTTCCTCGCGAAGCGCCGCACCGCTTCTCGCTGATCCGGTGCGTCTCGAAGACGACCTTCTCCTTGATGGCTCACTGACCGCGAAGCCGTTCCGCAGACCCGGCCTGCAACGCTTCTTCGGCTCCCTCACTGCCTCGCCCAGCGCTTCCTTCGCCGACCACTCTGCAGGACTCGGCGCGGCAAACAAGCGTGCAAGCTGGGACGCCGGGAGCGCGAGTTCGTCGCAGGCTGGGCAAGGGAGGTGCGGGCAGTGCGAGAAGAAACTTGGGTTGATGAAGGCCTACCTGAGCTGCGATGACTGCGGGTGAGTCGTCCGCTCGCATGACCAGCGTCCTAATGACGGCTCTTTTGTCCGCGACATCTATTGACATTTCTCCCGTCTCACAGCCTTGCGGTCCACATCAAGTGCTCCGACATGATTCCTCCTACCTGCCCAGCCAGCACTTCCGCCGCCGCGACTCCCACCGTCCTCTCTCCGCCTCTTTCGCCGACCTCGCCCAGCTTCCCTGCAGCGAAACCGCAGAGACCGACCCGCGCTGCCCCTCCGCCGCCCTCTTCAGCGCAGGACAGGTCGAGCAAGCTGGTCAAGAAGCACCGCGGCGGGTCAGGCGGAGCTGGCGGCTCATCCAGTTCGCCCTTGGCCGCCTTGAACGCCTAGCTCTTCCCGTTTCCTCTCCCTCTTTGCATTGTACCGACTCTGAGCAGCTCTTGTATTCTGCGCGCTCGTTCTGTAGATCCCTCAACCTCGTATTACTCGCCATAGCCTGCTAATCTACATATCCTGCTTGTCTACCGTCTTCTCGCCGCGACCTTGTGTCCCACGCATCCCGCTTGTCCTCCCCAAGCAGCGAGTCTCCATCCTCCGAACTAGCGGGAGCGCCCGAGCTTCGTCGGCGAGTCTTCCGCCGCTGTTGTCGCCCGACACTTCGCTCCGCCTGATCCGCATCGTACTGCTTTGGCTTCGTCCGCAGACACAGACAGAGGGCGAGACAAATGACGACGATCAGAACGAGTCCGACGCCGATAAAGAGAAGTAGCGTCGCTGTCGAAGCTGAGCCAGCCGCCGAGGAGGAGACGTTCGTTTCGATCGAAGTCGAGAAAGAGTTGCTGACAGTCGTGCCGGTCGAGTTGCTCGAGGTTTCGACGGCGACTGCTGTCGGGGTTGGCCGGGAGGTCGTGCCCCATTGAGCGACGACGGTCGTCTTCCTGCGTGAGGAAGAGCTTATGAGCGAGTCCTCGACGGGAAAGGGCGAATCTTCCGCGCACCCATCAGTCTTATCCTCCAGATAGTCGGCAAAGTCGCTGATGAAGATGGTGGTGGAGCCAGCTGGGGTGTTGGAGATGACCAGGTTGTGTCTGCACGACTAGGGTCCGTTAGCAACTGAACGTGCGGCAACGGGAGAGAAGTCTCGTACTCTTCTAGCACCATATTCTTCCATTCACATCTACGCGCGCCGAAAGAAGCGCATTGGGAATGTCAGCGAGCCTTGGACGGGATGAGGGAGAGCAGGAGAACGGCGCACAATTGCACGTAGGTCCACTCCCGCAGACCGCTTACAGATTGCCAGACGAACGTCTTGCCGTCGTCCGCTGTACGAGAATCAGTATAGGCAAGGTGAGCGAGTCGGTCCAGCGAGTGCTCGCCCTCGAGGAGCGCACCGGAACAACCCCAGGTCGCCCCGTCTGGTCCGACTCCTCCTCCAAAAGATGCGTGAGTGCCTGCAAGAGATGCGTGAGCGGATGATGCGAGCGGAGTGGATCCAGTTCGGTAGCTCGCCAAAGCAGGACGCACCGTTGTATTTCGTCGTGGCCGTACACCCCGCTCCAGTCGCCTGAAAGCCTTTCCTCCCCAGCATCGGCGTCGCCTCCTTCCATACCTCGAAGCTGCTCACGTTCGATGGGCAGTCGAAGTGCAGTTCGGGCGAGTTGTACGGCGTTGTCGTTCTGCGGGCAACGGCGGTCAACGGGACTCCGATGTGCTCGCGCTGCACTGTAACGCACTTCATGTCGCTCATGTCGGTAGCTCAAGTGCGGCTCAAGCAGGGAAGGTTGACGAGGGTGAGAAGAGGAGAGGCAACGGCTGAGAGGGCGTGAGAGGCGAAGGTGAATAGAGCTCTGCCGAGCGGCGAGCTAGTCGTCTGTGTAGCTGGAGGAGGGAAGGCAGCAGTAACCGTGCGAAAGGAAGAAGGGGAGAGCAGGGAGAGCCCTCGAGCGGCAAGTCCTCGGAGCCGTCCCCCAACGCGATGCTGCTGAGCGTTGCAGCGCCAAGCTACAGAGACAGTAGTGGCTCTTGAAGACCTTTACGGACCCGCAGATACCGCTGCATATCGCTCCGCACGCGGAGTAGGTGAAAGGACCGATGAAGCCGCGCCTCAGACTCGGAGGACGGGCAGAGCTGGCGCAGCGAGAGCGTCTGGGCATGACTTTACGCAAGTTCAGATTGCTCCAAGCTGTCAAAGAGCAACATCCACGCGAGGCTGCGAGCGGTCGAGGTGAAAGCGCTCGCGAAAGTGGCAGGAGGAGGTCAAGCACCGTCCTCCCGCTCTCGACTCGCGCTGCGCTCAGGATGGGACGCAAGAAGAACCAGAAGGCCAAGGGCGAGGCGACGGACCGCCTACCGCTGTTCGAAGGCGCCGCGACGAGCGAGGTTGGCATGCCCAGGGTGCGCTCAATCTCCCCGTCCCCTTGCACGCTGGCTGACGCTGTGTGCGGCTGGAACAGAAACGCCACTACCGTCAACGCGCACACGCAAACCCGCTTTCCATCCACCACCTCGCATAGTGAGGTACTCGCCCTCCTCTCCCTCGACCACCCGCCTAACTGATGAAGTCGCCTTTCACCCGCCACAGCCCTCCTTCGCCCGCAGAGATGGACTGGTCGACCCATTTCCCCGCTTTCTTCGAGCCTCCGGCAGCAGAAGGGCAGGGGAGCAAGAATTTGAAGGGCAAGAAGGTTGAGTTTGCGGACGTTGGATGCGGATTCGGCGGTTTGAGCATCTCGCTTGCCCCGCTCTTCCCCGAGACCCTCATGCTCGGTGCGTCTCTCTTTCCCATGCCCTCTACACTGTCAAGCTGACTCAAGGCGGAGCAGGTCTCGAGATCCGCGTCCAGGTCACCCAGTACGTCTCCGACAAGATCCGCGCTCTGCGCCTGAACCCCGGCTCGGTCGACCCCGACAATGCGGAAGACGTTGCGGCGGCGGCTGCGGAAGGTACTGCAGAGGGGGAGGATGAGCCCGCGGCGAAGCGGCAGAAGGTCGAGACGAAGGACGCGAAGAAGAGCAAGGTCAGGGGCATCAAGCCAGAGCTCATGCCTCCCGAGGGCTACGCGTACGATAACGTCAGCGTCCTGCGCGCGAACGCGATGAAATTCCTGCCCAACTTCTTCGAGAAGGGACAAGTGCGTCAACCTCTCCTGACGTCTTGCTTCGTGCGTTCGCTTACCTGCCTCCCATCCGCAGCTTTCCAAGATCTTCTTCCTCTTCCCCGATCCTCACTTCAAGGCGCGCAAGCACAAGGCGCGGATCATCTCGTGAGACCCCAACTCTTCCCACGATCCCCGATCTTCTTGCTGACCTCAATCCACATAGCCCGACTCTCCTTGCCGAGTACGCCTACGTTCTTCGACCCGGCGGCCTCCTCTACACCATCACCGATGTCCCCGACTTGCACATCTGGATGACTTCGCACATCGGCGCCTTCCCTCTCTTTCAACGCCTGACCGACGAGGACATCGACAATATCGGCTTGACGAGCGGCGAGGGCGTTGTTGGGTACGAGGGCAGCGAGTTGCAGCGCGAGAGGGAGCGGGCGGTCATGGAGGCTGTCAAGAAGCGGACAGAGGAGGGAAGGAAGGTTGAGCGGAACCAGGGCGGGAAGGAGTGGAGCGTCTGGCGGAGGTTGCCTGATCCTGAGTAAAATGGTAAGGGGCCATCTGGGGAGGTTTGGAATGCATTGTACGTCTACTCGATCCTCTACCGCCGTCTCGGCTGACCGTATCCTGTGCAGGTACCCTTCACCCATTCAAACGTCAAGCAGCCGCTTCTCGTCATCACTCTCGCTCTCACTCTCGCTGCTCCACTCCCTTGCCCTTCTCCTGCGCCCCTCATCCCGTCGTCTGCGATTCCTGCGCCCCAGCTCGTACGCCGGCCAGTCGTTTGCGGACCCGGCAGCTCCACGCATGGATGGCAACCGCGGCGGTGTATCGCTGACCGGCGGTAGACGCTCAAGGGGTCTGTTCATGGCGAGTCGAAGGAATGTGTGCGTCTTGGTGCACCGCAGGAACTCGAGGACGAGCAGCAGGCCGGGGATGCTGTGCTCATTGGCGTATCAGCGCACGCTTGGGACGTTCATCGGAGGAAGGATGTACCCGAGGACGAGATACGTCTGGTTCAAGTGCATCTCCTCGCATTTGCGTTCGACGACGGCACTCTCCTCTCCCTCGCTCGAAACGACGACGAGCGCAGCGTTCGACGCGCTGCAGGACGGCGTCAGCGGTTTGCGCTCCTCGTCTGCTGGTGAGGTCCACTCACCACCACTTTGTCCACTCGTCAACGGAGAAGCGCAGCCCGAGCGCGAACAGCGCGATGGAGAGGCAGACGACAAGTGCGAGCATTCCCTGCGCGACCTGCTTCAGCACTAACGCTTGGATTGTACAGGTCGAAGGGCGAACTCACGGCCGCCGCCCCATTGATCCGCGACAGAGTCTGCATCCGCCCCTGCCACTCTCGCTCGATCTCGTCATACACTTCCTTCGCCCTCCTTCCTTCTTCGCTCTTCTCGTCGAAACGCTGTCGGATTGGAGCCCTATAGCCCGCGCTCACGGCCTCCTCCATCACTCGGAAGAACGACGAGACGCAGAGTGCTGCGTACACCGCCGAAACGACGACAGTCGCCCAGAGCAAAGTGGTCTGCGAGATTTGTGGGAGGAAGTAGCCGGCGACGTGTGTTGGGAGGGAGACGGAGGACAGCCCGCCGACGAACGCCGCCATGAACGACCAAATTGCGGCCGAAGCAGGAGCTTGGCAGTCTCTGTCGTATGGCGAGGGCTCGCCGTGCGAGTGGCCATGGCCGCCGTGCGAGTGACCATGCGAGTGGCCGTGGGAGTGGCCGTGACCCATCTCGGACGAGGGAAGGCGGCGTGACAGAGCGCAAAGAGGCAGGAGGACGAGAACGGATCTTCCGCCGGGCGTTCTCGACAGGAAAAATCGTCGCGACCGCAGCGGTCCTCTCAGATTAGACGAGGGCGGTGCAGGATCAGCGACGGTATGCGACAGGAGTTCGCGACGAACTCCTTTTCCAGTGCTTTCGCCTTCCTTCCCTTGTTGTAACCCGCGCTCCTTTCTGCGCTGACGTCTTTTCTCCTTCTTGACGACCGCTGCGGTCCTCTTGACGCTTTTCCATCTCCTCGGATCCCGACGGAGGATCGTGGCGCTTGATTCGTCTCGAGCCGACTTCTTCCTTTGCGTTCGAAACGACTTCGCTTGTCGCTGCTTGACATGGCCAAGTCTGCGCCGCCAGCGACGTACAAGAGCGCCGCGCAGATCGCGAGGGAGAAGGAGATCAAGCTCATCCGGATATGCATGGCGTGCGTCGGTCCTTCTCCTCATTCTCTCCGTCTCCTCGCTCATCCAGCCCTTTGACGTTGCGCAGAATCACAGCCGTCATGATGGTCGCCGAGATTGTGGTGGGCTATCAGCTGAACGTGATGAGCCTTGTCGCCGATTCTTACCAGCAAGTACTCTCCGCCCACCTCTCTCTGAGGACCAGCTGACAGTCTCCCCTCCCTGCACAGCATGATGAACGACTTGGCAGCTTTCGTCGTCCAGCTGTACGCCGACGAGGTGCGTCAATCTCGAAGGCTTGCGGAGCTTGCCCCGTCGTGAACGTTCGCTTGTCCAGCTCGCCAACGTCGACCGCTCACAAGGAAACGAGACGTCCGCCTTCTCCTTCGGCTTCGCACGAGTCGAACTCATCGCAAACTTGATCCAAGGCACGCTGCTGGTCGCGCTCTGCCTGACGCTGTCGCTGGAATCGCTCCAGCGGTTCTACGCGACGGAAACCGTCCTCCTTCCGCCCGTCGTCATCGGTCTCGGCTTCCTCGCGCTCGTTTGGAACATCGCGAACATCTACTTCTTCGAGGACGCTCACTCGCACGGCGAGCACTCCCTTCGGAAGGGTAGGCGCAGTGCGCAAGCCTTGGTGCACCCGTGGACGTACCGAGCTCGCTTGTTGCAGGTGAGTCCGTTCAGCTCGTCACCTCGATGCTCGTTGACGCTCATTCCGCAGGCTGCGATGGACACGCCGCACTCGCTCGCCCGCTCAGTCAACTCTCGCCGCAGCGGCTCAACCGACGCCTTCTACAGTCCCGGCCACTCGCACTCGCACTCGCAGCCGTCGCACTCTCACAGCCCCAGTCACGACTCTTCAGACGACGACAGCCATTCCGGCCATTCGCACGCTGGCGGACCCGGTTTCCGCGAGCGCTTCCTCATGCCGCAGAGTTCTCTAGCCAAGCATGCTCTCGGCGTACGTCCCCACACCTTGTCCTTCAATCTGCTCCTGACCTGTCAATGCGGCGCAGGACGCCTACGGCAACTTAGCGATCATTATCGATGGCTTCGCGTCCCTCCTTCTCGGTCCAAAGACGGCTCGTTTCTCCGGCCTTGTCAAGCCCTGGGCCGGCGTCGTCTATGTGGACCCAGTCTGCTCGCTCATCGTCGTGCGAGTCATCCTAGCGCACGCTCTTCCTCTCGGTACGCATGCCTGAAGCTGTCTCTTCGCGCACAATAGCAAGCGAACTGACACTTCGACACTTCCGACTCTTCCCAGTCACCAGCTCCTCCTTCGCTCTCATGCACGCCTTCGACCCTGTAAAGGCGGACGCAGTCCGCTCGCTCTTCAAGCGCGGCAACGAAGCCTGGATTCCATCATCGCTGCATGAGCGGGTTTCGCTCACACTCGTCGGTGCGTTCCTCTCCGCAGACCGATGTGGACGACTTGTTGACAAGACTTGACCGCAGACCTGCGCATCTGGCGCCTGAGCAAGACTAGCACCTTCGCAACGCTCAAGCTCGACGCGCGCTTCCGTGGCGGCGGCCACCCGACTCTCCACGACGTTCGGGGTCTTGAGGATGCGGTGAGGAAGGCTGTTAGTGCCAAGCTGGACCACTGCTCGGAGGACCAGGTGTGAGTCCGCTTTCTCGCGGAGTGAAGGTCGGACGCTGACGAGCGGATACTGTCGTGCAGGGCTGTCGAGATCGACACAGGCCATTCAGCAGCGCTGGACGACAGAGACGATTCTCTGCCGAGCCATCCAGACCAGCACGACAGGCAGACATCCTCCTTGAGACGAGCGAACTCGACAAGGCAGCTTGGTCGGAGCAACTCGAGGGGTTCGCTGTCCCGTGCCGAGGCGAGTGGAGCCAATGGATATCGTTGAGGAACTGCAGGGAGCGAGGGAAAGTAGCGCGGCGCGGCAGGAAGGGAAGAATGACGGCTTGACCTTCCCAACGAGCGACGAGGGAGACGTCGTAGCATCCCTTGCACTGATAGAGCACGGGGTTAGACTCGTGGATCAGCCGCGCGAGACAGCGGCGAGAAGCACTACTGTAGCGTCGTGCATTGCCATCAATCAGCTGTACGATGGCTTTCGCGACCTTCATTTTGCGGGAAGGACGCATGCACCGCAACGTTACGCTATGCTTGATGCGGGACCGAGCAGGGAGGGATCTGCCAGGGTTTGGAGTGTTGCGAGGCGCAGCAACGGTTCCAATTCTGTGAGGAGGCGGACTTTGACATCCCATGACGAGGTGAAGCTCTCCGTCCGTGGAGTCGTCGTTCCAGGTTCAGCTAGTTACGTCGTGTAGCTCAGACAATGGGAGGAAGTGCGCGTCCTCCTGGTGCAAGCGGCGCAGCAGCGTCGTCGGCGAGGCAGCAGGTAAGCCCGCTCTTCGCCAGCAGACGGGCAACGGATCACGCTGCGCGGTGCAGTCCTCCTCCTTCGCCCAAAGGGGCGCGGCTGCGTGGCGAGCTGGGAGGCGAGTCAGCGGGGCTCGGTGTTGCCGTGGGCATAGTGAGGCAACGAGGCGAGCGGAAGGATGCGTCGAGGACGACTCGGTCGAGGATCGCCTGCGGACTGCGACGACGCCGAAGGAACAGCTGCGCGGGCGTGTTCTTGCGACACCTGTGAGCGTACTAGCGCCAACCTTGCCGTCGAGCGAGCGGCGGGAGAAGAAGAGCGGAAGGCGAAGAAGCGACCGCATCAGGAAGGGTGGCTGGCCGTCGAGACCTGCCCTCGGCGCTGCCTCGCTTGGGGCTAATGCGGCGCGCATTGTAATGAACGGACTCGCGCCATTGAACCTTGTCCCGCTAAGCCAGAGCGCTTCCATCGAGCGGACCCATTCCCTCGACCCGCTCGACATCCGCTCCTCCATCCGCCTCGAGGTCTTGCAAGCAGGTCACTGGCTGACTCGTGCTCTGCGAGGCGTAATCCCTCGACCGCCGGACTTACGCAACGAACCCTCGCATCGCACTCGATCATCCTTGCCGCCTCTCATCGCTTCCCGACTGTCGAAGGATCCCGGCGACCATTCCAGCAGACGAGGCTCGTACGACGACCGTCTTTGAGCTCTCGCCATTCAGCAACTGCGTGCGGAGGCTGAGGATAGCGAGGAGTCCCCATTGCGAAGAAGCGAGGCTTCCGGTCGACTGGCGACATGATGGCAACGGCTGCGCCTGCGCCTGCGCATGCGAAGACGGAGGGATTGGGACTCGGTGGCATACTGTTGCCGCAGGAGCTGGGCGGGTCTGGCATGAGTGCGTTTCGTCGTCCTCCGAGCGAGGGACGACTCTCGCTATTCTCCCCAAGGATGGGCTGACGAGAAACTGCCTTGCAGCCGAAGTGACCAGTTTCCAGAATCAGAACCTGCGAAGGTCTTCCAAGCAGCGCGTCCGGCATTCACCTTCGCTCTCTTCTCCTCCGTCCCTCGCTCCTTTCGCCAACTCCCTCGGCTCAAAGTCCTCAGCGACCTCCCTCTCCGCATCCGTACCGACTGCAACCCGGTCACGGAAGAGCGCATCTTTCCACCACCTCTCAGGAGACGTCATCTCGTATCCGGTCATCTCGCGAGTCGACGCCGCATCCACCTACATCCCGCCTGCGACTGTTCCTCCTATACCCGCCGACGCCAAATCATCAGCACGAGATCCTGGGCCGCTGTCTGCCCCGACGGCGCCCGCACCGTCTGCCGAAGCGAAGCGGAAGATCAGCAAGAGTCGTCCCCCGCCGATCAAGGTCAGCAACTCGACACACTCGTCGTTCTTGAGCCCGTTCCGCAGCAGGTTTGGCAAGGAGAAGGAGACGACGCCGGAGAAGGAGAAGGGCGAGAAGGAGTCGAAAGAGGAGCAGGGCAGGCGGAGCAAGGTGGATTCGCTCATTGCACAGGTGCGCCCAGTTATTCAGCCTGTTTCCCGGCCGGTCTCACCGTCTCCCTTCTGCAGAACCAGGCTGCCATCGATAATGCCCTCCCCTCATTCGCGCCATCTCAGTCGGCCTCCTCAGCCTACCCCGATGAGATTGTCGACATCTCGCTCGCGCCGCAAACGCAACCGTCCACTTCCGCACCTCCCTCCCAGACAGCACACTACGCGTCTATCGAAGCGAGCGTCCTCGACGCCTACCTCGAGCAGGATTCGCCTTCTCGACCTCCTTCTCCGCCCGCCCAACCTTCACGTCGTGCTCATCGTCGCGCAACATCCGAAGAGTCGCCCTCGATCGTCCAGAATGCGTTTACCCGCGTCGATGGCGGGACTCTGGCGTCTCGACCTCGGACGATGTACACCTCTTCTTCAACCACGACCCCCGCTGCGACAACCGCAAGCAGCTGGGCGCGGCGACCCTCGAGGGTTTCCCCTCCTCCTTCGCATGCCGCGAAGCTCGAGAACCCCGGATTTGCCAGCTCGGCAGGCTTGAAGAGCCGCGAGCGGAGGCAGAAGAGCGTGTCAAGCGCGGCGGGACAGGCGAGAACCGACGATGCCTTCTTCGCGCCCTCGACGCCCTCGGTCTCGAGTCGCCGTCCTTCCGCGGCTGTGTCTACGCGGACGGTCGATGGAGGGAATTCAATCGGGATCAGCGTGCGGGAAGGATACAGCGCACAGAGGGAGATAGGTCGGGCGGTGCTGGTGCCGGAAGAAGGCTTGACAGTCAGCTTGCGAGGATACACGCGGCCAGAGGAGGTGGAAGTGAGCTGGGTGTGCGTTCCATCGGTCGACGAGGGCGGGCGGAGTTACACGACTTGGGAGATGCGACTGCGACCTCGACCCGCTGCTTCATCGTTCGCCATTCCACCCCTGCCAGCAACGCCGACGCTTCCAGCCAAAGCAACGCCCGTACGTGCTCGGACACCTAGCACGACGGCCGCGACGTTCCTCAACTACCGCATGAGCGGCTCGTCGTCCAGCACTCTTCCTCCTCCGCCTCCGGCCGACTTGTCCGGCATGTACCCGCCGACTTCGACTGCCGGCCCCAGCAGCGATCGGTTCGGGGCGTCGGAGGGTCCTGCCGAACCACCTCTTCCGCCTCGCAAACTCTCGAACAGGTCGGAGGGCTCTTCTCAGGGCGGCTCGATGTCGTCCGAGTCGTCGATGATGACTACGCCGTCGACACCTCGACGCGGCAAACTCTCCGTTTCGTCCGTCGCGACATCCATCATGGACTCGCACCCGCCTTTCGACCTCGAAGCGCTCGTCTCGAAACCATCGTTCTCGTCCGACCTCCTCGGCGCCGTCGAGCAAGGCGATCTTCCCTCGTCACGCCAACGTACGAGCCGTCTCTCGTCGTACGCCCCTGGTACGGAGCCTTTCCAGCGCAACCGCCAATTCTCGATCGACGAGGAGGGCATCATGAACCGCGCCGTCTCCTTCTCCGTCGGTCCAGGCGTCGCACACAAGCCCAAGAGTCCGCGCCACCACCGCTTCGGCTGCTACATTCCGCCCGTCGTTCAGTCGGGCGGCGCAGACTTCGCGCAGTTGGCGGCCGAGGCAAAGCGGAGGAGTCAGACTGCCCCTGGGAACAGCCAGGTCGTCGAAGGCGTCGAGGAGGAGATCGCGTCTCCGGCTTCGCCTGCGCAGAAGGTGCGGAAGGCGTCCATGTTCGCGCCCGGTGGGCAGACGAGCGAGTCGGATTCGGACGTCGCCGGCTCGAAGGGCTTCTTCGCCTCGAGGTCCAGTAGGAGGAAGGGCTCGCTCACGGCTCCGACGGGATTGAGCTTCGCCGATATGCCGCCCGCGGCTGGACAGACCAAGGCGAAGAACCCGTCACCGTTGCGGATGCTCCAGCAGGGCGACCTCTTCGACCACGACCTGAAGACGCCGACAACGCCAGGCTTTTCGCTTCCGGCGCTCGCGGCTTCAGCTTCAATCGTGCCACCTCCTACTATTCCCCTGCCAGGACTACCCGCGGACCGGTCGTCGACTGCGTCGAATACCTCCACGACATCCGACTCGTCTTTCGCAGGCGTCGGCGGCGACATCTCAGACTCCGAGGTCGACGATGTCGAGAGCGCGTCGATCAGGCTCGTCGAGGCGCGGCAGGGCAAGCGCATGTTGAGCAGGTGGAGCGATACGGAGGATGGCGAGGACGAAGAGGCCACGACGAGCTGGGGCAGACTGCCGGACGCAGCAACGGATTAATCTTGTATTCTCGGACACACGACATGACGCTGGCAGCAGGACTGCAGCGTATTGTAGCATTCTCTCGTTGTAGCCTTGTCCAATGTAGCGGCTTTGCGGAATCAGCTTGCCCGGTCTAGCCACGGTGATGTGAGATGCTGCGATGCAATAGCTGCGAGTGCACTCGTCTACGCCGCCGACTGTTCCCGTGTACGCCCAGTCGCGAAGTACTGCTTGAGGCGCTCGAGGGCGACCTGGTAAGCCGGGACAAACGGCTCGACAAGCTTGTCCTTGACCTTGACGCGCTCAATCTTCTGGTAGTGCTGCGCCTTGGACATGATGGAGCGGAACGGAGCAACCTGCATGGCGGGAGAGGGTCAGCGACAACTGCGATCGAGAGAGCTTGGCAAGAAAGACGCACCTCTTGTTCCTCCACCAGACTCCACGCGTCACCCTTGTTGCCAGCACGAGCAGTACGACCAACACGGTGCACATACTTGCGCATGTCGACGGGGATGTCGTAGCTGATGACGTGCGAGACGTTCGGAATGTCGATGCCGCGAGCGATGAGGTCGGAACAGATAAGCCTGCGGACGCGGAGTAGCGTCAGTCGGGTATCGAGACGGGTAGACGACGTGAGAGTATCGCACATCTGCACCTCGCCCTTCTTGAACTCCCGCAAGACCTTGTGCCGCTCGCCCGCCGCCAACTCCGACGAGTACGCCTTGACGACGACCCTCTTCGTCTCGCTGCCGTCTGCAGCCGCAGCACGAGCCTCCTCAAAGAACTCGACGAGCTTGGCAAGACGCGTGGCGGCCTCGACCGACTTGGTGAAGCAGAGCGCCGACGAGATGGCGAGGGTGTGCAGAAGGTGAAAGAGGTAGAGCGGCTTGTACGAGGCAGGCGAGATAAGCATGTATTCCTGCGACACAGGGAGGGTCAACCGCGAAGCAACGGAACGAGAGTGTCGAACAGGCCGCACCGAGAGCTCAGCTGGGAATGTGAACTTGAGCTCGCTGTCGATAGCCTCGTCCTCCGCATGCGGGTCGAGCGCGTCTTCGACCGAGATGTAGACTGGTCGATGAAGGTGCAAGGCGTCGATGTTGGCCGGGTCGCGAGAGAGGGTCGCCGAGAAGAGCAGCTTCTGACACTGTTGACGGGGTAACGAAGGTCAATGATGCCAGGTGACGTCGAGCCTGGGCGCAGCGACGTACGGAGCCGTGACACCGCTCGTCGAGATCGCTCGCAACACGTCCGACCTTGCCCTCCGCGTCCCACCAGTACGGCGCGAGTGCGTCGGCCTTCTTGACGGCGGACAAGCTTCGCTTCGTCCACTTTTCTCGCTTGACCGGTAGGAGATCGTCGTCGTCGCGAAGTGCAGGCGCGGAGAAGGACGGCTTGAGGGCCGAGAGGACGGTTGGAAGCCAGTCATGGAAGGACTGTGTCAAAAGTCGGTCGGCCTCATCGACGACCTGTAGAGGCCAAAGTCAGCATGCGGCAACGGGGAGAACGAGGAGGAATGCTACACACAAGGAAGCGAAGGTGCTGCAGGGAGAAGCCCGCGGTCGATTTGAGGTGGTCCATGAGACGACCTGGTGTCGCGATGAGAATGTCTACTTGACTCAAGCCGCCCTCAACGTCGCTGCGTCGCACTCTGCTAGTCAGCGACGGGCACGACGGTAGAAGCGAACTCCATGCTCACGCGAGGACGTCCCCGCCGACCAGAACGCTCTGCTCGTGCGAAACGGAATGTTGACCAGTCGCAACGCCCACCTGTCGAAGACACGGGAGTCAGTCGGAACCCGGCGCACGATGACACAGCAGTGGCGTACCTTCAGTCCTGTCCCCTTCGCATACTGCTCAAATGTCTCCCTGACCTGGCCGACGAGATCGCGCGTGGGAAGCAGCACGAGCGCACGTAACCGCGTGACGAGGCGCTGCTGGAGAGTCTGCAGACAGATGTTACGGTCAGCGAGTCAGGTGGGTGACAGGCGGGAGAAGGGTGGCAGACCTCGACGATGGGGACAACGTAGCTCAGCGTCTTGCCACTTCCGGTCGGCGCAGAGACGCAGACGTCGCGAGGGGGGCTGAACGGGGAGTAGAGCGCAGGAGGTTGCGCGGAAGGAGGAAGGAGCAGCGGGAGGACGGCAGTTTGAACTGGCAGCAAGAAGCGGAATCAGTCTCTGGTCTTGAACGCGACTGAATCGATTGTCACACACCTGCAAACCATTCTTCGACGCCCATGTCGCCCTTCAATCGCTTCCTGCCTCGCTCACCAACGCCCGTGCCGTCCTCGCCCACCTTGTCGCCGATGGGGACCTTTCGTGTTGGGTCGACAACCTGCTTGTCGCGCACTGTTTCGTGAACGTTCAGCGCCGAGAGAACCTTGGCGGATGGAGGTGCGGGACGAGTCGCCGAGGGTAGGCGGTAGAGAGGGGCGGGAGGGGAAGCAGGAGCGGCGGGAGAAGGAGAGCGAGCAAGTTTGGGCTGGTCGATGACGGCGCCAGGTGCCGTAGGAATAAGCGTCGACTCTTCCTCGGTCCCTGCTGCACCGTCGGCCATCGAGACGTCACCGTTCGCGTCGTGCTGAGGCGGAAGGAGTTCTGCCTCCGCCTTGGCCAACGCTGCCTTCCGCTCCTCCTCCGGTAGTCGTCGCTGCTGCTTCTTGAGCGCCTTCAAGGCCTTCCTCGCCGCTATCTCCTCCTGCCGCTTCTGCTCAGCGAGCTCTTCCTCGGTCGGCGCCTGCTCCTCCTCCTCGACAGGCGGAGGGCTCGGCTCCTTCACGACCGTCGTCGGCCGCACACGAGGCTTCGTCGTCTCGACGACCCTGGGCTTCGGAGGTGGCACAACTCCGCCCTCCGCTTTGATCCGCTTGATCTCAGCCTTCTTCGCCAACCGCTTCTCCCGCCGCTCCGCCTTCATCTGCGCGATCTTCTCGAGCTTGGCCTTCCGCTGCTCCTCCGTCAGCTCTGGCCACTTGTCCTGCCCTGCTGAAGTCGCAGACGGCACCGGCTTGTTCTCCTCCTCATCCGAATCGTCCGACTCGTCGTCGCTGCTGTCGCTGTCCTCCTCCCTCTGCCGCTTCTGACCCACGACGACTTTCTCCTTGTCAGTCGCGCCGTCCGCATCGTCAGCCTTCTTCTTGCCCTTCGGCTGAGCGGCCTTCTTCGCCTTCCGTTTGTTCTTCTTGCGCTTGAGGTACTTGAGACGCGCAGTCGTCAAGCTCTGCGCGTTTTTCGACTTCTTCGCCGCGGTATCGGCAGTCCCGGCGTCCGATGCGGGTGCGGCGGGAGTCGAGAGCGACGATGGCGAGGGGACGAAAGAGGAGGGAGTGTGCGAGGGGGGAGGTGCGCCGCCTTGAGAAGCGAGCATAGCAGCCCTCTTCTCGCGCTTAAGGCGCTTCTCCCGGTCCGCCGGACTCTCCCCCGGCGCAGGCTGCCACCCGCCGTAGTTCTCCCTCGTCGCCGACCTTGCACCATGCGGCGGGGCATCGTAACTCGCCTGTCCTCCTCCTCCTCCTGAACCGCCATTCAGCTCCGCCAACTTCTGCGCCCGCTTCTCCCTCTTCAACCTCTTCTCCCTTTCAGCCGGCGACTCTCCCGGCGCGGGCATCCACCCTCCATACGCCTCGCCGCTGTTTCCATTCGCCTGAGGTCGAGGGGCGGGAGCGGGCGCGGTCCCATTGACTTCGGCGAGCTTGGCCGCTCGCTTCTCCCGCTTGAGCCGCTTCTCGCGCTCGGCGGGCGACTCGCCTGGCGCAGGCTGCCAGCCGCCAAAGTCCTCGGATGCGGACATTCGGAGAGGAGAGGGGTGGAAGAGGGCACTGGGAGGGATGGGAGCGGCGGCGCGGTGTCGAGAAGGGGTAAGGTGAGCTGGAAGTCGAGTATCGCAGGTCTTCGCTGGCTGTGAAGCGAGCTCGAGGTCGAGTTGATGAGGGGAAGAGAGTGAGGAGCAAGTCGGTGTGTTCGAGGTCGCGCGAGCCGCGTCGGTCGTCTGAAGGCTTCGAAGCAGAGCAGACAGCGGTCAAGCGAATCCTACAGCCTGAAAGCTGACGTGAAAAGCGGAAGAGGATTGTCGACCTGCTCCTCCTCAGAGCGAGCTCGAGTTTGGTTCGAAAGCGAATTTCTCGCGATGAGCGAAGTCGATTGAACAGCACTCCTGCAGCGTTACAACGACGAAGCGGCACCTCCAGTGACCCGTACAACATGCTCAAGCGGCGACATTCCGGCCCTTGCCCTTGCTCCGCTCGTTCTTTTGCTGCGATTCGCCGGCGTCCGTCTCTGCGAGCACCATCGACTCGATTTCGGACGAGACGAGCGCCGAGTACTGTGTGCTGTGCATCAGACCTGCGAGAGACGAGGGTGGAAGAGTGTCGCGAAGGGTGAGGAGGCAGATAGGGAGAACAAGCGCGTCAGCGCCTCGCTTCTGCATAGGCTGGTCGCACATGCCATCGAGCACGACTTCTAGGCGCCATGAGAGCGCAAGAGGACCGAACGCGCGACTCACTCTCGACCCCTCCGAGCGTACTCATCTTTTTGAACAACTTGACGCCAACATCCTCGCTCTTGCACCCAACGCCGACGAGCAAGTTGTGGAAGAGGACGGACTGCGAATAGGGCGAGAGGAAGTCGGCGCCGCCGTGGATGAGGAGGGTTTGCGAGGGGAGGAGGGAGGAGAGCGAGGGGGACTGGGCGGACGAGACGAGTGGTGAGGCGGCGTAGAGGAGGTGCGAGGGGCTGCGCGCGCAGGCCGAGGGACGAAAATCAGCGTCCCTGTTGCGAGCCGGAACAATGCACGAGACGCACCAGGCTTGGAGGATGTCGCGGACGGAAGAATCGCAGACGCGCAGGAGGCTCGAGACTGCGAGCGTAGCACACAATGACCGTCAGCGACTCTGCAAGAAAGGCTTGGAAGCCATTAGAGGCTGCACGAGGACAGCTTCGAACGACCAGCTTCGAACGAGCGTGGCCGACGACCTTCACGTCTCCCGCTCAAGACTCACTTTCTTCGACACCCTGCCTCTCTTCCCACCTCCCTTGCTTGACAACATCGTACGTCCCACCAACGAGCAACAAGCCTCTGACTTTCACCCTCTTCCCGCCTCGAGGAAGGCGGAAGGACGCGAGTGACTGGAACGACATTTCGGGCTCGTTGGCGTAGATGTCGGCAGCGGGCTCGGCTTCATATGCGGCGGCGAGAGAGTCGAGCGTGAAGAGTTGGGCGGAACGGATACCGGAGGGGAGCTCGAGTTCGGCTTCGGAATCTTGCACATCGAGTGCGAGGTCTTCCGGTTCTCCTAGCTCAACGCGAGACGAGTGGGACTGTCGCAGAATGGCTTCGACCGGGTCGTCGTCGGAGTCGTCGAACGTCGGCTCCGGCGGAGAGGCGCGCCTTCACCGGCGCAAGGAAAGTCAGTTACATTCGCCCAGCAGCAAGCGTGACCTGGACTCGTCGACGCACCCGAGACCGCTCGTCTGACCCCTCGACGCGCGCTTCTCCGCTCCAGCAGGCGAGCCAAGCAGGCTGCTTCCCCTGCTATCGTCGACTGTGACCTTCCCCTCCTTTTTCTTCCGCTCGTCAGCCTTCTTCGCCTCGGCGGCTGCAAACGCGTTGCGGGCTGCGATGACGGCGGATTGGACGAAGGTGAGCTGCGATGCGGGCGTTAGCATCGGCGAGGCCAAGGGAAAGGACAGCGAATCGACGAAAAGGATAAAAACTAACCGACGCAACATGCGCTCCCGCTCCGCACCCCATGACCCAAACCCTCTCCCTATCACCTCCGTACCTCTCCACATTTTCCCCAACCCACTTGACCGCCTCCCTCGTCTCCGCAACCATCCTCTCTATCGCCCTTCCATCCTGCACATCCGGGTTCGTGCTCGAGTAGGGCGTGAGGGAGGGTACGACGACACAGATGCCACGTTGGCGGAGACGGAGTGCGATAGACGGGGCGGGGAAGGAGCGGAGGTGGGTCAGGCGGTAGGAGGGAGACGGGAGGAGGATGATCACCGGCGCGAGAGGGGCGTCTGCGCCATTATCGACTGGGCGCTCTGGGCGGTAGACGTCTAGCCTTAATGCTTCGGGATACGCGGGCGGGTCCGACGGGATGTAGACGATGTTCTCGCGCACAACCTGGTCTGCTTCGCGTCCGCCGAGGATCAGGATACGCTTGGTCAGGCCGTCGAGGAGGAGAGGGAGGAGAGAGGAGCGGTAGGCGTCGAGGAGGACTTGGAAGGCGAAGACAGTCAAGCGGATGCAGCGCAGGGGCGAAAGGACGGGGAGGTGAGGCAGGAGAGGGGGAGAAGGCGAGCCGGGCTGGGCGAAGAGGAGGCACAGGGTTGCGGGGAGGAAGAGCACTGTCGGAGGAATCGTAAGCGGAGGAAAGTATTGCTGATTGAGGGAGAGGCAATTCACGGATAGCGAGAGTGCAGGCCAGGAGGGTCGGAATCGAGACGAGGCCGACGAGCGGGATCTGCGGGTAAGAATAGGTCCAGCTCAGTCTTTCGCCAGCTCGTACGGAGAGTGACGCCGTGCCGACACAAGCGCCCTTTCCGACGTCCTGTTCGCGAGATTGACTTGTCAGCGCAGGACTCACCAGACTTCCCAGCACCAAGAACGGCCATGCTCCGATCGCCACGGCCGTCGAGCCTCCCACCAGTACCAGCGCCGGCAGTCTGAGCGGTGCGTTGCGGAGCTTGAGCGATGTTGAGCGTGCGAAGAGATGAGAGATGGGGGAGGCGATGGGCGCGCCGTTGGACGCGTGTGAGAGCTGGTGGGCCATGCTGAGCGAGTTTTCGAGGGTTGGCGATGGTCACAAGCGAGCATGAGGTGATGCGCAGGGAGAAGGAGGGGAGGGAGGGAGGAACGTCCTCTTCACGTGCAAGTTCCCTTTACTCTCCTTCCCTGGGACCAGTAGTTGGTCGCTTACAGTCTCTTGTGTGCAGTGGGAGTCTACGGAATCTGCCTGGATGTCGAGTGCGAAGCGCGGAGGGATGTCTTGAGGGATTCGAGCAGGAGAGCGTTGAGCGGAAGAGCAGCAAGCGGCGCGCGAGTCTTGACACCGACAGCAGAGGCAGGAACATGCAGGCTGGAAGAAGTAGCAGGACCGCTCAGTTGAGGCAAAGGAGAAGCAGAGCAGGAAAGGAGCGCGAGAGGGAGGCAGTGGACCCGCTTACGCGCTCGCGGAGCCAAGATTCCGCTGTCTCCATCCTGCGATAGCCTGCATGAGCCACTGCACAAGTCCCTGCGATAGCGCCAGCAGACCAACAGACCGAGAGGCTAGGCGTAAGAGAAACCAGGAGTATTGCTTTGGCTCGTTCCTCCGCGAAGTTGCGTAGATGGCAAAATGCCGCTGAGCACAGCCAAGGTGTGACCTCGTCGACTGTCAAACTGGCGGCCTTGCCTGGCAGCGGAGGGAAAGAGCGGTCGAAGAAACGCGCTCCAAGGGAAAGGGAGGGAGCGACCACGCGCACGCGGGACCGGCGGGAAAGGCTCAGGCAAGTCAAAGTCGCTGTTCTCGACGTGTCTACGCCGTGAGTAGCTCAGCAGGCGACGGTGCGGTCGAACTCAGTGAACGGGTCGAGGGAGACGAACATCGACGTCGTCCGACACCGTTCACACCTTCGACGACGGCGACTGGCGGAGCTGCAGAGTCCAGCGCACTGCTCTGGCGGACCATACAGCACGACCGGACAAGCCAGCGAACGCCGCTCGCCCAACCACCGCCTCATCTCCTCACCGACTTCGCCTTGCAACTCCTCTCACAGCCCCGGCCACGTCGACGATGAGCAGCGAAGCAGGCATGATCGACTTTCCGTCCAGGCCAGCGGGGCAGGGCGCGACGCCGCAGGGACTCGGGACGCTCAGGACTCCCAGCGCTGGAGGCGTGGCAGACTCGCAGGCGGGCTTTGGGCAGCGCGGGCAGACTGGTGAGTCCAGACGAAGCGTTCCGCGGAGTTGTTGCTTCGCGGCCATCATGCACAGCTTGCCCTCGCACGAGGCGGTCGTCCCCTTGCTTCTCCACCCCTTCCGACTCTCGAGGTCATCTCCACGAGCGGCGTGTCTGAGCGTGATGCTGACTGAGGGAGTTACTCTTCCGCAGGCCCGATTCGCAGCGCCCGCCGCTTCGAGTCCTCCCGCCCCAGCATGGCGCTCAGTGCCCCTCAACCTCCCTCCCAAACCCCTCAAGCGACTCCCTCGACCGTCTTCCCCGCGCTGCACCTCACCCCTCTCAACGGCACCTTCACACCGAAGCAGATCTCGCTCGACCCGCCCGGATCGCGCGTCAAGATTGGGCGACAGACGAACGCCAAGACCATCCCGAATGGCACGAACGGCTACTTTGATTCGAAGGTCCTCAGTCGTGCGCATGCAGAGGTGTGGAGTGAGGAGGGAAAGGTGCGTTGTGCTCTTCACGCTCAGCACTGGTCGCCGAAAGTTGGCCTTCAACAGCTACTGATTAGTTGTGGAGCCTTACGCGCAGGTCTTCATTAAGGACGTCAAGTCGTCGAACGGCACCTTCATCAACGGCGAGCGACTGTCTGCCGAGTCGACCGAGAGCGACGTCTACGAGCTGCACACGGACGACATCGTTGTGCGTCTGGCTTCCCAGCTCTACAGGTCGAATTCATGACTCACCTCTATCCTGCGTAGGAATTCGGCATCGACATCCTCACCGAGGACACGAAGCAGGTCGTGCATCACAAGGTTGCGGCAAAGGTTCACCTGGTCATGAACCCGGAAGACGCTATCGCCAGCTCTCGGTGTGTCTCCTCGCTTTCTTCCCTAGGAGTGCTCGCTGACGTGTTGTCCGCGCACGCAGCGAGATCAACAACTGGTACCGCTCGAGCGAGCAGATCCCTCGCGCTCGTCCGCCACCTCGAACGACGCCCGCTCAGAACGGTCTGAGCTTCGAGCACGTCCTGAGTAGACTCCAGGTGCGTCTTCCATTTGTCGCGGTTCGTCGCACTCGCACTGACGAGTGAAGTACACAGGGCGAACTGCAAAAGTCGCGCGACACGGGCGCCAACCTGACGGACGTCAAGTCGACCCTCGGACAGGTACACGACACGCTCGGCGGCGGTCCTCCTCCCCCTATCCCTCCCAACGCCGGTGTCCCTCCTCGACCCGGCACTTCCGCCGCAGCTTCTGAAGCGCACGCCCAGTCCATTGCCGCCCTCCAAGCGCAACTCACCGAGACTCAGACTTCGCTTCAATCGCATGTCGGCAAGATTCGCGACTTGGAAGGGTTGTTGGCGGAGCATGACACGATTAAGCGCGAGGTTGGGACGTTGAGGGCGCAGATGGAGGAGGCGCAGTTGAGCATGAGTCGGATGATGCATGAGCGGGAGGGCAAGGGAGCGGGAGGGGTGCTCAAGGCTGGCCAGACGAACGGACGCGAGTCGCCGATCGCCAAGATGCTCGAGGCGGAGGAGGGAGACGAGCCTGCGCACGACGACGATGACGTTCGGAGCGTCTCGTCGGTCGACACGATCGTTGCGCGGCCGAGCAAGACGAACGGCGCTTCGCACGATGACGACGAAGCCGACGAGTTGGCTCCAACCGGTCCCTCGCCCCTCTCGGACGATCTCGACGCTCCCTCAGACCACCACGAGGGGCACGAGCACGTCAAGCCTCTCGCCAACCTCGCCCGCTCCGCTGGCTCAGCTCAGCACGAAGACCCGGCCCGCGAGCGCCTTCTCCAGGAGCAGAACTCTAAGCTTCTGGCGCGACTCGAGGCTCTCGCTGTCGAGCTCGACGAGGCGACCACGCTTGGCGAGTCCTTGCGCTCGCAGCACGCCGAAGCGTCTTCGACCATCAAGGCTCTGGAGGACCGCATTGCGACACTGGAGAAGGCTGTCGACTCGCGTGTCGCTGAAGCTGAGAGACGCGTCCTGAAGGAGGCGGAGGAGAAGTGGGCGGCTTGGCGGAACAAGTTTGAGCAGAGTTGGAAGACGGAGCGGGAGACGTGGGAGGGCGAGCGGCAGGCTTTGAAAAAGATGGTCGAGGAATGGGAGGAGCGGAAGAAGCTCGAGGCGGAGATGGCTGCGGCCGAGGACGAGGATGAGGAGGACACGAGCGATTCGTCAGCTTCGGACGGCTCAGACGAGGGCGTCGACCTCGGCACCGCCGGATCTGCGGACGCCGTCGCCGCTTCCTCCTCCTCCGCCTCAACGTCGACGCCGAGCGGTAGCAAGTCGCATTCGACCTCGTCGTCGCCGAAGAAGGCCCGCTCCGCCCGCCGACGGAAACGCTCGTCGCTCACGCCCGTTCCTCCCTCAACTTCCGCGTCATCCGCCTTGCCGAGGGCTTCCAAGCTCTCGCGGTCTATTGGAGGCGGCCTCGCCAGCGACTCGGACTCGACTATCGGCGAGGTGAGCGGGCGGCTGGGAGCAGAGGGTTTCGGCGGGCGGCAGGCAGGCTCATTCAGCGGCGCGAAGGGCGTACATGGCGGCGAAGGCCAGGTGAGCCCGCCAGTTCCCGCAGCTTGTCGTCCCGCAGCTTGTCGCTCTAACGAGACTGACGATTCCTTGCGCGCAGACACAGCAAGGCCTGCCGTTCACGCTCGCCGGAGCAGTCGTAGTTCTCGCCGTTGCGGTCGGGTACGGCGCAGCCATGAAGCTCAAGGAGTAAGATCGCGAATTAGGCGGACTGTACATTCTTCCCTTGCCCTTGAATTAGCCTTTCTCACGTCGGTAGCATCGTTTCCCTTCCCCTGGCATGGCTTCCCTTTGATCGCAGATTGTAACGATATCGAGTTGGATTCGCACGACACGCCTACACGAGCCATCGTCTTCGCTTTGCCGCTCCTCCGACCCTGCTCGCGTCGTTCCAGTCGCCGTTCTGCCCCTTCCTCCCCGTTCGTTCCGCCTCTTCATCCTCATCAAACTCGTCCTGCCCCTTCCCGACCGTCAAGACGCGGATCCTCCGTTTCGCATTGGCGCCGACTGCACTAGCGGCATCCTTCGCACCGTACCACTCGCTCTCGTAATTGACGATGTCGGCCTCCTGCTGCTGTTGAGGCTGGTTCTCGACGTCCATCTGTGCGCCGTCCGGACCTGGAGCCGCATTGCCATCCTTGCCGGCATTGAGTGAGCGGGCAGCCGTCCGTCGGATGAGGTTGCGAAGCGAGGCGGCGACGAGTTGCGAGTCGTTCAGCCGCGCTCGCAGAGTCGAGAGGTGCTGGAGCGCTGCGGCTGAGGGTGCTTGCTGCGTCTGCGATATGGGGGGAGGGATCGGTGGAGGCGCGGCTGATTCGGGGTAGACCTGCGGGCGAGAGAAAGTCAGCGGCGAGTCTTGATGCAAGGCTCAAGGGTCTACGCACGGGAGTCTGCTTCCAGCTATGCTTTGGCGGTAACGCAGGCAGCCACTCGGCCTTCATCGGGTTCGCTTCGCGCCTTCTCTGCCTCTCGCGCCTCCTCCGTTCCCGCTCTTTCCGTCGCTCATCCTTCTCCCTCAACAGCCGTTCCCGCTTCTCCCTCTTCGCTCGCTTCTTCGCCTCAGCAGCCTCCTTCCTAGCCTTCGCCTCCGCTTCATCACCACCACCAGCAGGCCCGATTTCCTCAAACTCGGCGTCGGAATCGTCGTCGTCGTCCGAGAAAGGCGGCAAGGGAGGAGAAGGCGGAGGGGAGGCGAGTGAAGGGTCTTTGGAGGGGTCGTAGGGGTCGTCGTCTTCGTCGTCTGAGGGGAGGAGCGGGCCAAGGTCGACGGGTGCTCGAGGGCCTTTGTAGGTGATCTGGACGTCTTCTGCAAGAGCTATCGAGCCATTCGCCGCGTCAGCCCATCGTTCGGCTCGAGTTAGAGTCCCAGCGAAGCGCACCTGGTCTCCCCCTCCGCGCCTCCGCCAACAACTCCCTCGTCCCTCCGACACCCAAGTCCTCGCACCCTTTCACGACATCCGCAACAGTCGGGACATGCCTCCTTCCGAGCTCGGCAAGCTGATGCGCATAACTGAGCAACGAGCCAAAAACTGTGTGTCCAGCGAGCGGTGTCAGTCAGAACAGTCGCTTCATCAGTTAGAAAAGCGAGGAGGGGGAACGTACAGCTATACAGCGCGCCTTCGACTTCCTCCAGCGCCTCTTCGTCTGCTCCTTCGAAGCCTGTACTCAGCAGCTCGGCAGCTACGAGTTTGCGCAGGACGAGGGCGGGAAGAGCGGGCGGGAGGTCGGGGCGGGGGTTGTGGATGGTGAAGGGCGCGAGAGGCGCGGAGGACGAGTGCGAGGACAGCGCGTCGTCGTCTTCTGCGTCGGAGAAGGCGAGCGACTCGGCGCGCGAGTCCATGGTGCGTGAGCGGTGTGAAGTGACAGAGGGAGGAGGTGCGGAGGAGGAGGAGGGACGACGTCAATCGTGAGCAGCGTAGCCTTCCCTCGCTCAGAGCAGACGCAGAAGCTCTCTGTGGCCCCGTAGCACGCGCGCGAACCGAGAAAACAGCACTGCTGGAGAACATTGCCCCTCCACCTCGCTCCTCACGCACTTCTACACAAACGAAACCTCCTCCTTGATCTTCACGCTGCACATCCACCCTCCACCCTCCATCAACAAGCGATCCACGAGCAAAAAGTACGTCCAGGGGGCCGAGGCGGTCGAGCAAAATAGGGATCGGGCGCTTTTTAGTGAAGAACGTGACCGATCGAGGGAGGTTTACTTGGAGCCGTAGAGTTCCTCCTTGAGGAGGATGCCGAGCTCGTCGCGGAGAGCCTTGGTCTCGTCGACGTACTGCTTGTACTGCGTCGCGTTCTCGGTCTTCTCCTCTGCGAGCGTGAGCCAAGCGAGTCAGTCAGGAAGATCTGACGGCACGGAGAGTGCCGATAGGCGTCTCCGAGCTCAACCAGTCGCCTGAGATCGTCGCGACTCACTGAGGCCCTCGTAGACACGGACGGCAGTTGAGAAGTCGTTCACCCGGCGGCACGCGCGAAGAGCCTCCTCGACGACTGCGATGCGGCGAGATCGGGTTGGTAGGGGAGCATGTCGAGGTGTGCAGGCAGATTCGGAGGAGGGGCAGAGTCAGCACACAGTCCGCGAATCGTCCCACTCGCACATCCTCCCGCTGCCTTCCGATCGTCGACACCTGTTTCCTTCGACTTCGCAGCGGCCATGCTCATCTCGCACCCGTCCTCCTTTGCTGCCTTGTGCGCGCCTACATTCCGTGCTAGCGCATCGACCGCAACCGTCCTCACACCGGCCAAAGCATGAAAGCGTTCCGCGCCGACTCACCGCGCTGGCTAGGAACAAGGTCGTAACTGAAGCAGTTGTTCAATCCTGCACCACAGCCATCCATCAGCGTGCGCTCGTACGAAGGAGAGAAGTGAAGACGCACCTCGCTGGAGCTCGAAGAGGTCCTGGGCGTTGAAGAAGAAGTCGGCGTAGCGAGCGTTGAAGTCGTCGTACGACTCGGCGGCCGAGTGCGCGTAGCGGACTGTTTGGAGGTTGGTCGTGTGCGGAGAGTGGATGGGTTGGCAAGATGCAGGGCGCGAGAGGGGGTGAGTTGGGGTTGGGAGGGGAGGGTCCGACGCGCGTCGAGTTCGGTTCGAAGGTGGCAGGTCGCCGAGAGAGTACCGATAACAGTGGCAATGCGAAAGAGCGGATCAGGGTTGCGTGACGGTGAATCGGTTCGTGGGAGGGCGAGGGTAAACGGCGCGAAGGTCGGCGGACAGGAGGTACCGGTGGAAATCGAGGACGATGCGATGTCGGATGTAGAGCGGCGAGGATGAGTCGTAAGGCAGCATCGCCGGGCGTTGTGCGAGTGCGGTTCGGCGCGATGAGCGATGAGGTGGTTGGCGGGCGGATGCGGAGACGAAGCGAGGTGCCGACAGTGACGAGGGGGTTCGCGTGCGGTACGAGTCGAGTCAGGACAGTCAGGAGAGTCGGGTGGGCATGCAGGGCGGGTCAAGCAGCTCGTCAGCGGGTGCACTCGAGCCAGATCGAAGGAGCGAGCAGGACGAGGGCCAGCGACGACTCACCGGGGAGCGCTGCGGGGCGGGCGACGGCGCGTGCCGAGAAGGCGAGGGGACGAGCAGCGGTGCGGAATGCCTGCATGGCTCGGAGCGGCGGCGGTGGTGGTGCGGGATGGACGAGGGCGAGGAGGGGGCAGACTGTTGGCCGAAGCGAGCTTGCCCTCTCTCGCGCTCTCACACCGCCATTCCTCGCTGCCACGTCGACTTGCTGCCATTTTAACTCGTACAAACTGACGACGAACGCCTGCTTGACGTCCCAGCCAAGCGACAACATCCCACGAGCCGTCCTCGCCCTGTTGCTCCCCCTCGACGCCGACTTCCCTCGCCTGCGCTCCACGCTCGCACCCCTGCTCGTGCCGAGTTCCTCATTGCCTGAGTGGACGAGAACCTGTATGTGCACAGCTGCACTGTCCCGCGAACCCGCTCGCCTCGCTACAAGCCGCGCAAAGCGCACTTTACCCGCTTGACTCCTCTCTCTGCCTCTCTTCTCGCCCGCTGAACGCTCGTTCGCTTCCTGTGGAAGCTATTAGGATCATCTTCGACGCTCCAAATCGATGCCTGCCTTGCGAAACTCGACGAAGTGCGCTGCTCTGCGCGGATTGGCCCTCCTCGCTATCCTGCTGCAACGTCCGATGCGCTCTCTTCAGCGTGCTGCATCCCTTCCGACCGCCAGCACGCTTTCGACGCGCTCTGTGCTCTCGACGTGCACCTCGCCAGGCTAGACCAAGGTGAAAAGGAAAAGGGGAGGGGGCGCGCTCGGAATTGCAGCCAGAAAGACACAAACACCGCCCCGACCTCTTCTGCCTCTCGTTCCAAGTCCCACAGACATACACAAATCCGATCCGCTTAGATGGTGGTGTCTGCGCAAGTCGTCGAACCGCATCAGTCTCGAGCACCAGAGAGGACGTAAAAAGGGAGGGGGAAACGCACCGTAAGGGATGGGAGCGAGGGTCTGAGGGGCGTTGTTCTCGGTGCTGACGGTGCGCGACTCGCGGGGAGCGGCGGGGAGACGCTTGAGAACGACGTGCTCGCCCTTGGCCTTGGCCTCCTTCTTGGCCGCCGCGTTCGACTTGACGCGGTTCAAGAAGTCTGCGCACGAGCGTCAGCGAGTGTTTAGAAGGGGAAAGGAAGGAAAAGGCGAAAGAACGCACCGTCACGGCACTTGGAGTGCTTGATGTGCTCGATGCGGATGTTGACGCGCTTCTCGAGGTAGCGGTTTCCGACGACCTTGTAGACGATGACGCCGACAGCCGAGGGGGTGACGTTGTAGACGACGCCGGTGCGGCCGTGGTAGTACTTGTGGGGCATGCCCTTCTGCTGCGCGGCGTTGGCCTTGATGTCGACAATGTCGCCGACGCGGTACTCCTTGAGGTACGTCGAGAGCGGGATCATGCCCTTCGACTTGAAGTCGCGCTTGAACATGTCGCGCGTGCGGGCGCGCATACCGAACGAGTGAGGCATGACGGCGGACTAGAAGTGGGGGGCTGTTTCGAGGCGTCGAGGAGGAAGACGAACGGTCAGCACTCGTCCTTGCCCTCTCCCGGCATCGTCCTGCGAAGCTGCCGTCTACCCTGTGCGCCCTGCAACGTCTGCCTGCTCCACTCTGCGAGCCCCGCCCATCTGCACACGAACGCGAGCGGTGGACTGCTGGAACAGCGATCCCACGCGACGACATCGCCCCGCCCCATTGAGCCCGCCAGACGGTCCATGCATCCGTATGGAGCACACAGAACCATCAAGCGAGCCCGACAGAGCGAGTCGTGCCCTGCCGCCTGCTCATCTCGTCCACGCCCACCTGTCCTGGCCAATCCTCCCGTCCCAGCCTCCCAACGAGCTCCCTCCTGCATCCATTCCGTCCTTCCACACCTCCTCCACCATCTGGCACGCAAGCGAGCACCCTGAGCGAGGCGTGTCGCGCGACCCCGCCCGCTGCCCGAGTTTGCTGCCCCTGCTCAAGTCCCGCTCGATCGCCTCTTCCTCTCCCTCTGAGCGTCCCGCGACTGTCCCAAATAGTCCCTGACCACCACAACGGACCGAAGCGAGCGAGAACAGGCCGACAGAGGGGGTAGACGAGGCGTGGGACGGGCAGGCGGGTGCGAGGGGTCGAGCTGGATCTCGGGCTGGACAGAGACTCACGGAGGGGCTGTTTTGCACGGGATCTCGTCAGTAACGAGTCTGTAGTGAGATTTCGAGTGGTACTCACCCGACTGGGAGGGCAGAAGCGGGCGGACGGGCGGGTCGAGGGAGGGAGCGGGCAAAGCGAGCGCGAGAGGGGGCGAGTGAGCGGTGTCGACGGCAGCGGACGGGTCGGGAGTTGGACGGGCGGGCTTGTCAGCGTTGCTAGAGTGCTCTGGTGCTCGAGCAGACTCACCTGGGGATGGCTGATTCGAGGCGAGCGAACAACGCCGTTCCAACCCACTCTCGCTGGTAAGCTCGCGAGGTTCATCTCTCGCACAACTCTGTCAGCGCGCAGGATGGTGCAGCCAGGACACGTACGGTGGGCACAGGCTGCTACACGGCCATCCAGGCGCACCCGCGCCCTCCCCGCACACAAGGAACTCGCCTACCGCCAGCACGCCCACCTCCTCACCTCGAACGACGTCGTCCTCTTCCTCCGCCCGGGCGAGTTCGACGCACACGAGTGGAGCACCCTCCGAGCGCAGCTCAGCGCACTCTCCGCCAACCCCGCCGACGCATCTGTCCCCCCGCTCAAACTCACCGTCCTCCGACCCGGTCTCCTCTCCCCTCTCGTCCGCGCCGCCCAGCCACGGGATCCCAAAGCGAAGAAGCCGAAGCATCAGCAACAGAGTGCGCAGCTGTCCGACGCGGCGCGCCAGGCTCTCGCTACCCTCGATTTCTCACTCGTCAACGACGGCTCGCACACTTGCGGACCCATCGCAGTCGTCACCTCTCCCTCCCTGCATCCTCCAACACTCTCAAAAGTCCTCGCCCTCGTAAACAAGTTCTCCAAGACTCCCAGCCCGAACCAGCCCCCGCCAGGACCGAAGGATCCCCCCCTCGAGCGACTGGCGATCCTCTCGTCCCTCGTCGAGCGCCAGGCAGCGACTCTCGAACGCACAAAGGAGGTCGGCAAGTTGCCCAGCCTCGACACGCTGCGCGCGCAGCTCATCGGATTGCTCTCGGCGCCTGGGTCGAGGATCACGGGCGTCGTCGGCGCGAGGGCGCAGGAAATCGGTCGCGCACTCGAGGGCTTCAAGCTGGGTCTCGAGGAGCAGGGCAAGCCCAAGGCGGACGCAGAGGCGTCCGCGTGAGTGGGGGCGGACATGTGGACGAGGACGAAGACGCGACGACTTCCCGGCAAGACTGGACGACTTTCGGTAGACTCGCACCCCTCCACTCTCTTCGCCGTCGCCCAACCTCTCCTCTCGCCTACCTCATGCAGCAGCATAAGTTTGTACTACACGCATTGACCTGACGACGCGGCGACGAGGCGAGGTACTTGCTCGACGCTCGCCGCCTGTTCTCTCTCGCTCCTCGCTCCTCCAGCGTCCCCTGCTTGCTTTGAACGGACGACGAGTATGAGGGGGTTCTCGTATAGTCCTCGCCCACTCAGCAACCGCAGCTTCCTCTGCTGCCCGCTGCCCTCGCTTCCTGCTGCTCCTCGTGCGACTCTCGCTAGACTTGCACAAATCGCAGGATGATCTGAGAGAGCTTGTGCAGCTTTCGACAGATCAGCCAGAGGCTGTTTGGTGACCCTCGTCGGGACTTGTCTTTTCTCGACGGACCCACTCCCTCACTCAGCTTGTCCCGCGCTGTCGCCCGCTTGCTCGCTCTCACCGCGCCCTGCTGCACTCGAGCCAGCTCAGAGTACCGCCAGCACAGGTCGAGAGCACATGGCCCGGCCATCCGCGCCTTCGCAGAGCCCTCATCGCTCTCCCCCTCGCACGACCTCGACCTCCCCCTCCACCGCCGTCCCCGGCTGTCCCGCGTGTTGTCCGGCCTGCGCGCCGTCGACGTCGACTGCCGAGTCGCTCTCTGTGACGGACGAGTCCGCTAATGGCCTCGCTGTGGTCCGCGGAGCGGCAGAGAACGGCAGACGACGAGAGGGGGGTCTTTCTCGACCGAACGGACGCGCGCGTGCGAAGCGTTCTCAGGCTCGTCTCGCACCGCAGAAGAAGAAACGAGTAGATGCGCCCGCTTCCACGCCGACCCAGCCTCCTTCCGTCGTCAACAAGCTCAAACGGCCTCCTCCCGCTCCTCCAGCCGATGGCTCGCCTGCCCCGCCGCCGCAACCACCCATTCCGCCTGATGGGTCTGTCAAGACGTGCGAGGCGGTGGACCGGTACGATGAGGTTTGTGGCGAGGTCGTGGTGGGGGGATGGAAGGGAAAGGTCCCGAGACGGTGGTGTCAGATGCATGAGGACGAAGAGAAGTTTGTCAGGGCTTCTTTTTGGAGTGAGTTGGCGTGCCTTCTTTGCAGGATGAAGCGAGCGGGACTGATGCCGACTGAACCTGCATCTCCAGACTCCGTCTCTTCCCTCCCTCGACTCGCCCGCACACATCCACTCCCTTCGCCGACCGAAATCACGTCCTCGACCTCATTCACCGAGCTCGCAGGCTGGGAGACGATCGCTCGGCAACACATGGACCTCGCAAAGCGGGCTTACGACTCTTGGGTGTTTCACCGGACGCACTTCTTCGCTGCGGGTGGGGACCTGGTCGATCGATTGGAGGGACGGGGAGAGGGAGAAGGCGGGACGGATTTGGCGAGAGGGGCGTGGGAGGAGGTGAGGCTGAGAGGGGAGAAGGCGGAGGCGGTCCTCAAGCGTGAGTTGCGCTGCGCGGTTTTCCTCCTAGGTCCGCTCGTTTGGTTGACGGTCTTGCCCGTACAGTCATCATTCGACGCTCGCACTTCCTCGTCTGCGATGCCGAAGACGCCCTCTGGCTCCTCCACCCACAAAGTCGCTGCACCCACGCGACCGCAAACGGCTACGACTCGTCCTCGTCCCAGTCCTCCTGCGAATGCTCGCACGACGCGTCGTACTGCAACCACGGCGAAGACGGTGGTTTGCATGGGTCCGAGTGCGGCTGTTGCGCCAACTCGTCGATCGTTGCTGCAGAGGACGAAGACGACCAATCCGCCTGTTCTTGTACGCGCACCTCTTCCGCATCGCATCACCACCCCCACCACCACCATCAACAACACCATCACCACTCGCATCGTCATCCGGCGCACACCCTCCATCGAAACCACATCTCACCGCCCGACCAAGCACCTCACAACCCGCTCCGACCGCCCGGCTCGCCGACTCTCGCGCCTGAATCTGAAGAACCCGACCCGCTCCTCGCGCTCGACACGTTGAGGCGGACGGAGCTGCTCGAGCTGCTTAGCTTGACGGGGAGTCATGCGAGTTTCATTCGCGAAGGGAGGAAGAGCGTCGAGCGGGTCAGGATTGTCGAGTGCTTGTTCAGGAGGTTGATTTCGAGGGACGAGGAGTTGCTCGTCAAGGCGTACCGGGGCGGTCACGATCATGTGCGTGCTCACCGTTTCGTGGATGGAGCAGCGGGACTAACGGCAGCGATTCCTACAGGTCCTGCGGTTCTTCGAAGATCCCGCTCTCGTCACTCTCCCCGCCCTCGCTCGTCTTCACCGCGCACTCCAGCGCACTTCGCCTCTCGAGCTGAAGGAAGCGATCATGGACGCCTTTCGCGCGATCGCATGGGAAGAGTCGGGCGCGACCGAGACGGAAGAAGGCGAGGAGGGCGTCGGGATGCAAGTACTCGGCGGGTGGCTCTACCGCTACCAGCTCAGTCGCAGCATGACGCCGCGCGAGTGGTCGCACCTGTACGACCTATGCGCCTGCCCCGGTTGCGCCACAAAGTGCTGCCAACGCTTCACGGACCTTGCGCTCATTCGTCGACTGAGCGTCGTCCCGCACGGCCCGCATCCTCCGCCGTTCGAGTCGTGGGCGCAGCCGGGCGAGACGGACGCGAAGAAGGTCTTCAAGGCCCTCGATGTCGTCTGGTGTGCTGGGAAGGAGAAGGACGATGTGCGCAAGGTTAGGAAGATGACGCAGCCGGGCATGGGTATCGGGATGGGCGCAGAGTCGGTCTGGGCGGCGCGGCAGGAGCGCAACTGGGCGTTCCTCAAGCTTTCGCTCACCCACCCTCACGCCCTCTCGATCCTCACCCTCCTCTCTCAGTTCTTTACCCTCCTCGTCCGCTCTCGCCTTACGCCTTCTCACCCGCTTCCTCCGTTCCCGCTCCCTCCGCCGGCGCACCTCTGGACGCACCGCATTCGCACGGCACCGACAAAAGCAGCCCTCTCGCGCCCTCCCTCTCCCTCGACCTCCTCTTCGTCTTCTCTCGCCGTCTCGGCTCCATCGCCTTCCTCGCACCCCTGGCGCGCCCTCCCGAACCCATTCAACCTCTCGCACTCTCCTGCCCACATTCTCGCCGGCTTCGACGCCCTCGACAGTCCCGAGAAGGAGCAGGACATGCCGCCTTTCGACGGGACCTACGAGATCCTCGTCCTCGATGCGCCGTCTGACTCGCCTTACGCTTTCGTCGAGGCGTACATCCCTCGCCCGCTCGCTGCGTTCGAGAACTTCCTTGCCTCCGTCATCGCTTCGGCGTGCGGGATCAAGGTTCCCGGCGTCACCGTCTTTGACGAAGACAACTCGACGACGAACGGTGCCGACTCGCGTGCGGTGGCAGAGAAGCAAGGAATGGACATGCCTGCCTTGCTCCAAGCCGCGCTGGAGCACGGCGCAGTCGAGTCGTTCCTCGCCGGCGACCTCGTCTGGGACTTTGGCGACGTCAAGGGTGTCACAACGCCTTTCTCGTCGTCGACGGGCGGCGCGGGCGGCAAGCGGTTCAGCGGTGTCGACCTCAAAAAAGTCGGCAAGAACGGGATCGTCGCGCCGCCTCTGCCGACTCCTGCGGCGCCCGCAGCGAACAATGGAGCGAATGGTGCCGTCGGTGCGGCTGGCAGGAAGGGCGGCGCGGGAGCAAAGAACGCGAAGGGTTCTGCTGCGACTGGAGCGGCAGCGGCGGACAAGGACAAGAAGGGCAAGGTGCTCGACGGCTTGCGCGACGACTCGCTTGCGCTCCGCCTCGCCCGCTCGCTGTTCGTCTCGTGAACGGCAGGACGTGCATCTTCATACATTCTATCGCTCGCCGCATTAGCAATCCAAGTCTATTCAGCATTACAACCTTGCGAGATTACAACCGGGTGGGGGAGTTGCCGGGCTGCTGCTTCCCTTCTCTTGCTCACACATCGCTGGACTCGCGCAGAAGCACAGCTGCCTTACTGAGCACTCTCGGAAGCATGGCATCACCCACAGCGGACCGCTCCGCCCTCCTCACATCCGCCGTCTCGTTCCTCCGCGACCCACAGACTGCCTCCTCTCCTCTCGCCCAGCGCATCGCCTTCCTCGAATCCAAGGGCCTCACACAGCCCGAGATCCAGATCGCTCTCCAGCAAGCGAACGGTGCGGCACCAGGCGGAGGAGGTGGAGCACCCGCACTCGTCCCGAGGGGAGCGTACGGCGCTGGAGCTGGACCGGTTGGACCGTATGGCGTGCAGATGGCGGAGTACCAGCGCGACTGGCGGGATTGGTTCATCATGGGCGTCGTCGGCGGAGGCGTTGGGTGGCTCGCCGTCAAGTTGGCCCAGGTTAGTTCTCGTCTCGAGGCTTTGACAGGCTTGCGGCTGTGCCGGAATGCCTGTCTGCCTCAGCTTCTTTGATGATGGACTGACAGAGCCGCCATTTCGCAGAAATTCCTCGTCCCGCACCTCCAGCCTCCGACCGAAACCGATCTCGAGGCTTCCCAGCGTGCCCTCGAAGCCAAATACGACGAAGCTGCCGAGCTCCTCAAGACATTGCAAGAGTCTACCGATGCCGTCGCTAACAGCCTCGACGAGCAGCGGCGCGAAATCGAGAAGGAGCTCGAGGAAGTGAGGCAGGCGGTGAAGGAGATGCGCGAGGGCGAGAAGAAGCGAGACGAGTGGGCAAAGAACGTCGGCAAGCAGGTCGACGAAATGGTCAAGAGCCTGCCAAGCGTGAGTTGGGTTGGCGAATTGCTTTGTTGGCCAGCTTTCGTATCGGTTCTTCCAAGACTAACTCGATTTCGGCGCGCAGCTCCTCGACAAGCAAGCCTCCGCCCAAACGTCCTCCCTCAACGATCTCCAAACCGAGCTCAAGTCACTCAAGTCCCTCCTCATCGCCCGCCGTCCTACCGCTCCTGCCGCTCCTACGCCGTCACCCGGTTCACCCGCCACTACTCCCGGTCTCGCCAACTCGACCTCTTCCTCAACTGGCGGCTCCTCCCTCCCTTTCAACATCAAGCCCCCGGGCCTCCCGGCGTGGCAGCTCAAGAATTCGTCCGCGGCCGCTAACGCTGCGGGCGGATCATCGGCGCCTGCTACCTCGACTGCCGGATACAGCGTTCCTGACTCGACTGCGGCAGCGGCCGAGAAGGACAAGGACCCGAGCGCGAGCGGTGTATTGGTTGAGAAGCCAGATGCGACGGAGGGTGCGAAGGAAGGCGAGGAGGCTGGAGACAAGGGAAAGGGCAAGGCGGTCGAGGCGTCGTCATAAGCAGTTCGAAGTGGCATTGTAATCCTATCGCAGTACCCAGGCTGTGTATGCGGATGCGTTTCCGACGACTTGCTGTCCTCCGCGACTGTCCCCTCTCGATTTCCGCAACGACCAGGCTATGCAACGCCCGTCGAAGTCCAGTCGTCATACTACGGGCTCAACCGCTCGATCTTCCACTCGCTCTTCTCGTCGCCCTCGGGCCTCGTGTACCGGTAGCGGTCGTGCAACCTGCTCTCGCGTCCCGCCCAGAACTCCACCTCGAACGGGACGACCCTGACGCCGCCCCAGAACGGCGGAACGGGAATGTTGACGTTCTCGACGGGCTTCGCGGGAGCGGAGGACGCAGGTCCCGCCGTGACTGCTGAGCCGGTCGCCGTTCCTTCAGGGACGCCAAAGCGCCGCTCAAACTCGTGTACCCGCTCCTCCAGTTCTTCACGCGTGCCGCTCTTCAAGACCGTGCTCTGCTCGCTCGCCCACGCGCCGATGCGGCTTCCGACGGGCCGCGAATCGTAGTAAGCCTGCGTCGTCGCGCGGTCGACCTTCTCCGCCTTGCCGACGACGCGGACTGACAGGTGAAGCGCTCGCCAGTAGAACGCAAGCGAGACGTAGCCTCCTCGCGGTGAGTCGGACTCGTGGTCTCCGTCAGGGAAGAGCTCCCTTCCCTTGCGCGACGAGTAGTTGGTGTAGAAGATGAAGCCGCGATTGTCAACCTGCTTGAGGAGGACGACGCGGGTCGAGGGGATGTGCGTCTGGGAGTTGACGGTGGAGATGGACATCGCTTCAGGCTCGGGGACGTCGGTTGGGCGGGACTGAGCGTGTGAGAACCATTTCGAGAACTGAACGATCGGGTTGGGGTCGAGGGTCGAGGCGGACGGGATGCCTTGCGAGAGGTACGTCTCGTGCGTTGAGACGGACGCGAGCGTTTGCGGGTTCGTTGAGGTCATGAGGGATCGCAGGCAGGCAGAGGTAGGGGTCGAGGAGGAGGATCGGGGCGGAGTACGGGTGCGAATGATGGGGATGACCGGGCTAAGGAGGGTCGCAGATGCGCGATGGAGAGTGTGACGGGCAGTCAGGCGCGAAGATGAAGGTGCGAGATGGCGAAGAGGGGAGTGGATCTGCGAAGTTCGGGGAGTCAACCGCCGGGATCGGATGCGGTGAGCTGCTTCATACGCACTTGCATACACTCCCTGTGGTGTCGTGGCGTCGTCAAAGCAGTCTCGGACGAGTGCGAGGTGTAGGCAGTGAACTGTATGAGACCAAGAGGCGAACCTGAGGTCGGAGGAGAACCTCACGTTCGCACAGCTCGGATTGACTTGTTCTCCCGCTAGAATGGCACCAAGCTCGCCTGAAAAGCATGGCACGCCGTCCAGACCGTCCGCTCTTCCCTCGCTTCTCGCGGGCCTGCGCTCCCCCTCTTCCGCCAGCGTCGCCCCGTCTACCACCTCGACTACAGCGCAGGAATCGCTTCCGCACAGGCCGACAAGGAGTCGAGAAGTGTGGCAGACTGGCAGCGGCAGCAGAAGCCCCAGCATGCGGGATCTGGCGGACGCGGCGGCTTCATCGGATATTGGTGGGGGTCGTGCAAAGCGGACGATGCGCAGCGTCTCCAGCCTTGCCAAGACAACGGACCTCACGGCCGACAGGTCAGAACCGGAACGGAGGCGCCGAGGAAGCAGGTCACGGTCGAGGACCTCATCTTCGAGCAGCGCGGGCAGTCAGGCGAGCTCTGCTTCGAGTCTGGAAGGGCTGGCTCAGCGGTTGCAGGGTGCGAGGGAAGGAAAAACGAGAGGAGCTCGAGGCGGGGAGGCTCAGGACGCAGGAAAGGGGAAAGGGCGGGCAGAGGAGGTGCACGAACATGCTCACGAGGAAGATTCCGCTCCTCGACATGCGGTGGAGGACGCTCGACTGCATCCTCCTAGCTCCACTGCGCCAGTCGACAGTACGGCTTCCGCCTCGTCCTCGCCGTCGACGTCGACTCGCCTCTTCGACCTTCCCCGAACGTCTTCGCCTTTTCTCCCCGAAGCCTTCTCTGCAACGTCAGACTCGCTCAACGACGCCTCCTTCGCGCACGACGACGACGAAGCGGACGAAGATGACGACGACCTGGCAGACAATGACTCCGCGTCGGTAGTCTTTCGTTCGGAAGGCCAGCCCGACCCGCGAGACATGCTGCGCGCCCAGCTCGCTCGTGCGCCGCCATCGACCATGTCCGTCGAACAACGAAGACGGGACGAGATGGGGAAGGGGAAGGCTGTCGAGTTGGACGTTGAGGAGAAGGAGGTGGAGCTGCGGCCGACCAGCCGGGAGGAAGCTCTTGCAGATATGCCTCGGCGATACTTCGTTTTGTCGACGGCGGGAAAGCTGGTCTATACCTCGTAAGTTCTCGCTTCTCTCTCTTCCATCGGCCTTCTTCGCGGCGTTCCTCCCAGACTATCCACCGCGTCTCGCTCGCTAACTCACGAGCTCCGCCTCGCTGACAGTGACGACGACGAGGAAGCCGCTACGGGTCTTGTGGGCGTGATGCAGGCCATCATCTCCATCTTTGCGGACGAGGGTGACAAGATCCGGTTCGTCGACTTTTTTTCTCCACGCGAATGCAGAAACCTGATGCTCTCCCACCCTCGACAGCTATGTCGACGTCGGCCAAACGAAGATCTCGTTTCTGCTGAAGCCGCCTCTTTACCTGGTCGTCGTTAGCTCGCACGGAGAACCGGAGAACATCGTACGTGCACCGCCTTCGAAGCTCTGCGTATGCCTTTGACGCTTCGCCTCCCCCAGCTTCGAATGCACCTTGACTACCTGTACCTTCAAATGCTCAGCGTCGTCACGCTCGCGCAGCTGCAGGCCATCTTTGCCAAGCGGACGAACTTCGACTTGCGGCGGATGATGGAGGGTGCGTTCTGCTGGGTCAGAGACGTCGCGGTACGATGTGACCTTACGCAGCAAACCTGTGCAGGCACAGAACCGTTCTTCGACTCGCTCGTCTCGACGCTGCAGGTCTCCCTCCCCATGCTCCTCTCCTCGATAGAAGTCTATCGGCTGCCGACACCGACACGAGAGGATCTCGCTCGCGCACTCAACCCAGGTCGCGACGTCATACGCGACCTGGACCTCCTCTACGTCCTGTTACTTGCCAAAGGTCGTCTCGTCACCCTGCTCCGCCCGAAAAAACACTCGATTCACCCTACCGACCTCCACCTCCTCCTGTCAACGATCTACGCCAAGCGCAAGTCGGCTTCGCCCAGCCCGTCAGCAACTCCGACGTTGAATGGCGACCCTCCGCCTCCGCGTCCTCCGCGTTCCTCGCCCCTCCTCGAACCGGGCGCCGAGTCGTGGCTTCCAATCTGCCTTCCCCGCTTCAATCCTCGCGGCTTCCTTCACGCCTACATCTCCTTCCTCGACGTCGGCTCGTCTGGGCGGTCTGCAGACGGCAGTTCGGCGGAACCACCAGAAGACGGAGTCGGGCTCGTCCTGCTCAGCTCGCAACGCGACTCCTTCCTCGGCGTCAAGGCTGCGGCAGAAGGCATCAAAGCGCGTCTGCTCGCCTCGCCGTCGGCAACGTCTGCTGCGACATCGTCTTCGACGCTACCACCACCGGCTCCGGATGGCGGCCTCTTGCACCCGCTCCTCCTCTTTCGCGCTCGGCAGTCTTATTCGCTCGGCGAGCTTGCCGTACCGGGTCTGCGACATTTCGTCTACAAGGACAAGTCGAAGGTGCAGGTTACGATGTGCGGTTGGGAAGGCGAGTATGGCGGTGAGGAGGAAAGCGAGGGCGAAAAGGCGAGACGCAGGTGCGCTTACAACAAAGATCTCTCTGTACGAGTGCAGTGCAGGCGCTGACACGACCCGCTACGTCTCGCAGGCTCATCACGCTTTACCAGCACCTCCACACGGCTCTGCATCCTCGACCGGCGGCGGCAGGAGCGCCATCGCGACAGGCAGCGCAAGTACAGTACCTGCGTACCGAGCACGAAGCGGTTCTCGGCCGGGTGAGTCCGCTTCTGACGTTCCCAGCCGTCGCGCCTCCAGCTGAACACTCGTCTCTGCCAGATCACGTCGTCCTTCGAGCTGTACCTCGCCACCGCGCCTTTGCTTCCTCATTCGGCTGTCGTCAATGCGGCCAGGTCTATCAGCAAGTTCGTCGCCGGCAAGGAGAACGAGCTATTCCTCTCGAACGCTCCGTCGTTCTGAGGCGACGGTCTCGGCGGCGGCTCGCTCGCTACATAGTACTCGACGACTGCGTCGCAGTCGACTCGCACCGGACAAGCCCGAAGCGGTCACGACACACGCGCTGCGTTCGACGCGCGGTCGCGAGGAGCGATTTCAACTGGTACGCACAGCCGTCTGCGCCGGAAGTCTCGACAGCGCCGAGATGCCTTGTTTTGCCTAACTGTGCTTTGTTCGCAGATTCTGCGACGTCGCGTGCGTCGAGGGAACGCCAGTCCGTGCAAAGTCGACGACGGAAGAGCCGCCCATTGAGGCGACGTGTCGCCGCTTCGGACGCTCCTTCTCCCTCGCACTTTCCTCGTCGACGAGCGAAGCGTGCGGTCGTTCCTGAAGTGTGTAATAACGGAGCGTAATAGCTTTGCTCCTTCAGGAAGGTCGCCGCCGACTGTCGAATCGAGACCTGGCTCCGTTTCCATTGCCCTTCGATCTTTGCGGGCTGGATCATCGTCCGTACGCCCATCTCCAGGGCTGCACGGGCAGCGAAGGGGCGCACCTCTCTCGCCCCATCCAACGACGCTGCTGTCTTCGCCAACGCGGTCGCTTGCTGCACCTCTCCAGCGCTCGCCTGCGGCTTCTAGCCCGCTCACCAGATCGCCTTCATTTTCGTGATCACCTCTTAGCGTCAGCCCCGACACGACCTTTGTCCGACGAACCTCCCGCCCCGGTGGCTCGAGCGACCTCTCCTCCCGTCTCCAGCCATGTTTGGTTTGCGCAGGTCCGACGGCGCTGCGTCCCCTGCACCAGCAGTACCCCTCCCGCCTGTCCCGATGAACGCAGGCTCACCGCAACTGCCGCCCTTCCCTCCTTTCCCGGCACTCTCGCCTCCCTCGCGCCTCGTCTTCCCTTCGCGTCCGAACCGACCAGTTGTCGACCAGGGCGACACGTCGCCTGCATCGTCCCACTCCAGCATCGACTCGGCCGCCTCGACCGAGGAAGCTGTCTCAACGCGACCCTCGACTCCTGCCAGCAGCGCGTTCACGGCAAAGGACGCCCGTCTGTCGCACACACAGGGTGCCGAGGATAACGACTTGAGTGTCCAGTTGGCATTGTTGGACGTGGACGAGACGGATGAGGAGTCTTTCACGGAGGAAGATGCCAGGGGTCGACCCGCACGACAGTTCCTTTCGACTCGCCTATCAGCCACCGCTACGCCCGCCGCTCCACCCTATCTCAGCAGCTCCGACGTCGAGGAAGCCATCGTCGACTGTGGCTGCGGCGATGCGCCAACCTCGCCTCTCTCTCCCGCCTCGCCAATATCCGAAGACGACGACTTCTTCTCGGAGGGCGAGCAAATCCTCCTGGCGGGCGAGCCGGCTGGCCTCGGCCTCGGCCTTTCGAAACGCCCAAGTCTGCCGCTGCCTTCGCTGCCCGGCGCAGGCGCATCGCCGTTCTCGGCGAGACAGCCTCTCGGACGGCAACGCAGCGTCAGCGGCAGCGCGTTCGTCGAGGAGGGTATCACGCGAGTGGACGAGACGCGAGCGCGAGAAGCTGGTGAAGGCGGAGTGCTCGGCTTGAGCGAGAGCGAGGGTGAAGGGGGAACTGCTACGGCGACGCCAACCATGTCTTTCCAGACGACGACAACCGCCACGGCACGACCTTTCGGACGCCAAGAACCGGTTGCTGGACCGTCAACATCTCCAACTCGCTCGGCGCCCCTCACGCCGGCGGACGAACGGTCGAAGATGGTCGCGCGGCGCTTGCTTCGGAGGAAGCGGAGCACGACGAAGAAGGAGAAGTTCGAGCGCTTCGTTCTGCCAACGGCAGAGTCGATGCAGGCGGCGAGCGAGTGCGAGCTCGTTGCAGAAGGCGGTCAGAAGGTGACGTTTGGCGAGTTGATCAAGCACCGCGGGCACAAGAAGGTCGTCGTCATGTGCGTTCCTTTCGCTGTCCCAGTCCGTGTCCGTGCGCGTTGAGGCTGACTCGTGTGTGTACGGCGCAGCTTCCTCCGCCACGCCTGGTGCGGTCTCTGCGCGCAATACGTCGAGGCCTTGAACCGCGCAAGCCTCAACCTCGTCTCGCTCACGGCCACCACGTTCTCGTCGATGTCCAGCACCGCCTCGAATCCTGCTCCCGTCATTCCGCCTCTCTACGTCCTCCTTGTCAATTCTGGTTCACCGACCCTGATCTCGGCATATCGCGATCGGATGGATACGCCGTTCCCGCTGTATTCGGATCGGAAACGCGCGCTGTACAAGGCGCTGGGAATGACAAAGAAGACGTGGGACATGGGCAAGGAGGCGGACAAGGGGTCCTACATCGTCAAGAGCAATATGGAGAACGTCACCTCGTCCATCAAGGTGCGCGCCGGTTCCGCGGCATGCCTGCCTTCTCTTGTTGACGCACTCTCTCTTGCAGGCTGGTGTCGCCATGCCTCGGTACCCTGGCAGCCAGACGCAGCTCGGCGGCGAGTTTGTTTTCGAGTACAACGACGTCGATGACAAGGTCGACTGCCTCTTCGCCGCCCGGATGTCGACGACCCGCAACCACGCCGAGATCCGCGACGTCTTTTCGGCGGCCGGAGTCGAGCTGAACGACGAGGATGCGGCAAGCGTCTATGCCTCCTGACCTTCCTTCCCTCCTTCCGACACTCTCTACCATCGCAACCCCTTCTAATACACGATACCAGCCGCCTCGTCCGCACATCTGTATCCTCTAGTGTCCCTAAGCCCTGTATCGCCCCCTCTCTCCCTGCTGTCGCGACCTCTCTCCTCTGTAGCCTCCCACTCAGTCGCAGTCGTTCATCGTCGTCTTCCTCAGTTCCACCGCAAAAGCCCGTGCGATGCGGTCCTTCGCAACAAGTCCCCGATCCTGCCGGACCCTTTCGCCGCCGAGTTGCCTCTCTCGGATTGTTGGCTGATGAGGACGAGGACGGTCTGCTCGCGACCACTCCGCTCGCTCGTCTCGCTGAACTCCTTGCACAGCAGGCATGCCTCCCAAGACAGTACAGACGACGCCGAGCAAGGGCAAGCCCGCGACCGCTCGCTCGGCGGCGAGCCCGGCAACGACTCTCTACTTGACGGCGTACAACACGGCTTCGGCGCTCGCTTGGGGCTGCGTGCTGTTCCGCGTGGCTGTGCACATGAGTGGCGGAGACGGCTACACGGGTATCAAGGAGTGGGCCGGCTTGCAGGGTGTCGGCGAGACGTTCAGGAAGCGGGCAACCGGGGCTTTCGATGAGTGCGCACGAGTCCTTGTTGTTGGCCGAGTCTCTCATGATGGATTATGCTGACCGTCGCGTACGCAGAGTCGGCGACGTTGTCAAATGGGTGCAAACCGCCGCCCTCCTCGAGGCTGTCCACTCGGCAACTCGCCTCGTGTGCGTCGCGCTTTACTTGCAGCTCCGTCTCTCCAGGGGAACGGCATACTGATGCACTCATGATGTCGACGCGCAGCCGCTCCCCGCTCGGCACGACGGTCGCCCAGATTGCATCTCGCCTCGCGCTTGTTTGGGGCGTGTGCGAGTTCTTCCCGCAGGTGATTGCGCTTTCCTCCAGAGTAGATGCCTTGCTTGAGCGGAAGCGCGTCTTGTCCCGAAGCTTCTGCGCGAAGGGGACAAACAGCCCGCTGACGTTCGCTTCGCTTGCGCAAACAGGTCGCCCGCTCGCCGTTCTACGTCTCGATGGTGACCGCCTGGTCGTTCGCCGAGATGATCCGCTACACGCACTACGCGACCGGCTTGCAAGGGATCAAGATCAAGGCGCTCGAGTGGCTTCGGTTAGTACCTTCTCTCGTGCCTAGTCTCGGCAGAGACGGCTTTCGCCTCGCGAGGAGGGCACTTCTTGACAGCTCGCGCTGACACGGCTTCCCGTTCCACAGCTACACAGCCTTCTACATTCTCTACCCCGTCGGCGCCGGCTCGGAAGCAGCGCTAATCTTCTTCTCCGCCCCGCACGCCAAAGAACAATACGGCACTCTCGCGATGTACGCCGTCTACATCCTCGTCACAGGCTGGCCTCCCGGTGCGCTCCCTCCTCTCCACCTTCCTCCCGCTCCTCAGATAAAATAATCGAGACTGACGAAAAAAGGTCTCGGTCGGAACAGCCCTCGCGTTCCTCATGTCCTACATGCACTCGCAGCGCCGCAAACACGTCTCGGGCTCTTCTTCGCGCTCGGCCCCTGTGACGCCGAAGAAGACGGGCGTCGCACCGAAGGACATCACGAGTGCTGTCACGCCCGAGAACGTGCTGCCGGAGGCGTTGGGCGCGACACCGGCGAGGAGCACAAGGAGCAAGACGAGGAAGTCGGAGTGAGGCCGGGCGGCGTTGGTGGTGAGGAGACGAGCAGAGGCAGATACCCACAAAGATACTCCGGAAACACCCCCCTCCGTAATCCGTTCCCATTCTCTTCCGTTCTTTCAGCTCAGTCTGTATGTAGATTCCTTGACGACTATTCGACGCGGCTCGCTTGCAATGCGGGAGCGAGACCGTACTCCTGAAGTGTCGAGCGAGAGGAGTGCTGAGAGGACACAACTTTGGATTGCACAGCTTTGTTTCGATAGGGGAGAAGACAAGAGGCCAAGTACATGTAGTAACACACTCACTCTGAACTGAGAGGAGAGGAGGGTAGAATGCAGACGGCGGAAGTCGAGGTATGCGACTAGTGCCGGCGACCCGTGTTCTCATCTTTGAGGTCGTAACTCGAGTCGATCGGTCCGAGCATGAGCTTGACGAGCCAGAGTTCCCTACCCCGGTGGAGCGCGCGCGTCAGTCTCGTGCGAGATAGAGAAGGAGGAAGGAGGGGGTCGAGACGCACGGCGTGAGGTCCTGGCCGGTCGTCTTCTGGAAGTCATCCGCCTCGAGCTCGTAGTTGCTCGTGACCTGCACGCCATCGAATCAAACAATCAGCTTCCTACAGCCTTCGACGAGGCAGAGAAACGATCGCAACGCACATCAACCAGTCCACCAACCTCGGGATGACTATCAATCTCTCCCAAAAACTGCCTCGCGCCCAAATCGTTCCCAATCTGCGCCAACTGGACGCTCAACGCGTCGGGTCCGAAACGGGTCTGCGCCAACTCGCGCTTGGCACGGGTGATGGCACGGACGATCGTGTGACGGTCTTCGCCGCCGGGCGCACCGTCGGTGATGCAGACGACGAGGAGGGGCTTGCGGAGGGTTCCTTGGCGTGCTGGGCTGACGAGGAGGGGCTGGAGGATCTTCTGCTCGAGGGACTGGGATGCGCATCTCAACGATCAGCTTCCCGCGCGCGCGCGCGAGAGAGAGAGAGAGAGAACGGGACGCACGGTCCCAAGCGGCGTGAGACCGCTAAACTTGATCCCCGCAAGCAACTGCTGAGCCTGCTGTTCGTTCGTCACATTGTTCCCGACCGTCTTCGAGTTGAGGAAATAGACCTGTTCCTCGTCCTCTTCATCAGCTCCTGTGGATGACGAGGGGAAGGAGGCGGAGGGGAACGCACCGAGATGCCGTCTGTGTCGAAGAGAGTCGCGGCGGTCGCGACGCGCGAGACGATGAGTTTGGCGTCGTCGATCCTCGAACCGTTCTCCTCAAAGGCTGCCGGGGAAATTCCACTCGTACCATCAGCCGCCGTTCACGAGTCCGAATCCACTGGAGCGCGGGACAGAAGAAGAAAGAGGAACCGCCTCGACTCACCCATCGACCCCGAATCATCGACCAACAAAACCGTATCAAACAGCGCGAGTTTCGCAAGGTCCATCGCGACTTCCATCGGGATGCGCCACTCATTTGCGATGCGGCTCAGGGCGCCGGACTGGGCGATCCGCTGCGCGAGCGAGTCGAGTGAGGCGGGTGGGTAGAAGGATTCGATGTGCTGTCGGAACGGGAACGGGAAGGATGGAGGGTGTTAGTCTGCGTGTGGAGAGCAGGAGAAGAAGAAGGAACGGAGAGGAGAGAAGCGACGAACCTGATCCTGCACACAGTTCCTCAAAATCGTCGCGATAACCTGCGGGTTCGTCGCCGGTCCTCCGCCGCCGCCCATCACGTGACCCTGAGGGGCACCGTACATCCCTTGCTGAGGCGGCGGAGCACCGTATTGCTGCGCGTAAGCTCCGGGTTGACCGCCGTAGGGAGGGTGCTGAGGGGGCTGGCCGTAATCTGTTCCAGACGTGCAAAACCGCTTCATCAGTCTCGCTCCTTTGGCAGACGGAAGCTGAGAAAGAGCCGCGGGAAACGCGAACGAACCTTGCTGACCCATAGGCGGCTGTCCATATCCCCCAGGCGCTCCTCCGTACCCTCCTCCGTACCCTCCCTGTCCCTGTCCGTATCCAGGTCCACCCTGCGAAGCCGGTGCACCAGGGTAAGGCAGTCCCTGTCCCTGTCCTTGTCCTTGTCCTTGCGTAGGGCGACCCGAGGGGATGGGCGGAGCAGGAGCGCCGTACGAAGGCGGTTGAGCGTGTTGGCCGTATGCTGTTTCCTCCCCTTCATCAGCTCCATCGCGAGTTTCAAGATGACGAGGCAAGGCAAGAGACGTACGAGGTTGACCTGCCGCTCCTCCTCCATACCCACCTGAACCCTGTGCGGGAGGGTAGGGAGAAGCAGAAGCGCCGGATCCGTAGCCTGGGGTGGCTGCGTGTCCTGCGGCTTGGGCTGCGGCGAGTTTCGAGGCGAGTCTGTGGGAAGGGGTGACGAGGTGGGGGAGGGAAAACGGGAAGCGGGAGGGTGAGCGAGCGGGTTCAGCGGTGTGTAGCGAGATGTGTGCGCACCCCATTGATAGCGTGTTCTGTATACAAGTCTGATAGCTGGAGAAGAGAGTTGAAGGAGGACAAAGCAAGCGAGCGAGTTGAGGTCCACGGGAACCCCGAGGGTGTGCACAGCCCCCTCTCAGCCCCTCGTCCTGAGTAAGTTACTGCCAAACTAATGCCTGATTGCAAGGTGGTTCATCGTACTCCTCGTCCTGAGCAACTCCCGGGTGAATCACTGCGGCGCGGCCTTCTCTCCACTCTTGATCGACGCCTCGAGGTCCTTGTGCTGCGACTCGAGCTCCTCGAGGTGCGCCTTGGACGCCTCGATCGACTTGCGCAGCGCCTTGAGCTTCTCGCGTTCCTGCGCGACGGTCGAATGGAGCGAAAGTCAGTTCAGTTCACGGTCGAGTTGGATACTCTTGGGAGGTGAGAGGATGGAGATGCCCATTCGTGCCTTCCGTCCGCTCCGTCCGCTCCATTCTAGCCTCCTCAATCCACTCTTCCCTTGTTTCCAACTCCACCTCCAAGCCCTCCCTCACCGCCAAGCAATCCCCACTGCGCCCGCACACACCGACAAACGACGAGCCCGAGACCGCAACGCACCGCATCCCTCACGTAAGCCTCCTCCTGCGCCTTCTCGCGCTTGTTGAACGACGACTGGCTGTGGCCCGAGGGCATGCCTTCCGAGCTGCGTGCGAGGGGAGAGGATAGGTTAGTTCGGCTCGTCGAGCACGAGAGAAAGCTCGGATTGGGTTCGCTTGTTCTTCGAGGCGTAGAAGAAAAGATGAAGGAGTATCACGACGAGTAGACTGGTCACGCTCCGTCGACGGAGAGCAAGCGGGACCTTCGACTCCCTTCGCCCTCTCGTCCCGTCCCCCGTCCCCGCCCGCTCATGCACCCTCTCGCGCGCGTGAGTCCGCCAGTTCTTCAATGCTGAACAGGCTCCAACACCTCCACCGCCCTTTCCGAGCCCATCCATCCAGCGAAAACGCAGAGAACGAGGCGAGCGGGACGAAGGGGCAGGTGACGCACCGGATGTGAGCAGAGACGGAGAACGCGCGGGTTGCGAGGGCGATGCGGGCGGTGGGTGCGCGGGTGGCGGTCGTGAGCATGGTGGTGAGCATCGTTGGAGTCGTGTGTCTGAGAGAGTGAGAGTGCGAGTGTGAGAGTGAGGGCAGGTCAGTGAGCAGGAGAGGGTGCAAGTGACTAGCACAGCAAATGCCTCGCTAGTACTCTAGTAAATCGTAGTGCGCTTTCACACTGCGCACAGTCCAACTCGCACCCTCCCTTGTCGAGTCCTCGTCGACCCCGTTCTCCTCGCCGCAGACCTCGCTCACCTCGCCCAACTCCCCTCGCACCACTCCCACCCACCAGCCATGTTCGCACGCCGCATCGTCCTCGCCGTGCGTCTCCCTGCACGCTCACTCACCCGAAACCCAGCACTCGAGCAGCAGCTGACCGAGGACTGGGTGGGTTGGTCGTTGCAGGCTCGCCCGCTCGTCGCTAGGCCGTTCTCGGCCACCAGCGCGCCCAGGAAGGGTTCGTCCCACCTCTTTACTCCCTCTGGACCTCTCTACAACCTACTCGACTTCCCCCGACGTGCGACACCCATTCCCTCGTACACCCGGGTCGACCTGTCCTCCCATCGCCCCCATCCCTCACCCTCGCACGAGCACGAGAAGCTAACGGTGCTTGTTGTTTGTGCGATTGAGCAGATCTGGTTCAGGACCTCTACCTCCGCGAACTCCGCTCTTACAAGCCCAAGCCCGCCGTTCGTCTCCCCTCTTCGCTTCTCCTCATCTCCCTCGCTCTCCCTTCTCTCGCCCCACGAGTCAAGAAGGGGCACACCTCGCTAACGCTCAGTGATACAGGCCTCAGCCCAAGGCGCCACCAAGTCTTACTCGACCCCCTCGGCACCCAAGGCCCCCGAGGTGCCGGACGCAAAGGCGTTGGCGGGAGAGTTGGCTGCTTATGAGGCGTGAGTTACCCGGTTCTTCGTCGTGCTCTCTCTCCCGGCTTCTGGTTTCTGGTGCTGGCGAGGAGATGGGGAGGGTTGGAGAGCGGGGAGAAGGGAGAGGTGGGCGGACAGCCCAGCTGAGATGGGTCGCTTGGGACTGCTTGCTTACAGGGGGGAGGAGCGACCCATCACCTCCCCCCGTGCTAGCGAGGAGCAAGCCCGTGCGGATGGGATGGGTTGGGGGCAAACGACGAGACGGGACGGGAATTTGCAGTCTCTGGGCGGGCGGAACTACTGACGATGGGAGGATTCGCCGACCGCTTTCTTTTCTGGCTCGAAATCTGGGACGCCCGACATTTCCCCGCTGATTGATCCAGCCTCATGACGCCCCGTCGTACGAGTTCCCACTGACCCTCCCCCTCGCGCGCGCACAGCTCCACCCCGGACGTCGCCTCTACCACCCCGGGCGTCGCAGCCGAAGCAACCGAGGACGACGCGACCCTCGGAGCCGACGACTTCCTCAAGCTTTGCGAGCAGGACGTCAAGGTTGAGGCGAAGCACTAGATGCCTTCACAAGCGGTGAGGGAGGGGGAGAGGTAGAGGGGAGGGGAGGGAGGGGGTAAAATTCGAGAATTCGTTCTTCTGGAATCTCGGGGTGCACGGGAGGGGAGAGAGAGAGGAGAGCGCGATGAGTTACCGGTTTGCGAGGAGGAGGAGGACGCCTCCTTTCCGCTGTTTGCTCGCCCTGCTTCAGCTGGGAGCGCACGAGCATTCCGTTGGTCCTCGTACGGCTTGTGAAAAGCTTCTCTGCGAGCGAATCCAGCGAGAACAATACCCAGCTCCGCCCCACCTCCCTCCTCCTACTCCTCCTCCTCCTCCTCCTCCTCCTCCTCCTCCTCCTCCTCCTCCTCCTCCTCCTCCTCCTCCTCCTCCTCCTCCTCCTCCTCCTCCTCCTCCTCCTCCTCCTCCTCCTCCTCCTCCTCCTCCTCCTCCTCCTCCTCCTCCTCCTCCTCCTCCTCCTCCTCCTCCTCCTCCTCCTCCTCCTCCTCCTCCTCCTCCTCCTCCTCCTCCTCCTCCTCCTCCTCCTTCTCCTCACCGCACCCCTTTGCACTCGCTCAAACGAACGCAGCCCACCCTGTCCCCTCTCACGCGCCTCACCCGCCTCCTCCCCACCATCTCCCACACCATGTCGCGCTACGCAAACGAACGCCAAATCGCCCTCTCGGCCGTCCTCAAAGCCTCGCTCCTTGCGCAGAAAGTGCAGGAGCAGTTGGTGGGAAGTGGAGGGGTGGAGAAGAGGGATAAGAGTCCGGTTACGGGTGAGTTGAGGCTTGATGCGTGTGGATGGCGAGGAGGGGAGGAGGGGTGGGAGGGATGGGAGGGAGGGAGGGACGAGGGGGATGGTAGATAGGAAGCGCGGGAAGATGGAGAAGGACTGGCTGGCTTCGGAGACGAGCGAAGCAGCATCCGTTCTCCTCGTCTCGTCCGGGAGGAGGAGCGGACTTACCTCTCCAAAGGCTCGCGGGAGCTTCTTTCCGCTCACGCGATCGGCAGAACGACACAAACGATGGACTAGAGCCCGAGCGCACGCTGACGACGTCTCCCACCCGCTCCTACAGTCGGCGACTACACCTCTCAAGCGCTCGTCTCGTCCCTCCTCGCACTGCACTTCCCCACCGACCGCATCATCGGCGAAGAAGACTCCTCCGACCTACGCCAGCCCTCTCAGTCCGCGATCAAAGACCAAATCGTCCGTCTCGCCTCAGAGGCAATGGGCGAGTCTCTCCCGCTCGAGGAGGAAGAGCGCGCTTGGGAGGGCGTCAAGTCCGGACCGCGAAAGACCGAGGAAGACTGGCTCGCTGCGATTGATCGCGGAAACTCGGAGGGCGGACCGAGCGGGAGACACTGGGCGCTCGACCCGATTGATGGAACCAAGGGCTTCCTTCGTGGCGGCCAGTATGCGGTTTGCCTGGGTTTGATTGAGGACGGTGAGGTTGTCCTCGGCGTCATGGGGTGCCCGAATCTCCCGCTCGACCCGAAGAACAAGGACGGCGAGAAGGGCGCGTTGTTCGTGGCTGTCAAGGGCGAGGGGGCTTTCCAGGTGCGTGCGCAGCCTCGGCGGTTGAGGCGTCAAGTCATACGGGTCGCTTGGTCGCTCTCGTGCTCGTCAGAGTACTGACGCAGCCCGCACCTCCCACAGCGCTCCTTCACCTCGTCAACCCTGACGCCTATCTCCATGTCAACTCTCACCTCGCTCTCCTCCGCCTCCTTCTGCGAATCCGTCGAAGCAGGCCACTCGGACCACTCGACCAACGCACGTATCGCCCAGTTGCTCGGCATCACCAAGGACTCGGTCAGGATGGACTCGCAGGCCAAGTATTGCTCGATTGCGAGGGGCGACGGGGATATCTACCTCAGGCTGCCGGTGAGCGAGACGTACCAGGAGAAAGTTTGGGTAAGTGCGCGCGAAAAGCGTTTTTCCTCGAGACTTCGCGGGAAACGACGGCGGCTGATTTCCCCTCTCCCTTCTCTCACCTCATATTCTCTCTTCCGTCGCGATTTCCTGTGCCAACTCGATCTCTCCATCCTCACGCTCATCGTATCCGCCCACACGCCTATCAGGACCACGCCTCGGGCTCGCTCCTCGTCGCCGAAGCAGGCGGAGTCGTCTCGGACATGCACGGCAAGCCCCTCGACTTCTCGCTCGGCCGCACCCTCCGCGGCAACAAGGGCGTCGTCGCCGCGCACAAGGACTGGCACGCAAAGGTCATCCAGGCGGTACAGCAGGCTGTCAACGAAGAGAAGAAGTAGAATTGCGCAAGGCGGAGTCGGTGAGGAAAAGTGTAGCATTATCCGCGGGCGTGTGTGATGCATTGCATACGATATAGACTGTACTACAACCGGCTCCGTCATTCGATCTGCGAGTTAAGGCGACCCCTTTCTCGCTTTCTCCTCGCCAGTTCGGCGTGAACCTCTTTCATTCCGCCGCATCGTGCTCCTCTCGCTCGCCGGTCCTGCCAGGCTCCGTTCTACTCTCTCAGCAATGCCCAAGCTGCGCAAACACCGCCCAGAGCCCTCCCACTCCTCTCCTCCGCCAAGCACCACTTCGCCCGAGAATCCCTGGACGCCGCGTCCTCCGTCTCTCCTCTCGACCGGATCGCGTGCGACGGCTGCTCCTGTCGCATTGAAGAGTGTCGCGCCGGTTGTCGCTGTCGCGGAGGTCCAGGCGGGCGGGGGGGAGGAGGCTTCCGCCGGGAGGGGGTTGGGCGAATGGGAGACGGCGGCTAAGCAGCAGGGGTGCGTTCCGTTGTCTTGACGCGGTCGTCAAGATGGTAATAACGCTTTCGCTTCGCGCGCAGCGGATCTTCCGTGGCTTCGACCTCGACTTCACCCGCTCGTTCTTCTCATCGCCGCATCGTCTCGACAAGCACGATCGCGACCGTCTCCTCCCACACCTCCCTCGAACCCATCCCCTCCTCCTCGTCCGTCAGCGCCCTAGCCAAGTTGCGCGAGTCGCTCGACGCGGATCAGCATGCGAAAGAGGCGAAGAAGGTCGAGGAGGTGCAGGTGAAGCGGGTCAAGTCGCATGAGGGTGGCAAGTTGAGGAAGAAGTTGCCGAAGGAGAGGGTTGAGAGGGTTGTCGCGGCGGAAGAGGAGGAAGAGCGGCATAAGCATGAGCAGGAAGAGGTTGCGAAGGAGGAGCAGGGTGAAGCAGAGTCGGACGGCGCCGCGCCGCCATTCCAGGAATTGCGAGTCGGAGAAGCGCTCGTCGTTGAGATGGAGTTTCCGGTGGACGAAGCGAAGCTGGAGGAGGATGGGCACGCAGAGGGGCTCGACGCGATACCGCCCGTCGCTAACCAGCTTCCTCCTCACGCTCCGATATCCGCCTCTCCAACTTCTGCGCCGCCATCACCCGCACACACGCTCGTCTCTCTCGCCCTCGCTCCCGCTCGCCTCGGCTGGCGAGCCGCCCGCTTCCCCTTCGACGTCGCCTCCTTCGCCGCCTCGACAAGCCTCAACCTCGCCGCCTCGACCGTCGCGCTCGGCACAGATGTTGCAGCCAAGACGATTGACACAGGCTTGCAACTCGCCACGAACGTCCCCGTTGTCGGACTCGTCGCCGCCGAGGTCCCGCGTCTTCGCGAGTCGTACCCTGCCGAGGAGGCTGAAGAAGAGCAGTCTTCGCCGCCTGCGCCGCACCTTCCGCCTCTCACCCCACCCATCGACCACTTCGACGCCGCTCTCATCGCCTCCGATTCACAACCTTCCTCGCCGACGCATCCTCACCATCCGGTTCTCGACACCGTTACGAAGCCCCTCTCGCTCGTTCGTTCAGGCGTCGAGATCTCCCTCGGCCTTGGACTCGCCGGAGCACTTGTTGCGGGTGCAGTGGGGGAACTGGCTTGGTCGGCTGTTCGAGGTGGGCGCAAGGACGAGAAGGGAGACGGTCGCGGTGAATCGGCGGACGCTCGAGAAGCAGCGCAGTGAAGCGGAGGATCTTGTCTGGCTCTGTTGGCATACTCTCGAGTCGTGCTTGTCATGTACCGACTATTCTGCTTCCTGTACCTCCTCCTCCTCCTCCTTTCTTGTCGCATACCTCGTAGTCGCACGTTCCCCTTCGCACGCATCGCAATGTAGCTCCCTCTGCTCCTCTTCACTCCTCGAGTTTGTCGCTCCACCAGCATGGTCAGATTCGACCAGACTGAACGTCGAGCCAGGCTCCTCGACCTCGAGCTCCTCGCGAGTTGGAAGTCTGCCGCCTCACTCGCGCTCAAGCGCTGCTCTCCTCAACAGTTCCGTACGGCGCGCGCGGTGAGGCGAATGAGACGTTACAAACCGAAGTTCATGGAGAGCAAAACATCCGAGAGATTCGAGTCGCACAGAGTCCGTCAGAGAAGGCGTGTGGAGCGTGTCGAGCGTGTCGGGGCAACACATCAGGATAGCTTGCGTAGAGATGAAGATGGGGGCAAGAAGAAAGGCGGCAGAGAGGTAGGGCGGAACGGATCAGGCGGTCGCTTTGCCCTTGCCCTTCTGGCTGCGTCGAGTGCTCGTGCCGACCTCGACGTCGGTTTCTGCAAGGCCGATGTTCTTCAGTATACCTGCAAGCAAGTGCGGGAAGGGGAGCGGACGCACCCGGCTCGACGGTCGTGCGGACAGCGAGGTCGTCGACCGCTCCGCATAGCGACGAAAGCTCGTCCGCGACTTCTTCGCTCTTGACAGGCCTGAGGTCGTAAGGCGACGGCGAGGTGCCCGGCCAACTCGTACTGGCGACACCAGAGCGACCGGTGCAAGCGCGCTTGCCTCGTCCGTACGAAGAGGGCCCAGTCTCGGTCTCGTCGCCAGAGTCGACGTCTTCGTCGGGACGTTCGCGGCGCGACGAAGAAGACTTGGAGGGCTTGTCGCGGTTTCGTCGGGACGAGGACGACGTCGAAGTCCGGTCTGATTTGGATCGCTTGACCGGGTGCGGTTTCTTCGCGCGCTTCTTGCGCGACTCCGCCTCCTCCTCGTCTTGCATCTCCTCGGCGTCGCGGTCCGGCTCGTCTTCCTCGAGCTGCCTGGGACGCTTCGGCACGCGGCCGACCAGCGGGAAGAACTCGCGGAACCCAACCGAGCGGTTCACCCAGCGTTCTCCCACCTCCCTGCCCTTCGAGTCGACCGCGGCGCAAATCTGCAACGTCGACTGCGTCCCGTCCGACGAGATCTGCTGGTTCATAGCGAGGACCTCGACCGAGAGTTTCGACTTGAACCTCGAGTCGGACGATTCGAGCGCGAGGGCGGTCGAAGGAGGGACAGAGATCATGGCGGCGAATTCGCGACGGAAGAGCTTGGTCATGGCGTCGGCGGGACCGGTCGTCGTGGTTTTGGCGGGAGGAGCGGCGGCGCGGGCTTTCGAGGCGCCGAAGTTGAGACGAGGTTCCTTGGCCGAGCGGGTCGAGGGGGCCATGGTGGTCGCTGGAGTTGGAGTGGTCGAGTAAGAGCGAGGAGCTGCGAGGAAAAAGGAAGCGACTCGTCAGCGAGCGAGTCTTGCGGAGCTGGGCGAGACTAAAGCGGAGTCCGGAGGAGGCTGGTAGTCGAGGACAGACCTGAGGAGGTGCGGGGCTTGAAGCGTTGCACTCCCGAGTAGTCGTGTGCGGTCCCACGATCAGTAAGAAGGCGGACGAGAGCGACGGCGAGGAAAGCGACAGCGGGAGTGAGGGGGAGCAGGAGAAGAGGGAGAGGTGGCCGTGGAGCAGCGGCGCGCCCGTCACACGCAGTCACTCGGCTGTGCCAGTTGAAACCGCGGTGCCTCGAGCTTGTGAGTGTCTCAACGGGCAGAGCGAGCGGTCGAGGAGGCTGGTCGTCGGCGATCAGAAGCAAGCCTCGTCGCGCAAGTCCAGTTCGGTCTCTGGCTGGGAGTTGCGGTTCTGTCCAGCCTGTATCTGCACGCAGTGAGACCTCGATGAGCTCTGTCTGCCCTGCGAGCGTGTGTGCCGGCGTTGGATGAAGTCGGGAGGCGGGGAGGCGGTGTCGGCCGTTGCAGAGCGCCAGGGCAGGCGTGACGGGTATTGGCGGTGTCCTTGGAGGTCTGTAGCATCGTCTCAGTCGCCAGCAAGCGCAAGTAGCGGCGGTGGACGTCCCCAACCACCCTTCCCTCGCTTCGACCTCTCGACGAGTCGATTCGAGTCGCTCGCTAGGCTATACTGACTGCCGGACAAATCGAGTTACTGCTTCACCTACACTCCTCAGCATCGCCAGCTCTCCTGGTGGCCTGTGTCGACTCCGGCAGTAGAGCTCCATCCATCCTCATCTCTTCGTCCGCCTCGCTTCCCTCTCACCGCTCAGAATCACGCCATGACCCGCCCAATCCCCGTCACCGGCCAGCGCAAACGCCCCTCCAAGTCGTGCCTCGCTTGCAGGCAGGCCAAAGTCAAGGTGCGCTCGCTTCCCGCTTTCCTCGCCGCCGCCACGCTGACCGCGCCTCGTACGCAGTGCACGGGCTTGTCAGAAGAGTACCTCCATGCACTCGAGGATCCCGATCTCCTCGCCAAGTGGCAAGGACCCCACCCCGTCTGTTCGCGCTGCACGAAGCATGGCGAGACTTGCTCGTTCGCCGCATCGCGAAGGAAAGGCCGGCCACGCAGGCTGCTGAGGGATGAGGCGGGCAATGTCATCGACGCCCGCTCGAGCAGCGCGAGCAGGAGCAGGCAGCCCGTCCAGCTCCCCTCGCCCCAAGGCTCAGGCTCAGGCTCAGGCGATCGTTCGCCGTCACCGTCCAACTCGAGCTCTTCGCAGGACACGGGCTCAGAGAAGGCGCCCCAGCCGATGCCTGCCTTTACGTTCCCGACGTCGGGGTTGCCGACGCCGCCGAGTCCCCTTCGCCCGCTCACACGCTTCCCGCCAGTCGACCACACCCCTCTCGCCATCGCTTTCCTCCAAGACGCCTACCCATGGGTACCCTTGCTCCCCTCGGACATCAGCTCGCTCTCCAACTACCTCATGACGGCCGACCCGCTCCTCCCTGCCGCCGTCAGCTGCATCCTCGACCCCTCTCTCTCCCCTCCATCCATCGACCTCGCCTCGCGCGTCCGCCCTCTCGCCCTCAGCACGCTTCAAGCGACGACTCTTCTCTTCCTCCACGCTTTCGCAGCGCAGAACAAGTCGCTCGCACTGCAGCTTCTGCAGTGGACGTGCACGGAACTTGCCGCGCGTGGATGGGCGGGCGAACAGACGGCCGGAGAATTGCAGGCGGAGGACGGGTTCGTCAAGCTTGGGTGGTATTGCTGGGGTATGGAGATCCAGCTGGGCATCATCATGGGCGTCAGAGCGAGCATTCTAGCGCATGTTCCGCCTCCGAGTGTCGTACGTCCAGGTCCTTGTCTCGCATCGCCCACTTCTCACTGCCGCACTCCGCAGCTCGATGCGACGACTGTCCAGCGTCACGCCTTCCGCCTCGCATTCGACGCGACCAACTACGCTCACCTCTGGGCCGTCGACCCTTCCGCCCAACCGGCCTACTTGAACGATATCGTCCACCGCTCGCACGTCATTCACAGCATCGCCAGGTCGACTCTCGCCTCGTTGCCAGCCGAGCCAGCGCTCCTCTCGCAAGCCGCTCTCCGCCACTCGTCCCTCCTCGGCGCGCTCCTCTCCCTCGCAGCCATCATCCTCGTCCTCTCCTCCCAGTCCCCCCTCTCGCCCTACATCGCACCCGCCCTCCCCTGCTCCCTCGACACGACCTGCCTCCCTCCCTCGCCTCACCGCCGCGAGATCGCCCGCGCCGCACGCGGCATCGTCGATATCGTCAAGACCTTCGCAGGCGGCGCCGACCTCCCTCTCTCGCCCGTCTCTCCCGGCACGAGCAAGTCGGCGTTCTACCACCCCTTCTTCGGATGCTGCCTCGTCGTCGCCTCGCGCGGACTCCTCCTCGAAGCCGAGTCGTACTCGACGGGCGACAACTCGCTTTGCCCCTCTCCGCCGTCGTCGCCCATCGACCAGGTCGCCTGTCCCGCCAAGCAGATCGCTCAGATCGTTCAGGACCTCGACTTGTGCGAGCGCGTGCTGAGGGGCCAGGCGAAGAGGTGGAGCGCGAGTGACATGCTAGCGACTGAAGTGTCGCTCCTGAGGCGCACGGCGGGCGTGGCGTGAGCGGGCTCGCACTTTCTCATTTCACTCTGTATATCGTTTTTCGTTCCGAGCAGTTCTTGGCTTTGTTGTCGTTGCGCCCTCTCCACTCGCTTTGCGTTCCCTCACGGACCGTCCATGTATCGTCTCCATTCGTGCGCGAATCTCCCCGCTGCTCGTTCGCATACCGAAAATACATCATCACATCCATCTCACAACCCATACGGAGAGAAGAGAGAGCGAGTCTACAAGCAGGGCCGAGTCGGGTTCTACAAGTGCTAGTCGGCGTCGTGCGGCCGTTTTGAGCGGGCGGGTATAGGCGCGGCGAGAGGCGAGAGGAGAGGTCTAGGCGGCGCAGGAGAACGGGTGGTGGAACTTGCCTTTGGCGTACTGCGAGTCCGTGGAGGAAGCTGAGTGACAGAGCGCGAAAATCCAAGAGAAAAGCGAGACGCACGCCGCTCTTGATGCCCTCGATGGCCTGTGAGTCGTGTGAGAGACGGTACGAGCCGAGTGAGGTGACGGACGGATGAGGGAGAGGAGTGAGAGGATGCGAAGCGAGTAAGGTCAGGTCGGAAATCTCTTTGTTCGTCGAGGGAGCGCCGAACGTACCGCGTACAGACCGAGAGGCGTCAAAGCGCACGAGATGAGGATCTGTAGACGAAGCGGAGGGGAAGAGGGGTCAGCTACGGTCGTCCAGAACTAGGTCTCCTCTCGTCGTCAAGCGACATCTCGTCTAAGACCGTTGTGGATTCGCCGTCTGCTCCTCCCCGGTGTTGTAAGTGGGCTGTAGAAGAATAGACGTACCAGGAGGACCGAGAAGAAGAAGAAGAACGTGCGTGTGGGAGTTTTGAAGTATCCGCCATCCGGGTTTCCCGTTTTCTTGTACAGGTGGAGCCAGATGATCCCGCCCAACCCGACTACGAACCAGGACGAGGTCAAGGCGGACACGATGGTGAGGAGGTCGCCGAAGAACGGGATCAATTCGGCCAAAACGAAGCCGACCGTCCACATCGCGCCGATGATGGCGAGCCAGACGATTTGTCCGCCCTTCGAGGTCAGCAACGCGCTGTTGCGGAGCGACGTCGTGTACCAGAACTTGGCGCCAACATTGCACGCCACGATTCCAGAAACCACGATCGTAACGAGGGCGAAGGCGTCTGTTCCGGGGCAGTTAGCGGCCGTTCCGGGAACTCCAGAGGAGCTGGACGTACAGGACACGATGCGTAGAGTGTGCGTCGTCATCGTGAGTGCCGGCGACGTGACGTACTGGCCGGCGTAGACGTAGCAGACGCTGGAGAGAAGCGGAAGGTCAGCAACGGTCCCAGAACGAACAGCGCGCGACTTACGAGCCGACAACAGAGTAGAGGACGAGCGAGATGATCTGCGAGAGCAGCATGCTGCGCTTGAAAGTCTCCGGGCGACGCATCTCAGGCAGGAAGCTGTTTTTCGCGGGATGTCAGCGCCGCCTTCGCCCCGGAGGGTCCGCTGAGATCCTGTACGCACGTCAGGACAGCCATGACCTGGCCGTACGCGAACACGCTGTTCAAAACGGCTCCTACCGAGTCGACCAGCTTCGCATCGCGGTTGAAGGCGTGCCACTCGATCGGGACGTTGTTCTTGATGAGGCGCTCGGGGTTCTGGGTCTATCGTCGCAGCGCGTAAACAAGTCAGCAAACTATACGATGAAAGCGGACGAAGAGAAGAGAAGTGCGAAGAGAGTTGGGCGGAACCCCGGACCTCCTTCCTCGACGACGGGAATGGGAAGAACAGAAAACGCACAGCTACGCCCGCCATGGTGATGATGCACGCCGTAACGATGCACGTGAGGGAGATCCAAGACAGCCACGTCAAACCGGACCACTTGCGGTGGTAGGAGAGCTGAGAACAAAGAAACGATCAGCATGAGGGTTGTCGAGCGGCGGCGCCCTGCCGCGAGGACTACGCGCGCTCCAGTCAACCATGGAAAGCTGGACTCACGCCGGCGGAGACTACGGCGATGACCACGGCCCAGATGATAGAGCAGTTCGCGCCGCCGTCGAAAGTGCTGATGGCGATCTTTCCGGCGAGAACGTGCGACGCCGCGAGGCCGATGGACTGCAGACGGATGGCAGGAGAGGTCAGTAGAGCACAGGAGGAGCGGCAAAGCCCAGAAGGGGACGTACCTTAGCAATCATGGCGATTCCCAAGACCCAGAATCCGATCCTCCCGAACATGACCTGGCCGGCGTCCGCAGCGTTGAGAACGTGGGTGTACCGGAGCTTGAAGTCGACCATCACGCAGCTCGTGAAGAAAGCGATAACCACGAAGCCGGCGTTTGCGATAAGTCCTCCCACAAGACCCAAAGCGTAGAAGTTCTTGGGGAAACTCAAAGTGCCTAGGGCGATGGCCTGTGTCAAAGGAGTTTCAGTGAGCGTACGGGGACGGACTGTCGGAGGAGACAAGGCGGCGGCCGCCTTGAAGCGGCCTGAGACGGCGCCTTGCTTCCACCTTGAATAGGCGACGCACCTCGCACGTGATGACCAGGCCCGCCTTGAACCATCCCAGCGTCTTGAAGTCCTCTCCTTCCTCGCCTTCGCGAAGGGCGAAGGCGTCCGCGATGACAGGACGGAGGTGCCCATCCTCGGGGTTCTCCCTCGCGCTCTGCTCCTTCTCCATCTGTCCCTTCTCGTTGTAGGCCTCGGGCTCGTGGTTGTAGAGAGCGGCCGACATGTACTGAGCGATCAGCGAGGGCGGGCAGGCGAGCGAAGCAGCGAGACGGCGGCGAGAGGAGGGAGAAAACAAGCGCGAGCGAGGCTGAGCGCGGGGCCAAGAAAGATTCCTGCCCGTTCGGAGAGCCACTTCGAGGGCGCTCGAGCTTCGGAAGAAAACGTTTGAGAGTCCCCAGCTCTGATCGTTTGAGCAGGAGGGCGGGGGGAAGGGCGCCCCGGGAAGCCATCCCGTCCACTGCCGCAGCCGTCCTTCAGCCGCGTTGCGCTGTCTTGTCGACGTCAGCCAAGCAGCAGGGTCCCGCTAGCGCTGAGCGGGAAGTGGGACGAAGGCAAAGGTCGGCGATGAAGTTGCGCAACCTGATGAAGGGAGTGTGCCGGCGAGCCAGTGCATCCCGGGGCTGCCGGCGGGGCACACGAGCCTTCTGGAGGATAACAGCAGCTCCAGGCGGAGGATCGATGGCCTCGAGCCGGATGAAGCGGTCGCGAACGATGCGAGGGAGCGTGAGCACGGGCAGTCGGCGTCCTCGAGGAATGCGCTGACACCGCTGCCGAACTCTGGACGCCTTGCGGACGGGATGTGGCGCTTTCCAGCGTCGTGGTGGCGACGGGGCACCTGCGACCGAAGCAAATGCGCGGTCTCCCGTCGAGCGTGCCCTCCAAGTTCTCCTCCTCCTGCTGGACACGGCGCCGCCGCAACCCCTCTCAACGACGCGATACTCTGCCCAACATGCGCTTACGGAGCCGATGCACCAGCGGCAGCATCGAATCGCTGGCCTGCAAGTGTGGCGATCGCGCCTGCGCTTTGCCGTCCCGCTCGAGGGCTTCCTTCGGCAGCTCTCGGATGAAGACTTCGTCGCTGCTGGATCGGTGTGCGCGATGGGCTGTACGATCATATAACAGTCTATGGCGGCCGTTCAGGACCGTCTACACCTCAGACGAGCATCCCCAGCGACGAGGCGAGCGCCCGGCGCCGCTTGTCCATCTCGTCCTCATCGTTACCTGTACCGCTCACCGTGCTACCGCTCGACTTGCTGTCCTTCCTGCTGAGCTGCGTCGGATCGGGCGACATGAACCGCACGTGCGGAGACTTGAGGTTCGCTCGCAACCGTCCGAGCGTGCTCTTCCTGCCCGACATCGACCCCGTGTCGGCCGAGTGCTGCGACGAGGCGTCGGACCAGGCGGATGGCGGGCGAGTCGTCGGCGCGGCGGCGGCGGCGGCAGCCTGATCGAGCGCAGACGAGGAGGACTTGTTGCGAACCACGGCGCCTTGCGGGACGGTGGGAAGGGGTGGCGGGCCGTGGGCGACGACGTGCGTCGAGTAGAGCGGGAGTGACGAGGCCGAGGTGTGGCGGGCGAGTCCGTGAGCGGAAGCGGCGACGACTGCTGGAGGCGTGCTGCCGTAGGAGAGCGGAGCGGGATGGGCGGGATGGGTGACGGTCACGCGCGAGTGGGGTTGCATAGCTGGCACCGAAGGCACTTGCTGCTGGTAATAAGGTAGCGCATGACTGTACTGGAGAGGCTGGGCGTGAATAGGAAGCGGTGCGCGAGCTGGCTGCTGGACGACCTGCGGAGCAGCGCTGACGGGAAATGATGCGTAGACGGGAATGGGCTGTCCATTCGGGCCGAGGATGTAGGAGTGGGGTTGCAGTTGAGCGGGATGAGCGAGCGTGGCGGCAGAGTAGGCTTGTGGCGCGGCGGAGACGGCATGGAGGGCGGGTTGCCCAGCATACTGCGCGGGGAGAGCAGCGTACTGCGACTGGGCCGGCGCCGTTGACGCAGGAGATACATTGACGACAGTTCGAGTACCCGTCTGGCGAGGCTGGAAGCCATGCAGGCCGTCGCCTTCGTCGGGACGAGCCGGACGTCGAGGAGGTTGCGTCGGCGGACCCGACGGAGGGGAGGCGTAGACCTGCTGCTGCAGCGTCGCGGGCGAGGGAATTGTAGCCGAGGGTGTTTGCGATGCGAGGAAGTGCGCAGGAATCGCGGGAACTGGCGGCGCCGCATCTTCGTAGCCAGGAGGCAAGGACGAGGTGACATGCGAGAAGGCCGACTGAGCGTCGAAGAAGTCACTCCTCGCGTCGTCGTCCGTCCATCCAGCCACGCTACGCGCATCCTCGTAGTCGACGGCGAGCGCTTCGAGCTCGCTCTGCAGCGAACGGACGCTCGGCGCCGTCGCAGATCCAGCCGCAGGACGCGAGGGGTCACTTGGAGCCGCCGGTGCCGTCGGAAGGTTCGCTGGCGTAGTCGGATCAGTCGAAGTCGACCGAGGCGTGGAGCTCTGCGAGGATGAAGCCGAGCGAGCGTGTTCGGCGGCGTTCGCGCGGTGATGTGCGGAGTCGACCGACTTCGTCGCCTCATGCGCTTTCGAATACGCGCTTGCGCCCACAGTCGCGCGGCGGGGAGGAGGCTGTGGTCGAGAAGGAGTCGATTCCGTCGGTAAGGCGCGATACGAAGGAGCTGAGCGGATCGAGAGCGCTGACGGCGAAGGCGCCGAGGCAGGCGGCATGTGCGATTTCTCGGGCGCGGAGGTCGACAGAGCCGTTGACAGGCGACGCGAATGCCGTCTATCGTACGTGGCCTCGATCGCTTCACGAGGGCTGAGGAGCGAGAGATCGCCCGACGTGTCCGATTTGGAGACGGGTGAGCTGAAGCTGGCCTCGTCCGGGTCGACGACCGACTCCTCGTAACCTGCTGGTAATTCGTGTCGCCGCTCGAGCTGTTGTCGCCCGCCGTGACGAGACGAGATTGACGATGCGGGCGTGAGGAGCTGAGGGTTTGGAGTCGGCGCGCTCGCTGCCATCATTGCGAGCCGCTGGGCTGCTTCGAGATGCTGCTGAGCCAGTCGGAAGTGGTGCTGGGCTGCGAGGAGCAAGGAAGACTGGATCAGCTCGCACTTCGACGGAGTCGCACTGGATGAGCGAGTGGTGAACGCACCGATCTCGGCGTCGCTCATCTTGGCGAGGTCGATCTCGCCTATGGTGGGCAACGCAGAGAACGCCTGTTCGCGAGCACCGCCGAATCGATCCGAGCCGCCTCCTTGCTGCAACCACTCTCGCGCCTTCGCTGCGCCCGCAGTCTTCCCTGCATCGAGCTCAGTCGCCACCGTGTTGGACTTGGCGGCTCCTTCCGGCTCGACGGGGCCTTCGAAAGCCTGGCCGCGCGCTGAGGAGGCGCTGTAGACGGGAACGCCCTCGTCTCCCGCTTCCTCGAGGACCTGCATCCTTCGCGCTGTGTCGATGTCGGTCTTGTGCAATGAGCAGCAGTCTGATAAGCGAAAGGCGGCGGCGGTAGAGAGGGGTCTGATCGCTCGAACCTGAGCGAGGAGAGTGCGGGGAGAACAGGAGCGGCGAGGTTCGTCGAGGTCGAGACCACTGTACGTTCTGCACGTGGGATGAGAAAGCGAGAGCAGCAAGTGCGTCGTGCAAAGCTGAGTTAGTCGGAAGGAGCGGTCGACGAGCGAGAGAACTGCGCGAGAAGGACCGGAATGTCCACGGAGGCCTCCTGCGCGAAGTTCGGCATGCGTCGCACCGCGCGGTTGAGGTACGATCACAATCGCCTCCTTTTCTACCTTCCGGCCGGCGTGTCGGAGGCGCATCGAGCGGCGAGGCAGCGAAGCTGATGCGGAGGCAGCGCTCGGCGAAGACGGCGGCGGGGGCGACAAGCTGGAGCTGCAGGCCAGAAGAGAGTCCCAAGGCAGCGTTCAGCATAGCGAGCGACTCCATCCTGCGTCGTAAGCGGCGAGGACGAGGCGAACCCTCTCTTCCTCGTCCCTCTCTCGCTTGACCTCTGGCCGCACACTCGCTCGATGGCATCTCCGTCTCCGGCTGCGTCTCCAGACGGTCAAGCCACCTTCAATGGCCAGCCAGACGCGAACGCTCAAGCTCCCCCACCTCCTCCTCCTCCCGACGATTTGGACAGCAGCATCTTCCCCGGTCCTCCCCCTTTCTATCACCGCTATACGAGTGCAAACCTCGCCCTACCACTCGATGCGACCATCTCGGACGTCCCGGGCGAGCCGCAGCCCTTCCAGCGGAGCGAGATGGAACCGCCGAACGTCGACTGGATTGTCGAGGAGGGGAACTACAGCGTCTTCGGCGAGACGTGGCCTGTCGACGAGAAGGTGCCGACGCTGGAAGAGATGGGCGTGCAAGAGATGTTTGACCGGAATGCCGGTGAGTTGCGAGTGCGCCAGCTGTTGAGGAAAGGCGTCTCTTGGACATGCGAAGCTGAAGATTCGCGTTCTCCGCCGGGCAGACCGCAAGCAATCCCTCCAGACCCTTCTTCGCGCCCTCCTCCTCACATATACCCAGCTTCTCGACGCCCTTCTCGCCCCTCCGCCCTCTCTCGCCCACCCTCTTCCTCCTCTGCCCGACGGTCGACCCGCTCCCACCGACCCTGAACGGCTGACAGAGCACATGCGACTGATAGCCATCAACATGCACTACCTCGTGAACGAGTTGCGGCCAGTCCAGGTGCGGCAAGACCGCTCTGAAGGCGCCTGGACGGATCTTGCTGACGAAGGGCAACTTCCAACAGGCGAGAGAGACGCTCAAGGCGATGATGCGCGCTCAGATCGACTTGCGGAGGGCCAAGACTGCCGCAATCAAGCAGTGCGTTCGCGAAGTGGCTCTGCTCGCCCGTCCGCCTTAACTGACTCGCTTAACGCGCTTCAGGAAATGTGCCGAGATCCAGACAACGCTCGCCTCGCTTCGTTCACGCATCGCAACAGCCTCCGCGCCGGCAGACCAGCTCGAGAAGGCGGCTACGGTGTCGACCAGCAACTCCGCCTTTGCCGCCGCCGACGAAGCTTTCGACATTCTCGCCAAGCTGCAGGCTCGCGCCGACCGTCTCGCACGATAGACTCTCCTGCACTCGCCTAGACCGATCAGTCTCGTAATCCGCTGCCGTACCTTGTTGTTGTCCCCGTAGATCGCAATGCACACTCTCGTTCGTTCGGGACCGTCAGGATGGATCGCTTGCAAAGCTCGGTACCTTGCCAAAAGACCAGTGTCTGTACAACTGCTACTGATAACGCACGAAAGAACGAATAAACACCCCGACGCCCTCATCACGCCAGCTTCCCGCTACCGAGTCCCGCTCCCCTCCACCCGAGCTCCTTCATGCGTTCGCCAACCTGCCGAGCGAGTAGGCGAGAAGCATTCTCGCGACCCTCGAAGCCGATCGGCGCACTCGACCCGGCTGCGCCGTTCCCGTTCGCCCCGGCGTACAGCCTCGACGCCTCGACGAATCCGTCCTCGAACTCGTCGTCCCCGTCTGCCGGCGAGTCAAACAGCGCCTCTCGCAGCCTGGCGACCGTCTCGGCTCGCAACCTCAGCAACGCCCTGATCTCCCTGGCACGAGACCTGCGCGGCGGGCGACTCTGCGCGCGAGTGACCGGCGCGCCTTCTTCGTGCGCGGCGATACCGGAAGCGAGAGGCGGCATCTCGATCGTCGTTTCCTCGCTCGTGCGGGTTGAGCCGGCTGCTGTCGATGTGCGCGTGCGAGGAGTTCGTGTGCCGTTGACGGGTGTGGCGGGTCGGTCGGGCTGATGCGAAGGGTGGTGGTGCGAGCCGGACGACAGATGAGGATGAGGGAAGTTGCCGAGGAGGTGGTCTTCCTCAGAGAAGAGCGCCGGACTCGGAAGCGGCTTCCTCCTCCCCTTCGAATCGCCCTCGCGCCCGCTGCGCTCGTCGCCGGTCTCCGCATCCTCGTGATCCGTCGTCGTCGCTCCGATCAAAGCGTCCATCTCATCCTCCGTCTCGAGTGATACGTACTGTCCATCCGCACCAGGTCGAGGTGGCGCAGGTGAAAGGGAAGGATGGACCGAGTGAAGGAAGTGCGACGCTTCTGACTGCGCGACGGGCGTCCAGAGGGCGAAGAGGACGGTCCACAGTGCGAGGAGGCGCTGAAACTTGCGGTACTGTGCGAGACGAGCGATGTGAGCGTAGCTGGGAGCAAAGGAAGGAAGAAACGCACGTTGTCATCGATGAGTCGGTTGTGGTAGGCGACGAAAGCGATGGTGCCGACAATCGCAACGAGCAGCGCTCCTCCCCAAGGTATCGACGTCCAGAGCAAGGCGCACGCGACGGCAAAGAACGTCGCATATGTGACGAGGGCGAGAACGAGTCCGAGGGCGACCTTGTTCTGCGCCTGGTCTTCCTCGAGAGCGTTCGAGGCGGCGTAGCGGGCGAAGAGGTAGACGGGAAGGTGGACGATGAGGGGAAAGAGGAAGAACGGAAGGCGGATGAGGCAGGCGAGAGTCGACAGAATGACCGTTCCGAGGACGCGCATGCGAGTCGGAAGCGGATGAGGGACGGATGGGTCAAGGGTTGCGGGGAGCGGGAGTGAAGAGAGGGAAAGGTGGGTAACGCCGGTGGAGTAGAGCGCATCCCGGTAGACGTTGAGGAGGCGCCGTAGCCGCCGGAGCGAGGCGGAGGGATTCGGCGCCGCAAAGAGGTCGATGAGCCTGATGTAGAGACGGGTGAGGAGAGTGAAGGATAACCATAGGCTCGTCTTTTTACGCACGTCTGGTCAATCTCTCGCATGTGCCGCAGCGGGAGCTTCTTGTCATCCGGCCAGAGGATCTTGCGAGCCATCGTCGCCGCGTGTCGAGACTCCCAGTCGGGCGCATTGACAATGACCTTGACGAGCTCTTCGTGAATCTTGGCTGTCAGCTTCTTGACCGCCGTCTTCGGGCTGACGAGGAATTCTTCGACATAGGGTTCGACGGGAATGTTGGGGCCGAATCTGGCGAGCGAGGTGTGTGAGCTGAGTCTTCTTCGACAGAGAGAATAGCAGGAAGCGAGACTCGGCTCGTTTCGCACGCAAAGCAGAGACCGAGACTCACTCCATGACTGCGCACGACCTGTACTTGGTCTTGTCGCTGTACGCGATGCCAGCGATGGAGATGACGACATCCTTCGGGTCGGTTTTGGCGGTACTCCCGTCGGAAAGCACACGGCGGGTGCGAGGGTCGCGGAGGTTCTTGGCGTACTCGAGGGCGCACCACGAGGCGCCATCCTTGAGCGCAGGAAGCTCGTGGACCGTGTAGCTGCACATGCAGGGTGAGCTGAGCTGCCGGGCGGATCGCAGAAAGAGACCAGACGAACCTGCCGCCTTCCGGAAAGACTGCGATCGCCTCTCCCGCCTTGAGCGCGTCGAACGAGGAGGCGAAGAGCTTTTGATTGTCCTGTGTGCATCTCTGATCAGTACCGTACAAGGTGAGCGGCTCGAGGCCAAGCGAACCTTTGTCTTGCGGTCGACGGGGAGGTTTCCGGCGTCAAGGAGGATCTTGCGCGGTAGTCCGGGTGCGAACAGGGTCGACTTGGCCCAGTAGTGCAACTTGCGGTAGTGTGGGAAGTAGCACGACAGCACCGCGACCTGTTTCGGCGAAGGAAGATGGTCAGCCTTTCCCCCACACCGAGAGAAATGGTGGCAGACTCACGTCTGCGGCGGAGTTCCAGTGATTCGCGACGACGATCATAGGTGTCCCTTCCTCCGGCACGAGTTCCTCAACCTCCAACCCGCCCACCCGCGTGTGGACTTCCACTTTGTACCAGAAAGAAGCGAACGCATAGCTCGCTAGCCCGCGCAGGAAGGTGTGGGTCGGTCCGAACACCATGGCTCCGTGCTCCTCGTCCTACTGTACGAGCTGTCCTGTCCGCTCAACGAGGAATACGAGGCGGCCGGGTCGTGCGGGGCGGGCGAAGAGCCGGGGAGGAGAAGTCGCGCAACGGCGGCAGTGGGCGACGAGTCGGAGATCCTGGTTGTGCACAGGTCTAGTGTAGCAGCCAACTGGCACGCCAAGCAGCCCAGCAGCTCGAGACGAGCGTAGTGGTGCGCAACAACCGAACCGCGTCCGTCGCGAGCTGATGAAGAGCGGTTCACCGCTGTCAAGCTAGACTTCTTGTTCTGCAGCGCTGCAGTTTTCTCGAGGTGTCCACGCTTGCCGCCGACCCGCCTCGCCTGTGACGGCGTCGTTCTGCGGTCTCGAAGGAACGGAGGATCTACGACGAGGACTATCGAGGTGAGTACGCCTCAGGGCTGGGTGCGGGGGTGCGGGAAAGTGCTTGAGTGTGGAGAGCATTGCCTGCGAACAGCGCAGGGAGGAGCGATGTGCGCGAGGCCTTCCAGCGGTCGGATTCGTTAAGGTGGGGAGGAGGAGAGGTTCGCAAGGCGGGCGTACGCCGGCTGGAGAAGGAGTTCAGGCCATCCTGGCGCTTCCTGCGGACGGTCGAGCAATCCAGCCCAAGGTCGCGGTTCAAGGTCCGCATCTGACCATCCTCCTCCTCCCGACAGCAAGCATGGCGACCCCTCTCAAGGCATTGCTGCGGCGAAGAGGCGGCACGGGTGCTCCGCGAGACGAAGGAGCCGCCATTCAGCGCGCCCTCGTGCGACGAAACATGGTAGTGAACCGGATTGTCGCCTTCGCTCCTCTCGTCCGAACCCTGCTCGTCGTTGTTGGCCTGCTGTACATGCTCGCTCTGCCTTACAAGGGTCTCGGGCGACGACATTACATCAGCGAAAACGCAATGCAGCCAGGACAGGTGCGTCCAGCTGATTGAGCGCCCCCAAGCGAACGAACACAGACTAGTTACCCCTCCAGGTCAACACGTACTGGAACTGGGCGGATGTCCACGTTGCGGACCTGTACGCGGAGAACGTGGCCAAGTGGAGCGCAGGAGACGTCACTGTCGAAGCGTGCGTCGAGTACATCGCGTCTTGTTCTCCCCGCGCTGAAAGTCCCGTTCCTCGCAGCCGGAGTCGGGTGATTCAGGACGCCTTCCACGAGCTCGGTCTGCCTGCGTCGCAACAACGGTATACCTTTAAGCTTGCGCGCAACTCGGTACGTCTGTCTTGCTCGCCCACAGTCCTCGTCTTGCTCACCGCGTCGTCCCACAGACGCTCTCCGGCGTCAACACCTATGCCATCCTCGCTGCGCCGAAAACGGACGGAGCTGAGGCGCTCGTCCTGAGCGCTTCCTGGCTGAGTCGAGCGAAGGACGAGCATGGCCAACCTCGCATCAACACGCGAGGAGTTGCGATCGTTCTGGCCCTCGCCAACTACTTCAAGAGTCCGCTTTCTCCGTCTCCTCCTCAGTCTGCAGTCGGTCTGACTACATGGCTGTTCAGAGTACGCCTTCTGGTCAAAGGACATCATCTTCGTCATCTCGGACGGCTATTCGGAGGGCGCTCAGGCTTGGCTCGACGCGTATCACGGCTACGGGCAGTCGAGTACGTCTCGTCGTCGCCTTTTCCCGCCTGTGACTGACAAAGTACGCGCAGACCTCGTCGCCGAGCCGCTCAAGCTGACCACTGGCCCGATCTGGGCTGCTCTCAACCTCGACTATCCCCACCACTCTTTCAGCCACATTGGCATCCACTATGGTGAGTTTGGCGGCGCTTCGTGACTTCCGCAGACCGCTCACATCCCGCGTGCAGAAGGAGCGAACGGACACCTGCCGAACCTCGATTTCATCAACTCCGCTTCTCGCATCCTCCGCAACACGGGCATCCCAACTGTCCTCCATTCGAGCGACTCTTCCGACTCTTCCTTCCTCCCTTCGTCTCTGCAGTATGCCGAGATCGAGGCATATGCGCAAGCCGCGCGCAACCTGTTCCGCCAGGTTGCTCTCACCGCGGACGGCAGAGCGCTCGGACCCGAAGGGACCTTTGGCAAGTACCGCATCGACGCCATCACGCTCTTTGGCCAGCCAGCAGAAGGCCCTCACGGCTTCCACTCGCTCGGAAGGTGCGTCCTCTTCGGAACGCTTCGCCCCGCTCCTGCTGATCGCTTTTCGCACAGGGCGACCGAATCCATCTTTCGCTCGCTCAACAACCTCCTCGAGCGCTTCCACCAGTCGTTCTTCCTCTACATCATGACCTCAATTGACTCCTTCGTCGCCGTCGGCAACTACCTCGCTGCGCCCATCCTCGTCAGTGCGGGCATGACGATCCAGGGGTTGAGCACATGGGGACAGGCGCGAGTAGGAAAGGATGGAGGCGCAAGGGAACGACCTGTTGCGCGGGCAATCCTGGTGCTCGCGGGAGCAGTCCTGGCTGGAGCGGCGGAGATGCAGGCCATCTCGCAGATTGACCCGATGGAAGGGCTGAACGTGCGTGCGTGGTCAGCCTTCTCGCGGCGGACTAGCTGACGCGTTCGTCACTGCAGGACTACCTCTCGCCGCTCCTCCTTGGCCTGCACCTCCTCGTCCCGCTCCTCCTCTCAACTCTCCTCTCCCGTCCTTCCCTCATCGCCTCCCTCGCCCTCACTCTCCGCTCCTTCATCCTCCTCCTCTCTGGTCTACTCGTCTCCATCACCGCCACCCTCAACTTTGGCCTGTCCGCCTTCCTCTCGCTCTACCTCTGCGCAACTCTCCTCCTCGCCCAACCCGTCACCCGGCGGTATCCTCGTCGGCGGGCCACCGTCAGACGGCTACAGCAGGTCACTCTCGCTTGCTTGTCGCCAACGGGGATCTGGACGCTCTGGCGTACGGTCAACAAGGCCGGAGCAGAGGAATGGCTGCGGGACTTGCTGAAAGACTGGCAAATCGGCGGCGGCTGGAGTCTGCCGGTCGCGTTAGTCCTCGTAGGCCCTCTCGTCGTCGCGCAGGCTGTCGTCGTCGTCCTGTAGAACTCCGCACTGTCATCGCAACACTTCGCATCTTGCTCTCCTCGCTTCTCTGAAACTCCCGCTTCTCGCTGCACTTGCTCAAGCTATGTCTTCCGACGAACAAGCACCTTCACAGGTCACTGGTCAGCTCAAGCAAGCGCAAGGCGTGCTCTACCAGGTCCGTCTCCCTCTTCTCCTCCTCATCTCCCCCACCTCGTCATTGACCGGCATTCTCTCCCTTCGCAGGCGGTTGGAGCGGTTCCGGGCACGGCGGAGAGCTGGACCACGGAAGGAGAACAGCTGCAGCAGGAAGGAGCGGATGAGCTAGACGAGGCAAGGGCGGAGCAGAAGGGCGAGGCGGCCGTGAATCGGGTCTGGGGAAAGGCAGAGAGGTGCGCTGGCCTCCCACGCTCAAGAAGCAATGCTTGAGTAGTACCGAGCCTGACTTACGACCGAACAGCGCCTACGGCATGGTCACGGGCGACCAGACGCACTTGAGCGAGGGCAACCTAAAGGCAGAGAAGGGAGAATGGCAAAACGCGCTCGCAGATGGACGGCTACCGAACCCGAGCTGGGACAGGGTGAAAGGGAAGGCGCAGAGGTGCGTTTCCTGACGATCTCGAGGAGGAGAGGCACAGGTAGAGCTGACTTTGATCGTTTCCCGCCGTCCGCAGTGCGGCAGGGATGCTTACGGGCGACCAGGAGCTGCAGAAGGACGGTAACATACAGGCGGAGAAGGCGGAATGGACGAAGGGATAGTCGGGCGCCGACTCAAAGCGACGGAAGACTTCTTCTCAACCTCTCTTCGCAAGAGGCGGCCAGACCGCGCCATGTCAGCGAGCAAGACGCTGCATTCCGTTCTTGTCCTTCGCCTACGCTTGTCTACACCACCTGCAGCGGCTCCTTGTCCTCCTGGCTCAGCACGACTTCATACTTTGAAGCGCTCGCTCCGTCGCCCGACGCCGCTTCGTTCATGGCGGCCTGTAGACGTGGCGCAAAGAGGGCCAGCCATGGTCGCTCGGTGTTAGTGTGATTGCCTGCGCGGACGGCTGTCAGTACCTTCGCAAATTCCCCGAGGAAGGGGAAGTTTGCGACGTACAGCAGAAGACGTGAGTACCGGCTGCGTTCGCAGCAAGGATTTCGTGATGCGACATCTCGCCAGTCAGGTAGAGGTCCGCCTTGACGCCGCCGAGGACGCTGCCGCCGCTTCCCGCGCAAATCGCGATCGTCTGGATCTCCGTGGGACCTGTCGAGGACCAGGCGGCTTGGACTGAGGGAAAACATACTCGTCAGACGGGTCAGTGAAGTCGCATCGGAACATCGGACGCACTGTACTTCAAGCCCAGCCGGTTCTTGACCGCTTGCACCGCTTCCTCCTTGCTTAACTTCCGTCCTCCACCTTCCGTCAAGTCGACAAAGCGTCCATGTCCCGCTCCTTCGTGGCCCTCTGGCGGAGACGACGCCTCCTTCAGAGCCTTCGAGCCCTTCCCTTCTCCCGGCTTAACCATCCCGTCCGCATCCGTCTCAACGCCCGCAGCTTGCAGCAAGCCGCTCGCCATAAAGTCGTTGTTCGAGCCGACGCAGTTGTCGGCAGCGGTGTGAATGGTGAAGACAGAGACGCCTGACGAGATGCAGCGGAGGAGGGAGGCTTGGAGCGGGTTGGCGAGGGTAAAGGACTTGAGGCCGCGGAAGATGGGAGGGTGGTAGGAGAGGATGGCGGTTGTCGAGGGATCGGAAAGGGCTTCAGAGCACACGGCGGTCGTCACTGCGCGACTGTGCAGGTCAAAGATCCGTCTTGTACCGATGCGCACGATGCAGAACGGCTGTGGGATCCGTTCGGAGGTTCGCCCGACTCGCCTGGAGGAAGTGACGCTCGGCAGGAGGAGGAAGAAATCACGCACAGTCGATGCAAAGGTAAACCTTCCTCGCTTCGCCTTTCGCGAGCTTGCCGTCTCGCGGTTCCGGTGCCTCCGCCATCAATCCGACATTGTCCCATGCGCTCTCCATAAGCTCGAGCGGTGTGAGCTTCGCTAGGGCCGTCTGCAGGTGCGTGAGCGTTGGAGAAGGCATTCTGTGGGGGAGTGAGGAGGCGAAAGCGCGAACGAGGGTCGGGAGAGGTGTGGCGAGGGTGCGGGTGAAGCGGGTTCCGATCTGCCTAGCTAGCATGCAGCGCGAGCAGTCAATCAGCCGCACGAGCACGCGGCGGGTGAAGGGGAGGAGCGAGAGAGGCGACCGCTCGCTTGGACCAGGACCACACGCTCGCACTCGGCTCTTGCTGCTTGGTGGATTCGCTATGGCCGATAAAACTACTTCAGGCTCCAGTAGGCGGCGCGACTCGCGGTCCCGCTCACCAGACTCGTCCCGACGCTCTCGTCATCGCTCCCGCTCTCCACAACCCAGAGGTTCGCGCCACGATGATGGAGGGGGTCGCCGGTCAGACAGTCACAAAGAGCGCGATGACAGGAGGAGCAGGGATGACGACCGGGACCGCAGGAGGGAACGGGAGCGCGAGAAGCGGGTCAGGCGGGACGAACGAAGCGATAGCGAGGACGATGCAGGGCCACCCGAAGGTGTGTAGGAGATCGGCGAGGACGACTACTTCGTGAAGGCGACAGAGCTGAAGCTTTGGCTGTGGGAGGAGAAGGGCAAGGTGCGTGACACCCAACTTCCCCATAAGCCGCCAATTGACCTGTGGACGGCTGGCTCTGCAGAAACTCGACAACCTGAAGACCGAAGATGCCCGTCGGTACTTCCGCAAGTTCTGCCGCGCTTGGAACAGGGGTCGCTTGTCGAGTGCGTCCGGCATCGTTTCCTCTGTTCTCTTCGCCCTCGCTAAGCTGTTCTCTTCCCCCTCGCTAATCCACAATATTCCGCAGGCAACTACTACAACGGCATCTCTCCCGCCTCCCTCCCCTCCTCCATCTCGACCTCGCACTCCTGGTCCTTCGCCAAAGCCTCGCAAGCCGACCTCGACGCCGCCGCCACGATTCGGAGATCGATTGATACGGGTAGCAAGACTCGCTCTTACGACGCAGGCTCGTCTTCCGTCGTCGGCCCGTCTTTGCCAAGCCAGCGAGGACCCGCACTTGATCCGTCAATGCCGCCGCCTAGCTCGGCTGTCGAGCGTCTCCAGCTCGAACGCGACGTTCGCCAGTCTGCCAGCGAGTCTGAGCGCTCCGCGTCGCATGCGAAACGCAAGCGCGAGACCCGCGACGCGCGAGATGAGGAGCGGGACAATCGGGCGACGGGACGAGATCGGTTGATGGAGAAGCGGCGGGAGGGGAATGCGAGTCGGCGGGATTTTGAGTCGAGTCGGGAGGCGGGCATGCAGGAGTTTGACGATGATGCGTTGATGGGTGGGTCGACGGGCGGAGGAGGCCCGCCGGGCAGTTTCGCGGATGCTGTGCGGGAAAGGGAGCGGGCGCAGCAGAGGCGGGACGAGCGGAGGAAGGGCAAGGACGAGGAACGCAAGGCGGAGATGAGCGACAAGCTGAGCGCGTTCAGGGCAAAGGAGGACCAGACGATGGCGATGTTCAGGGAGATGGCGGCGAAGAGGTTCGGCTGAGGAAATCGAATCTCTCCCTTGACATATGCGCTTTGGACGCGCGAGCGAGCTGGAGAGTAGATTGGGATCGACTGAAAGTGGTATACACAGAAACACAGTACTGAACAAGCGCGGACCAACAAGCGCGTCCTTCTTCCGCCTAACCCCCCCTCGCGGCCGCCTCCTTGTAAGCCTCGATCGCCTTCTTCCTTGCCTCGGCGTGGTCGACAATCGGCGGCACGTAGCCAAGCTTGAGGATCTCGGCCTTGGAGAGTGCGGCAGACGGGTTGTGGATCGCTGAGAGTCCTCAGACGTCAGCTACTTGTTCTCGACGACCATGGGGGAAAACCGACGCACCTTTGCCCTTGACGGACTTAAGCTCAGGCACCCAGTGGCGGATGTAGGTCCCGTTGGGGTCGACCTTTTCCGACTGAGAGGCGGGATTGAAGATTCGGACTGCGAGACCCGCGAGGCGTCAGGACAGGCTTTCAAGCGTACAGGAAGCATAGAAACGGATAGTAAGGAGTTGGATCGGTTCCAGTGGACGACTGCCGATGACAGATGTAAGCGAAGAGATAAGTCAGCGAAGAATGGGAAGCAAAGGAGGCGATAGCAGAGGAGACAGCTCCGCAAGGTCGACTTACGCTCCATTGCCACCCGCCGTTGTTGCTGCCGAGCTGTTTGTGACGTAAAGCGATCAGTACTGGGCGCTTGGGGGAGATGGATAGAGCCCGAGGGGAAGGAAGGGAGGAGAGGGAGGAAGAGGAGTCGGTAACGCACATCGCCGTCGACCAGCATCTGCATGAAGTACTTCTCGCCCTTGCGCCAGTCGAGCAGGAGGTCCTGTGGAGGGAATACCGTCAGCGACATGTTCCCGATCGTCCCGACATTGCGAGACCGCGGTCTCAAGCGAAGGGTCTCGTCAACGCCTCGAGCCAGCAGATCCGACACGCACCTTGCACAAGAAGCTCGCGACGATCATCCTGCACCTATTGTGCATATACCCCTGCGCCTTGAGACTCCTCATCGCGGCATCGACAATCGGGAAGCCCGTCTTGCCTTCCTTCCACGCCTCAAACTTGGATTCGTCGTCGTCCGTCGCCCACTCGATCGTGCCGTCGTACTTGAGGTTGAAGGGCTTGGACATGCAGACGCGTGGCCAGGCGGCGAGGACCTGAGAGGGGATTGGGAAGGTCAGCTTTGAGGAGCGGTTGCGGCGGGAAGACGGGGACGTGCGTGCTGGTAGAAGTCGCTGTAGGAAGATCTCAAATCAGAGAATATCTGTCGTCGAGCGAGCGAGCCGACTCACCGCCACGCCACTTCTTGAATCCACATCCCGAAACCAGTGTCCCTCCCCGCTGGCACCTCCTTGCCCCCGACGACCTTGTACACCGCACGAACGCACTCGCGAGGCGAGATCAAGCCCGCGGCGAGGTAGGCGCTGCAAAGTGGACGAGTCAGTCCCTCGACGTGAAGGTGAGCGAGAGGAGCGACGACGACGCACGAGATGTGGCTCGTCCCGTCCCAGTCGACCCTGTTCCTCCCCTCCGTGTACTTGGCAATCTTACTGTCCTTCTTGGGGTTCTCGACCTCGTTCCCGTCCCCCTCGAGCGGCGGCTCAAAGAACTTGGCCTCCCTCATCTTGGTCTTGAGGAACCTTCCCATGATCCCCTCCGTCACGCCTTCTCCAACAGGCCACAGTCGCTCCATATCCTCCTTCTCCTGCTCGGCGAGCTCGAAGCCCGGAAGGGACGTGGGGATCTCGTGTGAGAACATCTGTTCGAGGACAGGGTGAGTGCGCGCGGAGGAAAGGTTGGCGATGACGGGACCGTTTTGAGGCGAGATGAAGGAGGAGAGGTTCGAGTTGATGTGCGCGGCCCAGGCGCGTTGCCAGGGCGAGTAGACGCTGTAGGGCTTGCCTTGCTGTCGGCGCGCAAACGAACGCAAGTCAGCTACGCGGCGCTCGACATCGTCACGAGAAGCACACGCCGAACGCACCTTGGTGAGCAGCTCGCCGGGCGCGACGATGCAAAAGTCTTTGAAGAACTCGACCTGGCCGTTCCACCCCTCCTCCTTCTCCCTCGCGTCCCTCGTCCGTTCAAGCACCTCGATGTCCCTCCTCAACTCGTCGACTTCGTACTCGATATTCGCATACACGCCGAACGCGTTCCACTCGGCGAGCTTCTCGCACAAGATCCGCGGAATGGCTTTCCGGTCCGAGGATTGGGTGAACGTGAAGAGCGGGATGTGGAGTTTGTCGAATTCGGCGCGGAGGTAGGCGAGTTGGCGTAGTTGGAAGTCGATGCGGCGAGGGGAGCGGTCGTGCGATTTGTAGTCGCCGAGGGAGAAGATGTGGAGTGCGATGAGCGGGAGGGAGTGCTCTTGCGCGACGGCCGAGGCGTACGAGAGAGCCGTGTTGTCCTCGCGGCGGAGGTCCTTGTTCCTGTAGATACGAGCGTGAGCGGGGAAGAACATCGTCTGAATCAGACCGTCGCGTACCTCATCCAGTACACCACGACGCCGTCCTTGCTCGGCTTCTCGTCCTTGGCCGCCTTGGCCTGCGACAACTCCCTCATCGCATCGTACAACCTCGCGAGCGGCGTCTGCTCCATCTCATGCGGGAAACTCGTGTGCTCGCGGTCCCTCTCAAGCGCGGCAGTCGTCGAAACGGAGCGGAAGCGCGGGTCCGAGCCATCATCGTCGTCTGCTTCCTCCTTGATAGTCGGCTTGACGTCCTCGTCCTCCTTGGTCGGGCTGCGACGGGCACGCTTCTTCGCCGAGCCGCCGTTCTCTGCGACAGGCGAGGCAGAGGACGAAGCGGATCGGACGCGTTTCGGCGCTGCCATGGTCGATGACTCGGCTGCGTTGTTGCCCTTGTCGAGGAAGGCGCGGAGGTCGGACTGGCGGGACGGAATGGTGTGAGAGTGGGCGAGGATCGACAGTGAGCGGGCGAGGGAGAGGACAGCGGGTGTCGCTCGTGTGAGGGTGAGCGTGCAGCGGGTGGCTGCGAGTGTGCGTAGCAGTGTGAGTGTGCTCCGAGCGAGCAGTCTGATTGGGTCAAGCGAGAGGGAGGAGCGAGGAAAGCGAGTCGAGGGAGATGGCGATCGAGGTGGCCGAGCTGGAGTGTGCGAGTGCGGTGGGCAGCATCGGGTGAGTGTGCGTGGTCACTGTGAGCGTGTGTGTGAGCTGTACAGTGCCCGATAGCAGGAACGAGTCGTTGCGGGCGACAGAGAGCGCCTCGTCGTCGGGTCTCATCGTCCTCCGTCTCGAGGTCACGTGCGCCGAATTGCACCGCCTCGTTCACACCTTGCCCTCACTCGCCTCGTCCCGCTCTCGCGCTCTCCCTCTTCGTTACTCGCGCCAACGATGGGACTCATCACCACACTCGCACTCGCATACGGCGCGAAACAGGCCAGTCAGGCGATGCAGCAGTACGCCAACGCGCAGAACAAGCCCACCACGCTTCCCGCCGGACAGCAGCAACAATGCTGCGCGCAGGGTGCGTAGCGCAACGAGCTGACAGCGTTGGACGACGACTGAATGTTGCGTCGACGACAGGACCGCCGCAGCAGCACGGCTACGCTGCCGCTCCTCCGCCTCCTCCTCCCGGATCGAACTCGTACCATCCTGGTCCGTCCTTCTCGCTCCGCTTCTCGGGTGCTTCCCTGACCAGTCGACTTCTCCTCGCAGCCTACGGCGCAGCGAGCTCAGGTGCATTCGGTCACAGGTAACTCCCTCCGACAGTACTCAACCCTTCTTTCTCTTTGTACGCAGGCTACCACCCAGGCTACATCCCGACCCAGCAGCAGCCTGCGCCTCCTCCACCGCAGTACGGCTTCTCTGCGCCAGGAGCAGGAAGCGGACCGGCCTCGGACGCCAACCACATCCTTTCAATCCTGCAGCAAGCGGTCCAAGACCAGGTTCGCCCGCCTCATCCTCCTCTTCCCTCTCCCATTCCCGTCTCCTCCATTCCGACTGACATTCTCACCGCGCAGAACATCCACTCCTTCTACCCACCCGGCACCCTCGAACCCCTCGCGCACCACATAGCCCAATCGGGCGCGCTCGCACGCATCGCGCACGAGTGGAACCTCCCGATGGAGATTGCGATGGACTTGGCGAGGCTGGCGCTGTTTGATGTGGTTCTGTTGGTGGATGATTCGGGGTCAATGGGTGCGTCGGGACATTCGTCTCTCGCTTGATGCTCCTTGTGAAGGAGGAGAGGAGGCTGATTGAAGACGAGCGCGATATGCAGCGTTTGAGGAGAACGGCTCGAGGATCGACGATGCCAAGCTCATCGTCTCGCGCGTCGCAACCGCCGCGACCCTGTTCGACACGGACGGCATCTCCGTGCGTTCCTCCTCTTTCCGCTCTTGACCAATCCTTCCGAGAGCTAAAGAGTACGATTTACGACAGGTCTTCTTCCTCAATTCGCCTGTCGTCGGGCAGGCCGTCACGAACGAGCAGCACGCTCAGGCGCTCGTCTCGAGTGTGCAGTTCAGCGGTCTGACTCCGCTTGGAACGGTACCCTCACACTCCTTACACTCTGCGCGACGAACCGAGGGCGTGCTGATGGGCTCGGTGTTCCCGCAGGCTTTGAATCAGAAGATCCTCCAGCCCCTCGTGATCCAGCCCGCCTACTCTAACATCCTCCGCAAACCCGTCCTCGTAATCCTCATAACCGACGGCGAGCCCTCCTCCGAGCCACGCACCGCCCTCTCCCAATCCATCCTCGGCGCAAAACAAGCCCTCTCGCAAACTCGCTACGGACCCGACGCGTTGAGTGTCCAGCTCGCGCAGGTTGGGGATGATAGGAAGGCGAGGGAGTTTTTGGATGAGGTCGATAGGGATAGCGAGGTCGGTGGGTTGGTGGACGTCACGGGTGCTTTCGAGTACGAGAGCGATCAGGTGTTGAGGTTGTCGGGGTGAGTTTGCGTGCCTGCGCTTCTTTTTCCTCTCGCCGACTGCCAGAGCTTGTGGGTTGGTACTGACGCTGAGCCCGTCACATGTCGCCTTGCAGTATCGCGCTCACACCGTGCGTTCTTGCTCCTCCTCCCCTCCCTTCCCTTCCTCTCCCGCTGACCCGCTCCCCCTCCTCTCCCCTTTTGCTCCCTCTTTTCGTCTCTTCACCGTGCGCAGGGAGATGTGGCTCGTCAAGCTCCTGCTCGGCGGGATCAACTCGGCTTACGACAGGAAAGACGAAGGACGGTACTAACGGAAGTTACGGAACCCAGCTCAGGGGGCGGAAGTGAGGGTGATGTCTATCTGTGCTTTGCTAGGACGCGTAAGAGACGTGTTGTTCGTTGTTTCGAGTGACCTAAGGGGGATTTGGGCGAGAGCAGCGAGAGAATCGCACCTCCTCGCCTCCTCTCCGCCGGACCTCGCAGTGTGTGCGCTGTTGACAGGCCTTCGCAACCTTGTCCGCTCTCGCTCGTTGTTCAGAAAAAAAGCCAAGCCCGGTCGTCCTCCTCGCTTCCACTATACGCGTGCAGAGAAGACCTCCGTCTCCTTCCTCAAGACCATCCCGAGCGTCGACGGCGCACAACGTGGTTCGGCGACCGCTTGACAGTGCCTACCAGCCAATGAGCCTAGCGTGCGAGCGGCTACGCAAGCGAGACGCCGCAGCTTGACGTCGCCAATAAAAAAGCAAGCCCCGTCCTCCTGGGTAACGGCGGCAAAAGATGTTTGACGTCTGTGAGATTCGAACTCACGCCCGTGAGGACTAGCGGGTTACTGAGAACCTTAAGCTAGCGCCTTAGACCGCTCGGCCAAAACGCCAGTTGTGTTGAGAGGGAGGTGCTGGCGTGCACCCATATCCTTAACATGCTATCTTCCGCTCCTTCTGCACTCGTCTCCTTGCGCTCTGGCGTTGTTGACACCGCATCGTTACGCTCGTCGAGGATGGCGCTGGCGATGCGGCTCGCTCTCGAGATTCGCCGGCTCTCGCTTGCCCGCTTTCGTTCGCTTCAGCCACCACGCCCTCGAGTTGCCTCGAGGGAGGAATCCCTCTCACCGCATTCAGACTTCGCTCTACCCTGCTTCCAGGCACAAAGAGCACGCATTGTCTCCCGCCTGAAGCTCGGTGCGCGGACCGCTCACGGAGTCCGCACGAAGTCCCACCACCTGCTCAGCTCGCTCGCACGCGCCTCTTTCCCTTCCCTTGTTCCCCTCCGGCTAAGGACGCCTGAGATGCTTCCTTACTCTTCTCGCGCGCGCTATACGACTACTCAGACGACGTGGGCTGGTCCCGCTGGCCTCGAGGATGCCTTCCCTTTCCTTTAGAAAGAACCTGCGGACGCTGGTCTCGCTGCTCCCGCTTTTCCCGTCGACTTCAGCTCACATGGTACGTCCAGATTCGCTCTAGAAGAGACACCGTACGCCTCGCTAACTCGCCTCTCTCGTGTAGTCGATTTGGTGCGTTCCTCCCCTCAGCTCAGCCCTCAGATTCGACTGATGGCTGCTACACAGGCATCCGTCGATGTACGGCGTCGGAGCTGGATTCTCCTACGACGCAGGGGACCCGGTTGCCCCTCTTGGACCAGGCGTGCGGGAGATGGAGGACTGGTGGTTTAGGTGCCCCTCTCCTCCTCCTTTCTCCTGACCAATTCTTACTAACCCCGGACTCGCCTCTCGCAGGGGACCACAAGCTCGTGCGCTCAAGCCGCAGAACGGCTCGGTCATGGAGCTTCCCGCTGGCGGGACCGCTGAGATTGAGATCGCTTGCAAGTGCGTTCCTCGCTTCTCCTCCCTCCCTCGAAAGCCCATGTGTCGGGCATGGACCTGAGGCTGGATTGCTCCTCCTGTCACACCCAAATAGCCCAGACCATTCGAGTCGAGATCCTGACCTTCCACTCGACGTGCAGCGTCGCCTGGACTGCGTACGGCTTGCGAACGACAAACCTTTCCGATCCCCTGTCCGCCTGCCCCAACAACTACGGCGCATACCATGCGGGCGACCCGGCAGGACCGCTGGATGAGGAGCTCCTCTCCGGCTGCGCACTCGCTGTCGCGTACAAGACCGATATCGAGGAGGTCGGCTGGGACGACCTCGTTATTTTCTCGACGAACCAGACATGCGTGCGAGAGAGGCTTACGACGTTTGAGGGGCGTCTCCCTCTCCCTCGCCTTCTCCGAAATGCTCCTGACGATAGCTCCACAGATCCCAGAGCGCATGCCACCTTGTCCCGGCGGTCACTGTATCTGTGCATGGCAAGTCTCGCCGCAGCGATCCCATAGCTCCTCGCGCTTACACGATCTCTTCAGGTTATGGCTCGCCAACAACGGCACAGCCAACTTCTACATGAGTGCGTTATGCTTCTTCGCATCTTCCGTCCTTTCGCCTGACGACCGTCTCCCGCAGCCGGCTTCGACTGCAACTTCACCGGCACGGATCCATTGCTCGCACGACCGCTCCTCCCGCCGGTCGACCCCGTGTTCTGTCCTACCGACAATACAACCTGTACGCCAGCGACAGGCGCGAAGAGGCCGCTGTTTGCGTACAATTCGCCCTCGAACGTCGTCTGGGAAGGGAATGATGCGAGACCGGGATACCATGCGAGCTGGTCGTTTACGATAGACGGAGCGCAGGACGATATTTTCCAGGAGGACGACGAGGACAGCTTGCGAAGGTCAGGCTTCGAAAGCGCTTTTGCGTTGCGGCTCGCTGACCTTAGTACTCACGCAGCTCAAGCACGCGCTCTACTCGTCCGCCTTCCACGGGCGCAGCCCAACCTGTCACGAACCGCCAACCAGCTTCAACGGCTTCGAGCCCGCCGGCCGCCTCCCTCGTCTCGCCAAAGTCGCCGCTTACCTCGCTCTCGTCGGAGACGAGAAACACCCTGCAACCCTACTCAACCATACTAAAAGCTCCTGCAGCCTCCGCAGCTGGCATCGCTCGCATCGTCGGCGACCTTGATGGGCTCCTTGGCATGGCGGAGCAGAAACGAGACTTGACGCTCACGGTCGAGGAGCTGAGGGCGTCTGGTCAAGCGGAGGAGCCTATCAACAGTGCATCAAGGCGGAGACAAGGAAGCGAGCTGGTCCTCGCCCTTGTTCTCGCAATCACTGTCTTGCTGTAGATGCTGTTGCAAGGAGATGTCTATTATCCTTCCAAAATGCCCCACTTCCCTACCTCCTCCATCGCTGCCCGTCCACCCTTCGCAACCTTCTCGCTGCCGACGAGACCGCCAATCATCTCCCAGGGGTCCTTTCCTCCGCCCCATCGCAAGACTCCCTGCTTCAGCTCCTCCCCTCGCTCGCGGCTGAGCGGGTTCTCCGCAAACTTGACAGAGAAGACGTGTGCAGCGATGGCGCGGTCGAAGAGGTACGAGTAGTAGGTCGCGCCGTAGCCGAAGAGGTGGCCGAATTGGGTCTGCCAGGTCGAGCCATCTGCGTACGGGATGACATGGTACCGGTCCTGCACCTCGGCGAGAGCCGCTGTAGAGTCGAAAGTCAAGCCGGACGTGGCAGAGTCGGCCACCGCCGACGAGTGGTAGGATTGGTCGAGCGCAGCCATCATGATCTGTGACGACGTCTCGAGAGCCGAGAAGCGCGAGCGCTCCTTGAGCAACGTCTCGAAGATCTCGGTAGGGAGAGGGTGACCGGTGTTGTAGTGCTTGGCGGAGAGAGCGATGACGGCGGGAGAGGAAACAAAGTGCTCCATGAGGACCGAGGGGAATTCGACAAAGTCGGTCGCGCAGCGGGTTCCGGCGACGTTGTGGTACTCATTACGGCCAATCATGGCTGCGGAAGGAAGCGTGAGCGCAAGATTGAAGTAAGCGGGAGGATGCGGGACGCACAGTGGATGGCGTGGCCCATCTCGTGATGGAGCGTCTCGACCTCGTGCCACTGCAAGAAAGCCGGCCGACCCGACGCGTCTGACGAGCCAAAGGCGCACACGAGCACGACAATCGGTTCCTGGTGCTTGCCTGGTCGACCTTTCCACTCGACCGGTTCGACGACGAGTCCTTCGAGTTGGTCCCGCTCGAGCCGGACACCGTCGACCTCGGCATAGCTGCGTCCTTCAAAGTCGCCCTCAACGTCGTCGTCGTCCACTCGCCGCGAGCAGCGGACCGTGTAGTGCGCCGCGCCAGGCGCCTTGCCCTGCCGCGAGAAGAGGTCGCAATAGATGGTCCCGATCATTCCCTCGTCCTCGTCGATGACACGCAGCTTCCGCACGCCCTTTGCCCACACCTCGCCTTCCCGCACGTCCTCAACCTCGAAGCGGATACCGTAAAGCGCGGTGAAGAAGCGCGAGAGGCCGGCAAAGACGGCGCCGACGGAGAAGAAGGGCGAGATGTCGGGAAGGGCGTTCGCTGTGCCGTTCGCTGCGGCCGACAGGTCGGTATAGAAGTCGCGGTCCCACGCCTCGATCACCCGCGCATCCTCCTTGCCTCGTCCACCGCCCGTTCCCGTCTTGGCGAGATGCGCCGCCTTGGCTCGTCGCAAGACCTCGAGGTCCTTCTGCGCCAAAGGTCGGTTGTGCTTCTCGAGCGCGTCAAGGAAGCCCATGACCGCTTCAGGCGTCTGAGCCATCTTGTCCTCGAGAGCGACATCAGCCCAGCTCGTCCGGCCGACGAGGCGAGCGAGTTTCCCTCGCGCGAGAAGGAGGTCCTCGAGCGTCTCGACATGCGAAGGGGATGACGAATGCGAGGCGACGTAGAGATCGCGACGGATAGAGGCGGAAGGGTGATGTCGCGCAATGATCCGGCCTTCCCAGCTCAGCGGGTCAATCAAGACGTCCTGCTGGCTGTCGGGCAGGTCTCCCGCTAGTCGCTGGGCGAGCGCGGGACCGAAGGCGGCGTCGAGAGACTTGCGGCTAACCTTGACGAGGTCCTCACCTTCGGGTTCTGCCGCGTTCTGGAGGAACCGCCGGCCGAGTTGTAGGATGGCTGTCGAGAGGCTGACGAATTCGGCTCGTTGTTCCGAGGGAAGGTGGATGCCAGACTTTTCAAAATCTCGGATGAAGGGTGTGGCGACGGCGTAGGCGGCGAAAAGAGCGGGCGATTTCGTGGGAGTCTCAGGCGGGAGCATCGAATGCAGCGTTTTCAGGCCCTGGGGAATGGCGGAGGTCAGCTGACGAGCGAACTTGGTGACGATACAACGCACCTGGTAGAGCCCGACGTGCGTATTTAGCTCATTCATGTACTCGCACAACTGCTCGTACGCCTCATTCGCGCCTTCGACCCATCTCGGATCCGGATGAACGTTCCGCACAAGCTCCGCCAAGTCAATCACGCCGCAAAGGAGATCGCTGAGCCGGTCGAGGTTCTTGACCATGTCGAGAAACGCTCCTTCGGCTTCTTCGAGGGATTGAGGGGGACGAGCTGGCCGACAGATGCGGTTGACGAGGATCTTGGCGCGCAGGGTCGTTCGGTGTGCGAGGCTGGGGAAGTCATCCGGACTGGTAAGGGCAGGCTGGCCGAAGAGGCCGGTCGGAGCGACGGAAGAGGGAGACGCAGTGTACGAGGAGGAAGGGGTGTCGAAAGCTTGGTGGAGCTGCTTGTCCGTAGGCGTGGGAAGCGGCTGGACGTCGATGGTCTGCGCCTGCTTGGCTGCCAGCGTTCGGAAGCCGCAGGAGCAAGAGGGGACGGCGAGTCGAGGAGTTGCTGTCGGCGAGGGTCGTATCGCCCGTCCAGCGCGACGGAAGGCGGCGCGCATCATCCTGCGGGTGCAGCAAGCTTGATCAGCTCCGACGAGAGCATCGAGAGCCTCGAGCAGGCGCTGTTGCCTCTGCCGGTCCTCCTCAACCCCGCATCGCTTCGGCCGCCAACACATGCACAGGGACCGTCAAGAAAGCGCTCAACGCACCTGACAAAACGCACAGTCCTACACGAACTAGAGAAAAGCCAGCAAGAACCCAAGAGCGAGGAGAGCGGAGTGGTGAGGAGGTTCGAGGTGAAGGGTTGCCGGCGGATGGAGCGGGGGGAGATGAACGGCTTGCGAGAGTCAGGTCGCGCTGAGCGCGCCCTTGCATCTGCCGGCAGCTTCGTACGCTCCTCAGCAACGAGGTAGAGGAACGAGAGCAAGAGTCCAAGCGGGAAAAGGGAAGCAGACGAGGAGGGTAGCGCAGGGCGAGCAGCGCATCAGAGCAGACGGTTGAACGAATGCGCAGGGAGAACAAGCACGAGGACGACGCGAGACCCAGGAGAGAATCACCGAGGAGATTGCAACACCGTGAGAGAGGAGGGGACAAAGTCGAGGCGAGCGAAGATCTACTCGTCGTCCTCCTCCTCGGCGTCGTCACCACCCTCGCCACCGGCAGCCGCCTTTGCGCGCTTGCGCTTGACACGGCCGGCACGTCCACCACCGTAGGGCGAGGTGAGAGCGAAGTCGATGTGCTGTAGGCCAATGGAGGTCAGTTGCTGCGGAGATTGAGGCGAGACTGACGAGAACGCACCTTCTGCGAGTCGAGACGGACAACGAACGAGGGAACGTTGACAATCTGCTTGCCGACACTGCGCGAGAACAAGAAGGTCCGGAGTAAGCCGCGGAGGTCCAAGCGAGGGAAGGGGCAAAGGGCAACGCACCGGATGTGCCTCTGGCGGATGAGGACACGAGCGTGGTGGATCGACTTGGCAAGGCCGCTCTTGAAGACCTGGGTCTGGAGGCGGCGCTCGAGGAAGTCCTCGACCTTGAGGGCAAGGACGTAATCGAGACGCATGCGCTGCTCGTCGAGAACGCCGATGCGGATGAGCCTGCGTCGTCAGAGTCGTCAGCGACCACACACCCATCGAAGCAAGTCGCGGGAACGCACCTGCGGATCAAGGCGTTGCCCTCGAAGAGACGCTTCGGGTCCTTCTCGTCGAGCTTGAGAAGCTCACGAGCAGCACGGCGGATCTTGGAAAGGATCAAGGCAATCCTCCAGATCTCGTGCTTGTTCTTGAGACCGTACTCGCCAGCGAGCTTGAGCTCAGCATCGAGGCGGGCCGACTCGTACGGGCGACGAGGGACCTGTTGACGGGAACAATGTCAGTTTCGCCTGGTCCTTCCTCCTTCTTCCTCAGACGAGCACGAGCAGCGATTGGATGTCGAAAGGCGAGCGTCGAGCTGAGAATTGGGCGAAAGCGAGTCGAGGTGGGTGGTGCTTGGACGGAGGGGCAGACGGCCGCAACAACCTCCCGCGAGCTGCCAATCCTCCATTCTGCCTATCCGCACGCCGTTCATCCCTTCGACACGGTCATAGCGCTCCACGGACGCGCCGTGCGAGCTTGGCCGTTCTCGCCCCGTTTTTCGCCCATCACCCGCAACTTCCTCCCTCCATCCCTGCGGCCGTCTGTGAAGAGCCCGGTCGTGCCGAAAGTGTCGAACGAGGAGCTGGGCGGTGGAAGCGAGGCGGTTCGAGGCGAGGGAGAGGGGAGGGCTGGTGCTGCTCGTGCTCGAACACCTCCAGGACGACAAAGAAACCCTCCCGGACCTTGTAGACCTTCGAGTGCGCTCCTGTGGATCCAGACAGGTTAGTAGGGCTCGTAGGAGGGCAAGGGAAGGGAAAGTTCGTGGTGCGATGGCCATTGCGAGTGTCGACAAGGAGAGAGAGAGGGAAGCGGCGCGGGCTCGGGTCAGGTCAGCCTCCGCACTCACCCTCGGCACCACCTTTGCAGCTTTTCGAGAGCTGTACAGTCGCCTAGGGCCTCTAGCAGCCCACAGGAACCGCCAGCGACCGCCTCATGCGAGTTGCGCGATGCGACGTCGACTCCTTCCCTTCCCTGCTTCGCTCGACATGCTCACGACCTCCTGCCCGCGCGAAATCGCACTCAGCGGTGCTCGTTGCTGTCCTTCGACCTCTCGACGAGTCTTGCAGAGGCGGACGAGGTCGAGTGACGGCGCTGGACGACCTTCTCGCCTTGTTCGCCTCCCCTTTCGTCGCCTGCCGTCGCGCCAGCCGCTTTCTGCAGCCGTGCGACAACTTCTACGACTCGCACGCCGAATGATGACGCCAAGCAGCGTCTCGGCTCAGGTCTGGCGCAGTCAGAGGTTGCAGACGAAGGAGCGCTTCGTTTCCGCCGCTTCGAATCTTTGCTTCTTCCTCGCTGCTCCGGCTGGCATATCGAATCTGGAGCTGAGGAGATGCTTTCGGCCTGTCAAGGCGTCGGATGGCATCGTCTTTCGCGCGAATAAGAAGCAGACTCCTATCGCTCGAAAGCCTCGCAACGCGGCTCTCCAGCTTGTGCAGCGTACGCTCACGCATCTTGCGCTCGATCACCTGCATCCAAGTCACCAAGTCATCCCGAATGCTGACGCTGAGGGAGCTTGCATGGTGTCGACAGGAGGTCCTGCTGCGTTCCCGTTCCGCCTCTCGTATCTCCTCTCGCTCGCTTCGACAAGCCGCGATTACAATCAAAGACGGATTTCTGTACCCCGAGTAATAAGCGGGAATGCGCAGGAGGCATGGTGTAGGTGGAAAGGCTCGCACAGTATAGGGAGGAGGAGGAAGAGCCCATCGCAAGAGGACAGCTGCGCCGACGGCCCGAACTCGTCGTGGCAGGATGCTGGGACATTCGCAGAGAATGAGACTCCCAGCGTTGCACATCTGAGAGACAATGGAAAGGAAGACCAGCTTGAGCGCAAAGCAGCGCTGGTGCGTGAACGTGAATCTTGCCAGATCCGACTTCTCCGGGTGTCCTCGCGGCGATTGGCCATGGACTCGGAGAGCGCAGCCTCTGGACCGCCTCATGCCCTCGGCGCATACGAGAAGCTCAGCAGTTCCATCGGTGGAGCACTGGACAGCTGTTGAAAGCGAAGTCCGTCGGGAAGCGTTGACGGATCTGTAGAAGGAAGACGGGCCGAGGTTGCCGCAAAAGACGGTGGAGATCAAGCTTCGGGCGACTAGAGTACTTCGCGGGCGACTAAGCGAGTGCGCAGGGATGGCAGTCGGGGAGAATCGCTGCTCGGCAGGTTGAAGTCTCGAGGAAAGCGGTGCTGAGATGGCTCGGAGGGTGTTAGGCGGTGCCATACCAGGCCTGCAAAGCTTTGCACGATGCGCAGCACCGTTCTGGCGCTCAGCAAAGTCAAGGCGGCGAGAGAGGATCGACGAGAGACGAGATGGCGCGGTATGGCTGTAACAGCGAACGCTGCGAGCGCAACATTGTGGTCATCAGCACAAGCTTGTAGGCGGTTGAAAGCCGTCTGTGAAGAGCCCGGTCATGCCGAAAGTGTCGAACGAGGAGCTGGGCGGTAGAAGCGAGGCGGTTCGAGGCGAGGGAGAGGGGAGGGCGAGTGCTGCTCGTGCTCGAACACCTCCAGGACGACAAAGAAACCCTCCGGACCTTGTAGACCTTCGACGTCGCGCCTGTGGACCCAGACAGGTTAGCAGAGCTCGTAGGAGGGCAAGGGCAAGGGCACGCACTGGAGGAAAGACAGGAGGGCGGCGTTCCCACAGGTCCCTGCGCTCAGCGTCGGAAGTCCGCCACGTAGTAGCACCATCAAGCTTAGCGTAGCCGTTCCAGGAAGCTTGTAACTGCGATTGAGAGCGGAGCAGGACCCAAACTCGAGCCACGCCTCACGCTTCTCCGCCGCATCTCGTTCAAATCCGACGTTCATCCACCGCAGCGTCGCGTTCATTCTTTTCCATCGCGTCCTACTCGAGAGCGAAGCCATTCGAGCGGTTGCCGGCCGACGGAGAGGAGGGAAGGGGAGAGAACGATCCCGCAAGGAGTCCACCGCAAGCGCTGGTCCGAATCGCCTCGCGCTGGTCAGATGAGCAAACAGTGAGCCCCTGCGAAGCGATCCAGCACACCAGCGAGGCCTGCTAGCGGTGAGCGTGGAGAGTTACCGGGACAACCCTGTGGGTCCACACGACCCGCTCGTTGTCCTCGCTCGATTCTACGCACGCTCTCGCCCAGGCTGCCAGAGCTGCACAGTCAGCGCGCTACTCGCTCGGACCAGTCTCGCACGCGCCAGTCCATGGCAAAGTCGACGGTGCCCCCGGGCGCCTTCCCTTCTGCACCACAGGCGGCACCCGCGACCGCACCACCCGCGCAGCCTGCGGGCCAGGCGACCAAGCCGAAGAAGAAGAAAAAGGCAAAGGGAAAGAGGCAGGGCGCGGACGGCGCAGCAGACGGGCTGGCAGCCGACGACGACGACCTCGCCCCCATCGAGGACGTCGACCAGGTCCCCGCATCGACGCCGGCGCACGCGCAGCGAGACGCGCACTACACGTACCCACACCCGAGTGCGACCCCGTCCGACCTCCTCTCGACCGCGTCCGACCTGTACCGCCAGATCGAGGCCGCCGCCGCTTCCGCTCTCTCGTCGCACCCCTCCTTCGCCGCCTCGTTCCCGCAGGCCAACGCCAACGGTGCCATGCCCGGCGCACCGACCGCGACTGACGAGGCGTACTGGACGTCGCTCCCTCAGCACCTCCGCCAGTTCATTCGCTCGGCTCTCCCGCTCGCTGCAGGCTGGACGACCGGCCCGAACGGTCAGCCTGTACCCGCGAACGGCGCAGCAAACGCCAACGGTGCAGCGGGAGCGATCCCTCTCGCAGGCGTGGTCGGCGGAGGAGGCGCAGCTGGTACCGGCCCTCTCCCTCCCCTCACGCACGACCAGCTCTCTTCCGCCGCAGCCCAGCTCGCGCAGATGGTCCAGTCCAACTGGGGCCAGTTCGGTCTCGGTCCGATGCCAGCATCTCTCGGAGCAGCCGCGAACGGTGCGGCAGGTCGGGGCGGAGCAGCGGGAGGAGGACAGGCAGGCCAGCCGAACGGCGCGTCCGCAACCATCTCGCTCGGTTCGTTCCCCGTCGGCATGCCCACGCGCGAGCAGATGGAGGAGGCGATCGGCTCGATTGGCGGCCAATTTGCTGGAGGCGAGTTCACCATGACCATGGGCTCGGGCGGTTTCCCTGTTCCTCCTGCTCCTCCCGCTGGCCAGGACGGCCAGGATGGCGCTCTCGAAGACACCGAGGACGAGGACGCGGGTGCGGACGGCGCGAACGGCGCTTCGTCGGCGGCCAAGAAGAAGAACAAGAAGAAGAAGAAGAAGGAGCGCGAGAGGGCTGCCGCCGCCGCCGCCGCTGCTGCAGCTGCCGCGATGGCTCAGCAGCAACAGCAGGCTGCACAAGCTGCCCAGGCCGCCCAAGCAGCCAAGGCCGCCGCAGCAGCCGAAGCCGCTGCCGCCGCAGCGAAGCCCGCTGCCAAGTCGCCCGCTCCTCCCGGCGCCTACCCCTCCGCCTCGCCCGCCCACACGCCCGTCACTCGCACTGCTCCCGCGCCTTCCGTCCACAACACGAACGCGAACGCCAAGGCCGGTCCGTCGAGCGAGCGCGACAAGATCCGCGACTTCTGGCTCGGCCTCAAGGAGGAGGACCGCAAGGCCCTCGTCAAGGTCGAGAAGGACGCCGTCCTCAAGAAGATGAAGCAGGCGATGAGCGGGACTCCGCAGAATGCGGGTGCTTGCAGTTGCGCAGTCTGCGGTCGCAAGCGGTGCGCTCGATTTCGCTTCCCTCCCCGTCGCGCCTTTTCTGACGCTTCTTCGTGCCCAGATCCGCCATCGAGTCCGAGTTGTCGTCCCTGTACGACGCGTACTACGACGAGCTCGAGTCTTATGCCCTGCATCAGCAGCGCTACGCGACTCTTCCGCCCGGCACAATCCCTCCTCCTCCCGGTCCCGGTCCCTTCCCCGGCTCCGTCGACGCATCTACGCTCCCCGCGACACCGCCCGTCGAAGCGAACGCCGCGGCAAATACCAAGGCGCAGCGAGGGCGAGTTGTCAAGCCGACGCGCGACCACAAGAACGTCCGACCTGCCGCCGTCAAGAAGAAGCCCACAGCAGCGAACCCCCCGACGGCAGCCGCCGTCCCGCCCGTGCCGCCAGCGTCGAACCCGCCTCATACGCACTCGCACAACCACTCGCACTCGCACAATCACTCGCACAACCATGCGAATCCTGGACACGGCGAGCCTGGACACACTCATTCGCCGAGTTGTCCGCATCACCCGCATCACGGGACCGACTCGCGCCAGAAGAACAAGGCGGCGGTCGTGCAGCCCGAGGAGCCCGAAGATGAGGAGTACGACGACGACGAGGGCGAGTATGACGACGACGAGGAGGAAGATGGAGATGGCGAGTATGACGAGGACGAGGAAGAAGAGGAGGACGAGGAGGACGCGAGTTGCCGTTCTCGCGTTCGACGAGGAACCTAGACTGACCTCGGCTTCTCCCGCAGTACGATGACGAGGACTCGCTCGCTCCCGCCGACGACCAGCCTGCACCGGCGCGCAAGTCTCGCCGCCATGCGGAAGGCGAGGGCGACTTCTTCGGCTTCGGCAAGAGCCTGACGGTCAAGGGTGAGTTTCCGCACCGCCGATAAACGCTTCTCTCTCGCCTCTCAAACACATTATTGAACTCATGCACCTCTTCTCTCACCCCGCTCTTGCTCTCTTGCGCACTTTCCAGAAGGTATCCTCACTGTCGCCGACGAGCTCCTCCAGAACAACGGGCAGAAGTTCCTCGAGATGATGGAGCAGCTTGCCGACAAGCGCGTTCGCCGCGACCGACAGGCGGCTCAGGCGTTCGACGACGAGCAGTCTGGCGCCGAGGACCGCAGCGACGACGGCGAGTACGAGTGCGTCCCGGCTTCTCCGCTGTCACAGGCCGTGCGGCTGTGCTGACTCGCCGATACTGCACAGCGATGAGGAGGAGGAAGGCTCTGAAGATGAGGAGGATGAGCCCCTCACCGAGCAGGAGCGCGTCGAGGAGGGTCGCCGGATGTTCCAGATCTTCGCCGCGCGCATGTTCGAGCAGCGCGTCTTGACCGCCTACCGGGAGCAGGTGAGCTCGTTCTCTGCTTCGCTCAGTCTTCCGCATACTGAAGTTCCGTCTTGCAGGTCGCCGCCGAGAAGCAGAACCAGCTCCTTCGCGAGATCGAGGCCGAGCAGCGACTTGCCGAAGAGCGCGAGGCGAAGAAGGCCAAGGAGGCGCAGAAGAAGAAGGACAAGAAGAAGTGTGTCTATGCTCGCTGACTCCTCTGGCGAACGAAGCTGACCTTGTTGGCAACTTGCAGGGCGGAGAAGCTCAAGAAGGAGGAGGAGCGCCTCAAGAAGGAAGCCGAGCGCGAAGCCGCCGAGCGAGCTGCCAAAGAAGCCGAGGAGGCTCGCCTCGAAGCCGAACGTCAGCGCAACGAGGAGCAACGCCAGAAGCGCGAGGCCGAGCGCCGCGCTCGCGACGAGGAGAAGGCCCGCCGCGAAGAACGGGCTCGTCTCGCGCGCGAGGAGGAACGTCTCAAGAAGGAGGAGAAGGCCCGGCAGGCAAAGGAGGCCAAGGCGCAGGCTGAGAAGGAGGCGCGCGAGAAGCGGCAGCGGGAGGAGGCCGAGCGGAAGGCGCGCGAGGCTGCCGAGCGCAAGGAGCGAGAAGAACGGGCCGAACGCGAGCGCGAGGAGCGCGAGCAGCGGGAGAAGGAGGAGAAGGAACGCAAGGCCCGCGAGGCGGCCGAGCGCAAGGCGAAGGAGGAAAAGGACCGCGCCGAGAAGGCTGCTGCCGCCGCCGCCAAGGCGAAGCAGCAGGCGATGGCGACGCCCAAGTCGCCCGTTAACAGCCGTGCCGCTCCTCCCGCGAAGCAGCAGCAGAACATCCCGCAGCAGAACATCCCTGGTCTGCCGAAGCCGCCTCCGCAGCCCAGCAAGGCCACCTCGCCGACGCCTGGTCAACTGGGAGCCGGACGCCAGCAGCCGACCTCGTTCCCTCCTGGCGTCATCCCTCGCCAGCCTTCAATGTCGGGCGCATCGCCTGCACCTCAACAGCCGCCATCGCAGGCATCGCGACCGGCAGGCCTCCCCTCGCAGCCGCCCATGCCCTCGTACGCCCAGCAGCGCCCGCCCTCTCAACCTAACGGCATACCCTCTGGCCAGCGCATGTTCTCGCCGCCTCCGCCGCCGATGGGCATGCAGCACCAGCAGGCCTTCGGCAACATCGGCATGCCCCCGTCGTTCATCTCGCCGCCGCCGCCTCAAATCTCGCCGGTTGTCGGTCGTTCCGGCGCGCCTCTCGGCCCTCCTCCTGCGACAGTCTCGTCCCCGCCCGGCATTCGCTCCCCTTCGGCGTCGACCGGCCTGTCGCTCGGTCAGTCGCCCGCGCCTATCGCTCCGCCAGGCTCAGCACCAGGTCTCGTCAGTCCCCGGGCGGTCAACGTCGGCCCTATCGGTGGGATCATTGGTCGACCGGCATCGAACGCGTCGTCAGGTCCTCGGGCGCCGTCACCTCCGTCTCGCGTCCTTGGCTCGTCCGCTTTGCACGAGGACGACGAGATTGTCGTCCCGCCTCATCGGGCATCCTTCTCGAGCACGTCGGCAGCACCAATCGGCAGCAGCATCGCCGCCTCATCGTCGCTGGGCGCCGCATCTTCCGTCACCGCCGACTGGAGCTCGCCGTTCGCGACGAGCGGCTCGATCTGGGGCGGTCCAGCTGTCCCTGCGCTGTCCGTCCCGGTCGTCACGCCTCCCGACCGGCCGTCCGTCATCCGCGACCGCGCAAAGGTCGCGTGGACCAAGATGGACGAGTTGGGCGGGTCTACCAAGTCTGCGCTGCCCGTCACCGACGTCCACCGAGGCATGCTCGCCCTGTGGGCGGATTCGGCATCGGTCACGGTCACCGAGATGGTCGAGGCGATGCTCGTCGAAGGTAACCCGCGCAATGGCGGCGGCAGATTCGTCTGGGAAACGTCTGCGGCTGACGGCAACGTGAGCGTCCGCTGGGAACTCTAGCTTCCTTGTTCCCCCTCCTCCTCTCTCTTCTCCGAACTCGTCCGCAATGAATGAGCATTCTGAACACTGTACAAAGCGCGAGAGACCGCTTCAGAGAGTCGAAGTCGGCCTTCGCTGCGAGAGGAGAGCTTCATCTCGTGCTCCAACGCCTCGCTCCTCTTTGCTCGAATCTTCGTTCGCCGCTTTGCAGACGGCTCTGCTCTCGAGCGCAATCATCCAGCGGCTCGCCGACTTCGCGCACAACACGCGACTCCCGCCTCATCATCCCGCCTCATCATCGCTCTCCGCGTCCTCGATCTCGACACTCTCGCACGCGCTTGGAGGCGGTCGTAGAGGAGCGCTGAGGCAATCAAGAAAGCTTCGGAGGACAGAGAGCTTTGCCAGCAGGTGCGCAGGCCGCTTTTCTCTCCCCATCTCGCCGGACGGACCTCGGCTCTCAATTGCTCCGTTCTTCAAAGGGAAGCGCAGAGTGGACTACTGTGCATGGCGAGCTAATGCAGTGCAAACTTGCAGTCAGAAATTGCGCACCGAAAGTCTTCCACACGACCTCCCCGGCTCCCCTCCTGATCTTTGCCCTCCGTCTGGACTCCTCTCCGCCCTTCTTTCGCCCTCTCTTCTCGCACAACTGCAGCCGCCTAAACCTCCGACCTGCCTCAACCGACTAGGCCAAGCGCCGGTCCGGCGATGGAGTCGAACATCTCGCCTCGGACGGCCTCCGTCCATCCCTCTGCTACCGGCCCGTCGTATCCCTCAGCCTTCTCGCATCGACATTCGCAACACATGCGACGACCTAGTCGAGCCGAGCGATACGAGCATCTCGTCGATGCAGCCCGGGAAGTGCTGGAGAAGGGATCGCGAGGACTCGAGGGGCTCGGTCTCTCCGACGGAGGCGAGGGCGACAATGCGGAACGGCGAAGACGAAGCCTTCATAAGGCTGAAGTCGTCGACGAGCGCGAATGGCGCGAGTCGGTCCGCAACTTGCTCAAGGTCGTCGAGGGCATGCAGGATCAGCTCTCTCGGCACGACGAGCTGGCCAAGCAGCTCAAGATTGCGCAGTCCGAGTATGCTCTGGCAGCGAGTCATGCCGAGCACCTCGAGGAGACCTTGCGGCGGCGAGAGTCTCGCTCATCGGCTTCTCTGGCGATGGCGAGGGCGCATTCGGGCGGAGCGGAGACGCTCCTCTCCCCTGTCCCGCCCGCCCGGCGTGGCAGCAGCGATGCAGCGACCGAGGGGAGTGGCGGAGGTTTGTTTGGACTCGGTCTGTCGTCCGACGGCGACGGAGCGAAAGGCTTCTTCCGACTCCCCTCGAAGCGCAAGACGACGCCTAGCAACGCCTCAACCGTCTCTCTCTCGGCGGCAAACTCGACAGGCCCACCTAGCGTTGCATCATCGATCGCGGCCGTTTCGCCCGATCCGTCGAAGGCGTCTCCGCTCGTCAACGGCTCGAATCACAGTCCAACGCAGATCAACGCCGAAATCTTCTCGCTTCAGACAACGATCTCGAGCCTCGAGCATGAGCGCACCGCGCTGCGGAGTACGAGCGAGAGCCTGCGGCGCAACAACGAGATGCTGGTCGTCAAGTGCGCCGAGCTGGAGAAGACGAAGGACGACCTGATGAGTGAGCTGGAGAACCTGAGCGTGGAGCTGTTTTCGGAAGCGAATACATTGGTGCGTCGCTGTCCTACTCCCTTCGACGATCGTCCGCTCACCCTAAATCCTTCAGGTCGCGGAGGAACGGCGCGAACGAGCCAAGTCGGAAGACGAGGTTGCGCGCTTGCGAGTCGAGGTCGTCGAGCTCAAGAAGCAGGTCGACGTGCTGCGACAGGCGCTCGCTGTTCGTTCGGCCCCTCCCCCTTCCTCAGATCCCACCTCGCCAGACTTACCCGCCCTTCCGCCCTCTGAACCTTCGACACCTCTCATGCCCGTCGCAGACGGCCTCTCTGCTTTCTCCACATCTCCCTCGCGCATGCCATCTTCAGCAGAGGCACCTCTCGACCGACCGCAGTCCGTCGCGTCCGTCAACTCGACCGGCAGTCGCAAGTGGTGGTCGCTCAGCCGAGGCTCGTCCATTGCGCCGGGAGAGTCCGCACCTGCACTTCCGCCGCCCCCATCTAGCTCGCGCTCTTCGACCCTTCCCGTTTCGTCCGGATCCCTCCAGCCTCCAACGATGAAGCGTAGCGATTCGGGCTCGTCCCACCTTTCGACCGCAACGACCAATACCTTCGTCTCGGCTCGTAGCGGCACCTCGCCGCTGCTCGGCACGGTTACCGACACCTTCGACGCGGAGCTGACGGTACGGGCGAAAGACAGGGCGAGGGCGCTCGACCTGGGCATCTACATCCCGGAGGAGTCGAGTAACATGGCGCGGTCAGGGTCGGACGGTGGCCGTACTGCTGGCGCGAGGACTCCTCGGACAGCTACGGCCCTGCATCCCCCGGCAGGTCTGGGCGTGCTGCCGTCTCCGACAAGCCCGACCCGATTCGTCACCGAAGCCAGCACAGCTTCCTTCGCTTCGCCTCCGCTTCCTCCCCTCCCTCCACCTACACCTCAACTTGGCGGCGACGCTACGGCACCCATACCACGCCCACGCCGCGCCGGCGCCGCTGTCCCTCGCCCGCACGCAATGGTCGTCAACGATACCCCTCTCGCCTCATCATCCTCCATCTTCGCCGGTCTCGACCCCTCGACAGTCGGAGGCCCGAGCAACAGCGAAATGTCGGCAGGCGACAAGAGCCCCCGCAGTCCCAACGAGGAGAGGTGGTCGGCAGTTGCGAGCAATCTTGCGACTGTGCCTCCCGTTGCACATGCGTCGAACGCGCGAGGTCGAACGACGAGCGAGCGATCGCAGTATCAGCCCAGCGATCAGCCATCGACATCGCTCGGGACAGCTGCTCATTCGCTGCGTGTTGACACTGGATCAGCCACGCTCGCACCGCCAACAAACTCCCCTGCCAATCGCCCTCGCTCAGCTGGATCTGATGCTGGTCCATCCATCCCCTTTCCTCAGTCGGCGAGCTCGGCACAACCAACATCGTATGGGACGGCTCGCGCTTCGGCGAGCGGACCATCCTCAGCCAACCCAGCCGGCCCGTCCTGTCGTCCGCCTTTCCTCCGCGCCAACTCGTCGTCTTCAGCAACCGGCCGCTCTCACTCGCCTTACGATGCGAAGACAGGTATCCCGCCGTCGACGTCCGCCTCGTCCCTCGGCTCGCGATCTATGAGCTCAAGCGATGGGCATGAGAACGCGCGGGCGCTGAGTCCGGACGGCACCAAGGCGGTCGAGGATTTGGAGAGTCTGATGGCGAGCATCATGCAAGAAGGTTGGTTCGACGGAGGCGACGTAGAGGGAGGGGAATGAACGCGCGACGAGGAGACTCGCTCACACCCGATAGATTGGCCGTTGTTTCCGAGACGCTTTTTTGTTGTTACTCTCTCACTATGCATTGCATTCCCTCAGCATCGACGAAGAGGGTGCGCGGATACTTTGCGAAGAGGGGACCAAGACGGGTTCTCCTCTTCCCGTTCCGTCGCTCTCGCTGTTGTGGCCTGTCCGCTGCGTGCTGTGCTCACACAGGGTCGCTCGCTCGACCAGCCCATCTCGCCCAGCCGTACGGAACTCGCCTTCGGTATCCCCTCGTCGACCAACCCTCGCGCCGCTCGCACGACCTCACCTGCCCCCATTACAGCCAGTCTCAGCTCTCGCAGCCTACTCGCAGCCTAGCAAGACTGGCGTACTAGTCCTGGCGCCCCGGTCGAGCGAGAGGAAGGGGAAGGCTCATCAGGTCGAATGACGACTCGGACGCAGAGAAGCGGGCACAGCTCGCTGGGAGACGATCAGGATGTGTACGCATATGCACTCAGGGTCGCTGTCTTGAGCTACAACATCGCCCGCGCCGGTCACGCCGCCCGCTCGCCCGCTCCATCCACCTCCTCTCCCTCAACCGCGAATTCGACACATGCGTCCTCACTCGTCCGGCCTAGCGTTCGACAGTCAGTCACTGGGTCCATGAGGCCCTCTGAAGGCTGGACGAACGCGCTTACGTCGCTCGGAGACGTCTTCAAGGACTCGTCCTCGAGCGCGAACAAGTCGTCTCGCTTCCCGAAGGACTTTGTCAAGGCGCTCGACCAGCGAATGGAGCGGATAGCGCGAGGATCCGACTCTGCGCACGCCGACCCGCTGTTCCGACAGACTGTCGGCGCGTTCTACACGACCTACGCCCAGCCCAGCTTCCAGAAGAAGCTGAAGGAGAACCGGCAGATCGAGGAGGTCATCCTCATGTTTGTCACGACGGCGTCGGGCATCCTGAAGAAGCGGCTCGAGGGCGACGAGTGGAAGGCGCAGTTGAATGCGCAGGTCGGGCGGTTCGTGGGCGTTGTCCGCGACACGCTCAAGACGTGCAGTCGCGTGCCGAGCGAGCTCGTCAACCGCCTCGACTCGTACTGCGCCAAGCTCGCTGAGGCGCCTGCCCCGCAGAGTCACGAGCGAACTGCGTCAAACAGTAGCGGCAATAGCCCCTACTACTCGCCTCACCCTGCATCTTCCGCCCTCCCGCCTTCCTCTCCAACTCTCGGGCGACAGAGCCTCGACATTCCTTCCGCCAGTTCCGTCAACCTCGAAGACATGCCGCACGTGCGAGCTGTCGGCGCGATTTTCGGCAAGTCGGAAGCGGAGCTCAAGCAGGACGTCGTACGCTTGCGAAGATCCTGTTCGGAGCAGGTGCGTTCGCCGCTGAATCTCTCCGAGCTGCGCTGACGGCACCCCCTGCAGGCTGCCTTCAACGACCTGAAGAGCATTATCAACGCCGTCGCTCAACTTTCCGTCTCTTCCCGTCCCGCTCCTTCGTCCACTTCGCAAACCTCTTCCAGCAGCCGGTTTCCGTTTCACCGCGACGAGTTCGACTCGGAGGATGCGTTCCTGGCGTGGAAGAAGCAGGAGAACGACGAGCTGCAGGAGCTTCTGCTCGAGATGACGATGCGGAATCCAGATTTGGTCAAGGGTGGCGGCGCGACACTTGCGCCCGATGGAGGAGCGGAGTTGACGAGTCGAAGAAGCTCCCGAAGCTCCCTCGTCCTCGTCGGCACGGACGGCTCGGCCCTCGACGTCGACGATCGACCCGGCTCTTCCTCCGACACTTCGAATTATACATTCGTCCCGCCCGATCCTCGTCTCTATTATCGACGACTCTACTCTCTCGCCCTCGAGCACGACTACGCCCTCATGTCCACCTTGCCGCCAGATCAGGACGTCTCCCTCACCATCCTCTCGCCGCTCAACGAGCAACTTCTTCGCGACTGTCAGACGCGCTGGCGCGTTCCGAATACCACCCGGGCCGCGACGTTCGCCAACCTTATTGCCGGTCTCTACAAGGACCAGGGCGTTCCCGAAGAATGCGTCGGCGAAGCGCTCGACCTGGTCAAGCGCGAGGAGGACAAGTGGCGGTACTGGCGATGGCCGACGGCAGATCGACAACAGCTCTTCAAGGCCCTCTCGCTACTCTTCGACACCCTCCTCACCCGCTTCTTCGAGATCTTCCAGGGCCTCCTAGGTCTCCCCTTCTCCGTCGTCGTTCCCCTTCTCCAGCAGATCCACGAAGATCAGCTCTACTCGTCGAGTATTGGTTCGCTCTTGCCGACAACGCTGAGCGAGCTCGAGATGGGCATGAAGAAGTTTGTCGCCATGGCGTTCGAGGAGAAGATGGCTGACGCCGACTCGAAGGAACGGGCATCCGACCTGGAGCCTTGGATTGAGATGCTGATGTGGATTAGGGAGGAGGTCAAGGGATATGACCGAGCCTTTCCAGAGAAGCTCTGCGGGTGAGTACCTTCCCTGCTTACTTGCCGTTGCTGGTCCTGATGACTCTGCGGTTCCAGCCAAATCGACCCACCTGCTCTCTTCCTCTCCGTCGCCGCCCCTCACTTCGTCCACTACCTCGACCGGTCCCGCTCGACACTCCACGCCGCCGCAGCTCAGCAGAACAGCGAGTCGACCGACGCCGACCTTCTCGAGCTTTATCACGGCGTGCGAGAGCTCAAAGACATGCACCAGGCCTTCCTGCCAGAGTGAGTATACGGCCAGTCCGCCTTTGGACGCACAATTGACGTCATCCGCCCACAGCGAACCGCTCGAGATCGACTTTTCCGCTTGGTTCGAGCCGTTCGTGCGGAGATGGCTCGCGACGACCGATACGCAGACGAGCGAGTGGGTCAACCGTGCGATCAGCAAGGACCAGGTGCGTTCCCCACTCTTGCTGATTTGACTGCCTTCGCTGACCCAGGCCGCGCACAGTTCGAGCCGGAGGAGACGGCCACCCACTCTTCGTCCATCGTTGACCTTATCGACTCGTGCAAGGCCCCTGTCGACTTCATCCTTCGTCTCAAATGGCCAAACGAGTACGAGCACGCCAAATTTCTCACCGGCCTTTCGAGGGTTTGTCGCCGCGTCCGCTCGTCTGCCTCGTCGCTGAGCTGACTCACTCCTCGTACAGACTGTCGCCAAGTCGATCGAGCAATACGCAAATCAGCTCGAGGCGATGTTCATCGACGAAATGTTCCCTCGCAAGCCGGACGAGGCGCTCAACCAGGATGTCGCGCGTCCGTCAGCCTGGCTCACGAAGGCCAAGATGGTCGTGCAGGGCGACAAGAAGATCGAACCATTTGAGTTTCAAGCTGCGGTGCGTTTGCGTCACCTGCGCTCGTCGTGCTGCTGCTGACGACCTCTGTCTACTAGAGCTGCATCAAGCTCAACAACATCCAGGCTGCGCGCCGGCTGCTGGACACGATGTACAACACGCTGGACGCTGACCGCGTCTCACGCATCGTCGAGATCAACACGCCGCCGCCACCGCCGAATGCCCCGACCACGCCGCCCCGCTACCTCTTCACGGTCAAGATCGTCCTCTGCGAGAACCTCTCCCCGCCGACCGGCAACTCGCGCACGAAGAAGCTCGACCCGTTCCTGATCCTCTCCGACCCAGCTGGCTACCGAGTCGCCAAGACGCGAACGCTATACGAGACGAATGACCCACGCTGGGACGAAACGCTCGACATCTCGGTCAAGGGAGACCTCTGGCTTCGTGCGACCGTCTACAACCGCAACCTCGTCGACCACCATGATCACGTCGGCTGCGCGTACATCCACCTCGACCCGCGCAAGTTCAGCGACTTTCTCGCTCAGGACGTGTGGTATCGCCTCGAGGACCAGTCGCGGAGACCGCTCGATAGCAGGCTGCTCCTCCGCATCTCGATGGAGGGAGAGAAGGACGACATACAGTTCTACTTTGGCCGAGCGTTCAGGAGCTTGAAGCGAGCCGAGGGCGACATGGTCCGCACCATGGTCGACAAGGCGAGTTCGGCGTGCTCTCCCGATTCAGTTTGGCGTGCGCTGACGTGCTGCTCTCGAGCAGATGTCGCCATTCGTCCGCCACTACATCTCGCACCAAAACCTCCGCTCGCTCCTCAAAACGGGCACGTACAACCTCGACCTCGAGAAAGTGCGCGGCAACCTCGACAAGGGCGTGCGCAACCTCAACGCTTATGTCCGCGACGCACTCGCCGCGTCGACGAGCTCGAACACGTCGACTTTGCTCATCCCGCCCGTTGAGGACCCGAATGCTCCGACAGCTGTCACGCTCGAGCGGCTCGAACAGCGCAAAAAGGGCAAGGGCCCGCTCACCGACATCGAGATCGAGAACGCCATTGGCGACCTGCTCGACTACTTTGAGGTGACGTTCGCGACGCTGAAAGAGTCACTCACGCCGGATGGTGCGTGCTCGTCCCCGTCCTGTCGGTACTGAAGCTGACCACCGCCTCCGCAGCTTGGCAACTCGTCTCGATGCGTCTGTGGAAGGAGATCCTCACGACGATTGAGGGGTTGCTCGTCCCGCCACTCAGCGACCGGCCAACCGAGATGCGACCGTTGAGCGAGAAGGAGGTCGACGTCGTCTACAAGTGGCTCGGGGTGCATTCAGTCTCTCACGTGAGCGGCGGGCGAAATCTGATCACCTGGTCTGCAGTTCCTAGTCAACTTTTTCCATGGCGGTGGCGAGGGCGTCCCGCTCGAAGACCTCCGCAACGCCAAGTACCTCGGTGCATTACATCCGCCGATTCTCTTAGCCATCGCTGACCTCTCGACGTGGATTACAGAGCTCATTGAGGCGCGGATGTACTACGAATGGAGCACGGACGACCTCATGCGCGCGAGCGTCGAGACGAGTGCGTTGGCCATTCCTCCGCTTCCTTCCGCGTTCGTTGCTCACCTCTCTGCTCGTTCACAGTGCAACGGCAGCTCACGAACCGCTCCGACTCGCTCATGGCGCGGTCCAAGTCGGTCTACCAGCAGCGCAACCTCGGAACAATCCGGGCGCGCAAGATCGAGAAGCAGCAGAAGATGACGAGTTCGGGCGAGATGATTCTGCGCATCCTGCGCATGCAGTGAGTCGCATGCCTGCTCTCGGTACGCCTGGTTGAAGCGCTTGCTGACCTGCACGACGACAGCCCCGGCACGACCGACTTTCTCGGCACGCAGATCGCGACGATGCACCGCATGCAGGCGGAGCAAGCGCGCAAGCAGCAGCTCCAGTCGCAGCGCGGCAGTCTGCAGCGCTCAGTCGGCAAGGGCGGACGAGGGACGGGAGGAGGAGCAGCGAGGGACGGGTTGGCTTCCATCGCAGACGAGTGAGAGTGCGGGTTCGAGGCAGTCTGTGGTCCTCATGTTGTGTTCGTCGACTCGGCGTTCTGTCTTGTTCGTTGTATCAGCAACCGCAGCGTCTTTGCCAGGTCCGCTTCGACTTGTTCGAGGAGGAGAGGGTCGTCCCAAGTGCGAATTCCGCTGCTTTTCTGAGCTCGCCACTCATTCAGCAGCTGCCTGCGAGCCAGTGCGACTCTCCGACGTCCTCGACGAGCTCGAGTGTGAGCAGTTCGCAAGCAAGAGACGCGCCGACCGCGACAAGGTCATCCTCCTCACACTCGACCACGCTCGCGCAAGATGGTCAGTCCAGGACTCGGACAACTCCGAGTGATCCCAGCTGACAGTCCGATTACCTCCCGTTTCTCCCTCGCTGCGACGCCCGCTCCACCACCCTCCCGCAACCCGCTCCACGTTACCCGCGACCGTGCCCTGCTCGCACACGCCCGCCGTTGACGCGCTCGACTGCACTGCACCAACACTCGGATGGACAGGTTGTCTTGGCGGCGAGCATCGTGACAAAGAGCGGCAAGGGTGCGTTCCCCTTCTCCTCATCTCGCTCGAGGTGTGAACGCCCGGCTCGCTTTCCGTGCGGGCTTTGAGCGGGGCTGGGCTCGCCACAGGAGCGGGATACTGCTCGCCAGAGTCTGCACGAGCTTCTGCTGACACCCTCCGTTCGTGCTCGCAGCGCTGCTCTCGCGCCAGTTCGTTGGCATGCCCCGACCACGGCTCGAGTCGCTGCTGTCGTCCTTCCCGCGCCTCGTCTCGCCCACATCCGAGCACACCGTCGTCGAGTCGTCCGGCGTGCGCTTCGTCTACACCCCGCTCGAAGACCTCTACGTCGTCCTCATCACGAATACCCAGTCCAACATCCTCCTCGACCTCTCGACCCTCTCGCTCATCACCCGCATCGCGACGGAACTCGGCAGCGGAGGACGTGGCGGAGCGATCAACGAGCTCGACGTGATGAGGGTCAACTTTGAGATCCTCAGCGCATGGGACGAGGTCATCAGCCTCGGCTGGCGGGAGAACGTCAACCTGCAGCAGGTTCGCAACATCCTCGAAATGGAGTCGCACGAGGAGAAGATTCAGGAGATCATCGCACGAGTGCGTGGCGCTTCCTATACTCGTCAGAGGTGTCGCAGCTGACGGTATCTCCCGCTCGCCCCGCAGAACAAGGAGCACGAGGCCAAGGAGGAGCTCAAGCGTCGCGCTCGCCAGCTCGAGATGCAGCGCCGCGAGATGACCCGCCGCGGCCAGAACCCCTACGCCAACCCTTCCGCTCCCAGCTACTCCTCCGTTCCCTCCTACAACAACGCCCCTTCCTCCGCTCCCTCCTACTCCGCCGCCTCGCCTTACGACTCTCCTGCATCCTCGACTCCCACTGCTGCCAAGCCCTTCAAGGGCAAGGGAATGCAGCTCGGCGCGGCCAAGGGGCGGAAGAAGGACGACGACCTTGCGGCGGCGCTCGGAGGGCTGCAGGTAGACGACAGCGATTTGCCGCTGTTGCAGCACCAGCAACACCAGCAGGCGCAGCAGGAGGAACAGCAGCATGTCGCGCAGCAGTACCAGACAGTCGCGCCTCCACGTCCCGCAAAGAACGCCAACCCCTTCGGCGACGTTGCGCAGGCAGAGTGAGCAGCACGGTCCCGCTTCCAGCGTCTCTCGCGTCACTGACCCATCTCCGGCCCGCAGCGTCCACCTCGTCGTCCGAGAAACGCTCTCGCTCGCCCTGAACCGGGACGGCGGTGTCGACTCACTCTCGCTCAAGGGCGACCTCGACCTCCGCATCAACGCGCCCGACTACTCGACCGTCGTCCTCCGCCTCCCTTCGCCGTCCTCGGGCGCGTACACCAAGTCGAACGACTTGCAGTTCAAGACGCACCCGAACGTCGACAAGAACGCGTGGACGCAGCGAGGCGAGATCCGGCTGAAGGAGGGCAAGAAGGGTTTCCCGGTTGGACAGGGCCTCGGCGTTTTGAAGTGGAGGATGACGGGGACGGACGAGAGCATCGTGCCCATTTCGAGTGCGTCTCACTCCTGGCCCCGTTTCCCTTCGCTTCCATGCCCTTACTGAGCGATGTATCGCGCAGTCAACTGCTGGCCGTCTGCTGATGCCGGGTCAACCACCGTCAACCTCGAGTACGAGCTCGAAAACACCGCCCTCTCGCTTCACAACGTCGTCATCTCGATTCCCCTTTCTCCTGGGGCCATACCGAGCATCTCGGAGGCGCCCGCGCACGGCTCGTACGCGGTCAACTCCGGACACCTCGAGTGGACGATCGACGAGGTCAGCGAGGCGGCTGGCACCGGCAGCGGCAGTCTCGAGTTCGAGTTTGATGCCGAGGACGCAGATGCGTGTTTCCCCGTCGAGGTCGACTTTGTCAGCCAAAAGGGTATCTGCGGAGTCGAGGTGCGTTGCCGACTCCTCTCCCTCTCGCCACTTTGACGATGACTGACTCGACTCTCGTTCGCCCGCAGGTCCTCGGCGTCACCAACCCGGCTGATGGCGACTCGTCCGTCGACTACTCGCTCGACTCGCTCCTCGGCATTGACCGCTACGAGGTTGTCTGAGCGTGCCAGGGCGGAGAAGCATGCTGGCGTCGTTTGCGGACGAGGTAGACATTGGGTTCGAGGCGGTGTCTCTGTAATCAGCTGTTCTGATACCCCCAGCATGCGCGCGATCGTCCTAGCAAGGTCGAGCGAAATGCAGAGAGGAAGTGAGTGCTGGCTGGAGCGAACGGAAAGCGGCGAGCGAGAGCCGGTGAGTCTCGCAAGTGAGCCGTCTCAGCAGCGCCATCCTCGGCGAGCGTAGCGATGCGGTGCAAACAGCGTTAGAGGGCAAGGAGGCGATGGCATGGAGAGGAAAATGTATTGTTAAGGATATAAGTGCATGCCAGCACCTCGTTCTCAACACACAACGGGCGTTTTGGCCGAGCGGTCTAAGGCGCTAGCTTAAGGTTAACAGTAACCCGCTAGTCCTCACGGGCGTGAGTTCGAATCTCACAGACGTCAATATCTTTTGCCGCCAACACCTACGAGGACGGGGCTTGCTTTTTTGCTGCCTACGTCGAGCTGCGGCGTCTCGCTTGCGTGACCGCCCGTACACTAGGCTCATTGGCCGGTGGCACTGTCAAGCGCTCGCCAAACGACGTTGTGCGCCGTCGACGCTCGAGATGGTCTTGAGCAAGGCAGGAGACGGAGATTTTCTCCTCTGCAAGCGGCGTGGAAGCGCGTCTCCTTCTTCTGAGTGACGAGACTCGAACAGTATCGAGGCAGACCGAATCCGGGGGCCCAGCAAGCAAGCAAGGGTGTTTACAGCCTGTGCGAAGTGGAATCCCTCTCCGCGACCTCGACGACGAGCGGGAAACGAAATCGGGTTGCAGCAAAAGAACGATGTAACTGAATAGCGACCGCAGGGGCTAGGCGAGGCGAGAGGAAAGGGACGAAACGAGGGCAAAGGCGAACGAAGGCGACGAAGGATTGCGGATTGGTTGCGAGGTGAGACGGTACAGCTAGTGGTGCACAGCGATAAACGACCTGGCTGGGCGCAAGGGGAGCGTCAGTTCCGAGGAGGAGGAGAGTAGGCGAAAGAAGCGCACGAGAAGGAGAGGGAAAGAAACTGGATCTAGACGACCGGGCCGAGTTCGAGGGCGCCGAGGAGCTGGTCGTAGACGTGCTTGTATGACCACGGACCACCTTTCATGCGCTTGACGTCGACGCAGTACAGCTTGTCGAGGTTGCGGACCCGCGTCATCTCGACAACGAAGCGGACCTCGTCGCCGGCGTCGGCCGACTTCTCCCCACCGTAGTCGGGCAGAGGCTGCGGCGACGAGAGCGAGAGCATGCTGAACTGCGACACCGACGTCGTCATCGGCGAGGAGAGCGGGTCGAAGTGCTCCTGCGTCGAGGCGGTGGGCGTGCCGGGCATGGTGAGCGTCGGCGAAGGAGCCAGGGAGGGAGAGTGGAGGGGCGTCGTGGCGTGCGACTTCTTGCCAAAGATCGAGCGGAAGCCCATCGACGGCGACTGCGGGAGGCCAGGCGCGTTCGTGAGGCTGAGGCGGCGGTCGAGCGCATTGACGTTCGACGAGCTGGCCGAGCGCTGAATCGCCGACGCTGCCATGGCCTTCTTGCGGCTCTTGCGAACACACTTGATCTCTGCGGATAGCGTGAAGTCGGCGAAAGAAGCAGAGACGCAGGAGGGAAACTTGATACGCACTGTACTCGCCCTCAGCAGCCATGTCGACGCCCATGTTCCACAGCGCCTGCTTGATCTCAGCGATGACCTCGTCCGGGGACCGGTACGTGATGGCGTTCTTGTCGAGCGCGCCTTGGTGGAAGCGCAACTTGCTCGCGACGAAAGCTGGCGGAGCGATCGACTGCTGCTGGGCAGGCTGGGATGGGCGAGGCGGCGGAGCTGCGGAGGTCGGCACATGCGCGATGCTGGACGACAGGGTCGACGCCGTGCGGTGACTGATCTGGCTCTGCGTGAGCGAGGTTTCCGCAGGCGCAGCCGAGACGACCGGCTGGGTGATGACGACAGAGGGCGGTCGCTCAGCCGGGACGGGCGTCGACGCGGCGTCGCGCATGCTGACGTTGCTCGAAACGACTCCTTCGGTGACCTCGGTCGCGGTCGAGAGAGGCCGCTTGCGCCGGTCGTCAAAGTCGGTCTTGATCGGCGCGAGCATCTGGGCAGACAGCTCGTTGCGAGTACTCTTGCGGCGGAACCAGTCCATGACCGCCTTGGCCTTGCCCGATGGCGGCACAGACGACGACGAGCCCTGCCAGTTCGCCTCGAGGTCCGCCGAGAACCGCTTCGATCCAGTCGCCGAGGAAGCACCGTCCGACAGCTTCTGCGTTCGCCCTTGGCGTACCCAAGCCGGCGACGCCTGAACCTGCTGCAGCGCCTCTTGCGGCTTCGGAAGAGGCGGAGGCATGCCGTCCTGCGTGCTCGACGACCCGGCAACGGTGCTGGAGCGGTCCCGAGAAGCCATGACGGACGCCGCCTCGACGTTCGCCCGAGCCTGCTTCGGCAGTTTCGAGCTGACGCTGTGGCGGAACGGCTGCAGCGAGAGCGCCTTCTGCCGGCGAGTCGACTTGCGCCGGTTCGTCACCTCGTCGAGCGGCGAGTCCTTCGCCGGGACTGGCGGGACGCGGCCGGACTTTTCGCTCGTCTGGTTCGCGCCGCCAAGGAAAGAGCGGAGCGAGAAGCGGTCGGCGGAAGGAGCGTGGCGGTGGCGGCTGGAAGCGGCAGAAGGAGGTCTCGGAGGCTGTGAGGCCTGGCTGTTGGTGCTCGTCTTCGGCTGCGAAGCCTTTGCAGCTTCTTCGGCGACAGTAGGCGGCTGAGGAAGCGCAGGCGCCGGGTCGGGGTTGAGGGAGGATGCGGGCGAGCCCGAACTCTTGCGCTTCCGAGGCATCGCTGCGAGGAAGCCGTTCGAGGTAGATGTTGGCGAGGTCGGTTCTGTCGGGGAAGAAGGGCCGGCGCTCGGTGCGTCGGAAGGGAAGGGGACGGTCGAGGCGGTCGGCGGTACGACGGCGGTCTCTTCGGACGCGGGAACAGGCGGCGGAGACGGGGCGTCCTTCGACAAGTCCGGCACCTCGATTGGCTCCGTGACCTCCTCGACAGACTGCATGACGACGTCCTCGCCCGGCGCCGTCTCGGTCGTTGTGCTGATGCTGACTGCACCCATGCTGGGCGTCGGGCTCGGCGCACCTCGCGACAGCGAAGCCGGAACCTCAAGCAAACCCTCCTCCGGGACCGCAGACGCTTCCGCCTCTGCAGCGGTGGCGATGCCGAGTCCATCGACAGCGACACCCTCGAACGGCGTCGAAAGCGAGGGCTCCTTTGACGCTCCTCGCCGGCGAGTCGATGCCGCTGGGTCGTACTCGACTTGCACCGTCGCACGATGCGCCGCCTTCCGCCTCCTCGCCGCCATCTCGTCGATCGTCTCCTCCGTTGAACTCTCGCGCCTCGACGGGCCGGCGCTCGCGGCGGGCGAAGGCATACCGTCGGCCATGACCGTGTCTTCGCTCGCGGTATGCGGGACCGCGGCGAGCGACTGAGCTGCGGCGGGAGCGGAAAGGGAGGGGACCATTGGAACGGAGGCGGACGTTGGGAGCGAGGTGTTTGCGCGAGTCGATTCGAACGAGAAGGGACCGGCGTTGGCGGCGACGAATTCGGTCTGCGTCGTGGGCGGGGTCGAGCTGATCGTGTACTGTCCCGAGCGCCTGTTCGGGTTGGACGAGCTCGGAACTGGGATCGGTCGGCGAGAAGCGGAAGAGGTCGAAGTGGTGCGAGAGCGAGGCGAAGTCGGCTCTTCCGGGGCGGTCGGCGTCGCAGGCTGCGAGAGCGACGGCGACATGGGCGTCGACGCCATCGAGTAGTGCTCCAAGCCGTGCTGCGAGAGCGGGGCAGTGACGGCGGTAGTCGAGGCTGAGGTGACCATCGCCGAGCGGTGCCGCTGCTGCGCGACCGCAGCCGCCATCGACGCCGATGCAGGAGTCGAAGCGCTCGGGTTGAAGGCCGCGACGCCGCCCATCGAGGTCGTCGCCGTCTGGCTGCGAGTCATGCTCGGCGCGAGCAGGCCCTGCGCGGCGAGAGCAGCCTGCTTCTGCTGCTGGATGAGCCACTGGCGCTGAACCTCGAGGGCATGGCGCTTGTGCCGCTCGAGCTCTTGCGCCTGGAACTCGAGCTCGTCGACCGTCTTCTCGAACGCAGGCGCGTACCGCCGCAGCCAAGGATGGCGCATGACGTCGTGGATCGTGCAGCGCTTTGTCGGGTCGGGCACGAGCATGGTGAGGAGGAGGTCACGCGGCTCGTCGGTGATCCAGTCGGGAAAGGTGAGGGGCGTGCTGAGGATGTACTTGTACAGGAGGTTGATGTTGTCGCCCTCGGGATTGGCGGGGTCGTCGTCGTAGGGCAGGTAGCCGGCGAGCATCGCGTACAGGATGACGCCGCAGGACCAGACATCGACGGCCGTTCCGACATACTTGCCGTCCGAGACGACGAGTTCCGGCGCGGCGTAGCAGGGCGAGCCGCACGAGGTCGCCATGAGGTCGACGTGCGCATCGTTGAACCGGTTCGCGAAGCCAAAGTCGGTGATGATGACGTTGCGGTTGCGGTCGAGGAGGAGGTTTTCGAGCTTGAGGTCGCGGTGGACGACGCCCTTCGAGTGGAGGTAGCCGACGCCCGAGATGAGCTGGGCGAATAGGCGAGACGCGTCGCGCTCCTTGAGGTAGCGGTGGGCGAGGATGTGGTCGAAAAGCTCGCCGCCTGCGTGAGCGAGCGAAAGTTAGCGAGTCTTGACTGACAATGGAGAGGGGCGCGAACGCACCTGACGCGTACTCGAGCACGATGCCGATGTACTTCTCCGTTTCGATAACGTCGTAGAGCCTGACAATGTTCGGATGGCGAACCATCTGTGCGGTCGGAAGGAGCAGACGGAATCAGTCGGCAGTCCGGCAGACTCGCGAGACACACATGCGCCCGTAACGCACCTTGAGCACCTCGATCTCCCTCCTAACCTTCTCACCACGTTGCACCGTGTCGACATTCCCTCGCTTGATGAGCTTGATCGCAACGTCCTCACCCCACCGCTCCGCATGCACGCCCAACTTGACCTTTCCAAACTCGCCTTCGCCAAGCGTCTGGAGGAGGATGTAGGGACCGAAATAGACCTTCTGGCGCGGCATCGGGTGCGGAGTGTAGAGGTGCGGGTAGGGGCCTTGGCCGGCGAAGGATTGGGCGTTCGAGGGAGAGGTCGGGAGGTAGCCGACTGATTGGCGAGAGCGGGACGACACGGACCCGCCTGGACCACCTTGGACGGGGGCGGGAGTCGGGACGGGCGAGGGAGCGACAGAGGACGAAGGGGTGAAGGCGGACGAGGGGTAGGCGTAGTTGGTGTGCGGGTGCGAGGGGTAGCCAGGCATGACGGAGACGGGTCGCTGATGAGGCTGCTGCTGCTGTTGCTGCTGCAGATAGTACTGCTGCTGCTGGTACAGCTGCGTCGCGCTCATCTGCGCAGCACCCGTCTCAACCTGCGCAGAGTTCCGCCTCGACGAGCTCGACGAAGGCGTGGCCGACGACGTCGACTTGCGCTTGTTCGGGTTGAAGGGCGGGATGACGAGGCTTGGGTCGTAAGCGGGGCGAGTGGAGCGGGTCGTTGCGGCGGAAGCGGCTTGAGTAGCCGATACGGAGGGGAAAGGTGCGCTTGAGCTGGGCGGTGAGGGGTAAGCCGTTTCGGGCGCCTGCTTGACGCTCTGTCGCCGAGAGTCGGAAGCGGAAGGAACGCTGGAAGGAGGAGGAGTTGAGCGAGTGTCGGAGGGAAAGGCGGCCGAATCTTGCGGTGTGGGCGAGTATGGGAACGCGCTCGACGGGGTCGCCATCGTGTCTGTGGCGGCGAGAGAAGCCGAAAGTCAGTACATTGGCAGCCTCGCCCGTCTGTAGTGTAGTCGTCCGGGTACGCTCAAGCCCCCGCAAGCCGGTCGACTCCTCATCCGCGTCCTACTCCTCGTGCGCGATGCTCGGAAGTCACGAAGCCATCGCAGAAAACGTGACGTCGTCGATATCGTGCAGGAATGCCCCAGATGGAGACCCTTGCTCAACACCGACACGGTCGAGCCAGTCCTTCCCGCCCGCCTCACGCGCTCGAAAGCCCAGCCCATCCCGCTAGCCGAAGAGCGAACGAGTACTCACCACCTCAAGCCAGTCCTTGCGCGACCAGACCGAGTGGACGAACGAAAGCCGGACGCGATGAGCGGGGAGAGGAGTGGGCGTGGGAGGTGGGTGTAGAGCGCGTATCCCGCTCGCTGCGCCTGTCCCACGAGACTCCGGTGTACTGCGAGCAGGCTGAACGGGCCTGCTAGGGCTGCAAGGTCGACGTGAGGGAGGGAAACCGAATGGCGAGGTCGTCGGGGTGGGGAGGGGAGCGAGCGCGAGAATCAGAGAGCGGGACGGCGGGCGGCGCGTTCGAGTGGGAGTGTGTGCCGTTGGTAGTCGTATAAGGAGCAGAGCGAGGCGATTGGCGCGGTTGCGGACGGTGTAGAGGACGCGTGAACGATGGAGGAGGAAGCGGGGCGAAGAGGTCAGCGCTGGCTCGTGGGCGACGAGTGCTGCTGTACGCACAGCTCTGGACACTGCTCGTGTCGACTCTGCCTTCTCACGCGAGCCAAACGGTTGGACAGCGGCGATTCGTTCGAGGCAGAGGTGCTCGTCGAGGCGCGTCTTGAAAATCGGCGAGGGAAAAGGGGAACACCACAAGGTCGTGCTCTGCGAGTGCACTCTGGGCGACTCCTGGAGACGGAAGATGGCGAGCGGAGGAAGGGCGCGGTGAAGCGGACCCGTAAACTCGCGGAGAGCGAAGCAGGACAAAGTCAACTCGCGCGCAACGCTTTCGAAGCGGGTGGATCGTAGTACATCGGTTTGCAGACGACAGTAGTGAAACGGTACAAGACAGCAGAGAAGGAGAAGGGGCGCCCGGCTCGCCCTACAAGTAACTTTGTCCTCGCTCCTTCTCAAGCGACCCTTCCTCCTCCTCTTCACCTCGACCAAGCTCCTCCAATTCTCCCCTACTCCCCCTGCTCCATCCCTCATCCCCTCGCCTCCGCCCAAAACTCGCCCTTGCGCCGCATCCCTCCTCACTCATCATCGCTCTCGTCCGACGAGGCCTTCTTGAGCCTCGCAAGCGCCTCCTTGGCCGTCGAAACGTGCTTGCCGGCTTTGAGCTTCTCTGCAGCACCGTCCCATCGAAGCGTCAGCAACGACGGCGCAGAAAGACCGGGCGGAGCCGATGCACTTTCAATCCTCCTCTTGTACAGTTTCCAGCGCATCACCTTCCTCGTAGTCCCGTCAGGCATCTTGAGTTTCTTGTCGCGACCTCGGACGTGGCGGGGCAAGACGATCTTTTCGAAGTCCGTCGAGTACGCGTACTCTGCGCTCGCTCGAAGTCAGGGTCGGCGACAACGACGCCAACGCGAGCGGGACGCACCGGTGACGATGTTCCCAGACTTGTCGTAGACGACGACTGGCTGTTCGTTCGGAAGAGGGGCCGGGATGAGGTAGCGTTTGTGAGAGAAACGAATCTTGGGCTTCGGCGCCTCGTCCTCGTCCTCGTCCTCGTCCGAGTCGTCGTTGACCGAGTCCTCCTCCTCTTCCTCCTGCACCGGGAACGTCGACGGGCCGGCGGCGAGTTCGGGCGAGACGTCGCGGACGGAACAGCCGTCAAGCTGGTCCTCTTCGTCCTCCTCCTCGTCCTCCTCAACCTGTCCACTTCCCGCCTGCCCGACCTCCTTAGCAAACGCCGCGAGCGCTTCCTCGCGCGTGCGGACCCTCTCACCCTTCTCGAGCGCTTCTGCAAAAGCGAATTGCGCTGTTAGCGAGGACGCACTCGGAGCGCCGCGAAACGCGATACTCACTGACGATCTGGTTCCTGTAGGTCTGGTCCCGCACGACCGGGATGTCACCATTCAGACGGGGGTCGTACACGGTCTTGGAGGCAGGAGCGGGCGCCTTGGAGGGAAGGACGATGGCTGCGAGGGAAGTCGAGGCATAGCGTGTCCCTGCCAAAAGAGCGGGTCAGCCTGGTCCGGAGCGAGTGCAGACAATCTTGTACGCACACTTGATAGGCGCGCCCTTCTTATCGAGGACTACAACCTCTCGACAGCCGGGGAGCGGGTTCGAGACCGTGTACTTAACCCATTCGAAGCTCGGTGCGGCGGCGGAAGACTTGGACGGCATCTTGGTGGAGCAGGTGAGTGTGTGCGAGTAGCGGTCGACCAGCAAAGAGGGCGAACAGCGGAAAGAGAGTGAACGGAAGAGAGGAGAGGAGGGGTGCCCGCGGAGCGACTGGAAGCGAGTCGAGCTTCGAGGAGGCGACGACAGCGAAGGGGAAATCTTTGACAGAGTGTACAGCAGGCAGCGGAGACCAACGAAGCGTTCTGAGCGAGCGCAAGTCGACGTCGACCTCCTTTTGACCTTCGCAACGTCGACGAAACTCGTGCTTAGCTTCGAACCGCGTCGATGGCGGCTGAGGGGGTTCTTTCGAGTAAGCGTCAAAAGCGAGAGAAAAGCGAAGCAGCCAGACGAGAGACTAGCGAGAGGGCGAAGCCAAAGCAAGCCGAAAGAGTCCCTCACCTCTTGCGAAGTGCAATCAAGACGGCGCAATCATGTTACGGCTCAAAAGAGCAAGGGGCGGTGAATCGAGCGAATCAGGATAGGAAGGAGAGATGCGAAGCGGGCTCAGTAGCGCCTGTCCGATCCGTAGTCGCGGCCTCCTCCACGGCTGGAGCTGTACCTCTCGTCCGGGTAGCGACCGCCGCGGTCGTCTCCGCCCCTCATCGGCACGGCGTACGAGCCTGTATCGGCGGAAGCAGATGCAGGAGCACCCAAGAGCGAGTAGGAGGAGAAACAGCGTCAGCGATCTTGTTCGGCCAATCTGGAGAGGGAGAAAGTGCACTAACCGCGGTCGCGGTCGTCGCGGTACCGGGGGCGGTCGTAGTCATAGCGGTCGTCGCGACCGTACGAGGGCGGCGGTCCGCGCCTGTCGTAGTCGTCGTACCTCGAACGGCTCTCGTATCCGCGGCCGCCGTACCCGCGCGGCTCGTACGGGCGCTCACCGTAACCCGGTCCGCCACCGTACGCGTCATCTGTGGCAACGATCGCAAGCAAGGAGGAGTGGGTCAGCCGTTGGGTTCGAGAGAAAGCATCTGCCCACTTGCGGAGAGGGCAAGAAAGGCTTGAGCCCCAACAGGAACCAGGACTCACAACGCTTGGGGGGACCGTGGTACTGGCCGGGAGTCGGCGTCCTAGCCCTGCCGCGACGAGCCTTCTCGACGTTGATGGTGCGGCCGAGGACCTCGGTCGCGTTGAGGTTGGCGATGCAGGCGTCGGCTTCCTCGCCAGTCTCCATCATGACGAAGGCGAAGCCGCGAGACTCCTTGCTGTGCGGGTCGCGCATGACCTGGCACTTTTGGATCTGCGGGCGGGACGAGTTGCCAAATCAGTCTCGGCGTCGTCGACCAAAGCACGGCACCAGCTCGGGAGTAAGACGCACGCGGCCGTGCTTGGAGAAGAGCTCCTCGAGGTCGCGCTCCTCGACCTTGAGCGAGAGGCCCGAGACGTGGAGGTTGTTGCCCGGGTTGACGGGCTCGGCGCCGCGGACGTCGCCCCTGTGAGGCGGTAGAACGCGCTCGATGGTCAGCTTGTACACGTGAGTGAGCGGTCAAAAGACCGAGAGGAGACGCTGGAGAACGCACCTGCCACGGTCGCCGCCGTCGCGCCTGTCCGTGTCCATCCTGACGGGCGAGCGCGACCGGGAGCGGCCCCTGCCCGAGTCACCGCGGCGAGGAGATGGCGAGCGGTTGTCGTTGCCGTTCGAGGTACCGTATTCTGTCGGGGAGGAGAGCGAAGGTGCGAAAGAGGGAGACAAGAGGCGTAAGTCGAGATTGTTGCGCGATTTGCCGAGTGGGCGGTCAGTTGATCAGATGCCGGTTGCGCGGATGCATGAGGCGGTTAGTCGGAACTAGCGAAGGAGACGGAGACGAGAGCCGGGAGCGAGATCGACGAGACTTGGAGCGAGAGGCGAGAGCCGCAGACCGAGAGTGCCGACCGTTCTATCCGACTCGCTGAACCGTAGTACCGCAGTCGCAGGCGTCTCAATGCCGGGAGAAGAGGCAGTCGAGACCGCGCGAGCGTGATGAGAACCGCCGTCCATGAGTCGCCCTCGTCTTGCACCGCGGGCCGCCGCTGACAAGCTGAATCGCCGTGAGGATGCGACTAGACGACCTTGAGTCGCATGTCGCTCGTCCGCGGGGCCGTGTCAAGCCGTTTGCCCGAGGGCAGGTGGGAGCAGCGCGAGGGAGGCGCGAGGCCGTGCGATGCCGCGCGAGCGTGCTAGGCCGGGTCGCAGGCGATGCTGAGGCTGAGGTGCGACGTACCGTCGGCCATGGTCGTGGTTTGTGCGGGTGGGCGAGGTGGTGAGGAGAGAGAGTCGCTCAAAGCGAGGTTTGGCCTCCTCGTCAACGGCTACATCGCTCAGATCGGCTGGTTAGAAGCTTGCTGCTGCTCGCTGGACCTCTCACATCCAGCTCGACAAGCCGCACGACCCCGCGAGCTCAAGCCGCCGACATCTTCCTCCTCCTCGACTCTCCGTTCCTCGAGCCGAATGGCATCTCTGGTGCTCGAGCGTCGAAGACAAGTAAAATGGCTCCAAGGAGCTTGCATGACGAGCTCGCAATGCATACGGTCTCGCATAAACAAGGTACTTCGCGCGCTGGCCGAGTCGACATCTAGCTCATCAACGCTCGCCGATCCGCCTCCCTCCGCTCCAGCACTGCCAGCTTCGCTTTAAGTGCATCTCGTTTCGCAGTGAGCGCGACTGTGTAAGGCGAGAGCGCTGGCCGATCGCCAGGCGAGCGAGAGTTGCCACGAGGAGGCTGAGGACACGGTGCAGGCGGCTCGGCAAGGGTGGGATCGCTCGTGGGTGCCGAGAGAGTCGAGCCAATAGAGCGAGAACTCCGCTCGACGTCGGTTGACGAATGGACGGAGAGCAAGGCGACGTCCTCGCTGCAGCTGTCGAAGGGGATGCGGCTCACTCGGATGCGGCGTGCTCGTGCGAATGCTGGCGTCGTTGTTCCTCGTTGCGCTCGTGGAGGAGAGGGCTTTGGAGGGGAAGTGGCGGGCGCTGACCGACCAGGCGAGGTAGAGCAGGTGCAAGGCGGGAGCGGAGACTTCGCCAGTTCGGATACGGACGACCAGGACGATGACGAGCGGGAATTGGAGAGCCGTGGAGGGCGAGGTCGAAGTCGAGCTGGAGATGTAGTCGGTCGTTCACCAGTGTCGGAGTCTCCTTCGATCGGCTCGGTCCGCCCTTTTTCCGCCTGCTCCTCTTCCACCCCCTCCTGCCTCCCTCCTTCGGCGCTCGCACCGCCAACCACTTCGCGCTCTCGCCGTCCTGCCTCCAAGCGCTTGAGCGCCTCCTTCAGACTGCGAGATGGCAACTCTCCCGCAACCGCACTTCCCGTTCTCCGCGGGGAGAGAGGCGGTACAGGTCGCTTTTCGCGCCAGCCGTCGACGAGATGTGAGGAGGGGTCGTTGAGCGTGGCGAGAAAGGAGGTGGAGGAGGTGGGTGAGTCTCGGTGCGGGAGTGTTGATGAGTCGGGCATCTTGTGACGAGTCTGGTGTGACGGCGGAGAAAGCGGAGCAACCGTTGGATCGCCTGCATCTGTTGAAGCGCGAGGGCGACGCGGCTCGGCGGAGGACGGGACGACCAGCGAACGGGATCGGAGGGGACGAGGCGCGAACAGGCTGGTTGAGGTGGTACTGCGATGAGGGTCGTGGAAAACGTCGGGATCGAGCCGAGGACAAAGTTGAGCGTCATGCGGCGTCGAAGGTCCACCCCGCCCTTCTACCGCTCCCAACGCCTCCGCGATGCACAACAGCGCCTCGACAACTCTCGCGATCTCGATTTCGTCGCCCTTGATCGCCTTGTCGACGTCTACCTCGTCCACCCTCCACGTCCATCCGTCTCCACGCTCGCCTGTTCGCCTCGCGATGGCCTCCCAGACCTGCGTAATCGCCTCGAGTAGCATCAACAGGAGCCGACGTCTGTCCTCCTCCTCCCGACTTCCTCGCCAACCATTCTCGACCTCGATGAGCCGCGTCTCCAGCAGAGCTTCGAGGACGGTGAGGAGCAGCGTAGGCGTCGCTAGTGCAAGGGAAGAAAGCTGTAGCGGGATTGCGAGCGTCGCAAGAAGTGATAGGAAGCGATCGAGCACAGGGTGCGAGCGATGTCGAGGTTCTGCTGGCCAAGGTGGGTCAGCGCGAACGAGAACGAGAGCTGAGCGTACGCACGGATGTGTGCCGGAGTCGTCCAGCGGCCCAAGGTCGGGGAAAGCGAAGCATGCTGCTCCGGATTTCCATCACCGGCAGACCTTACCAGTGATTGGCGGCGCATTTGGGTGCGTGCGGCGTGCTCAGCGGATGACCTGGCAGCAAGAAGGTCGTCCCGCTCCAAGCCAACCCCTCGCAGTAGCGTCGTCTCGATTTTTGTTCTTGGCCAGAGATGAGGAGGAGGGGGGAGGGAAATGGGCGACGTGCGCTTCGCTGGCCCGGTCAAGACACTCGGTGGACTCCAGACAATCCACTTAGCCAGTCAAGCTTGCTCAGCGCAAACGAAACAGCGTGAAGGCTGAGCATGACGTTGCCCTTGTCTCCCGCTGCTTCTTCGCTCCTTCCTCTCACTCACAACTCCTGATTCTGCTGCAGCATGAGGACTCACCTTCCAAAGGCTGCTCCTCCGCTCACCAGTACTGTCCGCCACGACGTATACCGCGAAATCGACCCTCGCCAGGCTCTCGCCGACGCCGCGAAGGGTCTCTCCGTGCTCGTGACCGGCTCGGGGCGCGGTGTAGGGCGAAGCGAAGCACTCGCTTTCGCTCAAGCAGGGGCTAGCAAGGTGGTCTTGACGAGTCGCAGCAAGCAGCAACTGCAGGAGGTCAGGCAGGCTATCGGGTCTCTCGGAAAGGGCGTCGAGGTTGTGATGGTGGAGTGCGACTTGACGGATCCAACAAGCGTCGACAAGTTGTTCGAGGAGGCGGGAGACGTCGACGGTGCGTACTCGAACGCTGAGAATCACGATTTGAGACTGACTTTGCTATCGGATGCGCTCGCAGTCCTCGTGAACAACGCCGGCTACCTCGAGCCTTGCGTCCCGATCCGCGACTCGAACCCCGACGACTGGATGCGCACCCAGCGGATCAACATCGAGGGCACTTTTCTTGCGACTCGAGCATTCCTGCGTTCGGCGGCGACGAAAGGCTGGCTCGACTCAGCGTCCGCCAAGAAGCTGTGCGTGATCAACACGAGCTCTATTGGGAGTGCAGGCACGCGCCCTGGTTTTAGTAGCTATCAGCCGTACATTGTTGTTGCTTACGAGCGATTCCCGGGGAAAAGGTGCGCTGACCCCGCCTGTTTGCAGCGGCAAGACGCAGATTAATCGCTTTACAGAGTTCCTACACTTCGAAGAGCCCTCTGTCAGGATGTTCGCGATGCATCCGTGCGCACACTTGTGCTTTCTTGCGCAGCTTCTCAGGGCTGACCTTCCTCCTCGTATCTTTCACGCAGTGGCGGTGTCATGACGAAGCTTGCGCGCGACTCGATGCCTCCAGACACCCACGGCTTATTAAACGACACCCCCGAGCTCGCCGCAGGCTTCGCAGTCTGTGCATACTCGACTCCTGCTCGACTTTGGCTCCAGCGAGAGATGTTGACACTCCTCATCTTGCAGGGCTCGCTACGCAAAGCGACGCCGACTTCCTGCGCGGACGCTACGTCTCCGCCAATTGGGACGTCCGCGAGCTACTGGCAAAGAAGGGCGAGATCGTCGAGGGGAACCTGCTATGGACGAGGGTCGTGGGGCAGGAGCAGGTGATGCCTAACACAAGTCAGGTGCACATCGCGTAATGTGTGTTGTGCGGATTGACGGAAGGTGGTCACTGTAGATGGGAGCAGAATTGGCAAGGAGGAACAACTTCTCCTCTTCCCGGCTCTCCTTGCTCCTCCCACTCCATACTCTGAAGTGAAGTGTTCTTTCGTAACATAAGCTGCGATGCTGTGCTTTCCGCTCCCGGTCAGAAGCCAGACGTCCTGGTCCTGTTCCCTTCAGTCCTGCGCTACTGCCTTCTCAGCTTCCACTCACCTCGACAGGCATCTCCTCTACATCAGTCTGGTGCATCTCGAGCCCTCCGCCGTCCACTGCAACACCTCTGAGCGGAGGCGGCCCTCCTCACGAACGAGATGCTATGCTTCGAAGGTGCTGCGTACGTACCAGTTGGGAAACGTCGAGGTTGAGCTTGTTGCCTCCTAAGACGACACCATCCCGCTTGACTTGATGTTGATCGTTAGTGAGTCATGAGCCGGCTTTCTTGAAGGAGGGCTGCTCGGGACTCGAGAGTACATCCCGGCGAAGGAGGTCGGCTTCCGTCAGAGCTCGGAACAGCTGGCGAGCTCGAAAGCGAGAGTACGCGTCGATATATAGATACTCGAAGATGCGAATGATCGGACGCGAGGCGGTAGATGTCGCGAAGTGGATAAGCGAGAAGGGCAAGCGAAGACGACCGCGCAAAACGTGCTTGGAACGGCGACGAGGGCCGGCTCTGAGCGTCTGAGCTGAGCGATAGCAGTTGGAGCGACACTCTTGTGCTGCTCTCATCCAGCTGTACGCAGATCCTGGGCAAAAGGAGGATTAGTCCTGGTCACAAGCGAGCGGATTGGACTCACCCCGACGCAAATTCGATGCGAACTCAGGATTTTACGACGACGGTCTGCGTCAAGGAACCGACGCCCGCAGCCGCTTGGGAACTCGGCTCGCAAGCGGACTCTTGCAGCTTGTCAAGCCGCTGCTCGAAGAAATGCTGCATGAAGTAAGGGTATCCGATTGAATGCCAGTCAGAGAGCAAGTTCGGGGCGCAGGATTTGCGGCCGCTCTGGGTCGTCATGCGAGAGACAGGCGGAGGCAAGAGGGAGGGAGGCACGAGGAGAAGCGCGTTTGCGTCGCGGGAGGAAGCGGAGGGATCGAGTAAGGGTTGATTGATGAGGCGTGATTGCGGATCGATCGGCGTAGAGTGCGCAGGAGCGGGAGACAACTGCAAAAGGCCAACGAGTCGGCGAAAGCGAGCGAGGTGAGGGTCGAGGAGGACGAGGAGGAGGGCGGGAGAGACCGAGACAAAAACCACCTCTTTCCAGGTGCCATTGTCAGCGAGAGGCTCGACGGCGACCTTCAAGTGATTGTCACTCGCCGACAACCCCTACGAAGCAGAAACTATAGAGTGGGACTCGCTCGAAGTGTTCGCCCCCTGCTCCTCTCCTGCACTTCACCCACACACGCTGCCATCGCCCAGAAGGCACCTCGCACTGCTTATTGACTTCCAATAGAACGCCTGACCTGCGCCAGCGGCCCTGCGACGCCCTCCTCACGCTCCGCCATCTTCATCAGCCGACTCCAAGCACGACCCATCTCACCGACTCCTCAGGCCGACTAGCACCAGTCCAGTCCGCTCCCGACGCGTCAATATGTCGACAGACCCCGACCGCCGACTATCGCGCGTATCGCTCGGCGGGAACGACGGTCTCCTCAACGAGGACATCTCGCTTGCGATGCATGGGGACGACTCGTTCGGATACGGAGAAGCGGATGCTGGGGACGAGCAAGAGGAGACTGTGCGGCTAGACACGGGTCGGGCGGGCGGCGGACCAGCACCGAGAGCAGGGGAGGAGCAGGTCTTCTTCGGCGGCAGCATGGCTCCCGCCGCGACAACAAAGGCAGGTACGGCTCGCATGGCGCCACCGGTACCGGCGACGCCCTTGAACTCGCGACGCGCACCACCTGACGCGTACTTGGCCGGCGACGAGGGTGACGACGAGTTCGAGTCTGCACTTCTCTCGATCCTTGCGTCCGCTCCAGCACCCGCTCCTTCATCCAGCACATCCGACGCAGCACAAGCCGACACCGAACAGCCCAAAAAGCAGGAGGGCCCTTACTCGGAGGAAGAGGTGGCCGAAATCAGGCGGTTGAAGGAGGAGCGGGACGGGTTGAGGGGCATGAACGCGGTTCTGGGAGACTTGCTGGGCTCGCTGAGAGGGATGGAGGGGAAGATGCAGGTGCGCTGAGAAGCCGCTTTCACCTCGAAGGTCGTACCGCACGCTGAACTCGCTCTCATTTGGCAGAACTTCGGATCGACCGTCTCGACAACCCACGCCCTGCTCGATCTGTATACCCGGATTGCGAGTCAGGCGGAGCACACGAAGGACCTGCTGCTGGACGGCGAGTGGGGCGGCGTGATGAAGGTGAGCCTCCGTTCGCTCAGACTCGCCGTCTCTCCCGCTGCTTCGTTCGCATCCGCCTGCGAAATGCTGCTCGAACGGCGCTGACCCGTACACCCGACGCGCAGGACTACGAAGACCTCGTGGCGCGCGAAGCCGCAGCAGCCGAAGCTGAGCGCCTGCGTCAGGAGCAAGAAGCGTTCGAAGCGGAGGAGCGCGCGCGGAAGGAGCGAGAGGCGGAGGAGGAGGCGCGAAGAAGGAAGAGGGAGGAGGAGGAGCGGAGTGCGAGAGGTGCGCCTGGGTCTGCTGGAGCGAGAGGAAGGGGTCGAGGACGTGAGTGCTGCTTCCAACTACCGCGTCTTGCTTGATTCCGGGCGTTGTCGACATGGCGTCGGTCCATGTGAGGTGGTAGATGACGGAAATCACTCGCAGTTCGCGGCGTCCCCTCCTCCTCCTCCCTTCGCCCAACTCGCGGCCGTCCCTCTCCTACAACCACATCCGCCAACTCCTCTTCCTCCTTCTCTTCTACCGCCGCTTCCGGCATCCCTACACGCGGCGCAGGATCAGGCGCACAAGGAGGAAGTGCGCGGGGAGGGACGACGAGGGGAAGGGTTGCGGTCGGTGCGAGGGGAAGAGGAAGGGGCGAGTGAGCGGGTGCTGCGGCGGTCTAATTGGTGCGGTTCGTATTGCGGGAGGCTTTCAAGCTGTTGTACTATCGTTGGAAGCAGTTCGTGTCCTCCTCCTCGTCGTCTCGTCCTCGTTCTCCTCAGCGAGAGCACGGCGCTCTCGACCGATGGAGTGCCCTCTCGTTGCTCGCCTTCGGCTGTACCCTCATGATAACAAGCATTACGAGGAACAAAAAGCTACGGGAGTCAGAGAACTTGCGAGGTAAAGGGGAACGACACGAAGACACGACAACGGCGAGCTCGAGAGAGTAGTCTAGACACAAAGACCTGAACGAAGGAGACTTAGCACGAGCAGCCGTCCACGAGGGACTGCGCCGTCGTCTGCTTCAAATCGACTCCTCCCCGTCCTGCGAGTCCTGCGCCCCTCTTGCCTCCCGCTCCGGCAGGCGGCTCGATCGGCATCTTCTCCGCCACAGTCTGGAACATCTCCTCGATCCCCTCCGCCGTCTTGGCTGAAACTTCGAAGTACAAGAGCCCTTCCTCGCGCGCAAACTGCTCGGCGTCCGCGGTGGAGACTTGTCGCTGAGATGAGAGGTCAAGCTTGTTTCCGGCGAGGACAATGACGATGCCCGGGTCGGCTTGGCGATGTAGCTCGGCGATCCAGGAGCGGGCTTTCTCGAAGGACGCCTGCGCGCACAAGCGGTCCGAAGGTCAGCTGTCGGCCCGTCTCGAGAGAGTGCTGGCGAGGCTTGAGGGCGGTGTCGGCTACCGAAAGCAGGGGCGGGCAAAGTGCTGCCTGTAGAGCTGTGGGAGGTGGAGCGGACCACTTACGGAGGAAGTGATGTCAAAGGCGACGATGGCGGCGTGCGCTGAGCGGTAGTACATGGGCGCGAGACTCTTATACCGCTCCTGGCCAGCCGTGTCCCAGATCTGCGCGCGAAGGGAGGGTGAGTAGCGATACGAGCGGGCGAGAACTCTGAATGCACCTCGAACTTGACAAAGTTGCCGGACTTGACCGGGACGGTCTGCGTCAGGAACGCGGCACCTGCACACCCACGCGAGATCAGCAAGCGAGTCACCGCAAAGAAGGAGCGTCGCCTGACGCACCGATGGTCGACTCTCGCCACTCGTCAAACTGCTTCTTGACGAACTGCAGTACGATACTCGATTTGCCGACTGCGCTCTCGCCCAGGAGGACGAGCTTGCGTGCGGTGGTGATGGGAACGGCGGCGGGTTGAGCGGCGGCCGACATGGTGTGGACAGGCGAGTTGTGCTGCGGGTAAAGAGGGAGGGGCGGGCTTGTCGACCTGGCTAAGGTAGTGGGCAGAGCGGACGGTGAGGGTGATTCGAAGCGCTCGAAGGCGGGAGGGGCGGCGGAGAGAGGCGAGAGAGTCGGCGAAGTCGTGGGGATCAAGGACGTCGAATAGACGGATTGGCGGGCTGGCGGCTAACTGTGCGTGTACCGGGTCGGTCGAAGAGTCCGTCACGGTCGTGTCAGGCGCTCACGAGAGGTCGAGTGTGCAAGCGGTGCGTGAGGAGATGAGGATGGCGAGGAGGAGCAGGGGATGAAAGGCGCGGTGCTGGCGGGTTGCTGGCGTGTTCGTGGGGTTGCTTGGGATCTGTGAGCCGTAGCAAGGCAGCTAACTCTGTCTCTGAGCGGTGTCGACCGTGTGGCAGCAGGTCAACCAGCGTCGACGAGGAGCAACTCGCTTCACATCGCGTCTGGCGGGCCAAGAGAGGAAACAGAAGCACTCTGACCATGTAATAAGCCAGTCAGCCTCGTCGAAACTGCCTCACGAGCCAGTCGAGTGCACCTTCTCCTCCTCGTCCGCCCCTTTGCCTCTCCCGCTCACTTCGCTCACCTCGGACAGCTCCAGCCGTGCAGCTGACACGCACACGATGAGCGGATACGGCTACTCGGGCTACTCGGGGCCACAGCAGGGCTACAGCGCGGGCGGAGACGGCGCACCGGGACCGTCAGCCTACAACACTTCTCCCCCTCGCGGCGGCTACGGCGGAGGTGCGGGACCGCACAGGAACAGTTACGGGCAGCGTCCTGGGCCGTACGACCGTGGAGGTCCCGGCGGAGGACGCGACAACGGCTACAACCGCGACCGCTCGCGACGCAGCGCTTCGCCCGACTACTCGAGGGGCGCAGGACAGGGCGGAGAGCACCGTGGCTATTCCGGGCGTCCGCGCGGAGGGTACGGTGGCGGCGGAGGCTACGGAGGGGGAGGAGGAGGAGGAGGACCGCCGCATGGTCGACCGGACGACAGGCCTTACAACCCGGCTGAGCGCGGCAGCTACGGGCGGATGGACCTCGGAGGTGAGTTTGGCCTGTTCTTTTTCTCTCCGTGCGCGCGAGATGGGCGTGTTCCGCGGAGGATGCGGTTCTTTCGCGCTCTGTCCGCGCTCGCAATGCGGTTTCGACCATTCCCTCGCCTCTCGACGGACCACCACTCGCGACGAGGAGTCAAACAACGTGCTTCCATGTTCCGGAAGAGGGAGCGGAAAGGATGGGAAGCATGGGAGCTGGCGAGCGGAACTTCAAAGACTCGGCAGCAAGCGCAAGGACATCGGCAAGATCCGACAACAGCTTGTTCATGAGCTTGCGAGCCTCTTCTGCGGAAGGTCCGCAAGCTTTGCGGAAGATCTCGGCGCCAGCAAGGCGCAAGCATCCCTCGGCGAAGCCTGCTCAAGGCTTTCTCGTCAAAGCGGATCTCGCAAGCTTCGGATCGCCCTCCTTTGTGCGAGCAGACGACGAAGCGCACGATGACCGATAGAAGCAAGAACTCGCTGGTGAAGCGCAAGGACAGCCATCAGAAGCTGACTGTACTCTCCCTCCGCTCTTCCTCCTTCATCCACTGCTCTCTCCGTCTTTCCACCACTCTTGCTCCTCGAACAGATCCTGTCCGACGCAACCGCGAAGGAGGCGACCGCGACGAGTCGGAAGTAATTCGCGCCCGCGTCACCCGCGAGCGTCCTTGCCGCACTCTCTTCGTGCGCAACCTCAAGGTGCGCTTTGTCCCTTTCCTCCTTCTGCGTCTCCCGCTGATCTGATCGTGCGTCGACGCGCAGTTTGGCTTGCGCGCTGATGAAGTCAGGAAGCCGTTCCTCGAGATTGGCGACATCAAGACGTTCTTCGACTTGACCGAGAAGCGCGCCATGGCGTTCATTACCTTCGTGCGTTCGTTCGCGCTCTCTGTCTGATATGGGCGCATGCTAACAGACGCACATCTCGCAGTACGACTCGCGTGCGGCGATGATGGCCAAGGACCGCCTCCACCAGATGCCTCTTCACGGTCGTGCGGTGCGTCTCCGTCACATCCGTCGCCCGCCTGCGCCTCTGCTCAGGCTTTGAAGCGGCTTCTTCTGCAGATCGACGTCCACTACTCGCTTCCTCGCGACGCCGACCTTGCGCAAGAATGCGACCGCGAGAAAGGCCAGGTTCGTCCAGCTTCCTCCTCCTCCTCCTCTGTCCTCCTCACCTCACGCTCTCGTCTCACGTAGGGCACCCTCTCGATCGCGATCCGCAACGCTCCGCCCGGCATGTCTCGCCTCTCGGACCAGGAGATCTACAACCGCTTCGCGCCCTTCGGCGACATCAAGACGGTGTACCCGCACGAGCGCAGGCCCGAGATCACCATGCTCGAGTACTACGACTCGCGGGTGCGTTCAGATCGGTTCTTGACTGCGATTTGAGCCCGCTGATCTCGTTCGCCCCTCGCAGGCTACCGTCAAGGCGTTCGACCAGCTCAACGGGACGCCGCTCGGAGGAGGCATTGCAGAGCTGAGGTTTGAGTGGGACAAGCCCAACCCGCCGTGGGTCTCCGCCTCCATTCTTCGTTCTCCCCTTCTCGACCTCACCAATTTCCTGCACTCGCAGCGTCGCCGCGCCTGTCTTTACCGTCCCAGCTGCGCCCGCTGAAGGTTATGGCTACGCTCCCGTCGGCGGACGCGTCGGAGGAGCCCCTCCACCTCCTCACGCTCAGCACCCGCCTCCTCACGCGCCCTACCCTCCCTACTCGGCTCCGCCCATGCACGCCCCACCGCCGCCCGCTCCCGCTCCGACGCCCCCTGCTGCATTCCACGGAGTCGAGCAAGCGAAGCGAATGCAAGACCTCCTCGCCTCGCTCGTGCAGAATCAGGCTCTCATCGCCAATGCGAGCTCGGCCGCACCTCCTCCTCATCCTCCGCCTCCTCCCGCTCACCCGTCCGGCTACTCGCCCGTCCCACCCACGATCGGCTCGCCCATGTACGGACAGCCGCAGTCGAGCGTCCCGCCGGGGCTTGCAGGTTTGATGGGCCCGAACTCCTCCTCAACTCCGCCTTATCCGTCAAACGCTCCTCCTCCGGCAGCCGTGGCGCCAGCTTCGACGGGTGCGACGCCGGCGCAGGTGCAAGCTTTGCTGGCGATGCTGGTACGTCGTCCTCGTTGCGGTTTCTTCGTCCTGACCTCCCGCTGACCTGGCTCTCCCGCAGGCTCAGCAGAAGGCGGGGCCGTAGCGGCACGGGTTACTGGCTCGGATTGGGTTGCTTGTGGGATCTAGGGATTTGCAGTCTACCGCATCTATCGCCGTCTCCGCCTTCTCTGCTTCGCGTTCCTCGCTCCTCCTTCACTCGATCCATCTCCAGCAACCCTTGAAAGCCTTTACCCACGATTCGAGAGGCCGATGCGCCCGAAAGAGTCGCACCATCCCAATCTTGCGGAGGGTACGGCGGACAGAGACGGCGAGTCGTGCGGTGATTGGGGGCGTATGGCGCTGGCGCTTCCTAGGCCGCTCGAGCGTCGCCAGCTCAGCGCTGACGAGATCGAAAAGGCGCTTACGGCGATGCTGAACCTCGTCATGAAGCTTCATCCGGCGCTCGTCCCGATCCTCGCTCGCCCTGACTTTTGCGTCGTTTCCGCCGTCTTCCGCCCTAACCACTTCAACATCCTCGTCGTCCGATTCCGTCAAGTCCAAAACCTCCACGCTGCGTCGCCGCTTGCTCGACACTCGCGCTTCGAGTTCGACTGCCACCTTCTCGCCCTCGTCCTCCTGCTCCTCGAAAGCCTCCCATGCGTCCTCGTCTTCCGAGTCCGGTACGACAGAGAGCTCTGACGATGCTCGAGAGGTGCGCGAGGAGTGGGACGAGGCGGTCGATGCCGAGAGAGAGCGACGAGATGCGGGCGAGGACACCGAGGGTCGGCGGCCGGCGGCAGAACGAGAGGGATCGGCAAGCGAAGGGAGCTGGTTCGCGAGGGTGGGGGGAGGAGTAAGAGGAGGTGTAGGGAGGGCGGGAGCATTGGCGACCGACGAGGAGGATTTGGTTGAAGTTCGAGTCGGCGTTTCCGGCGCCGGCGTGTCGCCTCCGTACGCCGATGGCGGCGGGACTCCTTTCCGTCGTCGTCCAGGTCGTGTCGACGTACCCTTGACCGTAACCTGATGGACGATCGCACCGCGAATGCAGCTGGGGGAGTGATTACATGTCATTTGCGAGTCGCCGATGCAGGCGTCGCGATTCGTGTTCAACGCGTGGTCCTCCCACGCAATGTGCCCGGGAGCGAAGCACCGGGCGTCTCCGCACCGATGCGAGGCGTCCAAGTTTCGCATATCGTCAGGCAAGTTTGAGAGGTTCGATAGCGAGGCGCGCGAGAGCTTGAGCTTGTCACTCGACGATGCCCTGCGCTGTTCGAGCTTGTCTCTCAATCGCTTGAAAGTCAGGCCGGCTGCAGCGAGGTGTCGAAACTCCGGTCGAATGCGATGCCGTTCAGCGACGGTAGTTCCGATGGAGAATGTGGGTCGTTGGTCTCCTTTCGGTCGTACCCAGCAGCTGTAACGCGCGGAAGCGTCAGTCTCTGCCGAGACTCGCGGTAACGAAGGGCCAACGCACGCAGACCCGTCGCTTCTTCTCAACTCCAGCCTTGGCTTGTCGCCCATCTTCCGCATAGCCCATGTTGGCGAGATGACGTGCAAGAGCTTTAGCTTAGCGGGAGTTGTCATGGTCGGGAAGAGCGGCGGTTGAGCGTGCGGAAAGGGAGTGAAGAGGAGACGCAGCAAGCCCTCGAGCGAACAGTGAAGCAACGTCCGCCATCTGGTCGTGCCCGTGTCGATACGAGTATGCAGCTCGCGTGTACTATGCCGCCGTAGCGCTTGAGGATGAGATGGCTGGAAGCAAGCTCCTCGAGAGTCGCGAGGGAGGAGGCGGAGAACATCTCGGGCGTTGCGTGGGAAGCTTCGAGGCTTGGATGGGCGTGTACAGCAAGTAGGCGGGACGATACAGACGATCGAGCATCAGTCCTTGCGGAAACCAGGCGAGGAAGAGCAGAGCAAGCCTCTTCGAGGAAGATGGCTTGCTCTTGAACGTCTCACCCGCCTCACGCTGGAGGGTGGAGACTGCTTGCTGTGACATACGAAGGGCTTCTGCGACGCTGCTGCACAACCCTCAGACCGCAGCGTGCGCCTGCCAGCCAGTCCGCCGTCCCCACTTCATCCTCTTTCCAGCCGATGACCCCCTGGCTCATCACAAACCGCTTCGCTAGCCTCGTATGTCGCACTGGCGGCTTGCAGCGGTACAGGACTGTCGTGAAGAGGCGCGGGAGGGCTGGGAATGTAGTGCGTGCGCTCGAGGTCACCCACTGTTCACGGTGCTGACATCCGCTTCCGCCCTTCAAGCTCGTCAAGCTCCATTCTCCGTATCTGCCGGCTGCTCGCCCTGCGCTTCTCCATTCGGCCGCTTCCGTACTCACGCTTACGACGTCTCGCTGCCGGTTCGCTCTTCGTTCGCGTCAACGCCCCTTCTCGCCTCTCTCGCTGCTGTCGTGAACGCAGAGGCTACGTTCCGAACGTGCTCTTGAGCTCTCGAGGAAGAGGGCGCAGGACGAACGGCCGCCGCCGAATCGAACGAGAAGCTGGGTAAATGCTCCCCGCTCAAAAAAAGTTTCGCCTTTTTGTCCCCCATGCGCTCCGCTCGCACTCCTCGTCTCCCGCCTGGGTCTCGCTATCGCACGCTCAAGCGCCAGCGACGCTTGCGCTGTCGAGGAAGCCCCACGCCTTGCGGCTGTCCTCCTCCCGCCTCCAGACCTGCTACGCCTCGCAAGACTCGCTCCCGCCGCCTGAATCACTCAACACTCAGCTCCCCTCGCGCCTCGAACAGGATGGCGAAACGACGGAAGGTGCGACCAAGGGTGCCTCTCACTGCGGACGACTTGGAGTTCGGTCGGCGGGCGACAGCGACAGCCCGCGCGAAGCTTGAGGCTCAACGACTCCTTCAACCCGTCGTGCCAGCAATCCAGCAGGATGACGACGATTCGGATGCCAGCGACGACTCTGTCACCCCTTCATCCGCTCGACGCACGCCTAGCCCCACGCCAGACCCTGCGCCTGCGCCATCGTCGTCGCCTGGGCGAGCCTCGCCAGAGCTGGGCGTCTTCCCCAGCGAGCATACCCCTCTGGACTCGACCGACCCGGAGGACGAAATCGTCGTCGTTTCCTTCCAACCGTCCGCGAAGAAGGCGAGGGTGAACCGCAAGAGACGGCTCAGCTCCTCGCCCAGTCTCGAAGTCGCAAATGGTGCGAAGCGCTCGAGGCCGGACAAGAAGCGCGCAACAACGTCTCGGCACCGCTCGAGGACACCGAAGGAAACGGGAGACATCAAGCCCTCGCCTCGCTCCTCCTCCGTCGGCTCCGCTTCATCCGCGACCAACACCTCTTCCTCCTTTGTCCTTTCAACAACGACTGCGGCAACCGTTGCTTCGGCATCAGCGACCGGTTCTGCGGCCATTAACGTCGAAATCGCTGGTTACCAAAAATCTTTGCTGGGCGAAGGAAGTCGTCTGGCCGAGGATGGACATCTAGGCCAACTCGACGCGGTGGCGGACAATGCACTCCTCTTCTCATGTGCAGACTTTCGCGCGGTTACAGAGCAGTTCCGGGCCCAAACGGTCCTGGCAGAGCAGGAGGAAACGGCAACTGGCGAACCGGAGGAGGAGCGAAGGTCGTGGTGGAGCTGCTTCGTAGCGTTTCTGCATTAGACAACAAACACCCGTCCGATCTAGACCAACTCCTCATCCTCCTCATCCGCGCCCTTGCCCGCTGCGAGGCCAGGAAAGAGCGTTCCCAAAGTTCCTCTCGGCGCCGCCAAACTAGCTGCCCAGCGCTCCACCGCCTCCTGCATCGCCGCCTGCACGACCTTCGACCCCTCGACTCCCCACTTGAGCAGCTCCTCGAAGCGATTGACGCCGAGCCGCGTCTCGAGGTTGATCAAGCTGACTTTGCCGCTTCGCGGGAGTACGGCGATCGTGAGGTTTGGCAACGCGGTCTCCTCAGCCGCGAGGAGATCGAGGATCGTCGTGCTGCCGCTGCCGCCTGTTCGGGTCGGGTCGTTCGAGTTGGTGTGCGCGGCGGCGGGAGTGACGAGGTCGAAGGGAGGGATCTGGGGAGGACCGAGGGGAGGGATGGACGGGTAGGATGCAAGCGAGAGGGAGCAGACATAGTCGGAGAGGGGAAGGCCGGCGGAGATGAGGGCGAGAGAGGTGGCGTTGATGGCGGCTTGGAGGACAGCTGCGCGAGGGAAGGAGGTCAGCTCCGGGCGCGCAAGTCTGGGAGGGTTACGACAGCAAGGGCGGGGTACAGTATCGACGGTGATATCGAGATGGCGAGACTCGAACTGATAGCGTGACTCGCAAGGAACGGAGAGCCGAAAATAAGACCAGCGCGGAGACACCGCACCGCCTGATCCTGCTCGTCCCGCACCCCGCTCACGAAACGAGAGAGCGTCGAAACTCACATCCGTCGTTTTCGAGAATCTGGAGGTAGATGTCGATGGAGGAGCGAGGGTATAGGTGGAGGAGGAGCACGGGTTCGAAGGTATTCTTGACGGCAGCAGCGAGCTCGATCGTCCGTCTGCGCGAGGCGAGAGTCAGTGCACGGAACTCGGAAATTGGAGGATTTGAGCCCGGAGGAGAGACTCTCCCAGCCCGCCGACTCACCGATCCTTTCCACCTCGCCGCAGACCGCCCTCACTCGAACCGCCTTGCCCTACACGCTCTCCCCAGGCCGCAACGCCGACTTCAACATTCACACCCCCTCGATCTCCCTTCTGCTGACCTCCCGCGGCCTGTCCTATACCTCCTCCTGCACCCTGGCCCGTCCCAGTCGAGCTCCAAGGTCCGGTGCGCTGCGGTTCCCGCGGTCCGAAGACGGATGATGAGACGGTGGTGAGACCGTGGGACGCCAGAGCGTACCCGTCAGCCTTGGCAGGAGGGTGTGTTGCGGCGTAAGAGGAGGAAGTCGAGGGAGAAGGAGGCGAGGGGAGGATCTGAAAGTCGAGGGACCGCAGCTCGAGGGGCAGGCGGGAGTCGAGGCGCAGAGCAGAAGGCGTCAAGAGCTGTGTCCGGCTCTGCATCGTGTCGGTCCAGGAGAAGTGTCGAGGCGAGAGATGAGGAGGAGCAGGTGGTCGAGGACAGGGTGAGGAGCGGCGGGAGCTGGACGAGGGGACTGACACAGGCTCTGTAGCACTCTCAAGCTCTCTGGCAGTCCTTTCTAGCGAGTCTTGAGCGAGCGACGCGTCGTGGTCTCTGCTGACCCTCGCCCGCTTCATCTCTGGCTCTGCCAACTCTCGCTGCTACGCTCTGACTGGTTCGTACGGGCTGGAAAAGACTCAGTCGAGCACTGTGACTGCTTCGATGGCGTCCGCAGCCACCCCAATCCTCCGCTTGCAGGCCAAGTCCTCGCCCATCCCGCTTGGGCTCTGCGCCTTCGCCTACTCCCTCCCGCCAGCTCAGATCCAGCTCGAGTGGGTCCACAGCCTGCCCAAGGAGGCCAACGGCGCGAACTGCCAGGTCGAGATCAACGGGTGCGCCCACTTTCCTTGCCTCGTCCTCCTCGCTCGACTCGAGCTGATCCCGAGTCAACGCGCTCGCGCTCGCAGCAAGTCGGTCTTTGGCACCGTCGACTGCTTCAAGGCATTGGGCGACGCTTTCGCGGCCCAGGGTGCGCTCGGAAAGGACAACAAGGAGTCAACCGAGGTGAGCTGTCGGATCTGGCGTGCATTTGTTCCCCCCTCGTCCACCTGTACCGGCTGTGCGAAGTGCGTTGCGCTCGAGTGGATGCTGACGATACATTCCGCCCGCAGATCCTGTCGCTTCTCCTGCTCGCACCGCCTTTCCCTCCCTCATTCCCGACCGCAACTTCATTCCTCTCCACCCTCGAGCAACGTCTCACGCTCCGCACCTACCTCACCGGCTCTTCGCACCCGACTGTCGCCGACTATCACCTCTGGGCGGCTGTGAAGACGAACGTCATCGCCATCGGTCTCCTCCCGAAAGCCCTGCACACGCAGCGGTGGTTCAACCACCTCTCCGCTCTCCCTCCTTGCGCCAAAGCGCTGGTCGACGTCCCCGCGCAGTCGAAGGTCAAGCCCGCACCGGCAGCGGACAAGAAGGACGAGAAGAAGAAGGAGGAGAAGGCGAACGCGACCTTCGAGTTGGGCTTGCCCGGCGCGCAGAAGGGCAAGGTCGTCACTCGTCTCCCGCCCGAGCCGTCAGGCTACCTCCACATCGGACACGCCAAGGTGCGCTCGCGTTCGCTGGCTCCCTTCCTCCGTAATCACTTCAGGACTTTGCTCGCTTCTGCGCCTTTGCGGGATTACCAAGCTCTCATGCTGACAATCGCCTTCACGCTAATCGCAGGCGGCAGTACTCAACCAGTACTTCGCCAGGATGTACGACGGCAAGTTCCTCGTCCGTTTCGACGACACTAACCCGTCGAAGGAGAAGGTGCGTTCCCAGTTTTCTTCGACCCGTTTTTTCTTCGACCCGTTCGCTATAGCCTTCGCGGACGGTCGCTAGACACCTCAAACCGCTGCACACCCCGCTGACTCTCCTTCTGCCTCCTCTGCGCAGGCCGAGTTCGAGCAGTCGATTGTCGAGGACCTCGCCCTTCTCGGTATCAAGGCCGACGCGACGTCCTACACCTCCGACTACTTCGACCAGCTTCAGCAGTACGCCATCCAGCTCATCAAGGATGGCAAGGCGTACGCGGACGACACGGAGCAGGAGGTCGTAAGTTACGGTTCCCCTTGCGCAAAGCAGCTCTTCGTTTCGCCTCGTTTCGCTTCGTCCTGCTGACCGCGACACTCTCGCAGATGCGCGACCAGCGTATGAACGGCGTCGCGTCGGCTCGCCGTGACCTTTCGCCGGAAGAGTCGCTCGCCAAGTTCGCGGAGATGGCGACCGGCTCGGACGAGGGCAAGCGGTGGTGCATCCGCGCCAAAATGTCAGTCGACGACCCCAACAAGGCGCTCCGCGACCCCGTCATCTACCGCGTCAACGACCTCCCTCACCACCGCACCGGCTCGAAGTACAAGATCTACCCAACCTACGACTTTGCCTGCCCCGTCGTCGATTCGATCGAGGGCGTCACTCACGCACTCCGCACGAACGAGTACCGCGACCGCAACCCGCAGTACCAGTGGATGCTCGACGCGGTCGGCCTTCGCAAGGTGAACGTCTGGGACTTCGGCCGCCTCGCCTTCGTCTACACCCTCCTCTCGAAGCGCAAGCTCAAGTGGTTTGTCGAGAACGGCTACGTTTCGGGTTGGGATGACCCCCGCTTCCCTACCGTCCGAGGTGCGTCTCGCTTCTCTGCTCGACTTCCACCTCTCGTTTGGAAATCCGCGCTGTGATCCGCTCTTCCGCTCCTTGTTCGCGCTATTCGGTACGCTTCTTACTGACGCTGTTATCCTCGCAGGCATCCGTCGCCGCGGCATGACCGTCGAAGCGATCACGCAGTTCATGTTGCAGCAAGGCCCGTCGCAGGCGTTCCTCAACCTCGAGTGGGACGTCATCTGGAACCTCAACAAGAAGGTCATCGACCCCGTCGCGCCGCGCTTCGTTGCGCTCGAGAAGGAGAACCTGTGAGTCGCTCTCTCGCGGCTCCTCAATCACTGCGATCTTCCCATCGGCTTCGTTCTGCTTTGCGCTTTCGCTCTCCCTCGCAGTCACAGTCTTACTGACACTCTCGCCGCTCGCAGCGTTCCCGTCAAGATCGTCGGTGGTGAAGGCAAGCCCGCCGAGGGTCAGGTCGAGTCGAAGGTCGTCCCGAAGCACAAGAAGAACCCGGAGGTCGGCGAGAAGACGACCTTCTACACCGACACGATTTACGTCGAACAGGCGGATGCGGCAAGCTTCGCGCAGGACGAGGAGGTGAGTCCAGCCGAATCGCCGTTCGCTTCGCCTTCTCGTGTTTCATTTTGCGTTGCTTCGAAGAGTCCGGACAGTCTCACAGACGCTGACAATGCTGTTCGCACTCCCGCAGCTCACCCTCATGGACTGGGGCAACGCCTTTGTCCGCAAGATCTCCCGCTCGTCCGACTCTGGCCCCGTCACTTCGCTCGAGATGGAGCTCAACCTCGCCGGCGACTTCAAGAAGACGAAGAAGAAGGTCACCTGGCTCGCAAGCCCGAAGGCGCCGTCGTCGCCCGAGGACTTGACGCAGGTCTCGCTCCTCGATTACGACTACCTCATCACGAAGAAGAAGCTCGAGGAGGACGACAATGTCGAGGATTTGATCAACCCCACGACGGAGTACCGGTGCGTTCGGGATCCTTGCGCTTTTGCTGCTCCCTCTGCTTACCCTCGATTGCGTGGTCTCGCAGAACCGATGCCGTTGCCGACCACAACGTTGCCTCTCTCGCGCAGGGCACCATCATCCAGTTCGAGCGCAAGGGCTTCTACATTGTCGACCGCGCCTTCGACGCTTCGAACCCGTCGCAGAGGGTCGAGCTCATCCTTATCCCCGACGGCCGCGCAAGTTCCGTCGCCCTCAAGCACCAAGCACCGTCAGCGCCCGCCAAGGACGCTTCGAAGGCCTCGAAGACGCCGTCGAAGGACAAGCAGGCTGCGATGAAGGCGAAGAAGGGCGCCGAGGCGATTTCTCTTCCTGAGCTTGCGCCTGCCGAGGCTGTCGAGGTCGTCCTCAAGAGCGACGGTTCGCGTGGCTACGACATTCCTGTCAAGGTGAGCTTTCCCCCTTTGCCTCTTGGCGAATGCGAGGACTACGGGCGGACGAAACTGACGCGTGCTCGACTTTCCTCCGCACCGCCAGACCAAGATGTACAAGGTCGACAGCCCGCACGGCCATGAGGCGTACGAGACGCCGACGACGACGTCAATGTACGAGATGCGGCCCATCAACGAGTAGACGACGAGATTGGGTTGAAACGAGCGTGCACAATTGCCGCATCTCCAGCTTGTAGTCCTTTTCTTGCGCTTTCCTCGCGCTCGAGAGTCTACTGGAGTCTCGTCTTCGCCTTCCTGCACCAGAACAGCCCGCAGCGGTGCGAGTGTAGCTCTCGTGAAGACCCTCGCCTCGCTCTCCCTCCTTCTCCTCACTCGATTCGCTTCGCGCTTTAGCCTGCTGGTCTCGAATTCAAAGGAGTACTGCTTCGCTCAGCCGCTGCTGCTCGCCACGCCTAGGGCAGTGCTCATGCCCTCGTCGCCGCCTCCCCACAGCCGCAATCCACCTCCATCTCCCTCGAACCCGCCCTCGCCGACTGTCAGCGACGTTCCTCTGCTCCGACTGAGCCCGTCCAACGCCTCTCTCGACAGCGCGGCCGCGCTCGCCGACGGTTTCACACCCGACGCGAGTCGGCTGCCTCGTTCAGCACGCATGGCAGGAGGCTCGAGCAGCGTCGGAGGGCGTCACGATGGAGGGACAGGCCGCCTGGGCTCGCAGCGTAGCGATCAACGCCTGCGCGGGGCGGCATCGAGCGCGGGAGCGAGTCGGGACAGTCGCGGCGGACGAGGGATGTCTGGCGGCAGTTCGTACGCAGGCAGCAGCGCACGAACGACTCTCGGGACGGACGAGGACGTCCAGAGCGACGCGGACAGCTTCTCAGAGCGGCGCAGTCGGCGGAACGAACGCATGAATGGCGGTCAGGGCTATGGCAAGGCTCGACGTGTTCCGCCTGGACTGGGAGGACAAGGTGAGAGTGAGGGAGAGTACGACGAGGGTTGGAGGACGGGCTTGGACGTCGAGGAGGAGGAAATTCGGCTACTCGGGCAGGACTCTACGGTGTGTCTGACTTTCTCTGCCTTCCGCGACGGCGTCAATCGACACACTCGAGCGTTCAAGGACGCCGTACGTCTTACTGACGCCGTCGCATCTCCGCAGACGCGATCTCCCCCCTCTTCCGCCGCGAAAAAACGCCGTCTCTCGGTTTCGCGATTGCTCCACCTCTCTTCGCCTCCTTCCTCAAAACCTCGCACCATCCCCTTCAATGATGCGCCCTCTAAGCGCAAGAAGTTGTCATTCGCGCCCAATCTCGTCAAGAACCAGAAGTACAACGTCGCGACGTTCCTCCCGCTCGTCCTCTACGAGCAGTTCAAGTTCTTCTACAACCTCTACTTCTTGCTCGTCGCCCTCTCGCAGTTTGTCCCGGCACTCCGCATCGGTGCGTAAACTCCCGGACTCGACGAGGCCACTTCCTCAGCCACTCATGCTCGTTTCCTTTCGCAGGCTTCCTCGCGACCTACATCGTCCCCCTCGCCTTCGTTCTCGCCGTTACGATCGGCAAAGAGGCGTTCGACGACTACAAGCGCTACCTGCGAGACCGAGCTGCCAATTCCGCCCTCTACAGCCGTCTCGTCCCGCATTCCGCCTCGACCCCTCATTCGCACCATGCCTCGTCTTCCACGCCCTCTACCGCGCCTCTGAAACCGACGCCGTCGTCAAATCTCCGCGTCGGCGATCTCGTCTTCCTCGAGAAGAACGACCGAGTTCCAGCCGACATCCTCCTTCTCCGTACCTCCGACCCGAGCGGCACTTGCTTTGTCCGCACCGATCAGCTGGACGGCGAGACGGACTGGAAGTTGCGCGTCGCTGTCGAACGCACGCAGGCGCTGCAGAGCGACGCCGACTTGCTCGAGATCGAGGGCGACGTCTACGCGGACCCGCCGACGAAGGACATCCATACCTTCGTCGGGACCCTCACCCTTCGCTCAATCCCGGCATCGCGACGAGAAGCAGGAGCGGATGGTGCAGGCGACGCACATCAGGAGGAGGAGGAGGATCTCGTCGCGGCTCATCCGGTCGAGCCTTTGACGGCCGAGAACATGCTTTGGGCGAACACGGTCCTCGCAGCCGGCAACGCCGTCGGTATCATCGTCTACACCGGCCGCGAGACTCGCGCCGTCATGAACACGAGCCAGCCGGGCACGAAGGTCGGTCTGCTCGACCACGAAATCAACCGCCTCGCCAAAATCCTCTGCGCCGTCACCTTTGCGCTCTCCGTCATCCTCGTCGCTCTCAACGGCTTCAGGGGGCATTGGTGGGTGTATGTGTTCCGGTTCCTCATCCTCTTCTCGAGCATCATCCCGATCTCGTGAGTTCCGCCTCCTTTCGCTCGCCCCCTCTCCCTCGCTAATCCTCGTTTGCTTGCAGGCTTCGCGTCAATCTCGACATGGGCAAGACCGTCTACGCTCACCAGATCATGCACGACCCGGAAATCCCGGACACCATCGTCCGCACCTCGACGCTGCCCGAAGAACTCGGTCGGATCGAGTACCTTCTGAGCGACAAGACGGGCACGCTCACGCAGAACGGTGCGTCAGTCGCTCGCGTTATCGCCTGCCTCCGCTGACGCCTGTGCACTCGCAGAAATGGAGCTCAAGAAGCTGCACCTCGGAACGATGAGCTACGGCGTGGACTCGATGGACGAGGTTGCGCACCAACTCGCGACGGCGCTTGGCGAGAGCAAGACGAACGGTGCGTACGACGGCGGCCAAGAGAAACGGCGCGCTGACTTCGTGTCGTCTCGCAGCCGGCCCGCAACTCGCGACGGGCGTCACCCTCGCGACTCGAGGTCGCCGCGACATGAGCTCGAGGGTCAAGGACGTCGCTCTGGCTCTCGGATTGTGCCACAACGTGCGTGCAATCCGTCTCTGTCCTCGCTTTGTGCGCTGACGACTCTCCCGCAGGTCACGCCCGTCGTCGACGAGTCAGACGGATCAATCACCTATCAAGCCTCATCTCCCGACGAAGTCGCCATCGTCCGCTTCACCGAGTCGATCGGCCTCACCCTCGCCGCCCGCGACCGCACGTCAATCACCCTCCGCACGTCCGCCGGCGCGACTCTCTCTTACGACGTTCTCGAAATCTTCCCCTTCACGTCCGAGTCGAAGCGGATGGGCATCGTCGTCCGCGACCGTCAGACGGGCGAGATTGTCTTCTACCAGAAGGGCGCCGACGTCGTCATGGCGCGGATTGTCGCCTACAACGACTGGCTGGAGGAAGAGTGCGGCAACATTGCTCGCGAGGGCTTGCGGACGCTCGTTATGGCGCGCAAGCGTCTCAGCGAGGAGACGTGGCGCGAGTTCGAGGAGGCGTACCGTGACGCGCGCGTCAGCCTGGGCGACCGCAACGCTGCGAGCGCGCGAGTCATCGACGACTTCCTCGAGCACGATCTCGAGCTACTCGGCGTTACCGGCGTCGAGGACAAGCTTCAGGACGACGTCAAGATGACGATTGAGCTGCTGCGGAACGCCGGCATCAAGATCTGGATGCTCACGGGCGACAAGATCGAGACGGCGACTTGCATCGCCATTTCGACGAAGCTCGTCTCGCGTGGCCAGTACATTCACCAGATCGCGAAGCGTGCGTCGCCATCTCTCGCTGTGCGGCCGAGTAGGGAGCGCTGACGAGACCGTTCCCGCAGTCAAGTCTCCGGCTCAGGCTCGCGACGAGCTCGAGTTCCTGCAGAGTAAGCTCGACTGCTGCCTCGTCATTGATGGCGAGTCGCTTCAGGTGCGTCCCGTCTCCCTCCGTCGGCTGCTCTCGCGCTGACTCGCTCTTCTGCGCAGCTTTGCATCGAGCACTTCCGACAAGACTTCATCCAGCTTTCAACTCAGCTCTCGGCGGTCGTCGCATGCCGCTGCTCGCCGACGCAGAAGGCGGACGTCGCTCGACTGATCCGGGCACACACGAAGAAGCGGGTCTGCTGCATCGGAGACGGAGGAAACGACGTCTCGATGATTCAGGCGGCCGATGTCGGTGCGTTCGGTTTGCGCTCTCCTCGCTCGTCGGCGATGGCGCTGACCGATCTGGTGCGCAGGCGTCGGCATCGTCGGCAAGGAGGGCCGACAAGCGTCGCTCGCCGCCGATTTTTCCGTCAACCAGTTCAGCTACCTCACGAAGCTCCTCGTCTGGCATGGCCGCAACTCGTACAAGCGTAGCGCCAAGCTCGCACAGTTCGTCATCCACCGCGGCCTGATCATCTCGGTCATTCAGGGTGCGTCGCGACTTGCTCGTCTCGAGTCGGCGGATCGCCTGCTGAATCGCTCGTTCCGCACAGCCGTCTTCTCTTCTGTCTTCTACTTGTGCGTGCTTGGCTCTCGCTTGCGTCATCGCTTGCGGTGCTGACGTGTTCACGCGCTTCCGCAGCTCGCCCATCGCCATCTACCAAGGGTGGCTCATGGTCGGCTATGCGACGGCCTACACGATGCTGCCCGTCTTCTCGCTCGTCCTCGACCGTGACGTCAACGAGGATGTCGCGCTGCTGTACCCGGAGCTGTACAAGGAGTTGACAAAGGCGAGTCTTCGGGCGCACTCTGACGCTCTCGCTCGTTTCTGACCGCCTGCATGCTCGCAGGGCCGCAGTCTCTCGTACAAGACGTTCTTCACTTGGCTCATGATCTCGCTGTATCAAGGCACGTCGCTCTTCCTCCTCGCTCGCTCCGATCGACCCGCTGATGCCCCTTCCTTCGCAGGTGGCGCCATCATGCTTCTCTCGCTCGTCCTCTTCGAATCCGAGTTCCTCAACATCGTGTCGATCTCGTTCTCGGCGCTCGTCGTCAACGAGCTGGCGATGGTCGCGGTGGAGATCACGACTTGGCACCTCGCGATGGTCGTCAGCGAGGTTCTGACGCTTGCGCTCTACGTCGTCTCGATCCTCTTCCTTCCCGAGTATTTCGGTGCGTTCCTCTTTGCTCGTGCGGCACGCTGAGACTCTTAAGCTCACGCTCCTTGTCTCGCAGACCTCTCCTTCGTCTCGTCGCCAAGCTTCCTTTCGAAAGTCGCCCTCATCGTCGCCATCTCCGTCTTCCCGCTCTTCGTCATCAAGTACTTGAAGAGCAAACTGGCACCGACCGCGTATGCGAAGCTGCGGGATTTCTGATAGACTTGTACCTCCTCGCCCGCTCGTTCGGCAAAGTAGTCATGTTGTCGTCGCAACCCCCCTTCTCCGAGCCCTTCACCAGCGAGATGCGCTTGTGCGCAGCGATCCATACGACGAGACCACGCTGGGTGCGCAGATGAAAGCGCGGAAGGGGGCGAAGTGGAGATGGATTCGCTTTTTACACCGCTCGTCGCCTCTACTGCGGCAACAAGTTCGCGCCAGACGCCGCCTCCCGCTCCCGCGCCAACCGTTGAACGTACGTCTGCGAGATGATGTTGAAAGCCTGTGCGAGAGTAGGTTAGCGGGCGAAGTTCCCCAAAAAGCGAAGGCCTGAAGCAGCGCTTGGCGACACACACCTCCAGGAAGCGGTCCGAGCAGCGCATCAAGCACGCTTGGTCGTTCGGCGTGAGCGTGTCGGATGGCTTGGTGATGCACGCCTTGAAGCTGCGAGTTCCGGGTGAAGGCGAAGTCAGCCCCCTCTTCTTCCCTTTCTTCCGACTTTCATCCGGCGAAACACGGCGCACCACTTCTCGTTGAGCTTGTTGATGAGCTCTTGAGCTTGTGCGAGGGCTGCGCAAGCCGCGGAGCGGGAGAGGTCAGCGATTCGAAGACATACGCAGGACGCGAAGGCGTGGACGCACCCAGCTGTTGCTGCACTTCTCCCCTGATCTGCTGAGCCTTCGCCTGTGCGTCTTGTGGTGCCAGAGAGGCGGAGCGGCCGAAGAGTCCGGACATGATTCGGGCGGAGGGGGGATGAGCGACAGTGAATCTGCCGAGGGAGGTCAGCTCGGCTCGAGAACGCGCGTGCGCAAGCGATCCATGCCCTGGAGTCTCGCTGCTCCTCGCCGACTCGCACCGAGCGGCCCGCCAGCGAGGGCGCACGGAGAAACTGGGCCGCAAGAGACGTCGACGAGCAGAGGGAAGGAGGGCGACGGGCGGTGTGAGACTCACGCAGAAAGTGTCGAGTGTGCTCTAGCAGCAGCCTGAGCTTTTCTAAGCAGGTACAGCAGCGAGTTGCGTGAAGTGCGGAAGTCGAGGAGTTCACGAGGACGGGGTCGAACCTCGCCCGCTCGCTGCTCGCACAGAATGGGCTTGCTACGCTTGAGCCGTCGCTACTGCAGGCTGACTTAGGCCGCTGAGCTTTCCGCCGCGCCTCCCAGGTCCCGCGTCCTCCCTCTGTATCTTCCTCATCTTGGTCGCGACTCCCCTCTCCACAACTCGAATCCGCCAGGACGATACGCGCTCTTGTTCGATTGATGGCGCGCTTGGAGCGGCTCGGCGCCTTGTTGGGCGAACTCCAGGTGCGCTCTTGTGATTCTCAGCAGCAAGTCAGTCCTTCTCGGACGGTCCCGCTCGCTCGCCAACCCAGAGGCTCAGCAGCGAAGTAGACGACGCTGACCTCACGATTGCGCAGAACATTGCTTCTCGTCGCCTCCTCCACCTGTCCCCTCTATCGGCTTCAGTCTCTCCTTGTCGCTCCTCCCATCCTCTCACGCTCGCTCTTCGGCCAGTCAGCGCCAACGAGTATACTCGTGTGTCCTGTGGCATGTTGAAGCCCGCCTTTGAGCGCCGGATAGCCTGGAAAAGTCGGATGGCGGAGAAGCGGAATGGGGTCTGGCTTTCTCGTGCGCTTTCTCCTTCTCTCGCCGTGCTGACCCGGCTCAGCTTGGCAGACCTCCTTGTCTGAGTCATTACAGCGAACGCACGCTCTCCACGCCTCGCATTTCCGCTCCACCGCACATGAAGCCGCTCTTGTCACCCTCGCTCCTCGCATGCACTCCTCTGCTGCAGGCCTCGAGTTGCACTCGGCCTGCGGCCGTCGAGGCACTCCCAGCATTGCTAACCACCTCTGCGAGGCTCCGCAGGCTCGCTCTGGCTTTGTTGCCTTGCGGCAGGCGCAGATGTGCTTTCCTGGCTTTCTGCTATATAACAACCTCTTACACGCGCCGCCGCGCTATGCGCGCACGCTAGCTGTGTTTGCACGCGTCTAAGCTACGCTACTGAACTGCTGCTGCTCCGCTCAGAACCCTTACGGACAATCTTGATTACGTTTGAAGCCAGTGATTAGCTTGTAATCCAAATTGTTGTCTTGTTAATCTTGCCTGTCGTTCTTGCTGAGAGACTTCCTTGCTGGCTCACAAGCTCAACCTACCAGAGTTGATTACAACAGTGATAGCCAGGGCGGCATGAAATTGTGGTCAAGGGTTATGCTAAATAGACTCTTACCAGTCAAAGCACAATTGTATGTATTTCAGTATTACCCGGACTCTGATTGTATGTATTTCACTATTACCTGAACGCTTGCATAGCAGTGAAATGCATATCACCTTGACTGACATCTAGTCTAAGGAGCATGAACACAGGTGAATATGCGCAGAGTAGGAGACCAGCTATTGATGCTCATTAGACCTTTTGCTTATTGGCTGCATTAGGTTTTTGAACATCTCACTCTGGGCTCCAGCCATGCTGAGCGCGGGGCTATAGGTTTGTTCTGCTGCTAGAAAAGCGTAGGAGAATGTGCGGAACGACCAGAGGAGAAGGGAGGAGGAGCAGTGTAGCTAACCAAGCAGCCTACCCTTGTTTGTAATGCCAGCATTTTGGTAGTGCCTTTCACCGGCGGAGCACTCGAGGGGCGGCTTTCGCGACTCGAGGGGAGGTGGGTGACCCGTATATCAAAGGCTTAATGGGAAATGGTAATCTTCGGGTGCAAGAGCTAGGTGTCAATGCTTGCTGAATACAACAAGGTGGAACTTACTATTGAAGCTCAGTGAATTCTTGCTCAGAGAGCGACAGATTGGGTCAACTTTCTCCCCAGCTTCTGTGAGAGTGCAAG